CTGGGCAGCGACAAAGTTCCTCATAGTCTCAGTGGGTGTTATTGACCACCGCACTGTAATATTTGCAGGTTTTATATTTGCGTACAGTTCACGGTTACCCGTACGGTGATGGAAGGTTAGATCCTAGGGTCGGAAATGGGTCTTCTCCTTCAGAACTTGCAGTTCTTAATAATTGGAGATCAATGCCATTCTAGGTTCTCAGTCCCTAAACTGGAAGCCCCTTGCATCCTTGGATGCATAGCCAGTTTCAGACCTCTTCTGTGATCTGTGAGGAATGAAATATGGATGTCTGAGCAGGACTAAAAGTGGATTGAGGGTGTGTTTCTGCGCTTTAGCCGCCCCAGATGACTTACGGACAGGTGTAAAGAAACTTAGGTGAAACCCACCCAAGGTCATTGAATAACAACCAATGCCCAGTGGCCAGTGGTCAGGCATCGAGGCTGTTATTTCCCTGCATCGTGGTGCCTCTAAACGAGTATGCGTTGTATTCAGAACTCATTTGGTCCATTTTTCGAAGCCGAAGTTTGGCTCAAAATTTAAAATAATGGAAGGTGTTGAGGGTAATTGAAATGCCAGTTTCCACTCAAACAACACTGACAGTCTCCACTGACTGTCTGTGATGGCGATACTGGCATCAAAGATACTACGGATGGTAGATGATAGCACTTTGCACCGGCCAAAACGACTGGGCAAATTGACAAGCGGGCAGAGGACTTGCTAGTGGTAAGTAAAAACACATTGGAAAGTGCTTTGGATACAAAACGGATGGTGAAAACTACAAAGCGTAGGTAGCTGCAAGTGATGAGGGCGGCTTTGTGGAGTAGTGGAAATTCTCCAAATGAAGTACCAGGCTCATACATTACGTGTCAGAATGGGATAAAAAGTTATGCAGAAGCCAGAGTACTATAGCTGGACAAGCTAACTATGTGTGTCTACAGCATTTCTGTTTTTCGATAACGAAAAAGCAAATAATCAAATAGAAGTGTAGGGTAAGTGCAGTACGATACAGTACGTGTGCTGCTTGATGGTCCAACCATTATTTGTGCTAAAATCTGCCCATTGTTTTGAGGTGCCATGACTCTTCGCTCAACTTCTGTAAGCTTTTGAAACTTGTAGATAACAAGGAGGCCCATCGGGACCATCGAGCCACTTATGCCAATGTCAGTTCTTACATTTGTCGAACTTCTGTAAATGACCAAAGCAGAACGCGCCAAAGATGCGGAACGGCCTACTGCACACACTTTTGGCCTAGGCTCTTCGGTCTGACGTTTCTTGTGACGCCTTCAGAAGATGTTCCCATTATAATTCAGCCACCCCTTATATACAGTATGCGGCCGGCTACAGAACACAGGCACATCGCGGTGGGTCCCGAACGTGTGTAGTCTTCATGTTGTCGCTCAATGCACACCACTCTTGACCCTTTGCTCAATTTGCTTTCAGGATCAGGTCCCGGATGAACAGTTAGCATCCTTACTATGTGTCATTCCGTAACCAATTCTTGACCCTGCGAAACATACAATTGTGATCCTTCTGCATCATATCTGGACGTGTACGTATATAGTACCGTACTGTACTGTTTTTTTTTCAACCATTAGCACTGATGCCTTAAATGGCGATCATCTCTGACCATGTAAACCTTAATAGGTCTTTAGCATTTCCGGTTAAATGCAAAGTACAGCACTAAAGCACTAAAGCACAGTACTCAGTGTCGGAATAGTGCTCTGGTGGAACCAATTAATCAATTAATTAATTAGTTCCGCTACCCCATATTTAATTCCGCTTCCTCAGTGCCTATACAAGTCTGTAGTACATTGTAGTTGTTTCTGCATCGCTCTTTTACTCAAAGTCAACACTCAGTACATCATCGCAGTACTTGCAGTACGGTTAGCTAGTAAGTACTGTACGGACTGTTCTGTAAGATTCCGTATGTTGTCAACTACGGTGTGGTGACATCTGCTCATTAGCCACAACCGTGCCTGTCTAATACCCAGAGGGACCGCAGCCTACCTTTGTGCAAGGAAGACACAGCTGCCTCTTCACCACATTAGATTAGATGCCCATGACAGTATGTGTGTGCGTATTGGTACTTACACACTATCGTGGACAATACCTTGCCAAAATAGTGCGCATATGCACAGTCAGGCGAAGAGCACCATACACGAGTTTAGAGCTATGTTGAAAAGCGCCCAAAAAGAAATGCAAAAATTATCATGACGCATCGATGGAGGAAAGTATTTTGAATGGACGCACTGGTGCAATTTCAGATCGTAATGAATAACATTTCTGTAATCTGTGAAACGCAGCCGCGAACCGCTAGGTGGTAGTTAACTGCACCTGTTCCCTCAAGTACGTACAGCACGTACATACATATGGCGTCAGGTACGTGTCGGAGGTGGACTGACAGTCGGAGGGAGGGGCACGGCGGGATTGTTCCATCTGTATGTACATCGACGGTGGCGTGGGTACCGAATAAAACAATAACATCGCCACCAACAATAACATCGCCACCAACTTCGCGATTTCGCTAGGCCAACATTTACCGCAGTCAATGTCGGTGCAGATGGTGATGCTTCTGCTCCTGGGATCGTTAGAACCAGTCTATGCTTGATCGATCACAATATAGTTGTTCCTGTTATGTGAGTTGTGTGGCACCAATATGGCAGTGCTAGAGGTCAAATTCCTATTTATGAGGACAAAACACTGCAGATAGAGAGTGCAGCAGCACACTTCATTTTGTAGGACGACCGCATTGTGGTGTGAGCGTATGAGTGCTGTACAGGATTTTCGGTATCAATATTTTTGGTCAAGGGGCCCTTGAAAATGTCGGTATTGAGTAATAGAGTGATGCCGAATCACTATGAAATCACAATATCTATCAATTGTGGCACCGTGAGACACGGCCAGCTTTCAATTGAGTCTCCTATTTCATTTATTGCCATCTACGGTTGCATAGCTCTTTAGATATGTCTCACTCTCTCGCTCAATGTGCCATTCTTGACATGAAGCGTTACCGATTTTTATGGGCAGTGGGACGGCGTAATTAACATATGGTAGGGGAGTAACTAATTACTTCAACGAGCACCGTGGTCGTTTAGAAACATACCATCCCAAAAAGCCGACTTCAAAATGAGTGCCTCTGGCTAAGTATCTTTTTTCACACGACTCACTGAACTTGACCAGCAGTACAACAGGACGTCCTAGCAATGACTAGCGGATGTTTCCCAACATATGATAAGTACCCTATCTGTGGATGTTGTTCCAGCTTTCCAGAGGACTCAGATTAGGCACAAAAGTTCAGCTGGTCCCGCTAGGTCCTATGGTCCCCCGGCTTGCCCCCTCTTCCAGGTCTATTTCCCCAAATATGTCTCTACTGCTATTTGAGAAGCGCTACTTAGGTAAACTACCAATCAATAAACAGTCGGGGGGCGCGAGGGAAGCAGTGACCTTTGTTGGGGTGTGTGGGCATCCTCAGAAATGCCGTTGATATGTACATACTCCACACCTGCATCTGCCAAGGAATTGGGCTCCCTATTAATTAGTGAGGGGTGGAACATCCTGTACGGGCGCGACGCAAAACATCTTTCAATTGCAGACAAGAGGTTCTATCTGCACAATGCCCACTCGACTGAGCAGGGATGTTCAGACCATATTTTCCCAAGGTTTGGATAGATGGCCCAATTAAACCCTTGCAGGCGGAGGTCCTTGCCGTCGGACGTGCCTACAAATCTCGACGCCATTACAGTCACTCTTCATTATTCTATTCCTTTTGCTCAAGAGGGAGAAGTGAATGGTGCTGATATTGAAATTTGGCAGGCAACCAGTACTTTCGGAATTCAGGCTTTGCCCTCCAGGTGGAGTATCAAGGGAAAAGAAAGTCAAAATAGTTGCGTATATTTTCAAGTCTGCCGGATGTGGCCGCAACAGCCACTAAAGAAATCATGCCACAAGACAGAATGCATTTCGCTCGTGTAAATCATGTCACAGATCAGGCAAAAGATGGGCAACAAACAACACGTGATACTGTACGGCTCAGAAGGACGTCTTCGGGAACTTAATGTCGCCTATCCGGCATCGTTATGCTGATAAATGTCTCCTGCCTTCCTCTCGGTCCTCCAGCAGAAGCAGTGGATTCTTAGGTACCCTTGAGGAATGGTCATGTACACTCTATAGCAACGAGGCTGCTCGAGCCGAAAATTGACAAGATTTGTGGACGAAAATTGTCGACCGTACGCAATTGCTTGTCCTTGCAACAACACCCATTTTTGTCGACAACCTCTGGCACCGGCGGTGGGAGGTGGAGGCCCATCAGATGCCACATTTGTAATAAGTCACACCAGTAGGAGTGATTGGATGGGTACTGGAAGAAGGCAGCTGTGGCTGGTGGTAGGTGGTAGGTACGTATACCGCCACTCACTGCACAATTGATCCCCGTTAAAATGGGATTTGGCCCTATTTCGCTCTAAACGACTCGAGGGAAACTATGATTCACAACGTACGGAACGGTTGTAACGCTATTGGTCTGTCAGCCTTACCAGAGACTCAGAATCTGACTGATTGACTGACTGGCGGCGGCGCGGAGTCTGCAGTTAGTCACCACAACGTAGCTTGAAGGAGAGAGGTCTGAGCATGTCAGTGAATCCTCGTTCTGCAGTCCACTCCTGTAGAGGTGTAGGAGATAGGTAACACTATTCTCTTCACCCTACTCGCCTTTGAACTCGTAACGCTGCCGGGAGTGCCAACCGGAAGAGGGACGCTACTCCGCATTGTGGGCCCTGGGGTAACCACTGTACAACAGTCGCGGACCACCAGTGCGTGGCGCGTGTCTCCTTGGATACCGAATGTCTTCCTCACACTCTCTTTTCTGGCCGGTACTGTCTGCAGCTGTACTAGTCCCCCCTCATCTTCCTCGCCTTTATCCGTTCTGGTGCCCCGGTTACACACCACCCCCTTTTGCTCCCAGCAGCCACGGTTCAAAAGACTCTTGTGCATTGTTTCCTGACTTAAAGCTTGCGCTTCATCTCCTCGAACTTGGTGGCAATGGCCTCCTTGGACAGCTGGGTGTGAGCGAAGTGGACAAGATCGATTGCCTACCCCCTGGACTACACATTGTCAGCATGTGTGCGTAGGTGAAAACCCCACCTGGCCATCCGACACCAAGACCCTCCTTGTCATCGGGCTTGGGAATAACATGGAAGTGAACGTGGTCGACCTCCTGTGACCGAGTCAGAAACAAGACCGTACATTGAGACCTCACCTGGTGGGCAGCGCGGCCGTTGTTCTGTTATTAGCAGCAGCAAAATGTGGTTTCAACTTCCTCCCAAGTCGTCCGTTTCAAACCCAAACCTACCTGGAGAATGTTGAAGTCCTCGGCGCCCTGAGAATTAGATTGCTTTTATTCATCTATAACATAGCTCAAACTCACCGTAGCAACCGCAAGCTTCTTGCAGGTGGGCAGGATGTCCGCCATCTGGTCATCCGGGAGGTCGGTCAACTTTACAGCGTGGTCTGCGGAGACGTGTGAGAAAGGATCGTTGAACAGGGAGGGACGCACACTTGGGGATGACCAGACAGTGACCCTTCGCAATGGGGCCAATATCCATGAAGGCGAGAACCGTGTCTGTCTCAAGGAGCTTCATGCTGCCAGTGAGTGCCAGGTAACACCAAATACACATACCAAGGGATCTCGCCTGCACGAGCGGGGTTGTGTCAACCAACAGCAACAACAAACAAAACGAAAGTATCAGTTACCCTTGACGATCTTGCAGAAGAGGCAGCTGTAGGTCGTCAGGTACGTCACTGAACAGAACAGAATCTTACGAGGCGAGGGAAGACATGCTTATTCTTGTTGAGAGGATGGGAGATTGAGCAACACCGTAGAGGTGCACATTCGTTTGTGTCGTCATCGGTGTACCGTTCTGCCTGGGGCTCGAAAGCCCACCGGCCACGGGGCCACCGTACCACCGTGAGAACATGACATTAGAGATGGGTCTTTATATATACCCCCACTTACAAACCAGTCTCTGTAATCTTTCGGGCCCGTTCACCCGAAAATTCGTCGGCCGAATGGAGTCAAAACGTCATCATCGCGATGTAGATAAAGAGCAAGCAGCCTGTGACGATCAACCCCCAAGCATCCTCCCCAGACTTCTCTCTCGCAATGTCCCATAACACCTCTCTGACGAACCACAACCCTACCAACTACACCAAACATGCCAACTTTGTGTATTCTGCCAAGTACACGTCGGCTGTCCTCGATCTGCTTGATCCCCAACCGGGGGAGAGTGTGATTGATCTCGGCTGTGGCACTGGCCAAGTCACCGAGAAGATCAAGGCAGCAGTTGGTGACACTGGCATTGTCCACGGTGTCGACTCTAGTGAAGAGATGGTATGTGACAGTAAATGGACCCTATACTGACGCCAGCTTACGCACGCCCGAGAGAATAACAGCGGTGGCAGCATCTCGTTCTCCAAAGCCGACATCCAAGATTACACCACCCTTGACCCAGCACTCAAGGGCAAGTTTGACGCCGTCTTCTCCTCTGCAACGTTTCACTGGTGCAAGGCCAACCCAGGGGGTGTCGTTGACACTATCAAATGGCTTCTGAAACCAGGTGGCAGGGTTGCGTTCGAGTTTGGAGGCTTTGGCAATACGTAGGTTCAACCCGACCCAGTAGAGACGCTAACAGCAGGGTTGGCATTCGAGCTGCTCTTCACGAGGTTCTCCGTCGCCGCGGCGTGGATCCAACCGTGGTTGATCCGTGGTACTTCCCGACTGCGAAACAGTATTGCACTGTACGTAATACATGAACTCGGCAACACAAGCTGATCCCCATAGCTGCTCGAACAACACGGAATGGCACCTGGGGACGTCGACCTGTTCCCCCGTCCAACTCCCCTTCCGACCGACCTGGTTGGCTGGCTCACAACGTTTGCTCGTAAAACGTTCCTCTCGTCTTACAGCCAGAAAGACGCCGACGAAATTATGCTGGAGGTTTCCGACCTGGCTCGCCCTGACGCGTATTGGTGTTCTGCTGCACCTGGCAGTGGTGCCAAGGTTCCTCTGGCACCATCTGATGAAGAGGGGTGGGAGATTATGTACGTTCGTCTTCGCGGTACTGCCACTTCAAAGTAGTTATCGCTATGCTATCTGTTCTCAAAAACACTCCACAGGCCGCAAGGTTTCTGCGGCAACTGCACATTTGCTATGGTTAACTAAACTACTGGCCCTTGGCCTTGCGCAGTGCCTGACGAGCACCAAGGGCGCGTCCAACCTTGCTCTCATTGTTGACGCCAATGCTCTTGCAAAGCCAGTTACCCGACTCAACCAAGTTGTCGAGATCAACGCCAGTCTGGAAACCGACCTTGTGCAACGCGTAGACGACATCTTCCGTAGCAACGTTGCCTGTAGCACCGGGAGAGTAAGGGCAGCCGCCCAGACCCGCCAGCGACGAGTCCACTATGCGCAGTCCCAGAGGAAGAAGAGCCAGAATGCTCGGCAGAGCCATCGAAAAGGTGTCGTGACACTGGCTGGTTAGTATAGTGCTCCTCTAATAGCTTCTGTCACGTACGTGCGCCTGCACGATTGTCAGCCTTAGCCCACTGCACATGGAAACCCAAACGAGATACGTACCGCCAATTTCGAAACTGGAATGCCTTCGTTCAAGAGGGCCTTCCATAGGGTCCTCCAAGCTTCCGGATTCCCCTCACCCGTAGTGTCACCGAGAGAGACTTCGTAGCAACCCATGTCGAGAAGCTTGCGCGCCACATTGACGACGGACTCGGGAGCAGTAGGGCCGGCGTACGGATCAGTCATGACACACGAGACGTAGCCGCGGACGCGGTACCCCCGCGCCAAGGCTTGGTCAATGACAGGCGGCAGGCCGTTGAGGACCTTGTCGACTGTGGCATTGTTGTTCGCCATAGAGAAGGGCTTGGCGGTTAGCAGCCAGCAAAGAGCCGGGCACGCACCTCGGTGGCCGAGACAAAAACTGCGATTTCGTTTGTCAACGGCGTGTCGCGCGAGCTCTTTGCGCTGTCTTCCAGAGCGAGGAGAGATTGAAGTCCTCGCATGTTCGGGACTAGAACTGGGTAATGCACAGGGTCACCCTTGGCAGCAGGCTGGAGCGGCGGGAGCTCAGGAAGCAGCTCGGGTGTGTCTGCCATCTACACCGGGGAGGTGTGAGCACACGATGAAGCGTTGTACTCACTTGGGGCACACGATCAGGCCGAACAAAGCTTCCAACTTCAATGGTACGCAGCCCACATGCAAGGAGCCGTTCGATGAGTTGCTTCTTGATGTTGGTTGGAACAGCTGGAGGTGGGAGGTTCTGGAGACCGTCGCGCGCCGATACCTCAACTACGCTGGTGTGTTGTCAGTTGTGCTCGTTTGAACGCTAGAACATCCGGAACCTCACCACTCACCGCACAAAGTTGTCCGTCGCAGTACTAAGACCGCGCAGGTGGATACCTGCGAGTGTGCAAGGACGGAGTCGTGGGACTTCATGACGGGAACGAGCAGCCACCGACACGGACGGGCCAAGGATGCCCTGGGAAGCAATACTGGTGATGCTCCGAGCGCCGAGAGAGCGGACGACCAACATGGTGTGCAGGAAGGTACGATACAGACACAGCAATGAGATGGATGAAGAAGAAGAAGAGTGTCAAGTCGCAAAAGGGTTCGCCTGTTGGTAACTCGGAAAGCACGTCTGTCTGAATGCCGGATCCGGTGATACCGAGAGCCGAGTGCCGAGCGACAGCAAGATCCAGCGGCAAGATCCTGGCCGAGAGGGATCGGCTAAAGCCGTCGCGCCGACGTCATGCTACAGACCTACGATACATTGCACACAAATGTCTACAGGCCGTTAGCCATAGGGCCGCAGGCAAAAGGCCATAGATCCATAGATCCATACTGCCTCTAACAACTCCCTTTGCTCACATCTACCCCTTCAGTCACGGTCGGGGACGTGTAGCATTCACGGGAGGGTCAGTGGATCCGTGGGTCAGTGGGAGCTGGTCACTCGACGTTGGCAAACATGTTGTGCAGGACTGGGAGACCTTTCTGTTACATTCGGCGACGCAGGTGCCAGCCACACAACTGCAAGTGTTGCTACCCAGAAGCGCGCAAGCGCACAGAGCCGCAAATGAATATATCGATCAGGACAAGCGATATGTGGAAATGATGCATGAGCGCATGAGGATATTTTGTTGTTTCGTTGTCTAATTACGCCCAGCCCACGAAAGGTTTTGAACGAGGCGTACTCAAGACTCGAGGCTGTGAAGCTTGCTCGCAGCACCTTTTCCCCGTCGAAGCGAGATAAAACAGGCTGAGAGGGGCGAGAGACTGCCAAGCGGTAAAGTGCAGCGAGGCGTCGTCGTCTGATGCTACAAAGGAAAAAGAAGACATTCTCCAAAATCGCACCATCTAAAAGGGGGCACGAGCGTCCGTTATCGGCGACACGGCGGCATTATTGCATGTGGCGTTTTCCCTGCGCGATCGTCATGTGGAGGTCATCTAACCCCCCACCGGCCACCGGTCGCGTCATTCTCAGATTGTCGTCTTGTTCGACGTATCACACCCGCCCTCAACACAATGCGTCTCACAATCATCGCGCCTGAGAGCGTCTACGAACACGAAGTGGATCCTTCAATGGAAGTGCGCGACGTTAAAGCTCTCATTGAGGCCGAAGTAGGTCCTCATTTAGGTCCTCTTCCTCGCACATGTGCTAATCTCGCCTTCAGACTGGAGCTTCTGTGTCATCCCAGACTCTGTCAACCGATTCTGGAGTTGCCCTGATTACGGAGGACAAGACTCTGTCTAGCTACGGGCTGACAGGAACTGGTGCGACTCTGTTCTTGACGTTTAGGTTGGTCTCTTTCCTCTGCCTCACGTATGCTAACTAACCTTGGAAGGGATCCGCGCCCTGTGCCGTCGTCTTCGCAACAACCAAGTGATGGAGTATCCTTGTCCAGTGATGCCGATTTTGAAAGGATGCGTCTTCAAGCTCTCGGTGACCCAAACCTCATGAATCAACTGCGTCAAGTTTGTGAACCTTTGCAAACGCCGTCTGACACTGCAGGCCAACCCAGAGTTTGCTGCTGCCATCCAAACTGGTGGTTCAAGATTCCGGGATTTAGTTCGCCACCAGGCTCAGAATATGCGCGAGGCTTCTGCAGAGAAGGAGAGGCAAATTGAGGCAAGTACAATCTCACCGCCACCCCTTGCTGATGAGCCAGCTGTTGAATGCCGACCCGTATGACATTGAGGTTTGTATTGGACTTCCGTGTTTGTCCGTGCGCTGCTGACTGATGGCAGGCTCAGAAGAAGATTGAGGAAGCTATCCGAATGGAGGCTGTTCTCGAGAACATGCAGCACGCCATGGAGTTCTCTGTAAGGGTGACATTTTAAGGGGAGCGCTGACACTTGTAGCCAGAGTCGTTTGGTCACGTCACCATGCTGTACATCAACGTCGAAGTTAATGGTCACCCCGTCAAAGCTTTTGTCGACTCTGGTGCCCAAACTACGATCAGTAAGCCCCCCCCCCCCCCCCCCCCCCCACACACACACACACACGCACACTTGAAAACGACGTTGCTGACGTGTGCAGTTTCGCCAGAGTGTGCAGAGTCATGTGGTATCATGCGCCTCATCGACAAGCGGTTTGCTGGTGTGGCACAGGGAGTCGGCACCGCGAAGATTCTCGGCCGTATTCATTCTGCCCAGATCAAGTTGGACAAGCTCTTCCTGCCGGTTGCTTTCTCTGTTCTCGAGGGACAATCAGTGGATCTATTGTTCGGCCTGGACATGCTCAAGCGCCACCAGGCCTGCATCGACCTCTCGACCAACACTCTGCGTATCGGCGCAACTGAGATCCCGTTCTTGTCCGAGCATCAACTCCCTATCAAGGACCGTGCACCACCACATGACTCCGCTGGAGAAGCTAGTGCTTCGACTGCCCCTGTCGCGTCGTCGTCGACTGCTGGGCCATCCACATCAAGGTCCACTGCTCAGACACCGGCACCAGACAATTCTCAACGGTCTCGTGATATTGATACTGTGAGCCTGAATATATAATTAGTGAAACTAACCACCTTAGCTCGTTGGCCTTGGAGCGACACGCGATCATGCTGCTCAACTGCTCGAAGCAGCTGGAGGAAATGTTGATGTGGCAGCTTCCATGCTTTTCGGCTAGGAGCTGCGGGCGGCCTGAACGACGGGGGCCTGAACGACCACCAAGCTTTTGTATTTATCCACCATGCATGGCCATATTATGAGCTAGGGGTCACAAGGATGGGGAATCGTATAGAATTGAACTGAGATTACCTCCACGAAGCTACTCTATAGAGCACAGGTGGCACAAACGGTGAGACAAGAGGGGTGGAGAGGGTGGGGTTGATCAACCCATTGCAGCAAAACGTGCCCACTGGAATCGACGTAATACGCATAAGAATTTTGGCATCAGATCAACGGCTGGATACAAGACAGCACCGGTGAAGAAGAGGGGTGCTCCAAGGATAGGGCATAACAGAGCCAATATCGCGCGCAACACAATCGATCCCGAGCGGCCCCACACCACGACACGCATAGCACGCCTCGAAGATAACCACGTGGGCAACACCCCCTGGTATACCTGGTAGCTCCTCCATGCCATCCATATAATTTGCAGCGCAGTCATGCAGCTGAATGTGCGAGTGCGCTAAGCATACCGCGGGGTGATTTCTCGTGCTGTTTGAGGACAACGTACAGCTATTGAGCTGCACGAGCATGGTTGACAGGACGAGGTTGCAAACCCAGTGTCAGATATCCTGGCTTTCACCAATAGAAGCCATATTGTTTTGAAGTTGTGGCTGTCATTCTGCTTGATGATGCTAAAAAACAGGTGTCAGCCCCAAATATACTGGGCAAGGTATTGATTTATGCTCCAGAGATGCAAAACCGTGAGGCGCCAAAATGGTCACCAGACCAACTGAGCACAAACAGGGGGGCGCGTTGCTTTACCTGTTTTCCCTCCAATCTACAACCCATTGAGAGCTTGTGCGAGCAAATAGGTTTATAACTGTAGGTGAGTGTACGTGTATGAACTTTCTCACGTATGGAAGGAAGGGGGCCTCATAACCTCTCCTTTTTCCAAACAATACAGACCCCGTTTTCAACACCACCCTCTTAGACAGCAGCGAGGGCATCTGCGTTTGTGTAAACCATCGATGCGGAAAGGTGAGTGCATCCGCCCCACCCACGCTATTGTTTTGTTTCTGTGTATATGAAGTGCCAGGCATGACTGCGCAGTCGCCTCGCCGGTTAAATACAGGAGACTTCATTCATGAAAGCGGGTGTCATCCCAAATATATACATACAGGTCGGTAGGCTTGGGACCAGGCGCCTCCGCTTCAAACGACCACAGGGCAACAAATAGCTATCTCAGCATAGTCAACCCCAGGTCCTTCGATTGAGTGACGGTGGCGGGATAATCAACTGACAGTATTTGCAGTACAGTGAGCCATCCTCCATCAGCAGCCACCAGCATTGTCCTGATCAAGTCAGCTCAAGCTCTTCCCTTACTCACTCACCACCGAAGTTCATTCCTTCATAACCCTTGCACAGCGGTATGCCATGACTATCCCATCCGAGAATGCCGTTCATCTTTCCCGTAAGATGAGTGAAAATCGAGCGATGGGAAGGTGTCCGTAGCTCTCGCGGACAACTTTACATATGCCCATCGACGCCCCTTCAGTTCCCCCATGGGTCTCACAATATCACCACATGGAACCGCGGTACATACCACATTGTGTGAACAGAAATGTCTCTTTTGTGTCAGACACATGGGATACCACCTTGTACAATAACTAAAACAAAGCAAGACTCTTTAGCAACCGTTGGCAAAACAAACAGCGGTTGTTGCGTGTCTTCGGCCACAAAGGACAACACCTTCCTGGGGAATGAGAAACACATCAAAGGAGAGTAATCCTCACCTCCTTCGTTCCAGCGGTCCATGTTTCCTGCGCAAAGACGGTCTATATTTGATGAGAATTGATGGGCGTCGGAGTGCATTGCGTTGGTTTCTTTCCCAGCCTCCATCGTAAGAAATTGAATAATGGTTAAAATAACGACGGACCACAAAACGACCCGCAGGACACATATATAGACGCACCGCTGTCCATGCCTGATGGGGTTGGTTTCAGTTTCAAGTCATCTACGATTTCCTCACGATCTCATCAGATCACAGCCGCTTGGAGCCTCATCAAGCGTCATCAAGACTAGGGGCGCTGTGGCAAGCACATGGGCACAGCATGTTTCATTGAATGTGCCTGGTTAAGGAGAGACACCAGGTCATTGTGAGGGTTGCATTGTTACAAAGCGTCTCCTTGTGGCGTCACTGATCGCGAATCACCTGGCGCAACAACTAAGGTGGCGTCACACATGGATCTGTATACATACGGTGGGTCCCTACTGCTATCTGTACGCGTGTACACACTATGTACTATGCTACACTTTACTTAGGCCTTTCCAAGGGCTTCCTTAATCCTCAAGCAGCACTCGAGCAGCTGAAGCTCTTCGTCACCGCCTTCACACAAGGCCTTGTCACATTCGGCAATCGCAATCGCGGCATTGGCCTTGGGGATCGTGGGAATTGTCGCAAGAGGCAGGAGCGCATCGTGCAGCTGCTCAAGGACCTGGCCCGCGGACCAACCTTCACGGCCAACACGGCGCACCTCGGCACGCACCCCATCAAAGCCCGTGGCCAGGGCAGTGTTGATGCCCCCCCCGGGCTCCACACCCAGTGACCGCAAAAGGCCATCAACGACGTTGGTGGGGACGACACCAGAGATTTCATGGACTACGTGGGTGTCAGCTGGATCGTATACCGAGGGCTTACTAGACATGACTGAGATGGGAGTAGGTGAATCTCCCGCCGTGTGGAGACGCTGTGCAGTCTGCAGATAGGTGATGGCCTTGCGCAGATCACCATTGGCCAACTGGAGGATGAGGTCCAGAACCTTTGCGGTCAGCAGACTTCCAGCAAACCAAACTCACTCCGGGATCGGCCTGTACACCTTCACTGTCGGCAATCATCTGGATGCGCGCCTGCGAAGAACCCTGCGCCAGTGGACGGAAGCGGAACTTGGAGCAACGTGAGGCGAGGGGTTCGATGATGCTTCGCTGTCAGCTCGATGCTCATACACCCCGTGAACACCTACCGAGTGACATAGTTGCAAACAAGACAGAAACGTGTGATGCGCGAGTACGTCTCCATAATACGACGGAGCGCGCTCTGCGCATCCTGTGTCATAGAGTCGGCCTCATCCAGGATGATGAGCTTGTAGGGCGGACACGGATAGGTTTTGCCGTCGCTTGAGACACCGGCGTTGCGGGGCGTCTCACGAGCAAACGTCTTGATCTTTTCGCGCACCACCTTGATGCCACGCTCGTCCGAGGCATTCAGTTCGAGCACGCGCGAGCGGAAAAGGTCAGGTCTGCGGTCAGCTTCCGGAAGCCAACAAGAAGGTATTCACCCAAAGAGCTGACGGGCAAGGGCCAGAATGGTGGAGGTCTTGCCGGTGCCGGGCGGACCATAGAAAAGCATGTGAGGAAGCTTCCATTAGCCAGAGAAAATTGTACGCGTCACTCACATTGGTGCTCGCCAGAGACTTGCGCAGAACGGCAACAGTGTTGTCTTGGCTTGAGACCTCATCAATGGTTTTTGGACGGCTGGGATGGCGGGGGTCAGCTGCTGGGGCTTGCGGAGCTGCACGGAGTGCACATACTACTTCTCTACCCATGGCTGCAGACGGGGATCCTGAGGTGTGGGGGCGGTCTGGAGACGCCCAAACGTGGCCATTGTGGATGATGATGAGGATGAGGATGAGGAAGGTTGGAAGCAAGCACGCGTCACAAAGTCGCGTCAGTTGTGTTGGACTGGGCCAGGCACGGGCATTAATGTGCAGTCGGGCGGGATCAAATGTTGCCCCAGGTGACAGAGGAACTGGGTCTGGTGCGTCCAGTTCGCTCACATAGCTCTTGTTGCCCAAACCATATCCTTGCCGCCATGGAGTCCTACGTCCTCCCTCACTTGCCCCCCAACGTGCGCAACGTCCACATTGCCTACTTTGAGAACGTGGCCAATGCCCCCGAAATTCGAGCTCGTCTCGTTGCCGCGGCGACAGCTCCTGGGGCCGAGGGCGACGCCGCTCGTGCTTCGGTCGACTTTGGTTTCGTTGAAGCCAGTCTTGTGAGTCACTCGGCTTTCCGATCTTGCTCATAGCTCACTGATGAGTAGCTTGTTTCAAAGCAGCACCTTGTGAACGGAGTCCTTGCTGCCGTCTTGACCTCTTTGCCATCGGACCGTCAAACAACTCTGCCGGTCCCACCAACTCCCAAGACTCGCTCGCACAACTTGCACTCCGAGATCCTTCTTGCGCTGAGCCCTAACAACAACATCACGGATGCGATCAGGCGACACGGTGTCGGGGACGCCACCACTCGTCTCGTCGTTGTTCGGTATGCCGACAATACCCTCGCCCAAGAGGAGATTTGGGCAATGATTGCGAGCGTTGTCCGAGGTACCCTCACGAGCTTGGATGAACTCGACAATGTTAACAAGCCCGATTGGACCCGAATTGACAAGGTTGGTTCTTCCATTCATTGCCAAAGCTGACAGCGACAGGCTTATAAGCTCGGAGAGATGAACCAGCAGAAAGTTGGCGACATCATGGCACGCAAGATCGCGGCAGTGGAGAACATTGTCGCTATCAAGCATGCTACGTGAAGGGCTTTGCTTCCTTGTGTGTTTTAGACCAGCTAGGAGGTGGCCATTTACAGCGTCCTTCCATCGCGATCAGTTATATCACGTTTTTGTAGATTGTCATACCCTGCATTGCTTCATATCTCCGTCCTCGCTGGCCACGGGCCACAGTTGAGGCGTACATACTTTACACACCCTGTATCCCCGATTCGTCTACGCAACAATGCTCAGCAGACCAAACCGCTTGCCGAGTCTTGCCACTGCAATGGGGCTCTTGAACTCTGTTCCTACGCCCGCTGCACGGCCAGCGAGCGCTGGAGCGCCTAGGCGGAGCAGCGCTCCACTCCGGTCCGTCTTGGATGTAATTGGGGCGGATTGTTGTAGCTCAAGGTGCGCACTGAGCGGAGAGAGCGTAAGTTGGGTACGGCGGAGGCTCTCAAGGACGATGGTGGGTAGCGTCGTCTTGAACTCGGCGAAGGAGGGGGGAAGCTAGGGCGGTGAGCCATGCGATGATATGTTAACAACTTACGATTTGCAGCAGTGACTGCACGGCTACGTCGTTTTCAACAGTCTCGCCGTTGAGGAGTGTAAGGAAGCCGAGATCGACGGCTGCCTGGGCGGCCACATCGCCGTCTCCCCTGTGCCAGCCGACCATGGCACGCGTTGTATCCACAAACGCGGCAATCAGCTTGCGCACTACAGGTAACGACAGGCCAATTGGGATGCCCAAGTGTCGCACTGCCGACACCAGTTGGGTCAGGGCTACCATAACCTGGGGCGAGGGTGTGGAGGGGAATGGGCCTTGCCATGTCGCACGGATTTGGTCGGCGCCGCGGTGATCGGCGAAAAGCGAAACAAGACTGTCGGTAGCGCAAGTGATCGCTTGGGCCTGCCATTGGATGGTGGAGGCGGAATGCAATTCCAGGAGCGACGTTTGGGTTTTGTGCACATCGACACCTGTGGCACCGACGAGATCGGTGAGGAAGCTACTTGTGTGTGCGAGACACAAAGCAACGCGGCCAACAAAGAGTTGGGCTTCCACGCTACCTGTGGCATCTCGGTGCCCACCCACAGCCGCAAGGACATCGCCGAGAACATCCACCAATGCCTCTAGAGCATAAGAAAGCTTTCCGCGGTAGTCGTCGTACAGCGTACGAGGCAGGCCAACGAGATCGTTCTTGATATCGGAGGCCGACGTTTCCAGCACACCGAGGACAGCGTCAAGGAGCGGAGTACGGAACGACGAACGCTTCTTGAGTGTGGCAAGGAATGTGTTAAAACCAGCGTTCGTCCCTGTCATGCCCGCGGCAGACGGGAATCCAATGTCGGAAAACATGTATGCCTCTGGTTCGTTGTCCGTTCTCTCGGCGCCAGATCGAATCTTGTCCGCTGCGTCTTTGAGGGATGCTTCAGCAGATGTGACGAGGGCGTGGAGCTTTGATGTCCAAATTGCCTGGACGCGAGCACCCCACTCAGCTTCCAGGGCGGACGCAATTTGCTCCTCGAATGCGTCGTCGCCCAACATATCTGCAAGGGTTGCGCGCACCACCCAGACATCAGCTACTGAGTGAAGCCCGGCCAGCCAAGCTGGGACGGAATCGCGAAGGATCTCCACCGCTGCTGTTTGCCATGGTCCAAGCTTGTCTGCAAGGTTTGGTGGGGTGCTTGAGGCGATGAATGGTGTGAAACTAATCACCTGGCTTGGGAGATAACGCAGAAGAATTTGAGAGGAAGGAAGGGACTGGATAACTCGGCGTGTCGAGACTGGCGGGTTACTGGCGGTCGTGCTACCACGCGATGGGAGTGGTAGAGAAATGGAAGTGAGGCGGGATGCACGGCGTTGATGCGCAGCTCGCCGAATCGGGGTCGGTTGCATGGCGGGCTGAGCCTCTTCCCCCGCCTGGACGAGACGAATGGCTTCAGCCAGACTGCTCTCATCACCAATGGCCTTGCGCTTGCTAGGTTCAAATACGGCCTTGACGAGTGACACGCCATCAAGGAGGTTGCGCACAGCCTCAGCGACGACTTTGGCAATATCGTCACGGCGGTGAACTGCTTCCCGAGACGCTGCCGCGGTCTCCACGCGGGAATTGGACCGCCGGCGCCGTCCATCCGTCTTTGAACCGGGGGCATGGGCCAAGATGTCGCCGAGCGTCTTGAGGCGCTGAGACAATAGGAGGTCGAGCGCGTCGGGAAGTGGTAGGGAATCGAGGAGGATGATGGCGAGAAGCGTTTCCGAGAGCGTCTTGGCGCTGAGTCTTTCGCGCGTACGAAGTTCCGCTGTGGACCGCTGCACGATCTGAGCACGAAAAGGGACTAGGACTTCCCACTGCTTCTGCAGCAAAGGTAGATATGGCCCTTTGCCCGCCTCTGGCATGGCTGCCATGCCCTCTTTGACGACCCTTGCAACGAGCCACAGGAATGCAGCGTTCAGGAAAGCATGGCGGGCGAGGTATGCGTACAATGCCTCTGGAGCGTCCAGGAGAAACTTCATGTGCGCAGCGACTGGCAACATTGTGTTCACGTCTTCGCCGTCGGCGGTCTCCGAGCTGGTGTCCGCCATCTCGGTCGGGTTCGCACATGCAACGGCAACGGTCCGCAATCCCGAGCTCAGTCTGAGTGATGAGTTGTAAAGGGACGTAATCTGTGACGCAGACGTGAGGAGGTCGCGATAGCGGGTGCTGCGAGAGTTAGCGGCAGTAAAGGACATCGAGTTGGGCTGGGTGGGCCGGGTCTGGGAATATGCTGCCAAATGTTGAACTGGCGCAAACAAATCACGTCCCTAACCCAAATAGACAGATCATACATACCCAACCATGCTACGCAGCTCGGACTGCTTGTTTAACGCGTCGGTGCGCATCTTGCTTTCCACTCGCTTGACTTCGTTCACAGGCAGGCTTCGAAATACCTCGTCCGGTTCCATGGTAACCCAATCGCCTTCCTTGACGGCAGCTCGCCTGTGAGCTCCTCGCGACGAAATGATACCAGGAGCATTCAGCATACTGCTTGCCCGGCTGGCACTCGCGGACGCGCTGGCACTGCTGCCTTCCGAACCAGGGAGCGGACCAAGAACGTTGGGTGATAGCCCGGAACCGCGGTGCGTCGGCCCTGGGCGCAAGGAGCGGCGGGCAAGAGGCGACTCGAGGGACGCGACCGACGATACCGACGGCCGCCGAGTCGTGCGCGACGACATAGTGGTGGGTGGTGCAAGTATGGAGAGAGTTGCGGTTGTGTTCAAACAAAGGTGACGAGGTAGATCGTGGCGGCACGTCAACGTCCGAGCTGGACGATCGTGCGCGACCGTGGGAACATTGGTGCCTCGATTACGTCGATTTCATGGCATGTTGTTCCATGTTGCGCATCTGTGTCCCGTCTTGCAATTGCAATATACAGTAACAACAATGGCTATAATCGAGGAGGTTGCCGACGCGGGGGGGCGCTCTCCATCTCCACCCTCGTCGCCCTCGGCTGAATACTTACTAGTACCAGCTCCCGCGCCGCCACCGGCATTCCAACCTGTCTCGTCGCCCGACGAGCTGGCACAAGTGCTTGGTGCCCTTTCTGCCAAGCTTGCGCTTCCCGGCGACCTTCTACCCGCCTATCTGGAAGGAAACGGTAGGTTCGACCATATGTAGCTTGTCGATAGAGCTCATAACCTCAGCCGAGGACTTTTACTCGACCTATCGCTCCTCTGCAGACTCGACCCTGCGCGCCATTGTCTCCGGCACAGAGGATGTGATGTGGGCAGACCTCACTGTGGAGCAACAGGCGACTGTTCTGGACCCGGTCGTGAGACTGAAGGGAGAGGACAAGTGGACCTCATCAACGCTTGTGACCCTAGTGGATGGTAAGTAACAGTAGACCCTTGAGATATATCTAATGACAGAAATAACCTCTCGCTCCAAGCTGCCGGACGTTGCAATCGTTCTCCTGACGACCACTTTGCGGACACTGTTTGCTCCTCACCCTTCCGTCGTCAACGCTCGTGCTCTTCCTCGCCCGGCTGGTGGCGTGTCAGCCTTGGACGACTCGAGGGGGTATCAGCCGTGGAAGACCTCTTCTGCCGGCTGGGGAGCGGCAAACGCGCTCCGATGGGCGGCCTCGACGCTGAGCGACGACGACGTGTTGAAGCATTTGGGTGTCATCCTGCCGCCGACTCTCACCTTAATGGACGACTGGGAACCACGTTGGCGTGACACCGGCGCTTGGGTTCTCTCGTCGTGGGTGGGCCGGATAGACACCGACGAGCTTCGGCGCCGGGGGTTGGACACACTTTTGTTGTCCAGCTTGACACACTCGATGGGCCTACACTCTCCGCCTCTCAGCCATGTCTTGCCAACTGCCCTCATTCTTGTCCATGGTCTTAAAGGTGACAAGAAGGCGAATAATTACGGCACGATTGTCGACACCGCACTCGTCAATGGCTGGTCGTATGTGTCCTCAAACGACCGTGATGCCCTTGCCGCGATTGCCAACAACACTGTCATCATAACGCAAGAGTTGGGGACAGGGATTGTCCGCTGGATCAAGGTAAACAAGGCTCTATTTTATTCTGCTGACCCAGCAGTCTATCATTCCGGCATTACTGGAACCACTTCAATACCCCCCAACTACCGCCTCTCTGCCACATTTTGCTGCCAACCTTCGCGCCCTCTCCTGCGTCTTGACAACAATCAAGGGGAGTGGTCGTATTGCGCGTTGGCGTGGGCAGATGCTCGACGTCGGCTCACGATGTTGGTTGCAAGTCAGCGAGCGGGATTGGGACAACGACTCTCAAGGTGGGCCGTCCACCACCCTGGGATGGACCATTACTGACTCTGATAGACCTTGCAAAGGACATCTTGCAGTCGCTGAAAGTTGTGTTCAGCGAGATCGAGGCTGCCTATCCCACTGTCCGTGGAGAAGAGTTCGACCAATTGCTGAATGTCAACAAGAAAGCGTTTTCTTCTCTGGTAGCTGCCCACGTGTAGATTGACACTATGTTCCACAGGACTGCATGCATGAATTCTACTTCGTCAATGTCTCTGGTCTCTCTACACGTCGGCCCTCTTGCCAAGCGCGGGGTAGCGACAGTACTTGTCGGCAATACTCGTCACCGCATAGTCGCCAGGCGCCGAGGAACTGATGGCGTAGTGGTCGGCCCAAATGTCTGTCACAGTCTGGGTTTCGACAACACGGGAGCGACCGTTAACCCACTCCGAGCGCGTGTAGGAGAAGGTGAATGGCGCAGTACCGGTAAAGTGAACGTCGAATACCGCCGGCTGGTCACCCTCACGCAGGCTGTCAATTCCGTCCTGGATGCGGACCGAAGGCAGGGGATGCACACGACGTTCAATGGCCACTGCGCGCTGGCACTGAGCGTTACCAAAGCGGTCTTTGAGCGCGACACTCTTGATCTCAAACGTGCCAGGGCTCTCGGCGCCACGGCTGAAGCTGGCAGCACTGCTGGTGACGGTGTAAACCTTGCTGTTCCACGCGTACTCGACAATCCACGGAGCCTTGCCCTGGAGAAGGAAATCGAGAGTATCACCGACACAAAGGTCATCGTCGTGCGACACCGGGACGACCTTGGCTGTCTCAACCACATCGACAGTGGTAGAGAGAACATCGTCGTCGGCAACCACATAGTCACATCCACTAGAGTCGGACACGGACATGAGGGTCACCTCCCATCGTCCCACATCCGAGAGAACCTCGGAGGGGAGTGAGACGGACCACTCGTGTCCATGGACCTTGATCTTGTGGGGGACAACCTCTGCGGAAGCAGGACGGCGAACACCGACAGTGAGCTCGAACGGAGCAGCACCAGTGAGGCGGACCTTGGCGTCCGTGTCAAGAGGCGAGTCACGACACAGCGAGACGGTGTTGGTGCGAGCAAACGTTGCGGAAGGGCGTCCATGGACAGTGTTCTCAAGTGTGAATGAGACGGGGGTACGGTCGTAGTTGGCGTCGCGTACAGACGTGAAGCGGTAGTAGTGGGTTCCCGGTTCGGGAGACAGCTGGAGGATGCCCACATTCTGCGCGCTCTTCACTGCATGGTCTCGAGCCCCAACACCGACAAGCTCGTACTTGTAGGTGACCTCGAAGGGAGATGTGCCCGTGAATTGCACCGCGACGGCATCGTCTTCACCGGCGCACATTCCAACGTGGCGATATTGCGTACCGTCGCGCTTTACGGTGGTCGTCTCTACAAGAGATGCCGACGGCCGAGGCTTGAAATCGATAGCATACACCTTGTCGTCAACTGTACCGGGACAGTGTGTGTCGCGGACCGAAGTGAGTTGGTAGCTTCCGCGAGCAGCGAAACGGAGCTGCGAGTTGGCCTGGTGAACTTGAACCTTGTCGTGGGCCTTGCCGTTGAGCGAGTACGCGACCTCCCATGGCCCTTTACCGGTAAGGCGAAGCGGCACATCGACCGAGTCACCCTCTTTGACGACTACCGTTTCGTAGCGCGCCAGACGAGCAGTGGCACGGTGGCGGTTGATGTCGACGTCGACGACACGGCCAGGCAAGCGCTTGACGCACCCGTTCGAGTCTTCAATATGCACGAGCGCAATAGAGAGCTTGCCAGCGGCCCCCGAATCGGCTCGCAATGATTCCGGGACCGGAACTGTCAAGCGCTGTTTGCCCGACTTGACGGGAACGGTGACATTGTACGAGTCGCCACCCCATGACGTGCGGTACGTGAGCTTGAGCGGGTCATTGCCCTCGATCGCAAGATCCAGGTCGACATTGTCCCCAGAGCATGCGTACAGCGAACGTTGCGAAACGCCAGTAATGTCCACACTTGCGGGAGGGTGGACGACTTGAACAACAGGAGGCTGGTTGAGAGGCACGTCGCGGTAGTGCGCGTCCGAGAGAGCAAGGAAGCTCTGTAACGAGTCAGTATAAAACTTAGCACGCCAAAAAGCAGGCACTTACATAGCTGTACGTGCCCTCCTGCTCTGGGCGGAACTCCATCTGGCCCCCAGGCGTGTTAAAGTGTACTCTGCGTGCGGGTTTCTTGGGACTTCCTTGCCTGCCCTCGGCCAAAAGCACGGTGTACGGGGGTGCACCAGTGAACTCGAACGTCACAGTAACACCAACATCCATCGCACACTCGTGGAGTGTCGTAACACTCAACTCCACCGAAGGAACTGGTACGAGCTGGACGTTGCAGGAAGCTGGTTCGAGAATAGTACCAGGGCAACGGCCCTGCACGTCCACGAGGGAGAAGGTGCCTGGCTCATTGACTTGGAGGGAGGTATCGGTCTTGTCAACAGACATTGTGTGGGTCTTGACGGCACCAGCAGTGGACGTGAATGCGTAGGTGAGGTCCAAAGGGTAGGCGAGGGGACCGTCCACGTGCACGGGAAGCTTTGCAGTGCCGTTCACCAGCAATTGGATGGGGCGAGGGCAGGTGAACGAGACTGAGCGGTGCTCAAGGACGTGGTACTCGAGCACTGCGGACGCACTGGGAGGCGAGTAGCTGTTGCCCAGAGCGTCCACGACTGATGTGAGAGTCACAGCGACCTTTCCAGCGCGGTCGTGCGTAACACGAAGTGGGACTGTGTGGGTCTTGGAGACACGGTCGCGCTTGAGAGACTCGGCATCTTGAAGCGCGTCCTCGTCGATGCCTTCGACTACACCTTGGGCGACGACCTTTCCGTCCACACTCCTCCTCCAGCCAACCTTGAGTGGTGCAACACCACGAACTTGAAAGTTGGCCACTTCTTCGCCTCCAACGCAGCGGATCTCAGGTACGCGCTTGTGAGGAACCACGGACATCTTGCCCTTTTCTTCAGTGACAAATTCACCACCGGTGGGACATTCAATGACAACGGCCTCGCGGTGGGGGGCAACGTGGAACCGGTCACCGTGCTTGTCGGATACTGAGCTGAGGGCGATGACGGACGGCTGAGTGACGGTGATGAAGAGGAGCGACTCGGAAGTCGAGAGATCTGGTGGGATGATGGACAGGGATTCAGCTGGACGAACAGAGTGGAAGCGCGCGAGGTCGAGCTGCTTTGAGCGAGCAATGATCTCGGACAGCGATTCCTCGGGGGTGTCCTCGGTATCCTCGTCGGTGACTGGAACTTGCCACCCAACCGGGCGTTTCATGAGTGCAGCGGGAACGGTCAAGACCTCGGCATGTTGGTCGACGAGCGAACGGACGTGGTAAACCACCTGGTCAGGCGCCGAGTTGTTGAACACGACGGGAACGAAGATGGGCTCACGGGAACCAGGCGGAAGACAGTAGGTGAGTGACAGCGGGTTGAGAGTTGCTGTGCTGTATGGCAAGAGTCGGATCTTGTGGATACCTTCAATGTGTTCGGGTTCACCAAACAAAAGGCGAGAGGCAATGTGCCTCACGAGGTAAAGCCAACCCCAGAAAATACCTTCCTCGCCAAGATGAACGGGGCCTGTCACGTTGGTAAGCGGTAAACTGGCGCCAACTACGATGAGCTACTCACCAAACATGCTGACCTTGGGAACGAATGCAAGGGGCTGAGATGTTAGCAACTATTGTTGCAACTCCAACCGCCACGCCACTCCGTCCATTCAGGGCTCCACTTACCTCGGCGAGAAACCAACAGATGGTGTTCCAAACCACTAGCAATGGGACCAGGGCCACGATTCGACCTGAACTCGGGCTGAGGCCCGGAATTCTCAAGAGGGCGATGGCGGCAACTGCGGCCAGCTCACCACCAGCCCAGAGTCCGGCGGACCATGGGCCTCTGACTCGAGCTGCGCTGGACAAGGAGGCTGGTAGGTCGGCAGCAAAGTGGGGGGCCAGAACATCCCAGAGTTTCATTACCTGTTCTATTAGTTGACGAGTACGACGAAACTGAACTGTGTCTCACCTCGATCAACCCAACGGCCCAAAGTATCAACCTCCTCTGCTCATCAACGGAGAGCAGACTTGTTGGGATGACCGGTGGCGGCGCAGACGAAGCAGGTGCGTGCGTCGGCTTGATGTTGGCCGTGACACCAAGGTTGCCTGAATCAGGTGGGTCATGCGGATTCGGGGCGGCCACCATGGCTGCCATGGTATGATGGGGTTTGGTGAGTTGTTGTTCCAAGATGGTGGAAATGTTGTGACGGACGGGCCCAGTGGAACGACGGAAGCAAATTGCTAGCACTACTACGGTGAAACGCGCCCGTCCAAGTGGCAACCTACGCAACCTTTCCTGTTACACAACATTGCATAGTTACACACACGCTCACGACTCTACACCCTGCCAACTCCAAATTTGGCGACCTACGTGGTGGCCACAGCCTTCCTTGTGCGCCTTGCCTGTGCCTCCGCGACCATCCACGCGGGCACCTTCCTCACCTCGGCGGCGCGGACCCTCGCAGTCTGGAACCGTGCAGAACACACACGGGGGACGAACGGCCTGCGAGTGGGTATACATGTCGGCCTCGGCAACCGCATCCTTGTACACGTCCAGGTAGTCTCGAGCCCGCTCAGGGTGCACCTCAATGAGGCCCACAGTGGGGTCCACCCTGTCATGTTCTGCCACAGGTTCGTCGACGGTTCCGAAACGGTATAGACGAACATCGAGCGGGGGTCGAGCCTTGTCCGCCGGCAAGGCCTTGGCTTTGCCCTTGGTCTTGCCCTTGGCGTCTGTCTTGTCCTTGTCGCCACTGTTCCGAGCGTGCCACTCTTTCCACTCGTCGCTGCGTTTGACTGCGCGCTCGTACTTGTCGGCAACGTGCGCAGCCCATCCTGACAGCTTGGAAAGGCCATCACGCCAGCCGGCATGGAACTGGTCCTCCCACGTGCTGACGCGGAACGTGGAAATGAGTGGTGCTTCACCACCAATGGACATTGTCTTTAGCGAAGGTAGGGGCGGGAGAACAAAGTATGCGCGGTCTGCTGCTGGAATATCGGCCGGCGATATCGTGGTCGAAGCAGCCGCACCGCCGCGACGTGCAGGTCGATCGCGAAGTGAAATTGTACTGTGGCCAGCGCTACGATGGCCACGGCGCGAGCGAGCGAGGGCAATGTTGCGCTGCATCTCGTCGCGCATGGCTTCCTCGGCGACAGCGGCTCTTGCCGCCTCGCTACCGTCATGAGCGTTGTTTATTGCCCGCTCGCGACGCAGAGCGGCCTCGGCTTCGGCCAGGCGAGTACGTTCCGCAAGGTCCCAGGCTGCTATCGCTCGCTCGCGCTCTTTGCCTCTGTTGAGGCCTGCCGATATGCAGAGTCCACCAAGATCGCGACAAAGCTCAGTGCCCTTTTCACGAGCTGTAAAACCAAACAGATTGACGCGGTCGAGGACAAGGTGCTCTAGCCGAGTGTGGTTGCGGAGCAGAGCTGCAAGGACCGCGTCCAGGCGAACGTTGGTTGTTGACAAGTCAAGGTAACGCAGGGCGGGGAACAGGACGGGTCCATGGGGTGGGGAGACGAGAACGTTGACAATGGTTCGACTTGGGATACGCAGGCGAAGGTGGTCAATGTGTTTGGCGACAGGGGACGCGCCAAATCGAGCAAGACACTCCGTGTCAAAAAAGACAATTGGCTGCGCAAACGAAGTGGGCTTGGCGTGCTGTAGACTCGCGCCCAGGTAAGGGAACGGTCCTTGACGGGTGTACCCCTTGGCCTCGAGTGTCTCGGTTTCATCAACCGATGAAGGTGGTGTGGACGAATCGCCTTCCTCAGAGTCGGAGGCATCTCCATCGGCCTCGGCTGCAGCAATGGCAGCCGCTGTAGCCAGTGGCGACGGTCCCGGAACACTGGTGCTGTCCAATCGCAAGTCGGTCATGCTGCCGGTGAGACTGGCCACGACGCTGTGGTCGCGCGTGGGCGGCGCAGTCTTGCGAGGTGGTACATCTTGCACGATGCTGAGTTTTGTAAACTCGGGAGTTTCTGGCCAGAGGCGGTAGAGGGTAGTGATTGCCGTGTCGAAATAGGAACCTTTCAAAAACTGGTAATAGGTAGCCTGTTCCACATACGGCCTGAACCGCATCTCGATGCGCTGCACGTCGCGGGGCTTCTCAAACAGCTCGGTCAAGTGCTCGGGTGCAAAGTTGGTACCCATGTTGAGAAGAATGGTTTGCAGGCGAGGAAGGCACCGAAGAACGCTGTGGCCGTCAGCAGCGTGTACTCGTTGAACCGAGCCCTTTGCTTGGGTGAGATGCGGGAAGAGCGCATCGAAGCAACGCCAGCCGCCACCGCGGGGCGCAGCACTGTCAGCTGGTACAGAAGGTTGGGAGCGCCCTTGGGCGGCGACCTACACCCCCCAACCGCCTCCCGCCTTTTGGGTCGGATCGACTTGCCGCCCGCGGCTCGTAGCCCCCAGTCCCGGTGTCTGTGGGGGAAGGTCGACTCACTTGTTGAGGATGTCGGCATCACCACGCCATGATTCCTTGTGTTCGTCAGCGTCCGAGGTCGTTGCAGGGCCCCTGCGTGAAATACTTACCTGACTAAACGTCCTCGCGAGTTCACACCCGCCACTCCGCCCTTTCTTCTTCTCGAGCATCAACTTCTTCCATAGGGGCATGAGCTGGGGCCCGCGGTTGACCACGACGTGCTTCCAGATTGCGCGCTGGGAGGGAGAGTGGCCAGTGGCGATGGCGAGCGACAGGGCGGTGCGCGTGCGATGCTCGGGTTCAACATGGCTGAGGACCAGGTCTAAGAGCTCGGGTGGAAGGTTGGAGAGGGACGCTGCGGGGTCGAGGTCACCGTGGTCATCGTGACCAAGCGGCGTGGTGCTGTTACTGGGGTTGAGCGAACCGGGGTGGTCGAGACGAGGGACGACGGTGAGCGTTGCGGCATTGTCCCCCGTCGCTGTGGATTCTTGTGCTGCCCTTGTGGCCGTGGCGAGGTTCCTGTGGGCTGCAGGATCCTCGCGGCCTGGAGTGCTCATATTGTTGTGATGAATGTGGTGTGGGGTTGAGTGCGGGGGTGGAAGCGTGCGAATTTGACAGCAAACAGCGCGTCCAGAGCGCCAGAGCGGGCAGCGGGTGGCGCGGTCGTCGAGGAGGCGGACGAGGCCGACAGTGCGTACAGTGCTGCAATGGTACGGCTGCCGCGGTAACGCCGCCCTTGTGAAAAGGGGGTCGCACGCGGGAGCAGACGCAGCACGTGAAACGGACATGACACGCAACTCCGCGCAAACGCCCTCTCCCAGGCTCATCACGAACTACAGTTCTGCCTGATCACTTCATTCGTCGTTGCCAGGGCCGTCGTTGCCTCCAAATTCGTTTACCACGCCGGCAAATTGCAGTCGCAAGTGAGAAACTGGCTTGTTTATTTTATTTTTTTATATCCAGGAAAATGCATGCAGGGTGCGTATGGTATGCGAGGGAGGGGCGCCGAATACACGGGACAGAGAAACCGTGGACCGACATATGCTATGCAAGGGAGGGGCACCTGGCCCAGAGACTGGTGGTGGAAAAACAGTCGAGAATAACTCGCACAGTTTTAAAGGTTGAGGGAGTGTTAAAGGTTGAGGGTGCACTCGCGGTGAAGCGCGAGGGAGGCTGCCTTCCAAGGCGCACCTGGAAGAAAGTCCAAGGCAGAGCCGTCGGGAGAGGCGAGGCCAGAGCAGTCACCGTCAGAGTCCGCGGACGTGAGTGACGGTGTGGCGACAGTGTCGCTCTCAGTGCTCGACTCGCGGAGACGAACAAAGAGGTCGGGGACGCAGGGTGACGACGGCGCCTCTTCGCCGTCCTCGTCCTCGTCGGCCGGGGTAGCCGAGCCACCGACACGCGGGGTGCTGACTCCGTCGTCGTCGCAGCTGACAGAGCGGAGGAGGTCGGCGAGGGTGGATGAAAGGGAGCGGTAGCCCTCAAACTGGGGACCGTCGCTTTCCAAACCACGCATGCTGGCGAACATCATGCGGCGGCGAGCAAAGCACTCGGACCATTCGTCGCCACCGTCCTCTTCCTCCCTTTCAGAGTCAGAGTCTTCGGGGGTGGCGAACGGAGAGCGTGGGAGGACTATGTCATCTTCCGACTCGCACTCTTCCAGCGGTTCTTCCTCCTCAACCTTGTCGATGTAGAGGGTCGAGAGGCAGCGAGATCCACGGGCAGGCAGCACGCAGGCACGCTCCTCTTCGGAAGGCGGGGCGAGTGGAGTACGGTCGTACTCGGTAGCAGAGTAGGTGGCAAAGTAAGATGTGACGGCACACCCGTCATAGTCGCCTTGCCAGCGAACGCATTTGCGCTTGTACCAGCCGTTGCTGCTGGTGCTCTCGGTGCAGACGGAGGAGACGCTAGAGGCAGAGGGCGAACGCGACGAGCCCAGAGCCATGCGATGCGACTCGGCGGGGCTCGTGGAACGGGAGTGGCGCGAGGGCGAGAGGCATGGGCGCAGCTTCTTGGCTGGCTGGGGGGTGGGAGAGAGGGTGAGGAGGTGGGTGGACATTGTGAACGAGACAAGGTTGTCTGAGGGGTGGTTGGGTTAAGAGTCGCCGTTGGGAGTAAACCCGGTGGTGGTTTGGTAGTCCTAGACGGGGAGGGGTTGAACACCCGACGAAACAGTCGAGAGCTTGTTGTCGACAAGAGTCGACGGCGTCTAGTAGCAGATGCGCATGGCAAAGGACTAGGTAGAAAGAGGTAGGGGGGTTCTAAAGAGAAGCCTGGAGCGGTGAGCGACGAGGAGGACAAGGAGAGCGGCAGGTCTGACGTACTTTGCAGGAGATCGCGCTCCAAGGAAGCTGCAAGGGGAGGGAGGAGGCGGCGCGAGGTGCGGGCCGGTGCGTGACAGAGGGATTGTCGATGGGGGGGCGGGTATGCACACTACTGAGGTGATGCAAGTCGAGGGTCACGATACGCGTTGGGCGGCGAGGACGATGGGATTGGGGGGGAGGACGGGCAGTGTTGGTCCCAGAGGAAGCAAGGAACAGAGCAGTGTTGTTGCTGGGATGGGTGGGTGGCAGTTGCCAGTTGCGCGATGGCCTGGGAGTGGTGTGTGGAAGAGTGGTGAGTGTGTGGTGGGGCTTGTGGTGGTGGTGGTGTATAAGAGGGTCCTGCGGCCAGAGTGGCGACTAGACGACGCGAGGCCGAATGCCTTGCCAGCTGGGGACGTTTAAGAGGAGGGATTGGGTTGTGGGAGAGAGAGGAAGATGAGGATGAAATGAGATGGAGGACGGGGGGGGAGGCAGCCCGGGGGGGGGGGGGGCATGGGGGGTGTTCGGTCGGGAGGGCACGCTCTGGCGCCGGGGGGTGTGTCTGTCTCGCTCTGTGTCTGCAGCCAGCAGCCAGTCAGTTGCCATCCAATGTGTCTCTCCGCCCGTGGCTCTGCTCGGAGGCCTGCACGCAGGCCCCCCCTCAGTGCCCCCTTGCCCCCCTGGAAGCGGCCGCCTCCCCTCCGCCGCCCCTGCGCCATCAGTTGGCGGCCCCAGTTTGGCCTTTCGTCTGAACGACCGCCCACCGACAGAAAAAGCTTCCGCGCGCGCCTCTGCGGTGGTGTGTGTCGTCGTGAGAGAGAGAGTGCCAAAACGCCGGGTGGGTGTGTGTGTCGCCGTTTCGTGCGCCATTGGACAGTTTTAATTCGCGCTTTTCGTGGGTGTGACGCCGTACGCTGTACGCTGTACGTACGCTGTGTCTGCGGTCTCTCTCAGTAGACACACTCACACACACGTACGCTGCGAGCAAACTCTGCTCTGACGCTTTATGGCCTCGTCAGCAACCCAACATGGGCGACCCGACAGGCAGGCGCTGCATGCATGCATGCTCTCTTTCGCTCACACAGGTTCTCGCTTCCGGTAACTCGCCACCATAGCAACCTTCGCGCGCCGTATGCATGGTGCACACGCACACCTCTCGCCTTGCTTCCCACCGCACCCCAAAGGCCCATATGTACACTCCCGAAAACCGGACCCGTGCGCGGCCGTGCAGGGGTAGGGGTGTGCCCGTGGCTCGTGGCCCGTGGTGGCAAAACCATCCCTTGCCCCCCCCGGCCCCCCCCCCCCCCCCCCCCCCCTCTTTGCACGACCCAATTCACGCTCCTCTGAACTCATGAGCCCCCTCACCCGGCACCCCGGCGCCGCGCACACGAAACACCACAACGACAACAACCAACACATGTGCATTGAATCTTCGACCCGTCAGGCAGCACACTGGGTTTCATCTGCCACAGGAGCATGACGAGCACTGATCGCACTAACGCACAAAGGTGCAGGGTTATGCACCAAAGGGGCAAGCCACCAAAAGTGGCGCTCAGCCTGCGCGTACTGGTGTCAACAAGAGAAGCAAAACGACGTCACACATGGCCTGTTGGAGAGGCCATGTCCGTGCTCGTGTCTGTGCAATGTTCCGACTGCCAGTCTCCAGACGTGCGTGTCAGCTGTTCTGGTGACCCCCTCTCTGTGTACCTCCCACGGGTCCCCAGTTCCATCACAACAGGCCAGAGCTCGTCCCGCAGAGGTAACTGGCAACGAAGCCAACTGTCGAAAGCGAGTCTCTGGAAACCAGCTCTTCCGAGCTCCTCCACACTCGGCACCGCCGAGAGTCGGAACAGCCGTCGATCGAGAAAAGCAGGTGGCGGGGCGAGCTTCACGTGAGAGGCCTCTCCGAGGCACAAGACAGAGTTTGACGCAAAGGCTACGGGCGGCGAGTAGACTGCCAATTTGAGGTATTCTTTGGGGCCGACTTGGCGCCGATCGTGGTGGTCCCCGCAAAACTCCGGTTTCCGAGCTGCGCAACTGTGCAACTGTGCAACTGTCGTCATCGGCAATGGCGGCTTCTCGCAACAATGAACGGTTCTGCTCCAGCCGAGTTGTCTTACCCCGCGTCATGTAGACCCAGTCGGCCGTCTTGGGATCTCGGAGCCGGTCGCCCGTGGGGCCACGACATCTGAGATCGCCAGACACACACAATTGTCGCTGGCACACAAGCATGCGCATCCAAGTATTATTGATAGCTTTTCTGCGCAGTCTCGGTTGCTCCTCCTGAAAGGCCCCATGATCCAAGGTGTTTCGAAGGGAGCACCCGAGCGAGCGTGGGGAAAGGGGGGGGCACCGCCAAACAAACCAGGCACTCACCGTTCTAGTGTCATGCCCCGCGAAGTTGTGGCGGTCGCCGAATGTGCTGCACTCTGGCACGTATTGTGCGTGACCTTGGAGGCCGCCTTTGGATCGTGGCGCACTGAGCCTTCTACAGCTGAACCCGATAGCACCGATACCCCGCGTTTCGGGGAGATGGGGAGATGTGCTGACGTGCTCCGCGAGGACCTTGCGGTTTCCGTCCGTCAAGCCCAATCCACACGCATGTACAAGGTTGCGAGCCGCCTGTCGACCCCAGTGTACTGGCGCTTCTCAGTGCACATGGTGGTGGCTATCGAGACTATCCCGACCCGAAAACGCTGTCCCGACAGATCGAACCTGCGAAGGAAGTTGCAGTCCAAGCCACCGCCACGACACGGCCGCTTGCACCGCAGCGCCGCCGACAACCACTTCTTGGGCCCCGGGGACTCTCTGCCAAGCACACACGCTGCGTTGAACCCAGCCACCGAGTCGCACTATCAACCTAATAGGGTGTGGCACACGCACTGCTTTGCGGAGAAAGGGGCAACGTTGATAAGAACTGCTAGGGTGAAAGCTTGTTGTGCGGTTGTTGCCGAACCAACCGAGAGCAACTCGTCAGGTGGCGGAACGGGGTGGCGTGTGAGCTCGAGAAGGGCAGGTCGGTTGCACCGTAGACGGGGAAGTGGACGGGAAGGTGAGAAGGCAAGAACGGACTGGGGTACCAGCAGTTGGCCGCACTGGGGACTCGGCAGGTCGCTGCGTAAAGCTTATGAGTTGGAGGCCAGTACCCCTGACCACCAGAGCTCTGTCAGCCACTTTGGACCGTCCACGTTCTTTGTCTGCAGGCAGCAAGGTGCGACTCACCAAAGTGACTGCCAAGCGTTTCCCTAATCAAAATGCCACAACTCGCACGCCCACTCAGGTCTTGGCTCCCAGTTCCCGTCAACGACCCCAATTTGTGAGGCAGTGTCCACTGCATGGTCCCTTCATTAACACTCACGTTCCTCCTTTTACGGTACAGCAGAGCGGTACCTGTTACCGTTTTTGTACCGTTTCCGGACCTGGTTAACTGGTAGCAACTGATCAACTGACAACCACACACATGCGAACGATTATCCAGTTGGCGTGCGGGTCGGGAAGATTCCAAAACGGTGCGCACCCCATCTTCAACATCGTATGCAGTGACCTCCATCCACTGAGAAGGATAAATGAGGACACCGTTGCGGTGGAGTGACGACCAAAGGCAACAAATCAGGCAACGATCACAAGACACCGCGCCAAACCTCATCCACATCCAGTGGCCATTTAAATGTCTAAAATATGACTGAATCATTCACATCACTCTATGTGATGTACTTCAATCACACGAAGTAGGTTGACAGCTGCACCGAGCAGCATGGTACGCTTCGTGTAAAGTGGCAGAATCGTTTGTCGTTCAATGTACCCGGTGGTGATGATATGACGTAAAGGGCGGAACCAGTTTTCGGCAATCTATCCCTGGTGCCCCGCGTTTCCGCTGACCAAGATGAACGCGCAACGCCCTTGCCATCAGGTTGCTTCTGTGCGCCTTTGGGATGACTCGACCACGCTCATCTTCTCTCCACTCACTCACCAAATGACCAACGATTCACTTCATACGGCCGTTCAGGTCCTCTTCAACGAGGCGCTCGTGAGGGACGGTCGCGAACCCCGTACGCTTCCACAGGACATCAACAAACGACCACTGCTTGACAGACTCCTTTGTCTTCGTCAACCTCTTCCCTTCGCCCCCGGTGTCCTCGAGCAGATTGAAGAGATCCTACGCTCTGAACATCATGAGAACATTTCACTCAATGATGTACCCGCCTACTCAGTTAATGACACGCAGTCGATCTCTCTCTACCGCGGCGACCTCACTTTGATCACTGACGACCTCCTCCTCGTCAACCCGGCAAACACGAAGATGCTGGGCTGCTTTGTTCCTACACACAAGTGCCTCGATAACATTATCCATTCCCGTGCTGGCCCTCAAGTGCGTGCCGAGTGTGCCGCTATCCTCCAAGACCGCGGCGTGGACGAAGTCGATACGGCCGTACCCTTGTTGACCGGCGCTGGCGTGCTCGACGTCCGCGGTATCGTACACGTGGCTGGCCCTGCTTTAGAGCGTAGACGCCCTCCAACGTCTCAAGAGAGGCAGTCGTTGTGGGACACATATACCAACTCGCTGAACGTTGCCGCAAAGGTGGGTTGAACTTGAGAGAGTACTGAGCAGAAGAGGGAACTCGTTAACGCTAACCGTTGCAGTCTGGCGCCACCGCCGTTGCTTTCCCTTGCATCTCCACTGGTATCTTTGCCTTTCCTGTCGACGACGCGGCGAACATTGCCCTCGACGCTGCCGCTGCTTGGTTCTCGCGCAACTCGGCTCCCATGCGCGTCATCTTCGTCCTTTGGACGGACCAAGACGAGAAATCCTACGCCTCCGCTGTCGAAAGAGTGTTCCCGAGTCTTGCACCTGTTCCCGTGTTTCGCCCTCTTCCAGCGCGTGCACTCAAGTGGATCAAGGAGGCCCAGACTGTTATTGTCCACGCCGGTGCGGGAATGAGCGTGGACGCCGTGGGCAAACTTGGTCTTGGACTGGACTACACTTCGACCGAACTGTTTGAGCGACTCTATCCCAGCCTGGAAGACGACGAGGACCTCACAAGGCTGTACGAGACTATTGGCCACGAGTGGGAAGACGAACTCGTCAAGTGGGGGTTCATCTTCTCGCACGCTCACAACGTCCTCAACTGGGGAAAGACTCCAGTCTACGCCAACCTGGAGAGCGTCATTGGCGACCGCCCATACACTATCATGACGTCAAATGCCGACCAGCTTTTCGTTCAATCCGGCTTTGATCCCAACCACGTGTTCACTCGTCAAGGCAACTATGCCCGTTTCCAATGCCTGAAGCCTTGCTCGCAAGAATCGTACTTTGACGCAGCTCCCTGGGTCGACCGCGCAATGCCACACCTGGACCCCCTGGATCTTTATGTTCCGGAGGAGCTCCAATCCGACCTGATTCCAGTTTGCCCCAAATGTGGTGGTGAGGTCTTCTTCAACGTCCGTGGTGGCGACTGGTTCCTCGAAAAGCCCTACCACGACGCCGAGAAACGCTACTCTGCGGACGTGGGCCGTTTTGTTGAAGAAGCCAAAAAGGAAGGCGGAACTGTTGTCATCCTGGAGATTGGAGCAGGCTTCAACACCCCGAGCGTCGTTCGCTGGCCTAGTGAGCGCCTCGTCCTCGAGCACGGCGGTGTGGTCAAGCTTGTGAGAGTCAACGTAGACCACCCAGAGTTTGCCCAACCTCTTCCCCCTGACAGTGCTGTGGGTGTACGTGTCAGCGGTGGTGACTTTCTCCGCGCTGTTCTCCACGAGTGAAGCGGGGAGGGATTAGGCTACGAGAGCCCGGTTGTAGATAGATTAAGCGAAGTGTTCAACAGTCGCTTGTAGAATTAACAGCTCGCGTCGTGAGTATGGCCCTCTAGAGGGTACATATTATGCAAAAATCTCTTTCACCTTTATACTACCTCCAATGCGCTCATATGCGATTTAGTCGCTTCTTTTGTCCACGCTCCTTCCGAGCGCCAACGGGGCGGAACACAGTTTGGCAGGTAGCCGCTGTGTGTCTGTAGATAGCAGTCATGGTACCGAGGCCCGAGCTACGTTACGTGGCGGGTGAGTTTTGAATTCTGTGCCCATTGGGCATTGGTGTGTGTGCCCAATCATCCAATTTCCACTCACACATGGTCGCTAGATGACCGCCCCATGAGAAACCAGTGCCCCTTCTAAGCCTCACCTTTTTTGCACAAATCAGACATCAGAAGAGTGATCATATCGCAAGAAACCCCGCCGCATCCTGCGCCTGTGTATTGTGTGTCAGAGATCAGAACCGACCTTCAGATCGTGAGAAACCATAGTCTCTGCCCGGCTCCCCTCTCGGAACTTGCCGCCTCGCCCCCGTTTGGTGCACATAAAAGCACTCTTCCCTAACCTGTGCCTCCTCCTTTCGGTACTCCCACACACCACCAACAATGTCGCTTCATAAGCCCCACGGGATACCCCATGTTTTCTTTTGCAGTGAGCTGCGGACCGACATAGAGCGACTAGAGAGGGATTGCGGATCACATTCGTTTTCTAACGAGAGAGTGTCGTGTGTGTGTGTGTGTGTGTGTGTGGTGTGCGGTGTGTGTTGTTGCGAGCGGCCCGTGGTGTTTTTGTGCATTTGTATGCGTCCGATTTCGCTTAGCACGAAGACGCCCACGAGAAACCAGTGCTCATATTCCCCTGGGCTCTGAGCGTTATTTTGCCCCGTTTGTGTTTGTGTGTTCCACAACAGAACCATACAATCAAACATCAGAACAGTGAAGGTCACCAGATCTCGTGAGAGACTGCCCCTCTTCACGCCCCCTTTTACTTGCCGCCTCGTCGCCCTTTTCTACGTGCATAAAAGCACTCGTCCTCTCCCCAAAACATTCCTCTCCCCACCAACCTTTCACCACACCACACATCATCAACCATGTCGCTTGTGCCCATTGGGATAGCCAACCCGGCAGCCAACGGAATTGTAAATGGCAAACGTCAATTGAGCCCAGCTAATGATCCAGGAAATCGGCAGAGCAATGGGCCAGTACTGGGGGGTTGCTTATCGGTTCGGCAACAAGGCCGCCCTGTTTGGCGGCATCGTTGGCGACCTAGTCGACGACAATGGTACACTGCTGTGGAAGATTACGAGCGCCGTCCAGAGCCGTCAAATCCCCTCAAAGCTCGACGAAGAAGTCTATGCAGTTAACCAGGCTCACTTTTTTGTGTTGTTCGAGTGGGAAGAGCAGTTTGTGAGTATTGCCGGGATCCTCATTGACCAGCTTTTGACTCACTGTTTGCAGTTCTGGCCAGCCTACGACTACAAGCCAGGTCACCACGATGACTAGGGGAGGACGCAAGAACCAGCCGCCGACGGTAAAGCGACGTGTAATTAGGATTTTGGTAATGGCAGGTTGGTGACAAGACATCCACTATCCCACGTACCCCACGTACCCCACCTGGCAGCGTGAGTAGGCCGGGCCTGAGCGGCCTGATCGATGATAGTCGATGATCGCGACTGACCCGATAGGCTCGCCAAGTTCTTCTACCCACGCCGGCCTCATCATCTTCTGGTGACAAGCGGCGACGACCTGATGTGAGTGCAAGAGTGGATGTCACCGGCGCACTCATCGGCTGACCTTGCAGTCTGAGCGCCAGTCGCCGCCAATGTCGAAGCGCCAGCGAGAGTGGGTCGCCTCGCTGCCCCCAGTGGTGGGAGCGGTGGCCCTCTCTGCGCACGAGGTCGAGGAGGAGACCATGAACGGGAGCGCTAGGTCAGTTATAGCTGTGTACCTGTGTCTGAATCGTCGCAGTAGCTGACGCCACCATTAGTGCACCGTTTCCAGTTGAACACCGTAGTCGGCAGGAGCAGGAGCATCAGCAACAACAGCCAGTCCAGTCCCCGCGCTTGCGCCCGGTCACCCCCAAGCCTCAACACCTCCCGGAGGCTCCCGAGCAACACGGTCAAGTCCAGCCACCTCAAAACCAGGAGCCGCAGCATGAGTCGGAGGATAAGCGTGACGGCTCGTCCTCTGCCGAACCTCAGCACCTTCAGACGCCAGCGACACAGCACGAGCTCAACGGGGAACAGCAGAAGCAGCAGCAGCAGCAGACCCAGCACCTGCGCGAGGGTTCGTCCACCCCAAAGGCGCCGCGCCGCCAAGAGTGTCCTGCCGACCACGAGGACAACGGCGTCGGAGCCGTTCCAGAGCGCAGCGGCTCGACGACGCCCCAGCCGCAGCCGCAGCCCGACACCACCACCACCACTGAGGTCGAGGCGCTGAGAAAGGCGCATGCCGACGCCGTAGCCCAATGGGACCGTGAACGCACAGCGCTCGTCGGCGAACGCGACAAACTCGCTGCGGACCTCGCTGCGGCTCGGCTTCTGGCAGAGCAAGTTTTGCAGCGCAACTCGAAGGAGATCGCCGACTGCATCAAAGACAAGGAACTGGCACAGGCGGCGGCGTGCGACGCGAGGATGGCAAAGGCCGCTGCCGAGGACGTCCTGGCCGCCAAAATGTCCCGCGAAAGCTACATGGACAACACGCGTGCCCACTTTATGGAGCATATCGAGCGTAACAAGCTGGAGTTGGGCAACGTCCGCGCGATGCTGGAGGTCAGCGACCAAGCCCTCAAAGACGCATACATTGAAATCGATGGTCTTCAAGCCCGACTGAAATCATCAATGGATGCTCCAGTGCCAACGACTGTGTCGCCCGCGTCCAAAGAGGCATTGGAGGGCGCCAATGCTGCGCGCGACGCCGCGCTCGCTGGCCGAGTCCATGATGCCGACAAGCACGCGCACGATATGGAACACCTACAAGCAGAGCTCGCCCGCCTCACGACGGTGTCGGCCAACAAGGAGAGTGGCGGAGCGTGACCGACACCAACCCGGGGCCGACATGAAGACGGACAGCACGAAGACGGACAGGACGGACAAACAGAAGGGCAGCGCCCAAGTCGTTAATAACGCTTCTTGCGATACGACAATCATGTGTTGTGATATAGATGACATGTACATGGTCAACTTGTAGCATTTGCGAGACGTTTATCACCCACATCGCCAACCTCGGGTCCCTTCTTTCACGATGGCATGTTACTGACCGGCCATGCTACGACCCAGACGGTACAGCCTCGGGCTCTTGATAGTCTCCATTTCTCTCCTCCCACGCAGAGAGCTCTTTCTCGTACTTGGCCAGTTGAGCTTCCCACTTCTCCTTCATCTCCTGCTCAGTGGGCAGCATGGGGGCGACTGTGTCTTTATGGATTTGAAGGGCGAGTTCCACCCTACATAGCCTGCCAGTCTGCAGAAGTGGCTAGGCGAATGACAGACGCATCACCACGCTTCTTGGTCGCCACCATGGCAAGGTCGCGCAGTAGCTTGTCCAGAGGGATGTTGGCAACACACGACGACGCCGCCCGGTACACAGGGTGGGCTGTCCGGTCGCACCACAGCGTCGGGAACAGAAGCGGACGCTCGCGCTCTTCTGCCCAATACATGTCCGAAACCGTCTCGTGGCCACAGTCACAAATGGAGCGGTACACTGAGCCCTCGACAAAGAGGGGGATGGTGGAGCGGTTGGCGGCGAGATGTTTGTCGACGAGGCGAGGCGGCTGTTCCGGCTTTGGGTCGTCGTTGGGGTCGGCGAGAAGTGGGTAGTCGTCCCAGCCCCCCATGGGCGTCGTGGAGGTTGCCGCCACGCTTGGCCTTTCGCATCTCCCTCACGAAGCGCAGGCGGCACACACACATGTGCTGGCCCTCCTGACCCTTTCTTGTCCGAAGGCGATGTATCATCAGCCAAGAAGAACGATAACCTCGCCTCAGAGTCCCAAGATCCGCCCGGCGCCTGCCAGGCGCCAACATTGCAGAAGGGTGTGGCGGGTGTTTCGAGTCGTCTGTCTCTAGACGGTCAAACTGGTCTGCCACTCTTTGCTAAAGAGTCCGGACACCTGCGATCGAAGAACAGTACGTGCATACTGTCCATGGTGACTTCTAGCAACATCCTCACTTCTATCAAGTCGAGGATACTCGCCGCACAAAATGTTTTCGATAGTGAACGGGTCTGTTTGCGGTCGGAGGCACCCCCTGCCGGAAAAGCAGCTCATTGAGCTTTCATGGTTGCCTGCAAAAGAAAACATGTACTGTTCATGACGCAACAACCTTGGTGGCACCTCACACACACACACACACACACACACACACACACATCTTACAACGTCGCCCAGGGCTGTGCACTTGTTTGACCGCGATTTGGTGGTGGTGGACGAGCGGCTCCGTCGCCTTTGGGGGCCCAATCTATATCCCCACTGTCCCCTTCTCGCGTCGCTGCCCCACGGGCGGATCGTAGCCTCGTTTCTCAGATGCGAGGAAAGTACTCTGGCGCCAGCTGGTCGTAGACGTCCTCGTCCCTTTCCGAAAACACGACATAGATGACCCGGGACACCTGATTTTGTTAGCAAATTGGCAGTTGGAGGGTGAAGTGTGTGAAAGAAACAGCCCCCTTTCTCTCCCTTATGGGCGGCTACGGGCGGCCTCGTAACCTTACATTCTCGTTGCTCTCAAGAAACCTGCGTGTTGTCTCGAGCGCGATACGTGTGGCATCTTCGATAGGGTAGCCGTCTGTGGGGTAGGTCAGTGGGTGGGGGAGGTACACTGATGACAAGCTTACAAATGCCAGTGCTAATGCTCGAGAAACCAATGCTGCCACCGCCGTGCTTGGCACAGAGCTCAAGGCTCGTGCGGTAGCAGCTGTGCAGCTGTTCAGCGCACTGCTCGACGCGAGACGAAGAGTAGATTGGGCCAACGGTATGGGCGACACGCTTGGCAGGGAGCTGGATCGCGTTAGTGAATGGTCTCCTCCAAGCTTCAACCACACTCACATTGTAACCGCTCGTCACCTTGGTCTCGCCCGTCTCGGCACCGTTGAGGGTCAGGCATTCTGCGAACAAGCTTGGGCCAGCACCGCGGTGGATGGCTCCGTCGACACCACCGCCGCCGAGGAGAGACTTGTTGGCCGCATTGACTATCATGTCGGCCTGCAACAAGTCAGCACTATAAAGTGGAAGGGTTTGTGATCGAGTTGAAGCATCACACAGCGGTAGGTTTGCAGAGGTAATGTGTAGATGGAGCACAAGCCGGGGGGTTACGTGAATAGGGGCTCGTAGCGATCGTAGCCATTGTCCCCCGCCCCATAGGACTCACGTTGAGCTTGGTAATGTCACCTATGGACGTCAGCATTCCTCCTTTCCCCGCACAGGAGGCTCATAGCCTGCTGCCAAACACCAAACACACCTCTCCAGATGGTCACACGTTCGGCGAGGGCCGCATCCGCCTTGAACTTTGATGGCTCCTTGGAGTCGTGGAGCTTTCTGTCGGCATACTGCTGAGCAATTGTGGGAAGGTCGGAAACTAGAGTGGCCATTCTGGTGTGAGGTATGAACAAAGAATACGGTCGAGAGAAGAATGGGCGAATGGGCATATGTGCACGAAGACAAGAAAGACAAAAAGCAGAATCCCCCCCCCCCCTACGTCACCACCACCCACACCCAATCTTCCCCATCTTCCAGCCTCCACCTGGGTGGTGCCTGGCCAGTGCGCTCAAGCTCACTTGCCGCATCTGTCCATCCTCCCTCCTCCATCCCTCCATCCATCTTCCTTCCACCCACTCTCCCTCTCTCTCTCGCCCCACCCTCTCCTACTCTCTGGCAGCATGACGGGGTCTCACACCCTCGCCCCGCTGCTTCCAGGTGTCCGCGCCCGCATCACTGCCCTCCACCAGGCAGACGGTCGCCTGTACGCCGGCTGCGTCGATGGAAGTGTCCGAGTGTACGCTCTCGACACCTCGGCCCAGTCCATCGAGGGCCGCCAGGACGAGCATGCTCCTCCAGAGCTGCTCGAGACATACCAGTTTGGACGCCGCGAAATTCACCAGATTGGCGTTCTCTCCGAATCCAAGCAGCTCGTCATCTTGAGTGGTAAGCACAGACACACACTACCCCTTTGATGATGTGTCGCTGAACCCTTTCAAAGACTCGGTTGTAACACTGTACAACTTGACCAACCCCACTGCCAAAGGGTCTAGCACTGTTCTCTCGCAAGCTCGTACAGCACACGCATTTGCGATTACAACCTACTTTGCGCCAGCATCGCCTGCCGAGGATGGCGTCCCCAAAGAAGGCCCGGCACCGAGCGGCTCGAGCTCTCCCACCAAGGTCGCTCGCGACTTGCTGGTTGTTGGCTGCCGCAAAAAGGTGTGCGTGTATGGTGCTGGACGTGTTCTTGGCGAACTTTGGGAGCTTGCGCTGCCCCATTCTCCTCGAGTAGTCATCTTTCCGGCTCCCGTGTACGCTGATCTGCCTGGTGCCGTCCACTTGTTGTACTCGCCCCAGGCCAGCGTCATCCTCAACATTCGGGGAGGGGCTCCAGGACAACGGCTGGCAACGACAGACCTTCCTGCCACTGGCTACCCCAGTACTCGAGCTGGAACAGCTGTAACGGCACCCGCTCCAGAAGCCGGAGGCTTCTCCGCTCTCACCGGATTCGGTGGCTTGCTCAAGGCGGCGGTCATTCCAGTTGGAACACGCACAGTCGGCGGTGAAGTGCTGCTTGTACGCGAAGGTGAGTGTCGTCAAGGTTCTTTAAATACCCCCGCACTGACATTTACAGACCTCGGCGTCTTTTTCTCTTCCGAGGGCAACTTTACGCGTACCGAATCACTGCAGTGGCCAGCCGCACCGGAAGCCATGGCGTTTGCCAACCCGTACATATACTCTGTGGTTCCCGGGACAACTTCCACGCCCCCCATGCCTACCGTTCAGGTCCACCTTGCGCCGACGCTTGCCCGCCACCAGACCATGTCATTCCCGGCACCCTCCGCTGGTGGGCTCACCGTGTCGGCGTTGAGTGTCAGCGGCGGCGGCAAGAACTCGCGTGTCCTTGTCGTGTCAACACCAACGGACCGGACGCTGGCCGCTGAAGGAAGCACCATCTGGGAGCTGGTTGGATCGGACGTTGGCGAACAGGTTGACGAGCTGGTGCGACAAGGCAGGGTGACAGACGCAATCGGCCTGGTGGAGGCAGTCGGAGACGCTGAACTCGCACCGGCCCAGAGGTTGCCTCATTTGCGTGTTCTCCATGCTCTGACGCAATTTGCCCGCGGCGACTACAAGGCAGCTTTGGAAGCTTTCGTTGTGCACAATGTTCATCCTGCAAAGGTGGTGGCCCTGTACCCACAGGAGACCATTTCGGGGACCCTTGCCGTTCCAAGGGATCAGTGGATGACACTGTTCGGAGCCGTCGAGGGCGCGCGCTTGGAACCGCTGCTATCCGAGGACAGCGGACCCAAGACACTCTCCCCACCGCTAGTAGTGCCCACCCTTGCAAGGAAGAAGAGCACCGAAACCATCGTCTCTTCCCTATCTTCCGGAGCGGCACCAGCACCCACAGGATCTCCTCCCCCCGAGCAACCGACGTCCCCTTTACTGGCACAGGCTCCGGACGCACCTTTTCCTCGGGCAGCCATTGACGAGCTCATTTACTACCTATCCGACAGGCGACAGAAGATCGCCGGTGCAATTCCCAATGTCACCCTTCCATCCGAGGCTGGTCTGCCGGCGCTGTCGTCGCTTCCAGCAGCAGATGTATATGCCCTTTTCAACGGGCCCATCACAGAGCTCAATCCTGAACAGCTCCTTCGCACGGCACAGGTGGTCTACACCTCGCTCCTCAAGGTGTACCTCATTGTGCGACCCAGTCTTGTCGGCTCGCTATGCCGTATTGAAAACTGGTGCGATGTCACCGAAGTCGAGCCCCTTCTCCGCGAAAAGCACCGGTTCGATGACCTGCGGGACCTTTACATGCAAAAACAAATGCACGACAAGGCTCTCAACATGTTGACAGAACAAGCAAAGCAGGAGGACGACCCCCTTGATCGGTACCCTCCTACTATTCGCTACCTTCAAAAACTAGGCCCAGCACACCTCCAGCTCATCTTCTCGTCATCAAACTGGATCTTCAAAGAGGACCCCCAAAGAGCTCTTCAGATCTTCACCGCGGATGAACCCGAAGTAGACGCGCTGCCCCGCGCGGATGTAGTCTCCTTTTTGGAAAAGGAGCACCCTGACAGCGCGGTCGCGTATCTGGAGCACGTTATCGACCTAGGCGAAGACGGCCCAGATTTCCACGACAAGTTGGCAGAACTGTATCTTGCTCGAGTCCGCAGCAAAAAGGACATTGAGAAAGATGCTGCTCTTACCCAGCTGCTCAAGTTCCTCAACACGTCGACGCAGTTCCGCGCCTACCGTCTGTTGAGCAAGCTCGGTCCTGATGGTAGGTTTCTGTGACCAGAATGTTGGCTAACATTGTGCAGAAGTATTCGAGGCGCGCGCCGTTCTCCTGGGTCGTATGGGAAACCACGACGAAGCCCTCAAGATCTACGTGTACAAGCTCAAGGACTTTGCGGCTGCTGAGGCGTGAGCACCTCCACGCCAGTAATGACCCTTGTTTATGCTGACCAATGTACAGCTACTGTGCCAAAGTGTACAGCAAGAACCCCGACCCGCATGGCATCTTCCTCCACCTGTTGCAGCTCTACCTTCGCCCGGCGCCGCCCAACGAGCCTCTCGTAACCGCGGCTCTCGGCCTGGTCAGCCGCCATGCCTCGCACCTTGACGCACCATCGGTGCTCGACCTCATGCCCCCACTCGTCCCCGTCGGCGACTTGCATGATTTCTTCATCAGCGCTCTGGGCAAGCAACGGGCCAAACGCAACGAGCACCGCATTGTCCGTGGTCTGCTTGCGGCGCGCAAGGGGCAAACCGACAGGCTGCTGGTTGGCCTCGAGGTCAAACGAGTCCGTGTGACAGACCAGCGTATCTGTCCCCAATGCCAGAAGCGTCTGGGTACCAGTGCCATCGCCGTCCATGCCCCGAAAGGCGAGGTTACGCACTTGCACTGCAAGGACCTGTTCAGCAACAGGCTAGCACAGGCGAGGGCGTAGCTGCAGCTTTCACATCCCATCAAACACTTCATCCATATCACTCTCTGCCTCCGATAGATACCCTGCACATTTAATGCTATACCTCTCTAATGCATGCGCTCTATCCTGCCTCATATCTACTGCCCAGTCATGCAAGTACAGAACCGTCCCTCCTCGATCTGGACGACAACCTCGGTGAGGCCCGGAACGACTTTTTTAAGCGTCCGTTCGACGCTCTTTGCGACATTGTCCACGGTGACACCGGGACCAGACGCGAGCTGGATATGAATACTGCCAACAACGAGACCCTCGCCCTTGGGCCAGAACCGCGGGGCCGAGTACGAAGCCACGCCGGGCAGGGCATTGACCTTTGTCAGAGCGGAACGGAGCGGCTTGTCGTCCAGTTCCAGGGCCAGGACCTTCGCCGAGTCTATGACCAGCGGAAGAACACTGGCAAGAATGAGGGCAGCGATAAACAAGGATGCGAGCGGGTCCCAGCCCGTCCATCCTGTCCACCGGATCATCATTGTTGACAAGATGACACCGACAGAGCCCAGCGTGTCCGCCAGGACGTGCAGGAAGACGCCCTGCATGTTGTGGGAGTGATGGTGGTGTCCCCCGTGTCCGTGGTCTGCTTCACTGTCCGAAGATTCGGAAGAATCGTGGTCGTGCTCCTCGTGAACTCTCGCCGGTCCGTTGCCGTGATGCGAATGGCTGTGGTCGTGTGTCGAATGACTGTGGTTGTGAGACGAATGGCTGTGGTCGTGCGACGAATGGCTGTGGTCGTGTGTCGAATGGCTGTGGTCGTGAGACGAATGGTCATGGTCGTGCGTCGAATGGTCATGGCCATGGCCATGGCCATGGTCATGGGTCGAAGAGGAACAATGTTCGGCGTGAGAGTGAAGGTGTCCGCTATGAGAGTGCGTAGATTCGTGTCCCGACGACTCGTGCGAATGCCCTTCAGAATGGCCATGAGAATGGCCATGAGAATGGTCATGAGAATGGTCGTGAGAATGGTCGTGAGAATGGCCATGAGAATGACCGTGATGGTGGTGACCTCCTGTTGCGTACATTCCAAAGAGGTTGATTGCCAGTCCGACAGAAGACACCAAGAGTAGCTGTTGGGTCTCCATCTCTGGCGGTTCCATGATGCGCTGGATTCCTTCAAAGATGATAAAGATTGAGATAAGAATAAGGAAACAGCCTGTGATGTGTTAGCGTGACGTCTTGTCTGCTGCTGTAAAATTGCTTACCATTTGCAAAGCCACTTAGCGTCTCCACACGCGCGTAACCGAATGTGTACTGTCCGTCGGGCTTCCAAGTGGCGGCAACTGATGCCCAGAGGCCGACAGCAAGACCAAGACAGTCAAAGAGCATATGAATAGCTGGTACAGTGTCAGAGTGCCTAGTTCTGTCCGATTTAGCTCACCATCAGAGATCAGCCCGAGTGAGTTGGTGATAACGCCATAGGCCATCTGCACCCCCATATACGCAAGGTTGACGCAAAGGAACAAAAAGATCTTCCTGCTGGCTGGTGTCCTGAGGATTGTCGACAGGTGGGGCCGCCACGCAAGAGGAAGAAGAGCCATGACGTGCCAGTGGCTCCCAGTTGTGACAGCTGCCGCAGACTTTGAAAACGACCAGCTAGACGTCGAGGGACGGGCGGCACGCGGCCACGCTGAGGCAATGGACAGTGGAAGGAGGAGCCAGTCCATTGGCTTGGGGGTGGGAGCGAGGCGGAACAACTGTCCGCCGGCAATGGCGACAAGGGAAAGAGGAGGTGCAGGAGAAGTGTAGAGCGGGAGGTAGGCTGCCAAGCCCGTGGCAAGAATCGCCGAAGCGAATGAAGAGAGGCTGCTTACAGGAGCCTGCCAGTTAGCACATACACCACATACATACAAGAGCCACTCACTGCAAGCACCAGACCGAGAACGGAGATGACGGTGACGCCAATAAGGGCCATCTGGTCGTCCCTCCGTCCTCCGCGACCCTTGCGGCCGAGATGCGCCAGGCCTGCACTCAGTGCGGCAAGAACTACGCAGGCAGCTGCACCAACCTCATCTTGCAACGCCTGCAGGCCACACACAGCAGCAAGCGCGGCGAGACCGCTGATGAGTGTCGGAGGTGTAGTGTTGGACGTGAGCGATGCCGAGACCACCGTCAGGATCGTCGCACTGCCTGTCAGCTGCCAATCTCGCAGAGGACGCAAATGGGGTTTATTTTTGAGGAAACCATCGTTAGACGCTCTCCTGTCAAGCACATGGGCTAAATGACAGGGGCCCAGCCCCCACTGGTCACACAGCTCGATGCTACGACATGTCTTCGTCATACCCCAGGATCGTCCTCCTCCCCATTAGGCGTCTCTGCCCTACTCACCGTAAGGCGCCGACTCGGCCGATGGCGATACCAAAGAATGCTGCCTGTGCAGCGCTGAGAAGGACCTCGCCGGGAGCGCCCTTCAGTCCACCGCCACCTCGCCGCTTGCCAGCCGCCAGTGCCCAGATACACCGAGCAAGCGCAATGAATGCTGCTGCACCGACTGCATGGGTGGCTGAGCCAAACATGCCGTCGGACGGGCCGTTCGCTCGCGCCGGTATGCCGGTCGCACCAGTGCCAATGAGACCAATGCCTGAAGCGAGGCCTGCGGCGTGTCCGTGCGCACTACCGTGGTCGTCGGCACTGTCATGGCTGTGGGCAGCGAGGTAGTGTGCTGGAGCGAGCGGTCCAGGCGCAAGTAGAGCGCGAGCGGCCAGCACCGCGGCGGCGGGGAGGAGGGCCGCAGACCAGCCGTTGTTCTGTCGCAGGGGCTGACGGCCCATTGCCGTCATGGCGAGCTGCGACGCTGACATTGCTGTCGAGCTAGAGAGGGGGAAAGGGGATGATGGGAGATTGAGATTATTGCCGTGCGAGATGATGGGCTGTGGGCGAATACAATGGGATATGTGATGTAAAGGACAAGGAGAGTGTGGGCGCGTCTGCGATGCGGCGACAGACTCTGCTGGCGTGTCGCCGGTCGTGTCGGCAGGGTTATTGTAAAAGATGAATGATAGGAAAGGAGAGAGGAAGAGGGAACGGGTAGTGAGCAAGAGAGACAAGACGCACAACCGACACGGTACACGTTCCGACAATACGTGCACGCGCCGGTCCTGAGCGCGGGCGGGCGCGTGTGGCGTGCCGCCGTCCGCCAAGTCGCCCGCGCGTTCTGCCCACCCCCCCAGGCCCCACCTCGGTCGAGCACCTGCCGCATCTCCTCGGTGTGGCAAATATGCAAAGCAAAGTACTGCTCTCCAATGCGCCAATACATATCCCGTTGCCCAAAGACCCACCAGAGCAGTGCCTCTCGTTTTACGCAACGGGATACTGAAAAAGAGGTAACGCAGTCTCCTCATATTCACAAGATACATCGGGAACAAGTAACTGGTACAACCGTTTTAACTAACTCTACAGCCGCCGCAGCCAATCTAGACGCTACGAGGTAATGCAGCCTTAAGCAGCAATCTCGGCCACGCCCAGACGACCACTGGGACTGTTCGAAGCCCACTCGCTCTTCTCCTTGCTCGCCAGCTGCTGGCGCTTAAACTCCAGGTTCACGGCAACGAGCCAGGCGCGGATGAGGGCCGCGTGACGACGGCGGACGTCGGCAGTCTGGTCGCGTGCACCAGGCTGGCTACGGGGAGTGGCAGTCGACGGACGCGACGAGGCCGAGCTGACGGTACCATCAACCGACGTGGCAGGCGACTCTCCACGGCGGCGGTCGTCCAGCTCGAGGCGCTTGACACCGTGGATAAGCTGCTCGTCGGTGTGACGCTTGACAGGGGGGTGGCGGGCAGGCGAAACGGTACGACGACCACTGCCAACCGGCGCGGCTGCGAGACGGAGAGGCGGGAGAATAGTAGACTTGCCGTCCCCATTGCCAATGGAGCCAATGGCGGGGAGCTTAAGGCTGGGGTCACCATCGGCAAGGAGAGCGTGAACGGGTATCCTGGGCTGCTCATCCGCCGAGTCGCTGTCCTCTTCCTCGTCCTCCTCATCGGCACCGGTACGCTCGGCGCTCTCACGAGCTTTGGGAGCGGCACCAAGTGGCGCAATGTGGCGGTAGGTGCGCTTGTAAAAGTCACGGGACGCAAGAGTGGCCGACGGAACGCTGGGGCGCGAGCGGCCAAGCGAGTCAAACGACGCATAGTTCTGCTCCGATGGCTGGGTGGCCCAGTCGTTGGGAAGCGGGGGGTACTGGCCGTAGCCGTTGCCATACGCCTGCGGGCGAGCAGCAGGGCCAGAGGTGGAACCAGTGCGAGGGAGACCAGCGATGGGACGGCGCATTGGCTCGTGCGATTCGGAAACAGAGGCAGCGCGAGGACGGCCGTTGTCTAGACCATCAAGCGAGGGGTAGAGCGAGCCGAGAGAAACACCAGAACCACCAGGAGGCATAGAAGCAGCGATGCTGGGCGATGAGTTTGTGGTGGGGATGCCAGGCATGCCGGCAAGACCCAGCGACGCAAGCTCGGATGGGTTGAAGAGGTCCTCGATGGGCGAATTCTCCGAAAGAGGAGAAAGCGAGTTGCGCGAAGCCGAAGTCGAAGTGTTGGACGACAGTGAGGATTCCATAGGGAGGGCAGTAGCCTCGCGACCAAGGCTAACCATGAACTGGTTGAAGAGAGCAAGGTCGGCCTCGGTGCGAATGTCCGGGATAGGCATGGGAGGAACACCGGAAGGGGTCTGCAGGTGGATGTTGGGGAGGGACGGGTACGAAAAGGCCGACATCTGGTTGGGGTAGCCCCCGGTGGGCAAGGACGGAAGAGGGGGGATGCCCTGGGTGAGACCAGGAGGGATGAGGGCGTTGAGACGCGAGATCATGTCAATGTCGTACACGGGCTCCATCTTGCGCTTCTTCATGTCCTCGACAAACGAGTCAAAGGCATCCTCGTTGCCACGCTTCATACCCTTGGCGCCAAGAGCCTCGTTGGCCAACTGGGCAGCATACGCGCTCGACTGCTGCTGCTGGTAGGCGAGCTGCTGAAGAGCAAAAAGCTCGCGCTGCTGGTGGGCGACTAGCTCCTCGTGCTGCTTCTTGTGGAGGGCAGCGAGGGCAACGGGGCTGGTCGAGCTGGTGTGGGTACCCGGGAGGCCGAGGAGATGGGCATTGTCGAAAGGCGACGTGGGGTGGTGGGGCGATGACCCGGGCGACAGCGAGTACTGCGGCGAGCGGTTGGGGGCGGCGAGGTGGTCATCGCGAGTGGGGTAGCGCGAGTTGAACTCGGGGTCGGTGGAGGTGGATGCCTTGCTCAGTTTGTGGAGCTGGTGGTGCTCCTGGGTGTGGATACGTTCGTGCTTCTTGAGGTCTTGTGGACGCTTGAACGTCTTGCCACAGACGGAGCACGGGTGGGGTTTGAGCGGCGTGTGGACTGTTGTTGGGGATCAGCGGATGTGTCGGGGTGGTGGCTCCACGCATGTGTGTGTCTGTCGGTGTGCATGTGCATCTTTTACCCACACACACACACACACACACACAAACAACAACCCTCTCCCTCCAGCATCACGACACTTACCTCGCAGGTGGGACGTAATGTGGTCACGCTTGACACACTTGACACCGCAACCTTCCCAGCCACAGGTGAGACACAGGTTGTTGGTGCTCTTGCGACCAATGTGCGACTCGCACAGGTGAGTGTACAGCTCCTCGGGTCCCGGAGCAGAGTACGAGCAGTCCTTCCACTTGCACACAATGCCAGGCTCCTGGCCCTGCTGGTCTGCGTCGAGTTCATCGCGTTCAACCTCGGCACCCGAACCAGGTGTAACAGGGGAGCGGGTAGTTGCTGCCGAAGTTGCGCTGGGCGGGGTGAGGGGCTCGACACTGCTGGCCGAGTCCGCCCTCGACGTCGTCGGTGGATGGAGGTACGCTGTCGGGAGGGAGGGGTAGGCGGCCATGGTGGGCGCTACAGGAATGGTTGAGAGGGAAACGCTCGGAGAGGTGTGGTTTGGTGTTGCCTAGCAGGCGATAGAGGGGAGCAGAGCCAGTGGACTGTACTCGATTCCAGTTCGTGGAGCGGATGGGTGGCGCGACAACGAGTGTCGATGGGCAGGTGATGACACAGCGACGATGGACAAGAGTGCTGTACGCGGCGGTGGTGGCGAGGTGAGTAGTGGCGGGAACGATGGTGAGGTGGAATGGGTGAAAAGAAAAGAGCAGAGGAGGAATCACTCATTCCCACTGCTGGATCGTGTTCTTTGTTAAGAGAGGGGAGAGGCCCGGACACCTTCTTGCTCTTGGCAAGGCTGGGCGTCTTGGCATGATCACACGCTGAAACCCCGCGGGCTTTTGCGCGCTGTCTGCTGTCTGGGCTGTTGCGGCGCCCACGCCCGCCAAAAGGTTTCCCGACAGTTTTCGCCCCATGTGGCTCTTTGTCCGCGCCGTACATTGGCCGCGGCCGCGCCGGGTCGAGGGATCTTTGCCTGGGTTGGTTTGTGCGCAACGCTCACGCTCTGGCGGTTCTCTGGCTTTGGTGCTCTGGCTCACGCGGCTGACGGGACGTCGGTCGGGGGCCATTCACATCCACGCACGCACGTTTTAGCCCAGACGCTGCAGCTGCTCCACTCGGCCGATCCCCCACCCAAACCACCAGGCCACAAACTGGTGTAGCCGCCGCCGCCAAAGGCGAGGAGCACCCTCTCGCCTGTTTACACACGCGTGGCTTTGAAATGATCCACGTAAGTAACACCGTTTTCCTCTGGTCAACGAGGTCTCCATTGCCAGGCTATGCACCCGCAGTCACCCTGTTTGCCACTAATAGCACACAAATCCGTTATTAGAACCCCACATTCTGCATCGTAGACACGGAGTTCACACATTGGCACGTCGTCAGGCGATTCATGAACATGCGTAGTGCTATCGGGTGCTGACTACGCCGCCTGGACGTCTCCCATTTTTGAGTGGCTCTTGCTATCTCATGTGTGTTGCGTGCGATTGTTTAGCGCAGCATTCAAAGGTCTTGGCTGTTTGTCTTGACATACCGTGCCCCGCGCCCGCCAAGGCTCTTTGAACCTGCCAAGGCTCCAAAGGTCGTTCCTTGCCCTGCGGATGACGTGCGCAACTGCGGCCCGTCAACGACCGCCTCGGGTGTGCTGAGGAAAAACGCCAAGCTGGAGTTTTGCGCACTCCTATTTGACGTTCTAACGATTCCTTAGGCCCTGGGCAGCAGCCAATTGCTGTGCAACAGATCTTTGGTCCAAAGCCGAGAGCGGGCAGCCAGCCCACCCGCCAACGGAGTGTTGTGAATATAAAATGATCCCGTGTATTGTGACGACAACACCCGACGCACAAAGCTAATACTTATTACCAGAGTTTGTATTGCCAGATTCTGGGGTGCCGCGTGTGACTCAAGCTTGTCGTTTGCGGCAAAGGCCCCGCATTCCTGTCGATTGCGGGTGCTGTGTTCCCAACCCGTTTGCGTGGGTCGTTAGCTCTTTAGTTTTAGTTATTTTTGGGACGATTCGCCACACGATCGGCGTTTGCTCCCGTCGCCATATGCTTGTACAGCACAGTACAGTCAACCGTTCATGTGTCTGCAGACTTTACTGCGTGAGTTTTATGAATATGTATACCAACTGGTTGCGCAGTCATGAAGGTGGTATATTTAAGTGGTCCTTCCCTCCGGCAGCCGGCCCAGAACATATGCCGGTCGTCTGCACTCGGTCTCACTTTGTGACGATGGTGGGACCTGGATCACGTGACCAGCGACGGAGGGACACGCCCCACACCCACACCTTCCTCTGCCACTCACGTACACGATAAGCACTATGCACAGGAGACGGGCAGCGGACGTGCGCTGAATCAACTGACCGTCAACATGCACCGGACCTAAAAACAATGTCACTACGTAGTGGATCAATAATTTGTACACAACCAGCGACGAGCCACGTTCCAGACTGCGCAATAACCACGGATAGATCTCTTCACAACGGCGACCCCTGGGGGCAAATGCTAACAGTATAGTTTTACTGTCTTGTCGGGGAAACACCAATGAGGCCAACACACTATGATACGGCCTGGAGTCAAACGGGCAAGGTTGTCTGTATGGGGTTTTTTTTTTTTTTTTTTTTTTTTGCTTCTGTTTTTTTGCCTCTTTTTTGAAGCGAAACAAACGTATACACATATACATATATCTACATATCGTATTGACACAGTGGAGACTTGGAAGTGGCGACATGCAAGCTGCTCCACCGGCAAACGGAGGAAGACAGTGCGTGTGCCCTCCACTGTGACTGCAGTCTCAATACTGGTCATCTTCTTCTGCCTGCTTACTCGCTTACATACTCGTTACTCGCGTTCCCCCCAAGAAGCGGCATCCGAAGGGTAATTGTCGTCATGGCTATCCGAGCTGCCCTAGTCAACGTTGGCTGCGCGCTGGTACATGGCCAAGGTCTTGACCCTGTTTTTGAACTGTTTTGGCTTGGGGAAGTCGGCGAGCTGGAGCGAAATGGGACTATCCTCCAAGGAGGTCACTGTTGTTGAAACGAGTTGCATACAGAGAAGAAGAAACATGTTCGGGCAACGGGCAAAACGTGTTCGGAGTCTGACCCTGACTCCGAACACCCCGAGCACAGTGCCCTGCTAACAACTGTGGCGGTCAAAGTGACCGACTGAGGTGTCAGGTCGCCCTGGACAGTCCAGAGGACTTCGTGCGTAGCGCAGGAGGTGCGGTTGCGCCGGTAGAAAGCATCAAGACGCTCGTCGAGCTTGGCGACGAACGAGGTAGGGAGATCGAGGCGACCCGCGCCGCGCTTCGTGCCGCCGAAGAGGCAGACACGCGATCCCCGCACCCTCGCTGGCCGTCCCGGGCCGGTGAGCTGGGCGATCACACGCTTCGCAGTGATGAGCTGAGTTCCTTGAAGGCGTTTGGGGTTGGCGGTGGTGTTGGCGCCTGTGGCTGCCGAGGCAGGCGCGGCAACGACATCAGTCGAGCTCGACGCCGTCGCCGCCTTGATGTTGCTGTAGCGGCTGTCTATGTAGGTCTGGACTCGACCAAGAGCACCGGCCGCTGGGAACGGGCGCAGTGGCACCGGCCGCGAAGGGGCTGGGGATGGGGAAGGGGTGATGATGGCGGCTGGCCTCATGACGGCCACACCGCTCCTCAGGGGAGGACGAGTAGCGGGTTCGGCCACATGGGCGGTGCCAAATGGGGGGCTGACAATGGCATACGGCGCAGGATCGCGCCTGTACGGCCGGAGGGTGGGGACGGGTTGGGGTGGTGGAAGCGTACCCGGGGGCGGGGGTTGGGCCGCCGGCTCGCGCAAACGAGAGCGCGCGGCGAGGTACACACCGAACTCGCCGCGGTCGATCTGTGACTGCAGCGGACCCCTTCCAGCGTGCGAACCTTCCAGCACCGCGAGGTAGTGCGGGAACTGCAAAAGTCAGGATCGGTCCATAAAGCGAAAAAAAAAAAAAAAAAAAAAAAAAAAAAAAAACACCAACACTTACTTTGGAACAGACCGCCCTTTTGTCCGCGGCGGGTGCATGTGCTGGGGATTGTGTTGGATGATATTGCGTGGTGTCTGTCCCTCCACACCTACCCACTCATTCATTTCCTCTGTCGACACACTCATCCAACAACCTGGTAGATAGCCCATGTGTATACATGCATCCTACAAGGGAGAAGACCTTGTGCTTGCATTACTGTGATCTCCAATCGGTCATGCAGCGGCGTGGCTCAGATCCTATTGCCAACCGGAATGTAGATGTAACAGTCAGTGCACCAGAGTGAGTGATGGGGTTTGACAGCTACAACTGGGAGGCGACTCGTCTGGAGATCTGGAGAAATCACGTCTGGAGATGTACGAAAAAACGCGACTTACAGAAAGTTACAACAACAGCCGCGTTTGCGAGCCAACCGAGTCACTGGGGATTCAAGGACTTCTGCCAGGCCCGATCAAGACTCGCCGACCAAGTCAGGTGGAATCGGATCCCTGTTGTCGGTCGTGTTCCACCCAGGCGGTGCCTACCTACGCCTCCTCGTCGATGCAATGGCTTCCGTCCATGATGATAGTCACCTTTCTTGCGTCTTGGATGCGGAGCTGAGGGAAATGGAAGGTGACGAGAAAGAAGTGGCAGTGAAGGTGAGTAGGAGGGACGAACGCGGCCTTTCGGTGAGACACTCGGTAAAATCCAGAAATATGCAGCATCCCGTCTGCCACGCATGTCACGCAGCTGTCAAGAAGTGCTGGCACTCTCGCTAGCAACCAGACTGACAGGAATTTCCGCAAGCACACTCCACTTGACCGACATGTACACCCTCGGAATGAACCGCACGGCAAACGGAAGGACGGGACGGAAGGAGATAACAAAAATACCAAAAGCAACCGCCACTGATCCACTGGCCACGGAACCGCGTGCTCCATCCGCCTTGACGTCATGCGCTTGTGAAGCCCTCGCCACTCACTCACCATGACCTTGAAACCCCGGCCTCTGTATCACCAATACTACTATCCACATCACCAATCTCGGTCCCAGAGGTCGGTGCCTCTCGGAACATGGCCGGTGCAAGGCTCGCCTCGCTTGGGCCGGTGAAGACAGGCACATACCGTTGAGCAGCGCACACTGCTAACCCAACGACATATCCACCTCCGCACAGCTCTGGGCTGACATTGACACATGACCCACATCCACACGGATGAAGACAAGCACGGGGTGCCGCTCGGTACCGCTCGGAGACCATGTTATCTCTGTTGCATGTATGGAAAGCACATGAACCTATTTGAACGTGGTGGTGACTAGCGTCAGTCACCACCAACACTCACCACTCACCAGTTCAACCAGCCAAGCCATATCATGACTGCCACGCCAGCCAACACACCCAAGAAGGGTTTCCTCGTCGACTTTATGATGGGCGGTGTCGCCGCTGCCGTCTCCAAGACTGCCGCTGTAAGGCATATGAATTCCCTTTCCATTCCTTTGTGGCTAACCCACTTGTGAACAGGCGCCCATTGAGCGTGTCAAGCTCCTCCTCCAGAACCAGGACGAAATGGTCAAGTCTGGCCGTCTCTCCACCCCTTACAAGGGCATTGGGGATTGTTTCCGCCGTGTCGTCCACGACGAAGGTGTCCGCTCGCTGTGGCGCAGCAACGGCACCAACGTCCTTCGCTACTTCCCTACCCAAGCTCTCAACTTTGCGTTCAAAGACTACTTTAAGCGCGCCTTCAAGTTCAACCGCGAACAGGGCGGCTACGCCAAAGTGTTTGCAGGCAACATTGCTTCGGGCGGTATGGCCGGTGTCGCCTCGTCTCTGTTCACCTACTCGCTCGACTATGCGCGTACGCGTCTTGCCAACGATGCCCGCGGCACCGTCACCAAGGGCTCCAACGCTGCTGCAGCTCCTCGTCGACAGTTTACCGGCATGGTGGACGTGTACCGCCAGACACTCGCCACGGACGGCATTCAAGGCCTGTACCGTGGCTTTGGCATTTCGTCAGTCGGCATCTTCATCTACCGCGGCTTCTACTTTGGTCTCTACGATACGCTCAAGCTTGCCCTCCCGGCCTCTTCCCGTGACAACTTTCTAGCCCAACTCGCCCTCGGCTGGGGTGTGACCAACGTCGCCTCGTTCCTCTCGTACCCGATCGACACGGTCCGCCGCCGGATGATGATGACGTCGGGCGAAGCGGTAAAGTACACTTCGTCGATGGAATGTATGCGCCAGATTGTCGCTGCCGAGGGCGCCAAGAGCCTGTTCAAGGGTGCTGGTGCGAACATCCTGCGCGCCATCGCCAGCGCTGGCGTCCTTGCTGGATATGACCAGCTTCAGCTCTTCTTCTTTGGAAAAGCTTACAAGGGCGGCTCTGGGTAGGAGGAGGCTGCCTTTGTGCTCTTGTTAAATGCAGTCCAGTTCAAATATGCCACTTGATGCCTTGTTCATGTCCGTCCCGTTTACATTGTACAAGACGGCAACGGGGATGTACCAGGTCCCATCTATTCGGCCAGAAGCAATCAGCATCAGCAGTTAGGTGTTCCATCAGCAAGTCTCATTGCCCAACTCGCCGCGTCGTGCGCTGCACACATGGCAAAGGTGGCAGGCAACCTCTCCGTTACCCTTCCCTCCCTCTGTACCTCTCCTGTACCTCACTCGCAGCAACCTTGTCTGCAAGAAGGTTCCACTCTTTTAACCACAATGCGTGTGCGTGCTTTTATCGGTCTATCTATGACAGTACATGCAAGATACGAAAAGGCCCCAGCGAAAAAAAAAGGTTGGTCAAGTTTGTCTGATGTTCGTACATGTGCTACAACTCTGCCTTGCGGAGAATCTTCTTTTTCGCGCGGAACATGCCAAAGCGCGCGTTGGTGCTAAGGTCTTTAATGTTGCGCTTGAGGGCGTCCTTTGTGTCGGGCCTGGAAGAGAAATGGTCAGCACCAAAGCCAAAGGGGGGTTCGTTAGGTTAAACTGGGGCTGCTCGCCGTCCTGCGGGCGGCTCCTAACCTCGACCAGCTTTACTCACCTCCACTCCTCTGCTCGTCCTCCTAAATCTCCATGCTTGCCGCCCCACTCCTTTGGCCTGTACATCTCCTTTTGCTCTCCTGTGACACGAAGGTTGCGGTCGCCTTGCGCCCAGCGTGAGGGCACATAGCCACCGCCCGTCTCCTCGATGATGGCAGACGTCGCCTTGTTGCTGTCGTTGTACTTGATGCTCTTGGAGCTGTTGTCGCGTCCAATGCTCGACGACGAACGGATGATGTGATCGTGACTCTGGATGCGCGTCCTAGGTCCCGCAGATGGGAAGACGATACGTGGGTCATCGTCATCCACAATCTCAATCTCGGGCAGAATACGCGACCGTGACGACGCCGCAACACTGTCCGCGGCCAAGGCACCTGCGGGTGTCCTCCCGGCACGCAAGTGCCGACGTTCTTGCTCCTCGCGCCGCTTGGCTTGCGCTGGCGTCTCGGGGAAGATTTGCTCGCGTGGACGCTCGGCGGGCTTGCGGTGCTCGCGCTCAGACGAACGCGACGAGTTGTGGCTCATGACTGATTCGGGAACCTTGATGGTGCGGCTCGCGACTGTCTGTGGCTTGACAGCCGCACGAGGAGGCCCAGCGGCAAAGCCAGTAACACGAGTTGCGCCGTCGGGAGCCGTCTCCACTTTTTGCTTGGGTACACTGAGCTTTGGCTTGGGTGGTGGCTTGGGCAACGTCTTGGAGGGCACGCGGGCGCTGCGAATGGTGGTGACGACAGTGTCGTTGTCGTGCTGCTCGTGGTATGGAGGTGGAGGCTTGTCCTTCTCCGGTGGCTCGGGTGTGAGCACGAGGGGGATGACAGGAACGGCAGCGGCAGGGTGTGCGGAGGGGATGGATGGGATTTTCACAGCAGACATGACAGGGGAGAGTGGAGCGGTGGTGACAGGCGTTTCCGTGTCTGTATCCTGTGTTGTCTCTTCGTAGACTTCTTCGTCGTCGTCGTCCTCTTCATAGTCTTGCTGTAGTGGGGTTGGTGGTGGCTCCTCGCGTTTCGACTTGATATTTGGCAGCTCCCGCTTGGCAAGCTCTGGCGGGGTAGTCTCCGTGTGTTTGCGAGGTGATTCCTCACCGCCACCGTTACTGCTCGCGGGGCGCGCAGACTGCCTAGTCGTGGCATACGACGAGCCTGATAATGTGCTAATCCCGCCGTCGAACGTGGGTGAGCGCGGGGAAGGCAGGGTGGCGTGTTGGCTCAGGCGGCTGGGCACACGACCGTTGGGGGCAAGCGAAATTCCGTCCTCGTGACCGGAACGGATGCTCGGTGTTGCCCTGCCGTTGATGGTGTGGTATCCACTTGCCCGGTCGCTCACCATGCTGCGACGCCGAGCAGCAGCGTAGCCCGACACCTCGTCCAGCCGCCGACGGTCCACTTCTAGTCTGCGTCGGATCTCGTCCCTCTCCTTGTCCTTTTCTTCTTCGGATACACGTCGACCGTCATAGGATGTACGTGGGGCTGCTAGCCGCCCCGAGTCTGAGCTGACGTCGGAGCCATCAGAGGCTGACAGGGACCCTCGACGCTGCTGCCCTCCAAAGGCCGACCGTCGTCGGGATTTGCGCCTCGACATCTCGGACACGCCAGCAAACGGGTCGTACTCGGTATCGTGTAAGCGGCCCGACGAGTCAATGTATACGCCGCCGAGACCACGCCGTGAGACGGCGCTGTCGCGGTTGGGGTGGAAGCTGGTGATGGACCCGCTCGGTCGCAAACCCTCGTCCTTGCTCTTCCTCGACAATGCACTCAGCCCGCCGGCGGTGCGCGCAGACGACAGACGCGATGGGCCTGCAATGCTGGTGTTGTCGTCGCCGTCGTAGATGGACGCTGCCTTGAATCCAGGCTCGAGAATATGGTCCAACTCTGCTCGTTGTCCGACGAGGGCCTGCTCCTTGTTCTTCCTGCCAAACTGAAAGGCGGGGGGTAGTGGGGAGAATGAGCTTTGTGGGTGTGGGTCGTGCATGGCGGAGCGCTTGAAGTGGAGCTCGGCATATGCTGTCGAGAGATGTAGTGCGTCAGTTTATAGAAACGATGGAGAGGTGTTTTCCTGCGCCCCAACCCGCCCCACTCACATGGCCTGTAGTCCTTTGCCCGCTCGTTCCTACTGCTGCTGCTGCTGTGGTTTGCATAGGGCGCTGAGCCGACGGCCGAGAGGCCCTCGGTGTCATGATCTACGTCCTTGTACGACCGCGATGGCCGGCCAAGGAGACTCCTCATGGTTTTCCTCGGCGCCGACGAGTGCGGTGCAAAGACGTTATCGGGCCGGCGCCCGAGCGGTGCAAGGCTGGGACGTCGTGTTGGGCGGCGATTGCGAGGAGGGTGGTGGTGGTGGTGGAGCGGTCAAGGATGTGGGGGGAGGGGTGCACAGGGAGACGGGGGGGGATGAGGGTGGGCCACGACACTGGGGGAGTGAATGCGAAGGGGGTGGAGAGGAGGAGTGTGTTGTGGATTGGGCGGTTGGGCGAGATGCGGCGGTGTGGTGCGGGCCCAGCGGGCAGCGGTGAGTGGGTGGGTGTGCGGTTCAATGACGTATGTCGTTGGTTGAAGGGGGCCGGAAGGAAGAAAGTGCCAGGCTGTCGGGGGGAGATGGGGTTTTGGATGGAGCAGTAGTGACGCGGGATGTGATGTGTACGAGTGTGCGTGTGTGTGTGTGTGTGTGTGATGAGGGGAGGATGTATGCCGAGGTGTGTGTGTTGTCTAATGTGTATACAGGGTGTGGTGTAAACGATGATGGACTGCAGGGAGAGACGGGGGAGCCGTGGGGGTGAGCGAGAGAGAGAGAGAGAGAAGAAAGAATGGACGGGGACGGTGCGTGTGGTGTGTGTGGGTGATGGGTGACGCAAATACCAGAGACGGACGGATGCAAGGAAGAGGAGAACCGAACGGAGAGGGAGAGCGAGAGGGCCCAACGGCCAAAGGGTTCATGTGTGCACCAGGGATCACCCAACCCACCCAGCGCACACCCAGCAGCGCCATCCACACCCCACACACCGCCATACAACGCACCCATCCCATCGCATCTGTTCGGGCGGCGGCGGAGGCGGCGGCGGCGGCGGCCATGACAATATACCCTTACAGGCCTGAAAGGCAGAGGTGTGGCGCCCGTGAACATAGCGCTCTGGCTCGTTCCGTGTTTACGTAAAAGGGTCCTCACCATAGAAAAAGGAAAATGCCCCCGTCCCCCCCCCTCGGGAACGCGCTGACGTCAGGTGGCAGGTGGAGCGTTTGGGTGACACAGAGTACAGAACATCCACAGGCCACACTAGCTACACTCCTTCCCGGGGGATCCGGGGGCCGGGGGGCCTTCGTCGTCCAAAGATCCAAAGATCCAGTATGATCGTATGAACATTCATTCACACGACATCTCTCCACCGGGGCCGGTTTAACAGTTTCCTGCTTGTTCTAGCAAAGGTGCTGCAGGCACGCATAAAAAAAAAAAAAAGAGTTCATGTACCAGTGAAGTGTAACCCGTACCATTTGTGCCAGGGTGCCGTCTGTATGCAGCAAGAGCGAGAGAGAGAGAGAGAGCGGTGTCCCACCCCGTGTCTCCTTCCCCCTTCTGTCGTCTACGCTGTCCATGCATTGGCCCAGTAGCTAGTAGGCCAGTGATCCGGATCCCTCTGACACTCACGCCTCTGAACCCTACACTGGCAATGAACCTGGGCGCCATGGCGGTGTAGTGCACGTAGTGTGGTACGTGTGGTGGTGGTTGGGTGCCGGTGGTGGACGGGCCACTTCACGGACCTCCTCTCCTCTCCACCGCCTCTTCCCCCCATCTCTGTACATGGGGAGACATGCGCGCGGCTCTGGCCTACATTAGATATTCATTGTGCAGACGAAGCAATTGAACAAACGGGCGGCATACCAAAAAAGGCACCGTTTCTCCGACGACGACGACGACTGCTGACGATCCGACGACGCGCCGGCCTCGCGTGTGGGCGCGCGTTGAGGGCCGTTTTGGATCTTTGAACCGAGAAACCGCGCGACGGCCCCTGTGCGCTGTGCCGCCCCCGGGGGTGGGTGGATGGGTTCTATACAAACACTGGCGGCCAAAACACACGCGCAAACGGTTGGTTGCAGGTTGGTGTACGGTGTCTCGTTGCTCGCGCCGGTTTCTACAGGCTATACACCCTTCGCGACATGTCCGTTACAGGCTGAACCCCCGTCTCCCTCTTTCTCTCTGATACACACACACCCACCCTCATCACGCACCACCCTTCCATCACCATCCATCACCTCCCTCGTGTCATCCCTATACTCTCACTCGGCACATACCCTCGCGTGTCCTCTCGCCAGCCTGCACGCACAGACCCCGCCCCGGTTCCCCAGTCATCGCCGCCGACGCCGCCGCCGCCGCCGCGCATTCGCGTCTTCCCTGCGTCCGTCTGTCACGCTCTACCCACCAAACACACACTTGCTTGCAGCTATACCCCCCACCCACCCGCCCTCGCCTGCACGCACGCACAAACCACGACCTTCTCTCTCCCTTGACCTTTAGAACAGCCTCTCCTCCTCGTCCTCCCCCAGCCGCCTTCCTCCACTCATCCCACCCTCCTTACACCGGGGCACCTGCCCGCCGACATGAAGTCGCTGTTCACGCGCTTCAAGCAACCGGCCGGCACCGGTGGAACCAGCACACCAAACTCGCATCTCGTCGACGAAAAGGATAGGCCAGAGTCGCGTCGAGGAGCGTCCACTTTAGCAGCAACACCTGCTGTGTCAGACGACACCGTTCGGGTCTCTCGCACCCGCGCGCAGGCTCCTGCCCGCACAGCACTCCCAACAAACAACAACCCCGAGTCACGTCACAGCTTGACACCGACCAGCACCAGCACCACTCCTTCCACGGTCAGCGACAAGCCCCTCCCTACTCGCCCAACCACTCCCGGTCATGGCCGTGCGTTCACCGACTCGGCATCCGACCACCACCGCGATGCTCGCAACGGCGGCTCAGTGGCACTGCGCAACTCTGTGCTCGGTCGCAAACCCTCGAGCCTCGCAGCGTCTTCCTCGTCTGTCGCGGGAGATGTGGACCCGACTCTTGAGTGGGCCCTCCGTCCCCAGCACCGCATGAGCATGGACAATGTCAAAAAGGTCATGTTCCAGAGCCCGAGCCGCAACGTCCATGCGAGCGAGACCGACCTCCGCGCCGTGGTCGCCGGTCCGTCGCGACACCAGCGGCGTACGTCAAGTCCCCATCGCCCCGTTTCACCCAGCAGCACACCCACACAAAACAATGTGTATGCCTCCCACCCGCGCGTCGTGTCACGCTCGTCCTCGCGCCAGAGCTCACACGTCCGCAAGCCCAGTGGATCTGGCTCGCACATCTCATATTCCCCCACCAAATCGACCATGTCAACCTTGGCACCCTCAGACTGTTCAACAATGTCGGCCGCCAGCTACCTCCCAATCCCGGAAAGCTGGAGTGCAGCAATGGACGAGGAGCTCATTGCCAACCTCGGCCCCCGCGAGCGTACACGACAGGAGGTGCTCTGGGAGATTGTTAACTCTGAGGAAAAGTAAGTCCCCTATCTGGCTAGACTTGTGCCCACCCGGCTGACACAGCACACAAGATACGTCCAGGACCTGGTCAACCTCAACGAAACGTTCTGCAAGGCCCTACTTCCAGCCCCCGAACTGTCCCCTTCCCTCTCCCTTCCGGACCCTCTCGCCTTGACCCGCACAATCTCGACGGCGACAACAGATAACGGCGACCCCCGCCTGCCCATTGCCGCGCAGTTTGCGAGCTCGCGTTTCTCGTCCGACTCGTTCCGCGACCACCACCTGTCGTCGGCCCAGTCGTCAGAACCGCAACAGTACGATGGCGATGCCGCCAGGCAGAACGCGTACGACACGTTAACACGTCCAAAAACAAAGGAGACCCGGCCTGCTCCTCCCTCCCGCTCCGGCAGTGGTACGCGAAGTCGCCTGAGCTTTAACAGTGGTGGCAAGCGCGAGAGCGGGCACGTACGCAAGTCTAGCATTGGAAGCATCAACGCCAACGGACCGGTGACCCTCCCCGACGACCTGGAACAGGTGCTCACCGTCATCTCGTCTGGCATTCTTGAGGGACACATCAAGCAGGTCACCGCTCTGCGCAAGCGATACGACGAGCAGTTTCCGCTCGTTCGTAGTTTGGCGGATGTCTTCACCTCTCACGTGAGCTGTCAGACACCATCTGTATATAGCTAACCGGGCTCAGTCTGACATCCTTCGCGAGTATGCGACCTACATCATGCACCTGGAGCGTGCTCTTGCGCAGGTGGACGAAGCGATGGCCATGGCCGACCAGATCGCGACGGGTGGCCGGCGCTCGTCCAGGCGGCTGGAAGAGACCCAGCTGGGTCGACTGAGCAAGCTGCTCGTTGGCCTCGAGGACCTTGCGGCTGAGCGTGGCGAGGCGTGCTTGAGCATCTCGCTGAGTAAACCGTTCCAGCGTTTGCTCAAGTACCCTCTGCTGTTTCAGAACCTCCTCTACGTGAGTGGTCTGCTTTTACGATGCCAAGCTAACTCTCTCAGAACACGTCACCTTCCACTCGCGAATACGAGGCAACAGTCGCCATGGTTGAGGAGGTGCAGCGGATTGTGCGCAGCATCGAGGACGAGAAATCTTCGTTTGAAGAGCGTGAAAAGACGCGCGACGTGTGGGCGCGGATCGAAGGCATTGAAAAGAACAAGCAGCTCATGGCGCCTCGTCCGAACCGCCTGGTCGTGTCCGAGATCAACCTCACCGAGAAGCGCGAGGGAGTCCCGTCTGCGGCTTCCAAGGAACGCAAGAGCCAGCACCGCCTGAGTGACATGCTCAAAAAGGGCAGGAAACCCGACCAGTGGGTCGTCAGGTTTACAGATGTCAGCCTCCTTTGCGAGCTGGCGGGTACGACCACGCTCCCGATGTCCACCACGTCCAAGTCTGGCAACACTGGCGCCAAGTCTGAAAGCGTCACGGACCTGAATAACAAGCGTCTCAGCAAGCGTCACCAGTCCTTGAAGCCAAGAAACCTGTATCGCTTCATCAAGGTCTACGAGTGGTACGAGCTTCCTGCAAGGGCCCAAGCACCGCGTGTACCTGTGGTGGACAAGTTTCCGCGCCGCCCTCCGCTTAGTGACCTTCAAGAGGGCAAAGCAGTGTCTCCCAACCGCACGCCGGACCGAACCGTCCCGCTCAAGACTGGCGACGAGTCGCCATCCAAGGTCACGTCCCTTCGGGCCGGAAGCACGTTTGACGACGCCATGTCGGACCGCATGTCCGTCATGTCCTTTGCCTTCCGCGGCGAAGCGCGGCCCAACCCCGCCGTCCGCGTCCGCGCGACCAACACGACCAACACGACCAACACGACCATCTCGCCCAAGCTGCGCAGCAGCGTGACTGGCAGGACGACAGCCGCGTCCCTCGACCGCGACCGCCGCGCCTCGTCGGGCATGGGCAGTGCCGCCGCCGCGGCAAAGTTTGCCCACCGCCTTCGATCTGCCGAAGAAGACCTGGCCACCACCACCGTGCGCCCTGCCAGCCGCGTCCGCCGCTCCTTACCGCCGGCAATGGCGCTGGGGCCCTCAGAGCGGAGCAGCTCGCGCATGGAGTCGCCCACCCGCCCACCGTGGAACAGCGGGTCGGGCGGGGGCGGGCTCTCGCGCCCGGCCTCTGTCGCCGCAACACACCCGCTCCGCCCGCGCACCTCCGCCTCGGGCGTGGCTGGCGCGACCATCTCGTCGATGGCCAAGGCCGTCCCCGACGACCCCGTCGGTCTAGGCATCTACGACACGGACAAGAGTGCGACAAGTGCCAGTGCAAGTGTCAGTGCTACCGGCGACGCAAAAGTGCCCGCGGGCGTCAGCGCAGCCACGGCAGCGAGGATCGCGCGGCGCAACCTCGGCGGCCACATCTAAACGACCTCTTTTACGATGATGGTGATGATGATGATCGATGACGATGACGACGACGATGACAATGTTCTTCCTCTTCTTCTTTTTTAAAAAACCCTGCCCTTTTCCTTTTCATTCATGTAGAATAAACATAATATTCAACGACGTGTTGTAGGACCCACATTATGCAGTGGCCGTCATGAGAGGAGATGAGAGGCGATGGTGCGTTCTGCAAGAAGGGGGCACTGTCGGGAAGGATGTTGGCTGGCTGAGGGCTATGGTTGATGACCGGTGAAAAAACAATGTAACGTGTGGTGGCGATAGGTTTGCCAAGGTCAATAATGGCTGGCATGCGCGTGAGAGAGAGGTGCAGCGATTTTTGAATTACTGTCTGCATGGTTTGTCTACAGGCTGGGACTGTATGTACAGTACAGGTCGACCGGCGACGGGGTGCCACTTTGAATTATATGGACAGCCACGTATACCTCTTTTGCCCTTCTTCTTTCTGTTTTTTCTACACACTTTGACCGCTGCGTTCGAAAAAAAACCAACACAGGGCGAGACGGCCAGCGTCCGGCCGTGTGGGATGATCTGGGGGTCCTCGCACACGTCGCGCGATGCTGTGTGGAGATGCCGGCTGGGAGCGAGAACCGGGCAGTGGGCGCCATGCGTCGGCGGAGGGTGGATGTGCGAGGACCGTCACGGCACGGACGAACGGGGGATACGGCCTGCGCTGTGCGTCCTTGAACGCAAGCCGCTGCCTAGTCTGACAACACCGGGCGATGTGGGCGTGGGAGAGGGAGTCACGCCTGGGGGTAGGTCCAAGTCTGGGAACGGAGGGGTGGCGGTGCCGAGAAGTGGCGAGCCGAGGACGCGTTCCATTGGCAAAGACGCAAACTCAGGCGACGACGTCGATGGGGCGTGTGCGGTCATGCTCATGGAGATGTGGCGGGGACTGGATTCCGGGGTATGGGCTGCACTCGGTGTATCCCCGGGGCTGCCAGTTGTCGGCACCATGGCGCGGAGGTACGCGACCTCGCTGGATGAGAATGGCGGCGAGAAGACATACGACCCGAGACGTGTGGTGAACCCGCCACCATCGGACCAGGCCAACACGCCCACCCCTTCTCCTTCTGCTTCATCGTCGCGGTCCAGGCCTGGAGTCGCGTGTTGGTCTTCCAGAACGGACCATGCGGCTGCACGCACAGACGGCGTGGGCGCCCACCACGCTTCGGGGAGGGACGAGGACCAGGCCCGCGGCCGCCGAGCGGTTCGGGGTGAGTGTACGTGTGCGTCTGTTGGCGGTGCGGACCCAGGAGGTGTGGGACGGGTAGGCGAGCATGTCCCCGATGCGAGTGGAGAAAAGGTGCCTTCGGCGATACGTATGGCGAGCAGCGCGGCGACGTCGGGCCCAAAGAGCGCCAGGGGAGGAGTGGCGATCGCGGGTGTCATTGTCGTCATGGACTCGTCTGTCGTCACAAGCGACCCGTCGCTTGTCGCTGTGGAGTCTGGAACCGTCTCGCTGGTTTCCGGTGCTGGCGCGTGCGGGGTGACTTGCTCGGGGTTGTCACTCGCACCCACCCCCAGATCCCCACTTGCTTGGCCCTTCATGCAGCTCTCACGGCGACGCGCATCGTCGGGGCTTGGCCGGATTCCAAGCGGCACGGTGCGGTGAATCACCACATGGCCCTGCGAGCGCGAGAGTGCAGGCCAGTGTGTGAGGTTCTCGCTCGGGAGGGCTCGCAGCTGGGTGACGGTGATGATGCGGGTGGAATTTGGATTGGGATTGATGGCGAAGGCGGGCGACAGGTCGATGGTTGAGCCCGGAGGAAACAGGTGCAGCTCGGAGTGGCGGTAGTTCACGCGACCCGGGGCTTGGGGCCGAGGACAGTGGTGGTGAGACGGGCCTGTGGAGCGGAAATCCAGCTGGGCTAGGAAAGCTGTCATCGGATTGTAATGAACCAGCGAGGACGCTTGGCGTGAGTGCAGGCGTAGGGAGGGCGATAGGTATCAGGGGGACTGGGGGCGGTGTCGTGCCCGCCGCGTCGACGTCGGACATTGTATGTGCTGCCAAGTGGTGCAGTGGGTAGTGAGCAGAGCAGGGTGTTGACTAAGGTGGAAGGAAAGGAGTGGTATGGTTCTTTGCTGTCGGCGTGTGTCGTCGGGCTTTATGTTACGAGCACACACGCTGGATGATGGACGCATGGATGTGTGGTGTGTGGGCGTGGGTGGCTGTGCGTTTTGGCAAGTCTGGAAGCCTGGGCGTGTGGACGCTCCTAGCGGACGAGCCGTGTGCGTCACACACATGTGCCATCAAGAACTGGTCAAAGTGGTACGTTACCCAAGCGCCCAAGCTGGAAGGAGCTGCTAGAAGAGGTACGTAGATCAGAGATGCAATGGACGAAGCATCAGTCCGTTGGTCTTTCCCATGTGGATGGAGACACTTTGAGATATCTGTTAGAAGCATACTGTACAATAAACAACACGCATCACAAAGGGTGTTTTATGCAAGGTGATGTCAAGCTGGACAGCCCTGGGATCTCGCACCGAGGTGGTGCATCCAAGCATGAAGGAACATGGGTCAACATGGCTCGTTGGGGCGGGGGAAACCAACAAGGGGAGCCACTAACAGGTGGCACTCTGCAGTGACACGCGGCCACGCGCGGATCGCCGGGATCCTCCGGCTTATCATATCGGCATTCATAATCAAGTGCGTGGCCATGTGCGGTTATTCCAGGCAGCAAAACAACACCAAAGACCAAGTCGACGGTCCCGCTGCATACAACGCATGGTATCGTTCTCTAAGACCTCTTGCGAAGGTGTTGCCACCTGGCAGAGCATCCGTCTCCCCTCCCAAAGACCGTGCCAGTTTTTGATTCAACAGGGGAAATCGCGAGCCAGTTGTGACCGATGTCGGCTAAATTGCCGTACCGAAATGCCACTTGCTCTGTGTATACGACTGCATGGCAGACTGCCAGTCGTGTTGTTCTTGGGACGTTTATGTGGATGTAGAGTGATGCAAGTGTACTGAACGGAACCAGCACTGATTGCATCGAGCACGACAGCTGACAGCTGACAGCGGTGTCTGACACGTTTTTCTCTTGGATGGCCGCGGGCTCTATGGTGTGTGGCCAGAGATGGTATTCTAGGGGCTGGCTGGCCATGGCTGGGATATCCACCCCTGTGTTAGAAAAACATGGACGGGGGGGGGGGGGGGGGGGGGCCTGGCTGGCCTGGATCGAGCTGGCATCTGGCGTCTCCCTCGTGTCCCCTCTCTCCCTGGCGCCAACAGCAAAGTGAGCCGAACGCCACACAACTGCTCTCGCTCTCCTCCGGATCTCTGGCGTTGTTATTCCTGTCTTGGTCGCTCTCTGATCTCTGACACACGTTTGCCCATGACACACACGCGCGCACAGCATCGCCTGTGCACTCGCTCTCATACTCTGGATTTTACGCCTTCAACCACGGATCCTCCCACTGGCGTCATTGGCGGGCCGACGGTACGAGAAGGAGAAGTGGGGGGTGGGGTTGATAGCTTGGAACTGAACCTCATCCCCCCTTCGTGTCCCCTCGCTCAGGCACCGAGCCAACTGACACTCCCCCCCCCTGCTCCCTGCACGCGCTGGGCGCGGTGGAGCGTGGAGAGCACATGCAGCCGCCAGCCGCCAGCACGCGCGCTAAGAGGTGTTTGATGAGCGCCTTTAAAAACGCCTGGCGCTCTTGAGAACAGAACGTGAGAGACAGAGAGAGAAGCTCGAGTGGCACAAAGGTACCGGCACGAGCGCGCGCAGGCAGAGGCAGGCAAGAGCGTACCCACAGGGACACACACACACCCCCTCAGAGCGAGAGACGGCGCAGGCCTCGAACGGGGCCTCATGCATGCGCATGCGCGCGCCAAATGGAAACACAGAGATCCAGAGAGAGAAGGAGAGAATGAGAGGCCATGGAACACCCCGATTGCACGATGCACGACTGCTGCTGCTGCCAACCTGCGACGGCCAGGGGTGGGGTGGGGGTGTGTGGGAGGGAGGGAGAGGGGGACAGTCGCTCGGAAGCTCGCTCGCTCGCCGACGCCGTCACCGTCACCGTCACACACACAACCCGTGTCTCCCACTCACTCTCACTCACTCACTCTCACCCGGGGGGTCGTCACATTCCACACATTGCTCACCCCCCTTCTATCCGATTCCCACTCTTTCCCAATATCTCTCCTCCCTCATCTCTCTCTCTCGCTCTCTCGGTCTCGGTCTAGACGGGTCTCTTCCTCTTCCATCTCTCTCTCTCTCTCTCTCTCTCTTTTCTTGGGCAGCTTCCGGCACACACAGGCGCCGGGTGTGCGGGCTTGCGGCGTGCGCTTTTTTGGCTTTTGAACCTCTCTCGGTTTCTGCTACAGTGGGCTCTCGGCATCGCAACCACACCACCCAATATCACCCACCTGCGTCATCGGCTCCCCCACCCAACCCCCCGTCGCGCAACAACCACACTCCAACCCCTCCCCCTTCCGCCCGCCCACAAGTCTCCAACCACCACCACCACCACCTCTCTCTCGTTCGCCCATCTTCCTCCATCAACACAGCGCGGTATAGACCAGATACACGCTGTGACTCCGTGGTTAGCATACATCCACGCTGCACACAGGCAAGTGTCCACCACCCATCACCCATCCGGCTCGCGCCCCCCTTTCTTCGGCCCCCGGGTGACCCGCTGACACGTCACAGCCATGTCTCTAGTCGATCCCGCGCTGCTAGACAGTGTCAACCCAAACCACGTCGCTCCCAACGCACAGGTAGCCAACGACCCAGAGCATATGGTGAGTTGGCGGTGCTGCTTCTCGCTTCCCGCCGATGACAGACAAAGCGTGCTGATACGCGCCCGGTAGCACATTGCGCAGCCTGCTTCGGGGCAGCCTCAGATGGTTGGTGCGCATCAGCAGCAGCGACCACCTACTTCTGCAGAGATCGATGCTGTGATTGCCGCAGCAATGGCAAACGCTCCTCCTGCGCCTCCCCCAATCGAGCTGGGTGTCGAGAGTGAGTCTTCATGGTCTCTTGGCAAAAAAAAGGACCGCGCAACAGCCCCCCCGACGCTGACATCTGTTCAAGCCTCCACTCGCTCCCTTACTCCCCTCATGACCAACATCCTCCCGTCGGCCATTGGATCTGATGGCCGCGTCAACCTCTTTGTCGGCAATGTAAGCCGACAGGTTCACTCCAGCACTGACATACTCCCCAGCTCCCTTATCGTGTTCGCTGGCAGGACCTCAAAGACCTCTTCCGCAAGGCTGGCACGGTGTTGCGCGCCGACGTCAGCCTCGGGCCCGATAACCGGAGTCGCGGCTATGGCAACGTTCTCATGGGCAGCAGAGAGGACGCGGCCCGAGCAATCGGTGGGCCCCCCCCGGCCATCTTTCAAACGCTGACTCTCTCCAGACCGCTTCAACGGCTTCACCTGGCAGACTCGTACACTCGAGGTCCGTCCCGACCGCCTGCCACCAGAGTATGAGCCTCAGCCACATGTCCACCACAAGCCGATGTACGGCTTCATGCCGCCGCAGATGCAACACTTTGGCGGTGGCGGATGGCCGGCGCGCCCGCCGCCGCATCATGGCCCTCCGTTTGGGTCATTCGGCGCCCATCTAGGCCCTCCGCACGGCGGTGGGCCCTCGCAGGCGTTCAACCGTGCCCCGCAAATGGGCGGTCATGTCGGTGCCATCCCGCCGATCGGGGCATCCCCGCTCGCGGGCTCGCTCACCGCCGGTGCGCAGGGAAACCATGGTCCGCCCGCGGGTGCGTCTGGTTCCACAACTCCTTGGGGTGCACGTGAAGGTGGTCTGGCTCCGTTTGGTGGACTTGGCGACCCGTCGGCCGCCCATCCAGTTCGCAGCCCGTCGCCCCTTGGCAACCTGCCTGTGCCCGGTGACGGCAAGCGCCCCGCATCGCCAGCTCCTCCAGCCGACCCCATCGGCCGTGGCCCGCCTCTAGGTCGCATCCCCCCTCCCAACCTCCTTACTGCTGGTGGTGTCAAGAACGCCTTTTCGCCCGAGCCCGAAACGCAGCCTCTCCGCCGTCTGTCTGCTGGGTCAGAGGCCAACGCTGCTCACCCAATCGGGCCCCCTCCCATTTCCCTCAACGGACTGGCGAGTCAAGGCAAGGATCTCGGGGCACCGGGAACCCTGGTCGACCGTGTCGTATTTGTGAAGAATGTAAGCTGGCCGGGCAACCTTTTGCAAAAAAAGCTGACAAATACCCAGCTGTCCTTGACCACCCAGTGGCAGGACCTGAAGGATCTCTTCCGACCCGCCGGTGTGGTGATTCGTGCCGACGTGGCTACGGGACTCGATGGCCAGTCCCGTGGCTTTGGCACTGTCCTGTTCGCGTCCAAGGATGACGCCCTCAAAGCCGTCGGCATGTTCAACGGACACGAGGTCGACGGCCGGATTCTCCATGTCCAGACAGAACGTCAGACCCTCGAGGACAAACAGATTCAGCCTATTCACCCCGTCGACCCGTTCCCAGTCTTTGGCAGCAAGACTTCACCTTCGCCGCAGGTCTGGTCGCAACAGCCACTGCCTCCTCTTGCCATGGCCGCGTCGTCGGCGTCCCCGGAGACGTTCCCCCAGCCTGCAATGTCGAACCCTTCCCTTTCACCTGGTGCCGGGACTCGTATCCCTTGGCAACTCAACACGGCCATCAACTCGTCGCCGGCTTCGGCGCCACGCAAGGAAGGCGGAGACGACCCCTTCCAGCGTCCCTCTAGGCACCCAGGACCGATCCAACTGCCCCCGTTTGCGCCGCTGGGCGACGTCGGCAATCCCCTCAGTCCGCTTCAAACGCGCAACCTGCCCCCCATGACCCCGTCCATGCCGGGCTTTGTGTTCAACGCGTACCCACAAACACCACCTCTGCATCCTCAATTCTTGTCGCCTGGCCTTGGCCCATTCTCGCCCGGTCTGCCTGTCACAAGTCCGTTGGTGGGCCGCAGGAGTCCGTTCCTCAACGCTGCTCCAGGTGCCCCCGTCGCGCCGGCGCAAGCTGGTTCTGCCGCCCTGGGCACGCCAACAACACAGGCGTTCCCTCACAACGCGCCACCACAACACCCAACCGTCGGCCCTCCTGGCGGTGGTGAGGCCGAGTACTTTCCCCGCGTCGAGGCACCCCAAGTCAACCGCCTCGTTCCCGCTGCGTCGCCATTGAACGCCCGTGAACGCCTCGCGTCGTCGGCGGCCGGGGCGGTGGTGGCCGACGAAGACCTGCTCGTCAGCAGCACGGCCTCGTTGTCACTGCTCGGCGAGGCCGTGTCGATTACCGGCACTGCCAACTCGTCTCCAACACCGCAAAGCAAGACCAAGCGCGGACTGGCGCCGGGTACCTCGGCGGCGGCAGTGGGTGCACCGGCCGCGACGAATGGACGGAGCAGCTTTGACGATGGACCCCGCCAGCCTCTTGGAGCGTGGAACTCGGAGCGTCGTGCGAGCTGGAGTGACCTTTCAGGAGCGGGAGGAGCTGGAGGAGCGGGAACGGGAGCTGGAGCTGGAGCGGGAGGTAGCAGCAGCAGTCAGAGTTAAAGAGAGAAAGAGTAGTCGGGGTTCAATTTGGGAGTTGAGTTGGTAAACCTGGTTATTTTTTTTTATCGCCAAGTTTCTACATGTTTTCTTTTCTCATGGGGAATTACAATGCATCGTGGTTCAATGGTTTGGCTGCTTCTGGTGACAAGAAGGAACAAGAAAAAAAATGGAGAGAGAGAGAGAGAGAGTCCTAGATGCTACAACCGAGTCTAGTTCTATGCTGACGAGCCCTTGTTCCGTCCTGCGCGTTCCAGCGATGGGTCGTCGACTGTGTACAGAGTGTCATGTCAGCAAAAACAGTAAACACGGGTGTGTCATTTCCTATTTCCCGGTCCGGCTCTCGGATCCGGGGAACGCGGGGCAAAACGGCAAAAACGTACGTTTCCATGCCGGCTCATAACCTCCGTCGTCCCTTCTCAACACGGGGTTGGGGATGGTGTTGTTTGTGGATCCCAGGGAGGTGTATCCCTCGTCGTACAGGTGGCAGTATGGCACATCGAGTTGCCGGAGAAAGTCCCAGACATCATCATACGACCAGTCCAGGACGGGGTGGACGCGGAGGACCTGTGGCCAGCTAGGGTCTGTCGGCGCGAGTGCCGCGACGTCTGGTTAGGGCGGTCAGCTCATGGCAGACATGGTTTGGAGCTGTATGGCAATGCCACTCACTTCCATTCGGGTCTCCTTGGCGCGTGCCCAGCAGAATTGCCTTGATGTTCTTGCCGCCGTTGCACCGGAGATACTCTGACAGGGCGGCCTTCATGCCCCCGCCAAAGCGGTACAGGTCGAGGGCATATGTGGTTGCCTCGTCAATCACAAACTCTTCGAGATCTGGGAACGGGTTGGGAGCCGTGAAATACACGCTGCGGATGAGCGGGTATGGCGCCTTGTGGTTCTTGTCTACGGGGGTGTGGTGCGTGGCGCTGTGCCGCGCCTCGGCGGCGGCGTGGACGGTCGCTGGGAGGGGAGGCGGCGGCGCGGCGGGCAGGTCGAGGTACGACCGGGAGAGCGGGTTGGATGGGGTGGGGCAGGCAGAGCTGGTAGACGTCGGGGACGTCTGGCCAGAGATGGGGAAGGGCGACAGCGAGGACCTGTGCGACGAGCGGGGAGCTCCCGAGTGCCGAGAGTAGAGGACGGCAGCGAACAGGTGGAGCAGGACGGTGCCTTTTGGTATTTGTCAGTCAAGTGTGCAGGTGTTACTCGGCGGCGACGTGGGCGGCACCAAGGGTGGTCAATCAACTCACAGTCCTTGCCGCCGTTAAACGACAGAGCAACGGCTGCTTCGCTGTCATACAGTCAGCCTCAGGTGTTTGTTCTCTCCTCTCCATTCCATGACCAAGACATGGAAGGTCGTCGGCGGCGGCGTCGTCGGCTGTTCAACTCACCCTAGGTCGTCGATTACGCTCTCGATGAGTTCTATGGCAGACGCAATCTTGCGGCCGAGCTGGTCTTGTTGCCTCGACTTGACGAGCACGCGGTCGAGGTCAGCCGCGGAGATGTGGGTCATGGTGTTTTTGTATGTGCGACGTCCAAGGTGGTGCTGATTTGTGAGCAGTGGGTGGGGTTTGAAAGTAAGCCGAGATTGCCTTTCCATTTGTGTGCGCGTGTTCCCAATCTCGAATATCTCATCGGTGCGTACATGTGGGATCGCCCTCGGCTGTAGAGTGGGGGCTCGCGGGCCCGGTTCACCCGCAGCCCGGTGTTGTAGGCGCCTATGTATGCTAGGCATGTGGGATGAGTCATTTTGTGTTAATAAAACCGGAAACATCTCCCCAAGAAAATAGGCTCGTCATCCCAACCTGGGCGGCGACCGTCAACCCAGCCGCTGCCCGCCCCGAGCCGCCGCTGCTGGCCGCCTGCGCTCGCTCGCTGTACCGCTGTATATTCCGCACCCCCCCTTTCGTTGCATATCCCGTCTCGCCTGCCTACTCCTCTCAATCCATCGCTCTCTCGGTTCCATCCATCATCCACACCACCTCTCCCAGGACAATGGCAACACTTCACGCAGCCTAAGCCCCCCCATCCCCCCTCCCCCCACCCCCCCATCTCTCCACCCCACAGGCATGTACGCGTCCACACCGGCACGCCCACAGCCCATCTCCCAGGCAATGGGGACACCGGCTGGACCCAGCATCGCTACAACAACCACAGCCACCAACATCCCTGCCCCACCAGCATTGCATCAGCTCCCTCAGCCCGTAGCCTCGTCCTCGCGCAACCCGCAGCTGGGACCCGATCCATTCTTTGCATACCCTACACCCTCATCAGACCAGGTCGAGGATGAGCTGCCCCCGTACTGGGCCACCGAGAATGTGCCTCTGGGTCTCATGCTCGACCGGCTCAGTCGCAAGGGTTACGGCGACATGCGAACGCTCGTCGAGACGACGTAAGTTTCAACATTGGACCTCCCTCCGTGTTTGCGCTCTTGACTCTCGTGCTGATACGCGCACCAGGCTGCCCCCATTGAACCCCACCAAAAAGGCAAAGCACGTTATCGAGTATGCAAAGTCTACTCGCCAGGCTGTTCTCAAGTACCTCGCCGTGCTCCGTTGGAAGACGTCGGTCGATTTGGCAACCTCTGTCGTTCCTCCAGGAGGAGCAGGCGCCGCGCCGGGAGGTCCTACAGCATCGTTCCCAACCCCACACTCGAGCGGAGAGTCGAATGACACCAGCCCCACAGCCTATCCCCTCAAGGGCAAGGGCCGCTTCGGAGGCGACACGGCTGGTGTCGATGACACGGTGCAGCGCGGCAAGGTCACGGATGCTCGCCGTATCCAGCAGTTCCTGGAGCATCAGAACGCCCAGCACGAGGCTGCCATCGCCCACGTTCGGCACGTCACCAAACTGGTGGAGACTCTTCGGTAAGTGGGGACAGGAGAGTTTTGTCCTGCGTGTAATGTGCTGACGTCTTGTCTCCTTCAGTGAACGCAATGCCGACCTCCTCACAGCATTGGCCCTCCGATCAACTGGCACCTACCCGCGGCTGCCGACTGCCCTCACCGAATCCTTTATCCCTCGTCCACCACTGAACCCTCCAGCCGTTCTCGACACGGTGGAGCGCCTCAACGAGCACCTCCTCTACCGATTGAGATGCGTCGACTACGTTCCCCCAGAGCTTGTCGTGGAGAAGGTGGCGGACGGCCGCGTCCATGTCCGTGGAGGCGGACCAAACGGCTGGGTCGCGCAGCTCAGCGTTGTCGGGTTTGAAGACGACAGCCGGTGGTGGCTCACTGGCGTCGAGTGGGCCTGGGGAGTCGAGGGGTCGCGTCAGCCAAAGACATTCACCCACGACGAGAGGCAGCAGATTCTCGACCTCGCCAACATTGACGTGCTTGCACCACGCCCACTCCCAGATGACAAAGTCAAGGAGAATGCCGACAGCGAGACGACGGCATCGACACCCGTGGACTCGCCTCTGGTGCGCGTGTACAATTTCCTCCAGCATCTCTCGCTCTCATACCAGCTCGAGGTGCTCTTCTCCCAGGCACTCGTTCTGGGACAAGGCCGTTGGCGTGGTCAGCTCCTCGTCGATGTCGACCGTACAAAGAAGGAGTTGCGACTGCGATACTGGATCCGTCAGAGGGCAGTTCAGCCGACTGGTCCCACCCAGGCGGCTGTCGGTAAGCGTGCCCAGCCGCCCTCGGCTCTCAGCGGCGCTCGCACCACCACCATTGTGGGAGGCACCTTGACGTTCTCCCTTGGCGAGTCCAAGACACCGATCAACGAGGCCGAGCGAGTCTTGCGAGAAGTCGCGGCCTGTGGCGTGCAACCTGTCGACCGCGTCGTGCGTCTCGAGATTGGCGTCAAGTGGGAGGTCGGAGACATCGGTATTGGCGGAGGTCTCAAGCTCAACGACGCCATGGACGCATCAGCGCTCACAGTTAACGCGTCGTCTCTCAGCGCCAAGGCTCTCCTCACCACCGCGACGCGTGCCCACGCGACCCACCTCGCACGCGCGACCATGACGCCTCTGTTGGCCAACCCTCGTCTCCTCCTCGACCCTCTCAACCCCCCGCGTCTGGAAGAGTCCGAGTCTGCCTCGCGTCCTCTGTCTCTCATTGTGCCACTGCCTGCCCAACATGGCGGAGCACACTTTGCAGTGGCAGTGTCGGCCACGTCCGGTCTCATTGAGATAAAGGACACGAATGGAAAGGACCGCGACCAGATTCTTGAGAGCAATCGCACCCTCCGCGCAAAGCTTGCCACAGCATCTGTCAACGACCAAAAGACGCGTCTGGGAGAAGACCTCTACCGCCTGGTCTCGGCCGTCATCATGGAAGACGTCGAGGACGACCTCCGCCAGCTGGGCCTGCACCCCATGCGCCGCGTCGCGCTTCGCACGCATGATCTATCAAAGACCGACTTGCATCCTACCTCGACGCTGTTTGTGCCCTTGCCAGTGTCCCAGTCGCACTACTTTGTGTGCAAGGTCACTCCGGATGGCATCGCGTACGAGCTGCTAAAGCTCCTCCGTGTCTCAATGGACAATGGCGCGGGTCTCAAGATGTCTGTCGGCGACCGTGTCCCCATCGACCTTGTCAAGCTTCTCGAGAGGCGCAAGGCCAAGTGTGTCAAGCGCGGCCTGGACGACATGGACGAGACGGAGCTCGCCAAGCTGCAAGTTACCGTGCTGCCACCTGCCTGCAGGTTTGCAGTCAACAGCAAGGACCTCCGAGACATGTTCTACTACTGCAAGTGAGTTGTTTGTTTACTGCGGGACATGGCTGACTCTCCAGTGCCCTTGTCGCCCAGACCATTGTGGAGCAACAGCTCAAGGACCGCGGTATTCCGTACACGACCCACTTCCCGGACGAGACCGACTTCCCCGCGCCTCGCAGTCGCTCAGCGTTGGCCGGCATGGTGCCCAACCTTTGCGTCAACGCCAGCGACCTGTTCAAGGACGGCCGTGCCGCCGAGGTGGCTGCACCAAAAGTGTTCCTCATCATCAACGACTGGTGGAAGGGTGCGAAGTGCTCTGTCGAGACCATTGTCCGTCTTCGTCACCGTCCGTCCGTCACGTCGGCCAACGACACTCCGGGCAGCAGCGTGGCCGCGGCCGCGCCTTCCAGTGCCGCGCGCGCCGAGGGCATCAAGTTTGACCCCACGACGTCAACCGTGCGCTTCCGTGCGCCGAACATTGCCTGCAGTGTCCCAGACTTTCTCGAGCAGTGGGAGCGTCTCAGCAAGGTCATTGTGGTTGCTGGCGAGGTCAACCGTCTCAGCAAGAGCGAGCAGTTCCGCGACATTCGCATGCTGTCGTTTGACCTCTGCACCGCTACCCTCCAGTACGCTCCCGGCTACCAGGTGGCCATCACCTACACGCCAACTTCGGACTCGTACCAGGCGTCCTTTTTCCGCTCGCCCGTCACCACCACCCCAGCACCTACCTCGGCGACACCAGCCATGGACACCGAGTCGAACCCTCACTCGCTCATTGCTCCCCTCCTCTCGCACTCTCTCAACGAGTTTACCAACCAGTCGTCTCAGACCAAGGAGCTGCTGGGCAGCAACGGCAAGCAGTTTATTCAACTGCTGCGTGCAACCCTCCCCCTCCTGCTCGAAGCCGAGTCGCTTCGTCTGTCGTCGCCCGGCCAAGAGTACCCCGCGCTCGTCATTCGCTCGGCATCCGAGTACCGTCTTGTATGGGACCACGAGACGCTGCGCTTCGCCCTGGACATCTCGCTCACGGCCGACTATTCACGCTTCCTCCTTGCGGATGCGTCCAAGCCGCGAAACGAGGCGCCGCTGGACCTCACCTGTGGACCTCTCACAGCCCTTCCGAACCTCGAGCGCGCCGTGACCAAGGGCTTCCAGGCCGCGCGCGCCGCCAAGGTCGCCGCCACGCCCGGCCGCACGCCGGCGTCCATCAACACCCCAGCCGCGGCCATGACTCCTGCTGCGACAGGTGGTGCTGGCGGTGCTGGGGCCGCGGCGCCGAGCCAGCGCACAGTCGTGTCGACGATGCCCCCGGCCTTGCGGCTCGACAGTGGCACGTCCGTCCTCTGTACACTTGCCGTGGTGCAGGATGTGCTGAGGGCTATGGCGGCCGAGATAGAGACGGCGATTGCATCTGCGTCCAAGTAGATGTTAGCATGATGCATTTCATTAGCATAGCGTGTGGGTCGTGGGGCCGAGTGGGGGTGAGCAAAGCAGCACGTAGCAGGGGGAGGAAGGGAATGAAGGAAGGAAGGCAGGCACCACCAAGGCAAGGAAGCTGCTCCTGTCACGGACCGAGCAGCGTGTCAGTAAAGTCCACAACAAGCACACCATTCGCAGCCGCACAGCACAAGCTAAGTAGATATCACTGCATGCTGCCGACTCTCTCTTTATCTCATAGTTAGGCGCCGAAGGGGTTCTCGATCTCTGTGAATGGGTCAGAAGGATGAGGAGCGCGAGGGACCCACCAGCGGAGCCATCGGTGGGGCTAATGAGGACAACGTTGGGGCCACGGAGCACAACAAGGCCGAGGTTACGCGAGGGAAGGGCATCGTCTGTGGTTTGTCAGTTACAGGACTACACGGAGGCCGCCCAGCTCACTCTCGTAGCTCTCCACCACTTCGTCCATGACGAGGTTCATGAGCTGGTCGTAGCCCTTGAGCACACCGGTGACTGGGCTCGTTAGCTCTGACGACATTCAACCACAACCAAGCTACTACTCACCCTCACGCCCGCCGGCAAACTTGACACGGATGCTCTTGTCGACGTAGAGAGCGAGGTTGAGGATGCTCTCGCGTTTCTTGGGACCCTCGTTGCGGCCGCCGGCGCCGCCGCCCCGTCCTCCACGCATACCGCCGCGACCACCCTGTTCGATGTCAGCAACTACCAACTATCTTTCTATGTTATACGTACTCTTGAAGACATGGCTGGTTGAGTGACTGGGAGAGTTGGTGGTTGTATGAGATGGGTGGCTCGAGATTGATGGTGCTCAACAAGATGTGGTTGCAGGCGGAATCAAATGGGAGGCACAGGGAAACTGGCTGGCGGGGGTGTCCATATGGCGTCGACGGCCAGGACCCACCGCCGAGGTGGAAGGAAGCCACTCTTTCCATCGTCCGTGTCTTGCTCACTACCCACCACACACAGCCCAAGACGACATGTCCCAGCCTCCCCAGGACCTCTCCTTCAAGGGTACGTTGGCTGTTGTTCTCTGGGTTCTCTTCTAACAGTCCCAGTCCTCAACCTCCTCAGCCGCGAGCGCGGCGTTTACGGTCTCCGCAATGGCGACCACGAGCGCTACCGGTACGTCCATGGAGTCTGCTGAGATCATAAAAACGTCCTCGGCTGACACCCACTTAGCCATCACTGCGCGAACAAGCTCCACCGCCTGCGCCAGGTGACCGGGCTTACCTCGGGCAAGGGCAAGGTGTACAAGAAGCCTGCTCCTATCACTCTCGAATCGGTCAATGACGTCCGGTAAGCTGGGCTACCTCCTGGGTCAATGCTAACAGCCAGTCACCTCCAGCTTGTTCTGTTCACTGCCGAGCGTGCGCTCGCCCACTCACACGAGTTCAAGGCGCAGCTCGCCAAGCCCAACGCTCCCAAGGAGACCCGCAAAGAGCAGATCTCATGGCTCCGTCGTGCGCTCAAGTCGTCGGCCCAGCTGCACTCGATCTCCCAGGCTCTTGCCGCCGAGTCCCCCGCCCGTCTCTCGCAGCAGACCCTCGCCGAGGTTACCATCTACTACCTCTCGCTCCGCGCCGAGCTCAACTTTGAGCGTGCCGCTTACGCCGACGTCCTCGCGGACCTGGCCGCCCGTCGCCGTCTCCTCAACACCCTCGCGGACGCTGCACGCGACTCGTACGACCAGGCCCTCGCCGTCGAGTTCATGGACGCGTACGACCCCCTCATCCGTTTCAGCGCGTACAAGCTCGGCCGCACCGAGTCGCACGACATTGACGGCGTTGTCGCTGACATTGACAACGACATGATGGAGGAGGCCCTCCCCGGTCTCGCCAAGCTTGTCGATGGCCTGCGCGCCGAGACCAACGTGGCCGAGATCGAGGCCGGTCGCCGTACGCTCGACGCTGTCGAGTTTGCCGGTGACAAGGTCGAATTCCGCAATGCCGAGATTGTGGACGCCATGCTCCGTGTACAGGACGCTCTTGGTAAGCTCAAGGGCAAGGCCGACACTGGCAAGGGCCGTGGCATGAAGGGCTGGGACCGCGTTCTCGGCGTGCTCGGCGAGGCCGAGGGTGTCGCTCGTCGTCTCCTCGATGACCACGAGGCCTCGGGCTCGTCTGCCAACCTCCGCTCCACTCGCACCGGCCAGTCCCTGTCGCTCGCCCACCAGTACATTGTCTTCCTCCTCCTCTCGCACCGTATCCGCCGCGACCTCTTGCTTGTTGACACGCTGTCTGCATCGTCCCACCTCCCTGCCAACGCCACCGACTTTAAGATCCCCGGTGGCCGTGCCAAGGTCGAGGAGGCAATCAAGGCCCTCGCTGCAGTGGTCAAGCTCTACGACACTGTCCTGCAGAGCTTGAGCCAGCTGCGCAGCCTTGCCATCGTCGAGGAGAAGGAGGGTGTGAGGCGAGCCGCAGAGGGCGTCGAGGCCTACTTCCACGCCACCAAGTGCTTCCAGCTCGCTCGCCTCCACTGCGTGCACCCCACCCCTTCGTACGCTTCTGCCACCCAGCTCCTGTCCACCTCGACCAACCTCGTCGGCCAGGCAAAGGACTCGCTCTTCGCCTCGGATGTCGCTCTGCAAGAGGAGGTTGTCAAGCTCTCGCAGGCGGACGTCGACGGTCTCGGCGAGCGTGTGGCCGCCCTGGAGCTCGCTGCCAAGCGTGCCCTCTTCTCGCAGACTGTGACCAAGCCCGTGTTCTTTGACACGGCGTTCAACTATGTCGACCTGCCCATGGAGGACCTTCTTGACCATGCTGGCAAGGGACTGACCAAGCCCGCCCCCGTGGCTACCCCCAAGATTGTTGCGCCGAAGCCTGTGGCTGCGGCGGCCAAGCCTGCCGTTGGTCGCGAGAAGACTCGTGAGGCGACTCCTGTCCCTGACACCGAGGAGCCCGCCGCTTCTGCCGCTCAGCAGAAGGGCTGGCTCGGCGGCTGGTTTGGACGCAAGTAATTGTAGTGTCGTAGTACGGTATCTCTCTTAAGCAACTGCATGCATCTGGGGTCTCGAAAGGCGCGTCTCTTGAGTTTGCTGCGTGCGTGTGGGTGCGGAAGAGTGGCGGTTCGAAAACATTCCCCCGGCCAGGACGTGCCGCCCGCCGCTCGCGCGAATCGCCGTCTGAGCCATGACGCAGATGCGAAAGAGCATCGTCGCCCCCATCGGACCCGATCTCGTCCATCCTAGCATCCCGTCCACATCCTCCATCATCACCAGTCCGCCGCTGCCTACCTAGCACACACATGCCCGGGCCCTCGGGACACTCGCGGCGTCGCGCCCGCGGCTTCAGGCAGCATGGCGGGTCGCGCGTATCCTCGTCCAACGGCGACCCCACCGCGGGAGCCGACGAGCCGACGCCGCGCTCCGCCGTGGAACTCTTCCAGTGAGTCCTTGTGTGTCGCGGTTGCTGTGATATGGAGACATCCAGTCACACGAGCTGACAGTCGCAAGGGAAGCGCAGGACGCTAGCTCCGAGCTCAAGCAGCTCCTCGGCGCTCAGCCGCCGTGGTCGCGTGAAGCTGATGCCGTCCGGCAACGGTGAGTCCCACATCGTCTTTGCCTCTTTGCAGCCGAGCTGAACATACATTTAGCGCGCGCATCGCACTGCTTGCTGTCATCTTTCAGCACCCACTGAGCCCCCATGCCCAGTCGATTGACACGCTGTGGTTCAACACGACCTACTCTCTCATCTCCGAGTATCGAGAAGTGGTAGCAAGAATCGAGGCTGCGCTCCCACCGCCGCCTGCCCGGCGCGGCGGCGGAAACGGCGGCCAGAAACAACAACATATGGGCGGCGGCGACGCGGCTGCCGACTTGCGGCGCACGCTCGCGCGCTTTCGGTCTCTGCTTGTCGCCGAGGACACGTTCTATCGCTCGCTCGCGACCCGTATCGTCGGCTTTTATCGCCTCCAGGACAACGCTGGCGAATACCTCGCCCTCGTGGGCATCCCCGTCCCTGCCGTCGGCGCAGAGGAGGACCCGAGCCTCGCGCCCCCGCTCAGTCGCGAGGAGAGCGAGAAGAAGCTCGCAATAGTGTACAAGGCCCTTGTGTACCTCGGCGACTTGGAGCGTTACAAGGAGCAGTACAGTGAGAAGGCCAGGCGCGAGGCGCGCGACGGCACATCGCCCCGTGACACAGAGCGGTACACTCGCGCCGTCATGTTCTACGAGGTCGCACGCGGCTTGCAGCCTGATAACGGTGGGTTATACTTAATTTCATTCCTCCTTGGGCCAAAACTGAACAAGACCCTCACAGGCCAAGCGTTCAACCAGCTCGCAGTGGTGGACGGCTACGTCGGCGACAACTTTCACTGTACCTATCACTACTTCCGCGCACTTGCTGTGCGCCAACCGTTTCCCAGCGGCCGGGCCAACCTCGAGCGCGTACTCAAGAAGGCGTTTGACCGCTGGCGCGCGAGGCGGCACGCAGGCGAGGGCGGTAGCAACGACGATGCGTCCGACCCGGCGCTCGACGAGGCAGACGCCTTCAAGCGCGACCTCTTGACTATTCTCGCGATTCATTTCGTCAAGGCTGGGTGCGTTATTGCTTGCTTTGAATACACTGACGCCCAGAACGTCCCACCTCCGTCAGCTCCGTCCAGAACTTCTCGACCGCTTTGCGCTGTGTCTCCGCAACCGCCAACTTCCGTCCGAGACCATTGTCAAGACCACTGCCATGGCGATTGGGTCGCACTGGCAGACCCGCTTTGACCATCCTACTGTGTCAGAGACCGATCCCAACGAGGCCGCCAAGGTGTCTGAGCGTCGCCGTGCCATCGAGGAGATTGCTCTGAGCTTCCTCCTTGCCATCTTCACGGTCCTCGTGTCCGTTTCAGCCAGTGAAGTGGAGGACTCGCTGGCAGCACAGGCCGCTCTCCAGGACGACTCGGCGCTCGCCACGGACGATGAGCCGAGAGCTGACGAAGAGCGTGACGGTACGTTGGCACTTGCCCAGCGTATCACGGCCGTCGTTCGTCGTATCCTCCCCTCGCTTCGTATCCTCTCGCGCTGGCTCAAGTCACACTTAGAATACATTGCCAGGGCGTCGTCAAGCAGCAATCCCGAGCTCCGCGCGACCATTGCGACCTTTTGGACGGAATACAAGCGCCTCATGCTCGGTCTGGCGCGACTCTTCCCGCTCATCCAGCTGCCTGGCCTCGACGAGCCTCTGGAGGAGGACCTCGACATGCGCGGTTTCCTCCCTCTCCGCCGCGGCCACGCCGTCAGCGGCTCGGGTAACCCCGAAGAGTTCAATGGCGAGAGTCCAGGCAGACAAGAGGTCCACCCCAACGAGGAGCAGCTCATGCGCATCTCGGACCTCTTGGTGGACGTCAAGCTGCTCATGCAGACCGAGGTGAGTTTGACAAGAGTGGATCGGCTGACTCTTAGGCGGGAAGTGCTGCTCTCGATAACGGCACTCCCTTGCCCACTGCGCCATTCATCGCGCAGCCTGCTGCTGACGAGGCGCGGTCAGTGTCGGTCAGCACTGAGACCGAGGACGATCCAGTCAACCTCGCCATGCGCGCTACCCTCACCGAAGGTAGCAGTGTCGGAGACGAACAGCAGGAGTTTGAAGATGACGACGAAGAGGTCATCATGTGGGGCAGGAGGTAAGCTACTCAGATCTTTCCTCAGCTGACATTCAGTACCCCCGTCGGCGCGCAAGGTTCGCCCATTGCCCCTCCTCCAGCCCATACCGCACACGAGCTCTTACAGAACCTCTCGCTGGCGCCGGCTCCGCCCGTGCAGCAACCGCCTCCCTTACTCTTCGGTGGTGACTTGTCCGGCTCGGGCAGCATCTGGACCATGAGCCGCGAAGAGTCACAGAAGGGAGGGCAGCGTACCACTCAGCCCATCGCTCCAGCTCCTGTGCACCCCATCTCAACACTGTGGCAGTATGACGGCCCACCCAAGGAACAACAGCAGCAGCAGCAGCAGCCGCCGCAGGTCAACTTTGCTCACCACCCCATGGCGGCATGGCCCCAGCAGGCAGCGCAGCAACGTCCGACCCAGTATCAGCAGCCGAGCCAGCCTTCGCCCCCCGTTCCGCCTGGACTCACGCCCCCAGGTTGGGGTCAGCAGCACATGCACCCCCAACACCAGCACCACCATCACCAAGCTCCGCCGCATCTCTCCCAGCAGCACATGCAGCAGCCGCAGCAGCCGCAGCCTTTCGGCCAGCCGCAACAACAGCCGCAGCGTCCCCCTATCGCCCAGAACATGAACATCTGGGGCGCGCCTGACGCTGGTACCGCTGGCGCGGCATACCAAGCTAGCCGTCCAGGTCCAGCCATGTGGTCGTCGTCCATGTACCAGGCGCCGTGAGCACGGATACAGGCGGGAGCAGCCTCGCTGTCTCCCATTCCTTGTCCATACCCATTCAGGCCCTCTGCGGCCCCGTCGGGGGATGGTACCATGCGGACCAGACAAACTCGCTACGGCGACAGCACTGCGCCTGTCGTCGACGTTTCGCCTGGCTGTCGATTTGTTTTTCCTTACCGCGAGAGCAAGCAGGAGGGCCCGCCCCCTTTTCAGTGCTCCCCTCTCTCTTCCCACCTCTTGCACAGGAATACAACTCACCAACCTTTACCCCCCAGCGCTTTCTCCCCCCCTCCCATGTGTCGTTTGTGAACCCCCAACCCCAACGTCTTCTCTTTCTGTCGTCCACGTGTCCTGTGTGTGCGGGAAAAAGAATGTCCAAATGCAATATGTCTTTTGTTTTTGTCTTCTTCATTGGGTCAATCAACAGTGCTAGAATGGTGCATGCGTGATGGTACTAGTCGTCAATCTCGGGGACCTCGGAGGGCTGCTCAAAGACACGGAGCCAGCCGTCCCACTCGGGCTGCCAGGCGACGGGTGTGGCGGGCTTGACAATGTTCCAGCCCTCGAGACCGCCGTGCCAGCGGAGCTCGCGCTTCAGACGCTCGGCACGCAGGTCCTCCTCGGTGACAATGGGCTTGTCGCTCTTCTTCTCGTCGTCGGTCAGGTCACGCTCGCCACGGGCAAACTGGCGCGCAGACTCGATCCGCTTGGCCAGCTCGGTGTAGTATTCGTCCTGGGCCTTTTTGTTGCGCTCGGGAACCTGGTTGTACTGCTTCTTGTAGTACTGTTCGGCCTCGATGCCAAAGTTGCTGTCGGCCTCGTCCATCGGGCGGGTCTGGGACATGATGAGCGCGTACGCGGCCTCGGCACCGGCCTTGACGCGCTTGCGCTCGGTGAAAAAGTCGTAGATCATGTGCGGGATCTGCTTGAAGCCGAGGTGGTTGACAAAGGGGACGAGGAGGATGGGGGGCTGCGCCGGGAGCTGCGCGGGCGCGGCGTGCAGGTGCTCGGGGATGGCGATGGGCTGCTGCTGGCCACCCTGCTGAGGGGGCACGGCGGAGGGGAGGGGACGGGCGAGGAACGAGAGGTTGGTGTGGGAAGGGGCAGTAGTCGAGGGGGCAGGAGCAGCAACGTCGGCGGCGGCGGCGGCGGCGGCAGGAGCCTGCTCGGCCTCCATGACCGGCTCGTCAAAGACGCCGTCGTTCTTAATGTCCTCTGTGACATCCTTCTCCCACGACCACTCGCCAACACCGCCGCTCCAGCCAGCACGGAGACCAGAGAGGTACTCCTTGAGCGCCGGGCGGCCGACAAGGATGGTGCCGCCCTCGAGCTCGCGCTGGGCCGCGGTGGCCGGGTCGAGCTGGCCAGGGAGCGAAATGAGCTCGTCGGGCGCCTCGAGGCCCAGCGCCTGGCGGCGTTTCCTCAACGTGTTGGCATGCACGATACGCGAAATCGAGCCGTACAGGGGGGCATGGACCTGGTCGTAGTCGATGGCAGCGGCGACAAGGTACGGCTGGGGGGAGGGGGGGTCAGAAAAGTCGGAAGAATGACATGTGGTGGTCACGAGATGCGTCGGCGCTGCTCCTCCTCCTCCTCCGCCTCATGGTATAGATCCAACTCACCTTGACGTATTTGCGGAAGTGACGGAGAGCACGGTCCGACTCGTCGTCCTCGGGCCAGCGCGCGCCGTACACGGTCACCTTGCGGGGAATGTCGAGCGAGCCCGACATCTGCTGCTTGGACAGGTACTCGACCTTGTCAATGTACTCTTGCCTGATCTGCTTGCACTGCCTGCGGTCGTCATAGTACATGTACGAGATGGTGCCGACAACGGTGAGGAAGATGCACCAGTTGCGCGATGGCATGCGGGGCTTGGCGTTCAACCACGAGCGGGGAAGACCAGTGTGCTCGAGAGCACCACGCCAGCCCTCAAGAGGAGGGAGGGGAGCCCTCGGTGCGTGGCCGGGAAGGGGGCCTGCAGGCTTTGCGGGCTTGACGTCCGCGGCGGCAGGCGCACCGGTAGCAGCCGGGGTCGCTGCAGGTGCCGGGGGAACGGCAGGACCCGCGTTGGAAGGCGGCTCGGGTGTCGACATGGTGGTGTAGATGAAAGAGGGATGATGTCGGGACGGCCGAATTTTGGAAAAGTCAGAGCGGTTGGCCCGGTTCAGTCCAAGTCGTCCCTCCACACTCTAGACGGTGGCAAAATACCCCGATTCTGGTCTCGCTAATCATTCACTTGTATCGCAAACTGGATAACATGCCCTCTGCCATATGCTACAACGAGAAAAAGAATGGGACGCGAGACTATGCACTGGAGTTTTGAGAAGCTTTTCAGACCAAGCATGGCCTATTCTAGAACTGCACACTTTTGCCCGCTTAACGGCGGGGGTAAAAGCCGTGAGGCGGCTGGTGCTGTGGGTAACCTCCATGCTGGGGGTGCTGGGGGTGCTGAGGGTAGCCCTGCGCGGCCTGGGCACGGTAAGGGGGAGGAGCGTTGGGAGTGTCCATGCCCATCGACGGACGGCGCGTCGTGGGGGTTGGAGCGGGCTGCTGGTGCCACTGCTGCTGGGGGTGGTGCTGGTGCTGGGGGTGGTGCTGGTGCTGGGGGTGGTGCTGGTACTGCTGCTGCTGCTGCTGAACAGGAGGGGGTGGAGGGGGAGCGAAGGCAGGAGCGACAACAGGCGCGGGGGTAGGAGGAGCGGGGGTGATGACTGGCTTTTGCTCGTGGGTCGTGTCATGCGACTTCTTGGCGATCTTCTGCGAGCGGAGCCCCTGGACAACGTCCGAGGGCAGCGCATCGCGGGAGATGCCGCCGTTGTCGTCGCGGTACGAGGCATCCCTGTCCTCCTCGAGACGACGCTTCTTGGACAGGGGGGCTTCGTCGGCCTCGAACTCTTCCACAGCCGAGATCTCGCCGGGCTGCTTGATGCGGGCGACGCCATCGACATAGTCGAACATGAAGTTTGACACCTTGCTGTTCGACATGATGTCATGGAACTCGCCACGGATATTCATGCGCATGCCGTGGATGGCGCGCGCGAGACGGCTCATGGACATGCAGTGCATGCGCGTGAAGATGAGGTACGCGGTGAACCAGAACTCGACGGGGGCGACACGCTCGTCCACTCCGGCGAAAGCCTCGTCATAGTGGTCGATCGCAATTTCAAGGAAGATGGACATGGCCATCTCGATCTTGCGGCGGAAGGCCTTCTCGGGCTGAACCAATAGGTCAGTAAACATGTACACGGCAACACGGAAGGTAGCTCACGGGGTCGACACGTTTAAGGAACTTGGTCTGGGTGGCCGCCGTGGGCACGACGCGGGCGGTGCTGTGGGCGATCATGATAAAGGCCACAAGGAACTGGAAGGCCTTTGCGCGTTTCGTCGAGAACTTTGGCAGCCTGTCGGCGATGGTGCCCGAGCCGGTGACATATTTCTTCTGGAGCTCCATAATCCACTCGCGCCACGGGCCCGGGAGAGCCTGGAGCTTCTCGGCCGCAGTGAGAGCCATACCGAGCTGAACGCGCTCTGGACTGTTAGCCATAATATGTTGTACGGTGACTCACGGAAGATGTCGCGCTGCTTGTCGACGGGCAGATCGTCGTACTCGACAATCTGGATGGAGACATTGTCAAATTTACGCTTGAGAGTAGCGGGAAGGAGGTTCCGGTGGTTGTGGCCGGGGAAGTTCGTGTAGTAAAACCTCTGGCCCGTGGCAGGCGACTTGAACGAGATCTGGCCAGAGATGAACCTCATGATGGACGAGCAACGCTGCTTGCCGTCAATGCAAACGCGCTCGTCCTCGCCCGAGCCGTCTTCCTTCTCCTGGACGGCGAAGATGACAGGGGGAACGTAGTAATTCTGACATTAGCAAGGGTAACGCCAATGTGGCTGCTCACCAAGAAGAGACTCTGGATGAGAGACTCCATCTTCTCCTTGCTCCAAACGACCTCACGCTGGTAATCGGGGTTGAGGTTTACATCCCCAAACTCGATGAGGTCTTTTTGCGCGTTAGCATGAAAGTGAGATGTAGGTGGCAACGACAGCGCGTTGCTTGATCAGGCGCGCGCAACCAGGAGCGCAAGGTCGCCCGGGGCTGAGCACAAGACCCCGCCACATGCCCCCGGCGCTGCACAGACGTGCCGCGCCTACAGCAACAGGCTACGGCGCGGCCGTCTAACGCTCGAGACGTTGGGGTGCAGTTGCAACCGTGCTCGGCACTTGCGCGGGGAGGACCCCAAGCCAAGCCAGCCCAGGCGGCAGACGTCAACGCGCAGAACAGACACGCTGTGTCCGGACGCGCGATAACAAGGCAACCGCGCTTGGGGAGGCGAAGCGCGTGACACGCGACAAGCTCGCAGAGCGCGCGCGTGCGCGGTGTGGCAAGTGCGCCGTCACCGAAAAAACATTTCGAGCGCACCCCAGCGCATACCAGCGCGAGCGCGCGCGTTCAAAACTCACCATTGAGCTGGCGGAGGTTGACCGTCTTGAAGCGCGGTTCCTTCAGCGATCCCTTGAGCTGAACGGAAATGTCGTTGCGGTCGGGCTTCTTGTCGACGTCGTCGTCTTCGTCGTCCGAGAAGAGTTCGTCGAGGTCGTCGTCCGACAGCTCGGGGTCGGCGACGCGCGAAGAACGAGACGAAGAAGGCATGGTGTGCGGGAGACGATAAGACGAGGTCGGACAAAGGAGAGAGAGGAATGCGGCGAGCAAAAGTGGAGGTCCGCGAGGCTTGGCTCGGAAAAAGTGTACTAAACAGAGAGGAAAAGGTTCCGAGTCTACTGACCACTACTGATAGGTGGTGGTGGGAGGATGGATGGATGGTGGTGTGGGAGGATGGATGATTGACAAGAAAGAGGAAGAAGGCTAGAGGGGGGACAAAGACACACTTGACAGTGGGTTATATGTGCGCAGGTCCATCCGAAGCCTCCCCCTTTGGCCTTTGGTGCATGGGAACAGATTCAGGGTCCAAGGGGACACTTTTTTCCCACACACACAGACCACCTGACCCCTTTGTCCACCCTTTGTCCACCCCACCTGTCTACCCTGTCCACTGTCCCACTGTCCCATGGTGTCCACCCATTGCACATTTGGGTGGGACAATTGCCCATCAGAAGGGGGGGACATTTGCCACTGTGCGCATGGGGACAGATGATGTGCTCAGCTGAGCCACTGGCTGCATGGCGGCGGCGGCCTGCCATTGGCTCCGCTCGCCGCCACCCAGCCAAAGCGGGGGTGGGAAGCACAGAGCCAGGCACGGCGAGGACACACTTTGTCCACCTCCCGGCACGCGGAAGCAAACTCGGCAACATGCGTTGCCCATGGTTGTCCCACCATAATCCTCTCGTCATGGTGGCAGCACTAGCTTCAGCACCTGCCTGACCCAGCCGACTTTGCACATCCTGCCTGTATGAGTTGTCGCATGTTCACTACCAATACAACGCCCGCAATGGCGTGCACGTCCTATTTCCGGAAAACTGTGCCCCGCGGCCCCCGCTCACTCGCCTCGGCCGGTCGACACGTCGTCGTCCGTCGGCCGGCGTCCTCGTCTCCCTTCTGTCCTTTCCCCCTCTCTCTCTCGTCTACTCTTCGCTGTCGTCGCTGTCGTCCTCGTCATCCGACATGCTCTCCTTGAGCATCTCGAGAAGCTCATGTGCCTCGGAGAGTTGAGCGTTGAGAATCGCCTGGCCTTCGGGGATGCTGCCATCGTCGGCAAGGAACTTGCCGTCCTTGCGGAGCTGGTCGACCTGGTGGAGAGCGAGGTGGTACGGGTAGAGATCACGCGGGCTGTATGGGCCGCCGTACTTGAGCACCTCGTTGAGACACTTCTTGATCGTCGACAACTTGTTGGCCTAGACAAGGTCAGCCAAGGCACTAGGCAGCCGTCCTATACACTTACAATCGGCATGAGCTCCTCCGAGATGGGCTCAGATTCAGACATGAGGCGGTAGATGAGACCGTAACACCGCCGCAAGAGGAAGAGTAGCACCTGTATAGTCAGCACTGGGGGACTGGCAATGTCGTGTGAAGAACCAATGTACTCACATACTGGCCCTCGGCCTTGTTGCCGTCCGCGTCCACAAACTTGCCGTCGACACGCATAGAGTCAATGTCACGCAGGGAAACCGAGTAGCTGGAGGACATGGTCAACACAGGGACTTGGGGACATTTTGTGTTGCTGTTGTTGCTTACTTGTAGAGGTCCGTCTCGCGCAGAGTCCAGCGGTGAGTCAGAGCTGCGATAACGGTTAGCCGACGTAGGCGAGGTTTGTGACCAAGAAAACTTACTCAGCTGTTCAAGCTGCTGCTTCATTGACGTCAGACGCTCCCAGATGGGCTTGAGTGGAGGGCTAACGTCCTCCTCGGCCTCGCGCGCCTTGATATCCTGGACAATGTCGAAGCAGGCATCGAGTAGACCACTGAGCAATGCTTGGCCCTCGGGCACCGAGGAGCCGCCGGGACCGAGGAACTTGCCATCGACGCGCTTTCTGGTGGCAAAGGTCAGCAAGGGGGTGACGTAGGCGGGAGCATGCCGAGGTGTGAACACGTACGAGTCAATGTTGCGGAGCTCCTCGACAATGCGCTTAAACTCGGCCTTGCTGGGCTTGGTGTCTGTTGCCAGTGCCATAAGTTGTTTGCGGAGCAGAACCAGGCGGTTGTGAAGTGGGACGAGCTCTGCGTTGAGCACCGACAGCGACTCCATGAGCGAGTCGAGGATCGCCTCTGGAAGAGCAGATGTGTCAGCGGCGTTTCCCTGGGCAACATTACACTGCCAAGAGCAGGTTGCTTTGTGGGCCCACTTACCAGTGCCGTCGAGCTTCTTGGACATGTACTTGAGCATGGCCTCTGGATGCCGTCCCTCTTCGTGGTCATTCTTGATAATCTCCCTCAGCTCGTTCAGGCGCTCGCGGAACACGAGCAGGTATTCCTCGGTGTAGATGCCAGACTCGTCCATGTGACTCAGGATTTGCTGCCAAGACCGTCAGCATTCATGTATTGTTTGGTGCGGGGGCCGCGCGCGCCCACCCGATATTCGGGTGGCGTGTCCTCCCCCACCGCCAACGTCTTCTACTTACACGCATGCTGGAGATCTGGCAGTAGACAGCTGGGCTTTCACGGCTCTTGCCGACGGTAAGAAACATGAGCGAGATGAGAGCGAAGACGTCGGCGATGATAGCGTCGACGCGGTTGGGCTCGAGGTTGCGCTTGGTGTCGCCCGAGCTGAGCGCCGACTGGGAGCTCTCTTCGCGAATGGTATTCAGCTTGGTGACTGGGCGATCCGTGTCAGCGATGTCCGCTCTCTCGGGCGGCAGAACATGAGAGACTCACCTTGCTTGACGACCTGCGAGTAGATGGACATGACATCTTGAGCGCGAATGAACTTGGTGCTGTCCTGATAACGACAGGTCAGCATCTCCCGTGTCGTCAAAGGGTATCACCGACACACTTACCTTCTTGAGCAGCTTGAGACGGTTGTTAATGTTGATGAATGCTTCGAGGACCGGAAGTTCCTCCTGTGGAAAGGGAGTGGTGGTTAGCGCGCAGTTCCACACATGACGCAGCCAGCATCGTTTATCGGCTGATATCTCAACCGGCCAAGGGCGACTTACCTGAGGCACCATGTTGGACATGATGGTGTGTTGTTAATGTGCAACTGGCCGTGCACAAGGATGGTAAAATGGACGTAGGGGGGAAGTGGGGAGAAAAAAAGTCACGGAGACTCGGTTGGGACGTCGTCGTCGATGGCCAAACGTGCCAAGAGGAAGCCGCGAGGATACGAGTCGAACGTGGGGGGGATGTGGCCGAAGACCGAGGCCGCAGGTATGTGCTGTGTGTGCGTGGGGGGTTGAAGCTAGTGTGTGTCTGGCCCAGCAATGGACGGGCTGGGGGATGTATGTATGGGGGTGGTTGTCTGGAAAGGTTATGAGAAGCGGTGGAGGGAGAGAGAGAAGGAGAAAGCGCGGTGTGAAGCAAACGGTGTGTTCTCTGTCTCTCTGCGGATCTCTGGCGTGTGTGGTACTTTAACCGCGTGTGTGTGTGGATTTGGATTGGATTGTAAACCCAACGGATGCATGGAACACACCCACCCAGGCGAGTGGCCAGAGATTGGAGATTGGCGCTGGGCGGCGGCGCGCGGGCGGGAGAGCATGGGCAGCTCGCAGGCGCGGGACGGGGCAGGCGTGAGAGAGCTGGAGCCAGAGAGCGGGCAGAGATCCGGCTCCGATCGATCACACAGATCCCTATGCACACTCTAAAAGGGGAGAACAAAAAGGGACAGGCGGCTGCAGGCGGCAGGCACTCTTTGGCTATTTGCTAGGAGGCAGTTTGTAATGGGTGACAGTGTCTTGCAAGTCCTGTTTGTAATTCAGTTCTAATTGCAGCCCCGGAAAGGTGTGGGTGGGGAGGCGGCCAAGACTGCCAAACAGCACCAGGCCACAGCACCGCAGGGCAGGTGCGGGATGCCACGCGGCCATTGCGTCATTGATGCATTGTCCCTGGGTGTGTGCGGTCAGAGCCTGGAACACACAACACACAGCACACACACGCACAGGGCGCGCCCGGAGCCGGGCTCGCACGGCGGTGTTTCGGCGTTGAGGCTGGTTGTGGCACCTTTTTGGCGGAGAGGCGAGAGAGGGTCAATGCACGCTAGGTGGGAGAGAGAGAGAGCGGGATCAAAACATAACACCCAGCGGGGCATCAGAGCCGCGCTTCCCTGAGTGCTGCAGCGAGACACACCACACACACCCAGAGCGGCGACAGCCAGCCAGCCAGCCAGCCAGCCCGCCAGCCAGCCCCGCGCCCCCGCGCGCCAGGCCACAGGCAGAGGCAGCCGGCAGCCAACAGCCAGGCGAGACGACACACACACACACACGCACCCACCCACCGACCCCACCCCTTCTCTCCCCCGCCCGCCCACCCACACCCCCCCTCTCCCCCGTAGCAACCACCCACCCACCCGCCGCTCTCTCTTTGCACTTCATTCCTCGCCTTCTAATACCTCCCATCCACAACCCCCCCATCCACCCCTCTATCATCCTCTTCTCCCCCTTCCTACACCCATCCGTGAGTACCCCTCCCCCTCCCCACCAACGCATGCCGCATCCACATCCACAACCCCCCGCGCACCACCTCTCGACACCGTCCGGGCCCGCCCCATCACCGTGCCACGACACTGGCCCCCCTTTCTCTCTAGCGGGCCCCTCGCGAACGCGACGGCGCGTCGACGCCCGTCCATCCACCAGCACACGCGCCGTCTCGAGTCTCGAGACCACAGCCAGACGCGACAAGAGAAGCTGGACACCGTCCCCAGCCACCGCGTGCTTGTGCACAGCCCTGTGGGCAGGCAGTGTCGTGCGAGCGGACTCGGTTTCTCCCCCCACCCCACCCCCCGCGCCCCAATCGTGACCCGCGCTGACGTCGCGTTCCCATCGTGTCCTTATCGACCTGCTCCATCCAAACATATTCGTATCCTCTCTTGTAACCTTACCACCACTCACTCGAACATCCTTCGGTGTCTCCCCTTCCTGGTCTGGTTCGCCCGCACAGATTCATCACCGTGAGTATTCGTCTACTGTTGATACGACGTGTCGGCCAGGGTAGTACAGGGGTACGGAACGTCGCCGGTGCGGCATGGCGAGAGACAACCGCGCGCGCGCAAACCCATCCAACGCCGCGCAGAGGCTCCATCCACCCTCGTACTGGCGCTGGCCGTGACTGGTGCACTGTGCAGCCTCGTGCAGGCCCAACATGGACCTCCTTTGGCCGTGGGAAGTCGCGTATTGATGGCCATCAAAACGCGTGTACCCGTCGCATTTGGCTTCTCCCCCCGTCCCGAATTACCCCACCCACTTTTGAATACGCGCTGACCCGCTCTCTCTCTCTCCTGTCCTTCCCGCCGCTCTCTTTTGTTTCTATCCGATTCCACCATTCAATCACTCCCTTTTACACCGCCCCGCCACCCATCAATCCCACCCAACAGATGACTGCTAGCCGTGAAGACTCTGTCTACCTCGCCAAGCTCGCCGAGCAGGCTGAGCGTTACGAGGGTGCGTACAAAAAAACGCGGCCGAGTGATGCGAATCTGGCACTGACGCTGTGTCTGCAGAGATGGTCGAGAACATGAAGGCCGTTGCCTCGTCCGACAAGGAGCTCACCGTCGAGGAGCGCAACCTCCTCTCGGTCGCTTACAAGAACGTTATCGGTGCCCGCCGCGCTTCGTGGCGCATCGTCTCCTCCATCGAGCAGAAGGAGGAGTCCAAGGGTAACGAGGCCCAGGTCGCCATGATCAAGAGCTACCGGGAGAAGATTGAGGCCGAGCTCGCCAAGATCTGCAAGGACATTCTCGAGGTCCTCGAGCACCACCTCATCCCCTCGGCCGCCTCGGGCGAGTCGAAGGTCTTCTACCACAAGATGATGGGTGACTACCACCGCTACCTCGCCGAGTTCGCTACCGGCGACAAGAGGAAGGACTCCGCCGACAAGTCGCTCGAGGCCTACAAGGCTGCCTCGGACGTCGCTGTCACCGAGCTCCCCCCTACTCACCCCATCCGTCTCGGTCTCGCGCTCAACTTCTCCGTCTTCTAGTGAGTTCTACTGCGTGGTAACCCAAAGTCGTATCTAACCATTTCCCCTCCAGCTACGAGATCCTCAACAGCCCAGACCGTGCTTGCCACCTCGCCAAGCAGGCCTTTGACGACGCCATCGCTGAGCTCGACACCCTGTCGGAGGAGTCCTACAAGTACGTCAACGTGTTTCTCGCACCCAGGAAAAAGACACTAACAGCCGTCCAGGGACTCGACCCTCATCATGCAGCTCCTCCGTGACAACCTTACCCTCTGGACCTCGGACATGCAGGACAACAGTAAGTTCTCGTGCTACCTCGTGCTTGGAACGTGCCACTGACTTTTTTCTCTCCAGCTGAGGACGCCAAGAAGGACGAGGAGGCCAAGGAGGAGGCCCCTGCCGCTTAAACAAGAGAGATAGCATACACAAAGAGGCTACGGCAACCCACATCCCTTGGGACAACCTCGATCTCCACTGTTTCCCCTCCGCATCTGTCTCAAGTGGCATCAGTCGCCCTCCCGTTTACCCTGTGGTGTTTTCTTTTTTCGTCGTTTCCCCCTCCCCTTCCCCAGCTGCCCAATGAATACTATTTCAGAGAGCCTGGGTGTGTCTTTCTTGCTTAATGAAGAGTCGTGTGAAGCTACATTTGTGCCAAAGGGAACAAGAGCGCGCGGAAAGTGGCACATTGTCAGTTTGTCACGGCGGCACAGGACCGTTTTCACAGAGTTGTTGCTGCACCGAGGCCGTCAGAAGCTTGTGCATGTTTGCAGTGGTTAGAGTGCACTTGGGTACACGTCATGGTGAGGAGCAGCCGCGTCGCTGGGTCGCGTGCTGCCGTGATTGCGAGAGCCATGGCGGCGAAATGGATTGTTTACGAGGGTTGGGAAGAAGGGCCGGGGGGGGGGGGGGGGGGGGGGGGGGGGGGGGGGGGATCTGGCCAGAGGATCCAGAGGCCCCGGCACAATGACGCGCCCCCTGCCCCCCATGTCCAGAAATTTCCCTCAACCTGATTCTTTGCCATCCACACAACCACTACCGCCCACTAACGACCTACCGCCCAACGCCATATCCTGGGCGTACGACCACGAGCGCAGTGCACGCCGTTGTCTAGAGTTTACCTACGAGAGATTTCATACCCCCGTTTTCGAGAGCTCGAGCATCTGCGTCTTCCCTCGATTCAACCCACCCCAGCCCCTGGTCCAGACGTCACCCTCTGTCACCTTCCTCACCTTCCTCGCGTTCCTCACCTTCCCTCCCCACTTTCCCCCGTCTCTCTCACACCATGTCCAGCTCTACCGTTCCGCCCCCTTTTGTCCCCGTGCACGACTCTGAGGAGTTTCTCGCCACCGAGCTCCTCCCGCTCACCTCGGCGACGCTCACGATCCGCATTATCAAGTCGTTTCCCTTCCGCACGACCAAGAACCTCGTCCTCAAGGACGTCGACCTCACGACCATGACTGTGGGCCAGCTCATGGACAAGTGCCGCGAGGGTGAGTGCAGCCGCTGCGCTGGAGGCTGCGTGGTGAGGGTACGGTATTGTGCCCCCCACCACACGCGGAGCTCCAGTGCACCCTTTTTTCCCTTTGTCAACAAAACATCGCCCAGGCTGGTATTGACTCTCTCCTTCAGCCGTGCATTCCCAGGTCGGGTTCAAGCTCTACCGCCAGGTCCAGCTCGGTGGGTGACGTCTTTGTTGTACACCACTGACCCACTCCGTTCCCAGACACGCTGAAGAAGTACACTGTCGCGCACGGCCACAAGACGCAAAACCTCATCATCAACCTGGACCACGATGAGTGGATCCTCTCGGACATGGCGCAGACCCTCGTCGCCGTTGGCTGTGGTGAGTAGCGCAACCTGCTGATGCTGCCTCCATGTGCCTCCCTGCTGGTGAGACCATACAGAGACTGACACCCGCGCGCGCACAGAGAACGAGACCGAGCTGTCCCTCTTCAACCGCGCTGCCTACGACGAGTTCAAGGCCCACCCCGAGGTGAGCTCGACGCTTCTTTGATGGCAAGGACAAGCTGACAATGCAGACCAAGTGGGACTAGATCACCTAGACACCTTTCATTTTAGACACTGTTACATTTCGGGCACATGCATTCTCTCGGGTCTTTGGTTACGGTTTACAGCGAGAACGCCCCCAGGAGGTACTGATGTGTGAGGCGTGGGGTGTTTCTGGCCGCCCAGAGCGGTACTCACTGGTACCGCTGTTACAAGCGTCGTGGTGAGGCTACGCGGGAGGGATCCTATCCTTGTTGTCTGTGAGCAGGGCGTCAGATGATGGGTTGGGGCTTGTCGCCGCTACCTTGGAGTGACTGGGTGGCCAGTTCGCTACAGTACCACACCGCCCTGTCGCGCTGGCCAGTGCTGCTCAGAAGCGACTGAACCACTGGACACAAAGTCACTCCAAGCACGCTGTACTGTCACATCCATCACCCAGTTCTCGCTTCCACCGCACTCCATTACACAAACGCACGCTGCGGCCGCCTCCCGCCGCGCCATATCCCGTACGGGGTTCCACCTCGCTCGGTTGGCAAGTTGAGTACCCGATAAGCTCACCTCACCCCCACGCTACACTACACCGCAGCTCGGCGGAGTAGATGCGATGGGCACATTGGGGCGCTTGTCCGCGCGTCCGCGTCGATGCTACCATGTGGCTTCCTTCCCACGTTATCGACGCGAGATTGTCAGACGGCAACATTCGGGCTTCTTGGCTTGGCTTGGCTACGCCTTCGGGCTTCTCGTCGGGGTGTGTGTGTGTGTGTGGATGTGTATAGCTCGGCACCCACAATCTCAATGTCACTCTGGCGCGCTTTGTCTCTGTCAAAGTCGTAATCGGTGTATGCCAGGTTGTGTGGGCAGGGGCAGTCGGTAGTAGCTTGGCACAGCGAACCGCCAAGCTCACTGGATCGCTGGACCACCGGCACAGGGCGCCCGGCCGCCCCCTTTGGGACAGGACGGTGTGGGCCAACGGCAGAAGCTAGGTGGAATCTAGTACTGTGTTGCATTCAGCCAGAGCCAAACCTACTACACCTGGATAACTACGTGACGGGACCTCAGAAGTGACAGCAGGTGGCAGCACACTCACGCGCCGCACGGTTCCTGATGGCATCAACGTTCTGTACCCACCGCAGGCCACACAGCGAGGCATGTGCTGGTCAGAGCTGTGGTTCTGAGGACTGCTCACAGACGCACCACTGTACCATAGCCACTGGCCACTGGCCCACCGCAGGCAACTGGCTTGACGGTCTGCCCATGCCCATAAAAAACGCCACCCGCCACAACGCCCCACAACCGTGCCCCAGGTGCGTGTCGGGTCGGTGGCAGTTGCCGCCTCTGGCCTCTGGCACGACCAGTGTGTGGCCACTAGTGCGCTGGCGGTGCACTGTGAGTGTGCATTCTGTGCAGTGGCCCACAATGTGCACCGCACCACCACCCAGACATCCAGAGACCAGAGACTACCAGTGCGTCCATAGCTGTTTCGCTGCACGCATGAGCCATCGAAACCAGCGTACCCGCAAGAATGGCTTAATGGTACTGTTTGTGCCACGCTGCAAACTCCCGAGGCGATATGGTGTGCCACACCCAGGGCTCTGGCTACCCGACGATCGCACCCCAGCTCATCCACTCCGTCAGCGTGCGCAGAGCGCAGCGCGCAGCCGTGGCCCGGTTGACGCCGACGGCGGTGGCTCAGGAGACCTGGAGGCCAGGAGGGGCGAAGAGGGGGGTTCCAAGGGCCAAACGCCCATGCGGTACGCTGCGGGAAGAGCGCAGGCAGAGCTGGCAGACTGGAGGCGAGACGTTCTAGCAGCATCCTCGCACCTCCGACGAATGCATTTAGGGTCCTGCGCAAAGGGCCAAGAGGGCACAGTCGAGCATGTGCCGTGTGTGCCCGTGGGGCCCGATTTCTGACGGTGGCCAGCCATCCACAGCTCGTACTGGCCGTACTGGAGTGAGGGAGGTTTGAGTGTGGATACAAACGCAACGCGTCTGTCCGGTGATAACACGCGCGAGATAACAGCATCAGTCGCAGGTCGCACAGGTCAAGCTAAGCAGGTTGGCAACCCACGGCCCAATGTCGCAAACTGCCGGACGTGTGGCTGGGTTCGCGTTGGCAGAGCGCCGGCCAAACCGGGCTTGGCTCCCCAGCTCCCCAGATCCTTTTCTCATCCATTGAATCCACCCGGCCGACGTAGCCACTTGCAGCAAGTTATGGAGCCAAGACGCCGACGAGGCCTCTCGCCATCGCGCCGCGCAGTGACGAGTTCCTCCAAGTGGCTGTTTGCAAGGCCACAGTGACGACGGCGTCACGTCACTGGAATGCTGGCATGGCGATACCCACAGCCTGGCCCCGAGGGGGTGGTGCAGTGGTGGATATGGGTTTGGCGATAAATACTCTCATTGCCAGTGCTCGCTGTCGTGCTCAGATCTCATCCATCACGTGTAAAATGCTACGGTTCCTTGCCAACGGTTAAAAAAGCCCACCTACTCACTGTGGGCACGCAGGGGGGACCTGGCCTGGTGCGACGTGGCCGCTCGGTAGGGCCCTCGCGCACTGGTTCAGAGTCTGCCGCTTCCGAAGAGCGGTGCCCGCGTGATCATTGTGTCTCTCACTTCACCGACGAAGAACATGTTGGTGGGCGGCGGGGGGGATGGATGCGACGAGGTGGGTGACTGGGATCGCCATGAGGAAGCATGCCCACCTCGCTACTGCCCCCTCCCTGTGTTGTTTCATGCACCTCTCCCTTTTGCCGTGCGGCCAGCCCATGCCGCGTCCTCGCACGATCAGTTGCCCGCACACACACACTCTTGTCTCTTCCCCTTCTGCAGCTGCAACCGACTCTGGAGATGGGCTTTGACTTGGGAATTCTCATTTGACTTCTTCTTCTTCCTTACTACTACTACAGTACAGTATCCTCCCTCCCTGACATTGAATTGACGACGATGGGAAAGCCCAGACCCGTATCTAGGGTGGGGTATCCTCTTGGGTGTATGCGATTACGTGCTGGTTTGGTGACTTGGTTGAGTGTTAAATGCAGTGCTGTGGTGGGCACGGCGTCCTTGGGTGCAGAGAAGCGTTTTGAGTCTGCAGCTGCTTGTTGCAGAGGAGCTTACTGCTGGGGTTGGGGGTCAGTTGACCGCGCATGCTATGCTGTGGCCCAACTTACAGCGGAGAAGCCGGCCTTGGTGCGGAGAGGCGAGGTGGAGAGCATGCTAGCGGCGGGCGGGGACTGGGCGACGCCGTACGAGGTGCGGGCGATCGAGGCGAGGTCGATACCCTTCTGCTGGACGCCGCCCTCGCGGTAGCGAAGGGCGTTGGCGCGCTCCTCGTCCGAGACCTGGGACATGCGGCGCTGGCCGGGGCCGCCGAGCGACGACATCGAGTTGGCGGGCGAGGTGGAGACGTTGTCGGCCTCCTCGTCGGCGTCGGCAGTGGCCTCGGCTGAGGGCTTGGCGACATCGGTGCTGTCGTCAAACATGGCGGTCTCGAGCTGGGCGTCGACGCCGCCCTGGTAGGCGAGGTTCTCCTCCTCGGTGAACGAGCCCCAGTTGTGGGGGCCGGCACCGCCCTTGCGCTCGAATTCAGACTTGGTCAGGCCCGTCCTCGAGTGACGGTCCTTGCTCTGGGCAGCAGGGTAGTTGTTACGCTGTGAGAGGTGGTTGTGGAGGTGGTTGTGGAAATGGATGGAGAGACAGGCAATAGGTGGGCGAACAATGAAGGGAAGCAAGGACGGTGGTCAGCTCCACTGCTCGTGTGACGTGCCCGACGAGCGAGGCTTACCTCGGTACGAGTCATCTTGGGCAGATAGTTGTTGTTGGGTTACCGTAAACGGTGGTGGTGGTTGTGGTTGGTGGTTGGTGGTTGGTGGTTGTGTGGACGCTGTTGTGGAACAGTTGATGGAGAGACGGGAGGAGGGGGGCACGCAGACGTGTCTTATATAGGCCACGCTGGCCGAGAGCAGCTGGTCGAGTCGACCCACATACCATACCACCCTGGGGTGTTGGGACATCCTTTGTGTGAGTAGCCCACTTCTACAAGCATCCATCAATGCGTGCAGCCAGCGTACCAGCGTCCGCCCGGGCCAGTCCGGACGACGGGGGTCACGAGATCATCGTCGCTCATCCTCTGTAATAGCGTCAACGTGACGTCAGCGGCACACCCACCCAAACACCCCTAAATGAGGCTATTAGAACAGCCCTTTGTACTCCTAATCAGGATATACAAACAATGGGCGACACAAAACCCTGTGGTTTCCCTGGCAGCGGTGGAGCCGGGGGGGGGGGTGGGGGGGTTTGTTTCCTTAACCCCACAGACGTGGCACCCCTGGATCACATAATCGAGGCATGACAAGGCCATATGAGCCATATTGCCATCTTGAATTGCTGAGGACGCACCAAATCGTACTTGCAAACAGCTCATACATATAACACTTAAATACAGTCTCTCTCTCTGTCTATCTACACGTTCATCCTCTTCTCCTGCTTGCGTGCTTTCCGCCGCGCCCGCCAGCCTGGTTTCTTCTGCTTGTCGCCCACATTATGGAACATGTCTTCGCGCACATTGTGCTCCTGCACAATCGCCAGGAAGGCCGCCTCCGTCGACGCTCTGGGCCCCCGCGTCAGCATCCCTGGATGATGGTTGGCTGTTGTCCACACCCTGGACGTCGGTACGGCGCCCGCATGGACGATCAGAACATGCTCTGATGGCGTTCGTTCCAGGAGATTCCATCTCTTGGCTGCGCGACACCCCTTCCCCCGATCAAATGACGGCCGCGAATTGCAGTCCCCGTCGAATACGCGTAAAGAGCGCATTAGGATGACGCAGTAATCAGGCGGCAGCACCGCCCACCCGACCCTTACACCAAGACAAGCTGACTCGACGAGTCGTGTCACTCCCTGACCATCCATCTCCGATCGTTGCCTTTCCGTGACCGGGGGCGATTCCGAACAACTTGGCTGTAGCAGACTGGAACTTACTCGTGTACTGTCATCTCCACCAACCCGAGCGCAAGCTGTGCCCCCTCCAGGACACCGAGGAACGAGTCGAGCTCGTCTTCTTTGATACCAGGGACCGAGAGGCGGGTGACGGTGTCGAACGAGCGGTGCGCTGGCAACGCGTGGCCCTGGAGGTAGCCTATGACTGGCTCGACTTGCTCAGCGTTGACGTGCACCTCGTACGTCGCAAAGCGCGACTTGAGGGATGCTGGCGTTCCAACAGCTATGACATGGCGTTAGTGGCGGTCCATTGTGCTGTGCCGGACGCGCCGACGCGCGAACCCGGCCGTCTCCGACGAGTGGTGCGAGCGAGCACACACACACACACACACACACTCACCGAGCATCTTGGCCGCAATGATCCCAACGCGCGACGCGAGCGCGTCAACCTCTTCCATGGAGTGTGTCGTCATCACGACGGCACGTTCGGCCGTGAGCGACGCAAGCTGGAAACAAGCGTCAGTCTCGACAGCAACATGACCCCTTTTTGCCGCCGGCTTTTTGCAACGGCACGGTCCGAGCACACTCACCGCACGCCATGCCTCGCGCTTGCTGAAAGGGTCCACGCCGCTCGAAAACTCGTCGATAAGAATCACCGGTCGATCGCCGATAAGCGCTATCATGAGCGACAGCTTGCGCTGGTTACCTCCAGACAGAGCCGGTGCCAGCTCGTCCGTCTTGGCAGTCAGGCCCGACACGGCGAGCAGCACCTCGATGTCACGCTTCAGTGCGGACCGGGGCACACCCTTGAGACGGCCGTACAGCCACAAGTGCTGGAAGACTGAAAAGAAAGAAACGGGTCAGACCGGGAAAAAGCTCGCGCCAGCCGCGGAACGTACCGGTCAAGTTGGCATCGAGAGCATTGACCTGCGGGCAGACACCGAGCGACGACCGTCTGTGGGTAGGGTCAGCATGGCGCAGTGTTGTGTGCCCGCCGCGAACATGCCAGAAAAAAAAAATCAAACTTACGCCTTGTTTCGATCCGTAACAATAGAGTAGCCAGTGACAATAGCTTCGCCGCGCGTCGGCCTCTCCACGCCGCGGATACAGGCCAGCGTCGTCGTCTTGCCTGCGCCGTTCGGCCCGATGAGGGCAAACGTGTCACCTTGCTCGACGCCAAACGACACGTCGTCGACAGAAGGCACGGGAAGCTTGCCAAACTTTTTAGTCAGGCCGCGCACCATGACCGTGTCGTTGGCGGTGCCATACTCGATCCTTTGCTTCTCCTCGAGCACGTCGCTGTCGGGCTGCACGCGCTCGTCTGAGCGAAGCCGCGGCGTGTGCCGGAAACTGCGCAGCCCACGCGCAATGTGACGGAAGAACAGTGGCGCAGGTTTGCCGGAATCGACCCAGACGCAGACGCGGAACGCGAACAAGGCCTGGACAAAGAGGTACAGGATCGGAGCGCCAAAGAGGGATATGTCGCCCAGGTTCTTTTTCGTCGGGTTGCCGGCGCCGTCGCAGAGCAGTTTGAAGAGGTTGAGCGACGCAAAGGCCGCGCGCATTAGGCTGCCAATGGGGTTGATGGCGGCGAACCCGTAGTGCGCGTAGGTCAGGTGCGTGTCGGCGTTGGGACTCTTGTCGTATGACAAGAGGAGAAAGTACATGGTGCTGGCAAATGTCAGCTGCGAAATGAGATCTACAACTCACAAGTAAAGGATGAAGCAAACGGCGTTGAAGAATGCCGTGGCTGCCCACGCCGCCAGCGGGTTCTTGAACAGCAGCGAGAGCATGAACGCCCACAGTACCTGCGCAATAGAGTACAATATTATGACGAGCCATAGCACGCCGAGACCGTGGAATTTGCCGAGGGCCGCAAACACGATCGTGAGGAGTGTCGGAATAAAAATAATAACTGGGAATTCGAAAAATAAGTGGCCAAGCCACAGTCCAGCCGGCTTTGCGCCGTTGCTGTACTGGTTCGCGCGCACTTGGGAGGCCTTCTCCCACGTCGGGTAGATGGCTGCGAAGGTCGGCCACAGGGCCATGGCAAGGCCAAAGAAGACGACCCAGAGCGTGGCCTTGCCAAACCCAGAAGTGTACGGGGACGGGATAAACTGCCAGTTGGTGGCGATGCGGAACGCCTCGTCGCTGGGCTTGAGCTGCTGCATGACCGCGTTGGTGAAGAGGTTCATGGCCGCCAGGCCCTTGACCTGAATTTCGGTGCCCTCAAAGGCCACAATGTTGTCCTTGCTCGGCAAGGGGAAGAGGGACATGCCGCCAAACGTCAGGTTGAACCGCTGAGCTTGAAGGGTTGCGCCAAACGTGGCATTGTCGGGAACACTTTCAAACGTTCCAATCGACTGGGACCAGTTGGAAAGAGACGAGATCCCGCCCAGGGAGATGAGAGGCGGGGCACGGAGACCCACGTACTCGCTCGCTGGGTACACCATTGGGTGGATCTTTTCGACAGTCACGGCGTTGGCACAGGACGAATCACGGTTCTTGAGGAACGACAGTGGTCCACAGGCAGCGCAGACGGCAGCAATGATGACCAAGGCCGGCATGATCCAAGACCGGCGCAGGATGAGGAAACGCTTGTGCGCGACCGATATGGCCATCTCCACCTCGTTGCGCACCCAAGGTCGTTTGCGTCCGGCAGTCAGGAACAGCTGTCCCTTTGTAATGGTGCGCTCGAGTTCCGGTGTGCTGTTCTCCAGGTCGGTGCCCTCGGACGCCGTCTTGGTAAGAGCAGAGCGCGTGGCGGTAAGCTCGGGGTCCGCACCGGGTGCGTCGGATGACTCCAGCGTCGGGTCGGCGTTCAAGTCGAGGAACACCTCCTCGAGGGTTGTGCTGCCGACTTGGAAGTGCATGTTCGGCCGTTGCCGACGTAGCTTTTCCAGTCGCGCAGTCAGGCCGCGAACAAGGGCAATGTCGTTGCTGCCCGTAATGAAGAATGTCCTCCCCTTGCCATACTTGTACGTAACCTCGGGATCCTCCTCACGAAGAACGTCGAGAACCGACATTGGGTCCACTCCAGGCGTGTCCGTCAGGGCGATGGTGAAGCCGCGGCCAAGACGCGTCTTGAGCGCCACGGGACTGTCCACCGCAAGCAGCTGACCGGGAGCCTTGAGAATGGCAATGTTGTCGCCGAGGTAGTCTGCCTCGTCGAGGAAATGGGTCGTGAGGACAATAGTGGCCGTACCGCGGTTGGCAGCAATGAGGCGCCAGATGGCGCGGCGTGAGATTGGGTCGAGACCGCTGCTGACCTCGTCGAGGAGGAGCAGGTCCGAGCCGCCGGCCAACGCGCACGCGAGAGCAAGCTTGCGTTTCTGGCCACCGGACAGGGTCTTGGCGAGCGTGCCCAGCTTCTTGGACAGGTCGCAGTGGGTGAGGAGGTCCAGATGATCCTGCTTGCTCGACTTGCCACCCTGCTTGATGGCATGCCACAGGCGGACGTGCTGCTCGGGCGTGAGGTCGTCCCAGAGCACGTCTTGCTGAGACGCAACGCCAATCTTGAGGTCGTCGGCGTACCGCACCGCACCGCCAGACGTGCTCACCAAGCCCGAGATGGCATTGAGCGTCGTCGACTTTGCAGCGCCGTTGCGGCCCAAAAGGCAGAAAATTTGGGAACGAGGAATGTCAAAGGACAAGTCCTCAATGGCGACCGTCTCGTGCTTCTTGCCAAAGAGCAGATACCTCCGCGACGCGTACCGCTTCCGGAGGTGGTTGATGCTGACGGCAACGCTAGACGGAAGGGCATTGTCGTCGAGGCGCTTGCCAAAGAACCAGCCTCTACCGTGAGTGGGACGAACGTCATAGAGCAGATGCTCAACCAAGACCGCAAAGCAAGGGTACACAAAGATGGCAACGATAGCGACCACCATCAGCGCAATGATGGGAGCGTCGCCGTCGGGACTCTTCTTGGCGACGTTGAGCGTGAGGGGCGGGATTTCCCAAGACCCAAAGGTTCTGAGCGAGAAGATGATGTACATTGGCGGGAAGATGAAGGTGAGCACAATCTCGGCGCCGAGGTTGGAGCCGATGAGCTGGGCGAAGATGGAGAGAAACAGCGCGGCACCACAGCCTGGAGAGTTAGCATTATTGGAAGCTGTGTAACTCACAAATGATAGCAGCAATGGTAGGGTGTCGTGCGAACGGGGCAGCTACGAGCATTGACCAACTGGCCAGAAGGAGTCCAGCGATGATAAACGTCGCGATCACCACCCCGACACCACAGTGTTTGAAGATGCCGACATAGTAGATTGAAGCCATGGCGACCCAGCCTGGGAGGTGTACGGCGCTGACAGAGAGGTGCCAGGAGACGATGCGCGCAAGTGTACTGCAGCCCATGACGGCGAGATGTTCCGTGAGCTTGGCCTGTCTCTCGGCGGCCATACGGCCTGCCATAGTGTACAGGACTGGGAAGAAGGCGATAATGTACGAGACAACAAGCATCGACCGAATGTTCTTGGCAAAGGCTGAAAGTCAGCTATTAGCTGTTGGGCGCCCCAAAGCTCACTCTTGCGCAGCGACTCTTTGTACTGCTCCTGCGTCTCGGTCGTGTACTCCCAGACGAGTGGAGGGTCTGGCAGCGTTCCAGTCGTCATGTTGATCCACGTCTGTACCGTTAGCAACGTCCACATGGCTGCCGCACGCACGCTCTCAATCGCCCACTGGAGGGGGAGGAAGCGCTTCTGAAAGTCGTCATTGGCAAGGTCGACTGGGTCGACCTGGGTGAGACCGTCGTCGCCTCGCATGGTGTAGTTGAGCGTGCCGGTGGAAACGTCGAGGTCGCCAAACACCAGTCCGGCAAAGCAAGGTGAGATGTCGCCAAAGCTCTCTGGACACATGGTGACAATGTCCTGTGCTGCGTCGACATACTGCACATTGGCATCGACGCCTGTGGAACTGAGAGCAGTCGTCACAAGGGTGTGGGCCGTGGAACCGTCGGGTGCCCCGGCAACGACGAGCATGTTGCCAAGCAGGTTGGTGGGCAGCGGCTGCATGGGCTTCGCCTCGCCTGCCGAGTAGACGTTGTTGTCATTGTAGAACTGCTTGGTCGCGATCAGGTAACCGGAGTAGAGCGCAGGTAAGAGTAGAGCTCGGAACAGTGTGGCCTTCCAATGACGAGCAAAGATGATCCTACATTTGTTCAGTTGCAGCTCACTACTGTAGCAGAAGCAACTTGCCAGTTCTTGCGCCACAGCGCTTCAATTTGCCGACCAAGTGAGCCGGGCATTGTGGGGGTGCTTGGACATCAGCTGGGGCGGTGTTAGTCGTGCGGGTACGTGTTGTTATACGAGATTGGTGGTGCCCACAATCTCGACTGTGGACGGGTGGAACGACGGGCAACTGTTTGGGCGCGCGGTGTTTGGAGCTACGCCCTATTCTTGGCCTCTCGGCAACATACCGTCCACTCCTTCGCAACAAGCAGTGGAACAGGGATGCGCGTGCACTTGACCGCTTGAGGCGGTTGCGAGTCAGGCCCCACAGTTCCATGTCTTGGGAGTTTAGGCTGCCGTGTTCTCCCTTTCGCACAAGCCGTGTTCAGGCGCAACAGCGTTTGCAGCTGTCACTGCAGAGTGCAGAGTGGCAACTTATGACGCAGATCGCCGAGCCGATTTCTGAACCGAACAGTTGCACTGCAATGCTCATCGTCCCACACCACTTTCGGCGTTCTAGTCTGCATCGTTCACCCTTTCCAGCCTTACCGACGCGACGCGCGGCCTCAGGAGGGTAGTGTCTGGCCAGCGCCACACGTTAACACGTTCTTGAAGCCATGGCCTCGCACAGGTCCGCAGCTGGTTTCCGCGCATCCAAAGCAACGGGCAAAAGCAACAATGTCGGCTTCGGCGTCCCTTGGATTTAAGGTTGTGGGTACCTTGGGCATGGGGCTGGAATCAGTTGCACCACGGCCTCGAGCGTCAGGCTACAGGCTGGCTCATTACGGCCGGAAGATGGTTGAACCTCCAAGTACCACACACTTTACAGACCACGTCAATCGCGCGTGTCTTTGGCTTGGCAGCACGCATGGACACCGCTTGCACCTTGCTGCCAAGACGTGTCGGATTCCATCGCTTGCAAACTCGGTTTTCAGACTTTGTATGAAGAAAAATCAATCTCGCCATCCCAGGTGACCGATGGCCCAGAACATCAGGTGGCCTGGCGGCAGTGGCGCCAGGCTGGCAAAGAAGACAGGGGAGAAGCGGTGAACGAGCCAGCCCAAGGCAGTGTATCCCCCAAATTAGTGTGCACTGCACTCCACATAGACAGCTATGCGGAACGGGTATACCACAGCATGCCCCGTTGTTGGTTGCGGGGTTTTGTTTTCATGGGCGAAGAAGTGTGTGACGCAACACCACGCCGCCGACAAACGAAAGTGGCCCCACCCTCGTCTCGATCGTCGGCCGCCATGACAGTGTTAGTGTCTCCGTACCGAATGTGGGTGTGATTCTAATAATATCGGACCGTCATTGATGTATTCTCAACTACCTCATGCATCTTTCCAACACACCACCACCCTATGACCATGCCCACCGGTCGGTGGCTCCTCGAACGTGAAAGCCAGGGAACGACGCCTCCGCCAACAGGCTTCGTCCACCTCCTGACCCTCTTCTGCTGTAACGGGTGGCGTCGGATGTCCAAGGCCAAGCGTGCACAACAGGCCGAAGACTTTGGTGTAGTTGGCACATCTAGTCGACGCACCAGCGAACGACGAAGCATGGACGTGGGACAAGGTCGTGAGTGTCTGCGCCAGATGGTCTCCCCAGACTCATGCAAACCTAACACCCTCATAGGTCCTCCTGCTCCTCCCTCCTCTCCTGCCCCGCGTGTCCATTGACGCAAACATCGCTTCGTTCTCATTCAGAGCTTTGTAAACCACATCAAACCATGAGCTCGTGAGTGCAAAGCAACGAGGATGAGCTGACCACGTTTTAGCAAGCAGGGGCGATTCTTGCGCAACGAGCGCCAGGTCCAGTGGAATGATTAGACCCTGTTCATGGACTTGTCTACTAGAAATAGAGAGGGAGAGCACTGTAAGTGTTTTGTCTGTAAGCGATTCACATGCAGCCGCGCTGTAGTGTAAACTTCATGCCTCGTGGTCATAAAAGCGTGCATAATGTGTTGATGTACATGGAAGGTGGCAAAAAAAACGGGTGGGTAGCAACATGCAGGGTATCGTGGATTCTACGATGCGATTTCGGGCAGTTGTTTTTCGTAGAGCTTGAGTAATCTGGGGGGAAGTAGAGGTCAGCACATCATTCCCTGTGTGGGGTCCCTTCCGCGCTCCAACTCACATATCCATGCCGTCCTCGAGCGGAAGTGTGACGAAGCGGTGCGAGTAGGCTGGCAGTTCGCCAACGGCACCCTTGATACGGGGGATCATCATGGCCGCATCGCCAGTCGTCTCGCCCAGGGCGCGCAGCTTGGGGACGGGGTTGTTGAATGGGCCGGTGCCGCGACGGTGGTAGATGAGCTCGGGAGGTTTGTCGTCCGGAAGCGTCTCGCCAGCAGCCTCGGCTTTGCGGAGCTTGGCCGACGAGGCGGCGTGAACGATACCGCGACGACGAGCGCGGCGGACCTGCTGCTCGTCGATGCCGCGCAGGAGCTTGCGGAACGACTTGAACGCGGCTTCGAAGAAGTTGGGCAGGATCTTGATATCACCATCGGTCTGACCCCACACGAGGTCAAAGTCATAGTCGAGCTGGTTGGGGTCTTTGAGCTCGGTCGACTTCATCCTGAGGGTCATGAGCGGCAAGACGACCACGTCACGGTGACCTGGCTTGATGGCCTCGTCAATGAGCGTGCGTGGGGTCATGTCGTGTGTCTCGATTCTGGTGGCACGCTGGCCATCACTCGTTTGCCACTCGACAAACGAGACGTGCAGGAGCAAGTCGCGGAGGGGTAAGCCTTCGTTACTCTCTTGACGCTTGAGGTCGGCCTCGATCTTGCCAATGTAGAAGCGGTAGAAGTCGGCCGGGGTACCGTCGTCATAGTCCTCGCTGAAGATGCCAATGTCAATACCGCTGAGCTCGAAGCGCATCATTTGGGCCGTCTTGACCACCTGTGACGTGTGCTGGGGCACGCCCAGGCCAGACATGGCGCGCTTGGGAGCCTGTGGCAGGACGACAGTGGTCATGGGTGTAATGCTGTCCTCCCCGCGCTTCTGGCGTGCCTTGAACGTCTCAGAACGCTGGACGGCAATCTTCTTCTGGGACTCGACCATGTCAAAGATGGAGTAAAAGTCGCCCAGGAGGCGAGGGATGGCGGGCAGGCGGAGGACGCCACTGAAGTTGCCGGCCTTGACAATAAAGTTGAGCGCGACTTGGGCAGATGGGTCGAGCGAGTGGGCGGCCCAATCGTCCTCGAGCGTGACTCTGGACGGCTCGAGTTGGAAGCGGACAATGTTCATACCGGAAATGAACATGTTGCCACGCAGATCGCCGCCCTCGATCGCCATGGACAAGACGTTGCTTTCAGAAGTGGCGGTCGAACGCTTTGAGCGGCGCACCGTGACGAACCGCAGGTTCTGAGAGCAAATGTCGCCCGAAATGTCGCCCTCGGCAGTGACCTTTGTAACGCCGATGTTGAGGTCAAACTCGGTTCTCTCCCCGTTGGACACTGTGCGGATGACAATGGGCGTCATCTGGAGCCGCGCCTGAGTGACTGCGACGTTGGCATCAAAGTCCACGCTGCGGAAGCGGATAAGTGCCACGACACCCAGTTTCGAGTTGTTGGAGCTGCTGGCGGGTACTGGCGCGACGATGGCGGCGGCAGGAGTGGGATCGGTGGCGAGGAAAGAGTCGAGCTTGGGGGCATTGTCGACCCACACGGACATGAAGATGAGCCACGCACTGAACGCCTCGAGACGGAACTGGACGGCAATCTCGGTGTCGAGGACAATCGACAGGCCGCGTTGTTCGACATCCTGCGAGCACAGGGTGACCGAGAATGCGAGGTCCTTGGCACCAGCCGTGACGCACCCACGTCCTTGTTCAGCAAACTCGTGACTGAGATACGCCGTGACACCCGAGACAGCACCAGCGAGCGAGGTTTGGTCCTTGCCGCCGAGAAGAGTCGAGACGGCAAAACCACCACTCTCCCACTTGAGGTCGATGTACGCGTTCGAGTCTGGGGCACAGGACAGGCGCAGCTCGGACCGGTCGATACGGAGCGTGACACGGAGCTTGAGCTTGTTACTCTTGACGTTTTCAATCTTCTCAAACTGCTCCAGCGCGCGTTCGGCGATGGGGACCGCCTCGGCGCTCGTTGCCTTGGGCAACGCTGGCCGCCGCGCCACATGCGACTTGGAGCGTTGTTCGATGCGGTTGACCATTTCGACAAACCACGGCAGGATGGTGGGACGCAGGACGTTTCGGCTCTCGTGGACCGCAATGTTGAACAGCAAGGCGCCCGTTTGATCTGTGGTCGCCACATCCGGGCCGTTAAAGTCCATCCACATGGAAACGGTGGGGAGGAAGAATGAGTCGTGGTGGATGCGTCGGGGACGGTAGCGGGCAGAGACTGGGTTCTCTGGGTTGGCGTCGGGCATGTGGATGGGACGGTGAAGCTCGACCAGACCGCTGTCAAAGCGGAACGACATGTGAACGACGAGGTGCTTTGACTTTTTCGGCAGAGCGTCGGCATCATACTTTGTTGCCACAGACTCTGGCTGCTCGCCCTCGGTCTTGGCCCACTCGGTGAGGTAATCGCGTTCCATCTGCTGGAGCTGCACCTTGCCATGGTCGTACATTTCAACGAGGGAAGCGATACCGTCGGCAATGTCGGGTGTGAGCGACAGCTTGAAGTCGGTTGCCGAGCAGTGGGCATTGATGTTCCACGAGTCATCAGTGGACGACATCTGGCCCTCCATTTCAATAGTGGGCAGGACCATGCGGTTTGACGTGGTGTGGAAAGCACCCGAAAAGTGCTCGGCGATTCCAGCGTCAAACTTCTCCAGGAACTGCAGCGAGGTCTGCTGCACGCGGAAGCGCGCAGTCTCGTTACGACTCGTGGTGAGGCTGATCATGCGGATGGAGTAGAGGAGTGCCGGTCCGCCTCCACCTGCGCTCTTGCCAAAGTCGATGGTGGTACCGTGATCCAGAGGGATAGCGACTCCGATACCAGACACATCGAGGGTGAGGACACGCCTGGAAAACCACGTCTCGATGGCCATGGCATTATCGGCGACGGTCGACGCACCACTACCACTCAAAGCCGGATTGGAGCTGCTCGTCTCAATCTTCTTGAGAACGCGCGTGGTGCGTTCCTTGACCTCGGCCATCTCCTGCGCGTGGACCTCGCGCAGGACCGAAATGTCCGAGGACCAACTGCGGATCAGGTCGCTCACTTCGCTCAGAGCAGCGACGTGCATGACCGTGTGGACACGGCTAAAGCTGATGGAGAGCTTGGATGGCGTATTGTCGGCACCTGGCGTCTCGCCCGCGGCAATGTCAAACATCATCGAGACCGACCTCGAGCCCCTGAGAGGCTGGGCGTTTTGGTACGATCCGCCGTCGGTCAGGCGAATGAGCGACAGGCCGACATGGTTGGCCTTTGCATTCCACTGCAGCGACTTGCCGTCCAGGTTACTGGCTGAAGCGTTCAACTCGAGGGCCTCGAACATGAGTGTGGTCGGTACGTCGTCGGCGCGCAGACCCACACGCACTCCGGCGATGCTCGCCTGCACGCGGAAGATGAGCGGAGTTGGGTTCGGGGGCGTCACCACCTCGGGCGGCGTCGTCGGCTGCTGCTGGCCGCGGTACTCTCGGAGAACTTCCATGACGTCGTTGCCAAGTCGCTGGTGAAGGGAAAGCAGGCGGTCGAGGACGGCTGGCTTGATGATACCGGTAAACATGCCGAGGTTGACCATGGTGGTGAGGTGCGGGCGACCGTCCTCCTTCTTGTACGTGCCCGTCGCCATGATGGAGGGCAGGCGCACGATCGAAGAGTCCTTTGTCCTGATGCGCTTGGCGGTCGTGTACGCGCCCACTACTTGTGGCTCGACACGGAGGCCAAACTGGATGAGGTCGTTGGAGCCTTGACGCGTAATGTACACCTGGCCCATGTCCCAGCCGAGCCAAAGGCCCTTGGCAGCGCGAGCCTGCATGTGTACCGCGCCAATGTAGACGTCGATCATCATGGACTCGGTCAACGATGGCCTGGACGACGGTTCCTCCCACGACGGTGCCAGCCCGTGTGGCTTGGGCGTAACACTCGGCGTCGTGGTTCTGGGAGTGGACTTTTCCGAGCGACGTTGGTCGAGGACGGCCTTGAGCTGCTCAAACGCCGGTTCGTATAGTGGATAATGCGTCTCGCGCCAGTCCCGGCCAAAGTCGTAGAACGCCTTGAGTTGTGGGCGCGAGTCAAAGTCTAAAGACTCGACGCCAAGCAACAACCGGCATTCCGCCTTGCTGCTGGCACTGTTGCGGTTCGTGTCGGCGGTGAAACGCAGTCCGCGCAGGGCACTGGTGACCAGAACGCGCTCGGTATTCTCGACGCGCCGGTCCTCGTCTGCGGCCTCTCGCAGCACCGCCGAGACGGAGGAGCAGTTGAGGAATGCCGCATTGTGCTCTTGGTTGTGATGCATGTTGTGGTCGTGATCGGTGGTTTGGCCGCGCTCGATAGTGGCGGAACCTTGGGCGCCTTCAATGCCGAGGTCAAGACATAGTCCGCCGGCAGTGATGGACGTTCCGATCTTGCCAAGGTTCATGTCCACCACAATAACAGAGGCGTGGTCAAAGGTCTGGACGACGGGGATCTCGTGGAATTCCTCGTGAATCTCCTTGCGGTGCGTCTGGAAATGCGTGAGGATGGCCTCGTGTGCCGCAAGGAAGCTGTTGCGCAGGTCGAGGTTTGTGTTCTGCACGGTGACGTGGGTGCGCACGTCGGTCGTTGGAACACCGCCGTTGTCATAGGTGACCGTCGTTTGGCTCGCAATGGTCGTGCCCTCAATGAGGAGGATGCTTGGGACGATGGAGTTGTTCTCGAGCAAACGACCGTGGTGGCGCACCGAAACAGAATCGGCATTGACAAAGATGCCTCGCGACTTGTTCTTGGGCGGGGCGGGTTGCTGTCCTGCCGTCTTGAGGTCTTTGCCAAACGCCTTGATAAGGAATGGCTGCGACACAATCAACTCTTCGCCGACGCCAAAGGCCTCGTCGATTTTGAGCAGCTCCGCGACGGCGGCACGCGCCATCTCGGCACGTGATGGATGCGGCTTGGTCGACGGGGGCGGAGTAAGGTGCTCCCTTTGGGCCAAGCGGTACCAGTGGCGGAGACGCGACAAGGTGAACCAACCAAAGTCTTTGCGAATGTTACGCTGGTCGCTGACGTGTAGACCGTACGATCCCTCGTACATGAACGCAGGCAACGACATGGAGTTGCTGTTGCTGACCGTCTCGTTTACAATGTCGTAGATGGCGTCCGCAAACGTATAGCCGGCGGGTTTGTCCTTGAGACTCTTGAAGACTGGTTGCCACTCGTCAAGGAGATATGAGATCACCGGGACACTTGCTGTGGCTCCATGAACCGAGATGTCCCGACTCTTGACCTGGATCGTTTGGTCGCTTGCCCCGTTGTGGAATGTCAGGCCCAGGTCGAGGGTAGAGAGGTGGACAAAGGGGATGGTTTTGTCGTGTCGGGCCTCGAGAGCAATGGACGGGACGTCGAGAAGGGAGATACTCGATGCGCCAGTCTGGTGCCGCGAGACAGTGACGGCTAGAGTCTTGACTCCGACCGAGGCGTCTGTCGTCGATGCTTCCGAGTCGGGCACGGGGGTCTGTACCACACGGCAGTTTGTACCCGTGAGCGAAAGCTGGACGAGCGAGTCGGGGCTGCTGTAGCGGCCATGGGCCACGCGTACGTCGAGGGAAGGAAGGTTGATGTCGTATAGCGCCGAGCCACGCTCCGTGCTGTCTTTGAGTACGGCAGAGACGTGGCTGGTGAGCAGCTGGTCAAGAAGCGCCTCGGTCGGTGTTTGCTGCCAAAAAAGTGTCAGTTGTCATCAAATTACGAACATTCAGCTGCTCACCACCGCGCCCATGGCAACCATGACAGCATGTGCTGCGAACACTGTTGCAGGGTTCAAGTCCACCATTGTCTTTTCGAGGTTGATACGGAAAATGGCCCCGTCCGTGATCGTGAGAGAGGAGAAGGGCATGTCGTCATTAGTCGGGTCGTCGACCGTGTCCCGCCCAGGCGTCGCATGGTCAAAGACACGACGCGCACGCTGGTGGATGCGGCGGAATGACTGGAGCCGGTCTTCCAGGATGGCCGCTGGGTCGGGCAGAATGCCAGTGCCACTGGTCTTTGTCGTCGAGTGCGACGAGGCAGTGGACACGCTCGAGACGCTGTCAGACTCGTCACCGAGCGAGTCCTCGTCCACAGCCGGCATGGCGCCGCGTGACCGGCGTTTCCGCGACATGCGTGAGAGCGGGATACTCGTCGCGATGGAATGGTCGTCGCTCGAGGTACCAGGCGACGACGAGTCATAGTCCAAGAGACGGTCCTCGGCGGAATCTGCCTCTGACGGTTCTGGCCAACCGATGTCAGGCTTTTGAGGTCGTGGGAGATAAATGCCGCTGACGTGCACGCCTAGCTCGTCCGGGTGCTTGTCGGTGCCGCCCCAAAGGAAGGGAACACGCATCGTCGGCTCGTCTTGCTCCTTCATAAACTCTTGCTGCTTCTTGGCCTCGGCCTCCCAGCCCTTGGGTACCTTGTAAATGTCCACAGACACACCGGTGCCGAGGGTACCAACGGGATCCCAGCGCCTGTGATGCGGTGCACGGCGGAGGATATGGGCCGATATGCTCGGCAGGCCCAAACCCATGACCGAGCCGCACGATTGGGACGCCATGGAGCTCGTGTCAATGAAGATGCCCCGTGGCAGCTCGATCGCGATGGCCGACGAGCCTTCGGAGAGGAGCGCAGTGACGTGGTCGATTGTCAACTTTACAAACGTTGCTGAGAGAGAGATTAGCGCCGGTTTCATTCGCGAATCTCACCATCTGGAGGCGTCTTGGCCAAGTAGATTGATGCAGGCGCATTGTCCCGGTCGGTAAACGTACACCCGACCGCAGACCCGACGCCTGCCAAGCGCTCCTTGAACTCGGGCGAGAGGAATGCTGAAATGCGCGCAAAGTTGAGCTCCCACAGACAAAAGTATGTTGTGGCACGGGGTTGCGGGCCAAAGAGACGGTTCGCCTTGATGACGATACCCTCAACGAACACCACGTCCTGGGACCGTGCCAGTGGCCCAGAACCAGCCTTGAACGCGTCGTCGATACTGTCGCACGCAATCGCATACGTTGGCGCGGCGTCGAGCGTCATGTCCATTTGGAACTCGCCCGTCTTGAGGTCAAGCTGAAGGTGCGGGACGGGGATGGCAATGCCGTTGTCGACGCCGTATATCTCGTCCGACATGAGGACCAAGGAGTCACGCACGTCGACGGTGAGGTGCACCGCAAACGAGTCTGAACGGCCCGGTCGGTATTTCTGAATGATGGGGTCGCCGACCGAGTCTGGGCTGTGGTCAAACTTTTCCAGAAACTCCTGCATGGTGGAAAACTGGGTAAAGTTGCCGAAGTAGTTGTCCTTTACGCAGAAGAGGCGGCGCACAACCCAACCGAGCGCCTTGAACGCGACGCGCTCGCCCTCAATGTGTAGTTTGAGCATTTCCACATGGTCGGGTTTGGGCATTGAATAGTACCGGTACGAGCCCGACACTTTGAGGTCGTTGACTTTACCGACCTCGAGGGTTCCGCCGCGGCCAAACGTGCGGTGCGTGTCCCAGTTGGGGAGGCCAACGTCGACGCGCGCGTCCTTGGCCTCAATGGTGAATGGAACAATGGAAAACTCGGGGCGGTAGCGCGTGGACGAGACGGCAACGCAGGCGTCCAGTCGTGGACCGGCAATGTCAACAAAGGCTGCGATCGTTAGCTACACCGTGCGCACAGAAACAGCTCACCATTATGGTCTCGAGACCGTGGCACGTCGACAATGTTAAAGTCGTTGATAAAGAGGTGGAGGGCATAGTTGACCATGGACACTCGGAAGCTGTAGTGCATGGGGACAAAGTGGCGAAAGTCACCTGTCGTCGCGCCGCTCCAGTCACGAGACAGGTCGGAAATGAGAGCAACGTGCTCGCGCATGAGCAGGATATCTGGTGTGTCGAGGGTCATGTCAATGCCCCAGCTACGCTGCGCGTCCCACACGAGCGGCGTTGGCATGGTCATTGATAGCTGGAATGTCAGCTCCTGAGGCACACCCCTTAGCTTACTTTACAAGCCTTGGCGACAACAAACGATTGTAGGTTTACACTGGAAGCAATGTCGAGAGAGTCGAGATGGAGAACCATCATGGAATCGTACCCGTGCTGCGTGGCGACTTGCGCTTGCGTGTAGCAGACGGACGAGTTGGGACCGACAACAACGTCGAGCCAGCCGTACTTGCGTTCGACGGGGCCCTTGACGTTGTCAAACTGCCAGTTCTTTGACGGCTCGCGCGTGGGGATGCGCAGCGTCGTCTTTTCTGTCATGGTCACGTTCACCACCATGGTCGAGTGAACACGCGTTTCGCCGGCCCGTAACCGTGCTCGAGGCTCCGAGTCGAAGAAGATGGAGGGGGCAAACGCCTTTTGGAGCGCGTCGCGCTGCCGATCGGCCCACGGTCCGTAATTGATGTTTCCACCATGCAGCACAATGTCGACACCGTATTCTGGCGGTGGCTCAATGTTGCCAATCTGGTCTGTGGGGTCGATATCGCATGCGTCCGCCGACTCGGGGACGGGGCCAGGCGCATCTGACGCATAGGTAATGTCCATTGCGCGCGTCGTGAGGAGCGTCGCGACCTTGGCGTACTGTGGCTCTTCGCGTTGCTTGACAGAACCCTCGGTCTCATCCAAGCGGTATCGCGCCAGTCCCTTCCAAACACGGTCCGTAGGGACGCCAACGGGCACCGAGGGCAGGTCGAATATCTGTGGCACGAGCTTTGCGATCCAGTGGAATCCGGACCGCGTCGAGATGGACGACGGTGTTTGCTCGGCCAGCTCGGGCTTGCGGTTAAGCAGCTCGTCGTACACCCGCTTTCCGTGCGCCAGAAGCGTGCCCGAGTGGTCGGGATTTGTGCGCATCAAGACGGTCAGGTCCTGCAGCTGCAGGTTGTAGCTCGTCTTGTACAGGTCGCAAATGGACCTGGCGTCCGTGACCTCGACAATGCCGCTGGCACGCTTAAAGTCGGCAATGAGGATCATGGGCGTCGCGTCGCTTCCAAGGACAATCGAGCCCGTGACGATGCGAATGTCGAGCGGGAGAGACTCCATAAACCACGAGAGGCCCAGCGGGGCGCTCGTGTCGGTGGCGGCGGCCGGCGTCTCGGGCTTGGGAGCTGCTGCATGGGTGTTAGATGGAGGGGGCGTCACTGGAATGTCCACACGTACCAATCTCATCCGTACTCGTCGTCGGTTTGGACGAGTTGGACGACTGATCGCGCGACATGGCTGGTCGCTTGCGCAGACGCGCACCGTTACTTCGTGAGGCGTTTGCGGCGTCGGAAGGCGGCGACGAGTCCTCGCCACGCGCATCGGCCGCTCCGCGCTCGTGCTTCTTCATGCGCTCCACGATGGCATCGTATGCTGGTGTACGGTTGTAAAAGAAGGCTTCAACACCTTCGGCATTGACGACGATTCGGCAGGGCAGGCGTGCTAAGAGGCCAAGTCAGCTTGGGCGGCGACACGGCACAGCGGTTTGGTTTACTTCAACTCACCTCGCTTGGGGTTCGACGATTCCGAGTCGTCGTCCTGGCGTACGCGAGGCTTCCAGTACCGAAACGTAATGTTACCATGGAGTGCGCGAAACGATATGTTGCTCGAGTGGTACTCTACGTCGCGGAACGCAATGCGTCCCGCGAGCGGGGAGATTTGGAACGACCCGATGACAATGTACACGTTGAACGCGCGCCATGAGATGATGCGAATGACCGCTGCAATGGCACTGCCGAGTAACCTGTTCCAGTAGAACAGAAATGCCGCGGTCACAATGACCACGACACAGAGCTCGGCAAGGAAGAGCCAGTTGACGGGGTTGGCGTTGGTCATTGTGGGTGGGGGGTGGTGTGATGGAGTGGGGGTCGTAGCTAGACAGCGGGAGTCATGGCGAGGCCGGGCCCAGGCAGGCAGGAGGTGGGTGTGCGACTGGGATGAGGTGGTAGTGGGCGGGGTATGGTGTGTAGTGGGGGGCCGGGTGAGACGATGCGATGTAGCAAGTGAACAGCATCAATCAAGCGGCGGACATGCGTCACAGGTGTGTGCGGCCACCGCAGCGGAGCCAAAATCGGGTAAACAAGCTCAAAGTGGCCAACACGACAGCGCTGTCGCCTTTGTGGCCATACTTGGGATGTGCTATGTGCATACAGGCCGCCAATTGTATCTACACTGTATCTCTCTGTCTGCTTTAATCGTCCTTTCTACCACCATCGTCCGTACGATCGGTACCCAAAGTCTGCCTCCTCATAGGCGGACGGCGGCCACCGGCATTTGTTGGTGTCCGGAGCTGCGAGCTCGCTCCTTCGTCCTGCGCCTCCTGCATCACGCTGTTGCTCCTCGATTTCGGCGGGGTCGAAGTGGGGCGACGAAGCGGGGGAGGCGTGAACGCGCCGGCGCCGCGGGTACCGCTACCGCTGCCCTCAGGTCCGAGGCCCAGCGCCGAAGTCGACGAGTACATCGGTGGCGGAGGCGTGGACGCCGAGTACTCTGATCCCCATGGGCTGTACCCTTCCGTTGCCAATGTAGAAGAGGGCAGAGGGCTGGAGGAACGCTGAGGCGCAATGAGACCGTCGGCGGTTCGTCGGCGACCAAGACGCGGGATAAAGCCCATGACTGGCGCCAGGACCGCCTTCATCAACGACGACGAGGCCACCGACCTGCGCGAGCGGGGAGCACTGGCTTGGGGTGTGCCCGACAGATCGATCGTTGCACCCATGGGCGACGGGGGCGCAGACGTGTCTGGAAAACCGTGGTCAGTTGACAGGCACCATTGAAAAAAAGTGTCTCAACTCACCAAAGGAAGGGATCACGTTGTCGTTTGCGCTCAGGCTGAGGAAGAGGAACAAGGGGATGAACCAGACACAAATGGCGAAGAAGGCCGCGACGTCCATGAACGAGGGGGCATTCCTGATAATGGTGGGCTGGTGCGAGTAGCGGTACTTTGCGGCACGGTACTTTTTGGCCTCTTGGGCAATGGCGGCAAAGTGGAAGAACCAGATAAAGTGGTCCACGACGACGAGCACACACGAGAGGATGAAGACTGGCGACGTCAAGGAGATGAACGGCCACGAGTGTGAAAAGTGTTGCAGGTACACCAGGTGGCAGAAAATTGAGAACACGGTGTGGCCAAAGGGGAGGGCATCGGTGACGTAGAGGAGCGCGTGCAGCACGATAATGACCTAGTACGGGTCAGTAAGAGTCTGCTTTCTCTATCCGACTCACGTAAATTGCTCGCACGCCCACGACCTTTGCCAGGCGCGACTGTTCCTCGATAAGCTCTGCAATCCAGAGGAGGCCGCTCGCTGAACATGTCAGTGTTTGGTCTGAGTGTTTTGCACCTACCGAGCGACAGAGTCACAAAGACAAAAGCGGTCAGAGCCCCCACATAGGAGAGCAGATGCAGGAGGGAGATCATGTTGAGAGGACGGCCTGCGCCACGATGAGGGTTGGAGGGAGAGCGAGTTGGAGGATGTTGGTCAAGTGGGTGTGGATGTTGGGCCCTGTCGGAGGACCTGCCTGCCGAAAGCGCTGTGGATGCGCTGCTGGGTGAATGGGGCTCGACAGAGACGAGTCTGCCGGGATACGCCAGAGATGGTGAAGAGGTGGGGGTGGGAGAGAGGGAGAAAATGGACAAAGGTGCCTTCGAGTTGTCCCCTGGCCGCTGGCTCTGCTGGCCCATCCACGACGCGTCCGGCTGTGCCGACATTGATCTCCACGGACAGGTGGACGCGGAATCAAATCTTAACCCACCACCGTCCCCCGTCAACGATGACGCCCCCGCCGTGCTTCCATCCAGGTCGGGCGGCAACTCTTTGCCATTGCATCCACACATCTCGTCGCACCCCCCATACACCCACACACATTGTCTTCACGATGAGTAACCTCGAGAGTAAGCTGACTTAGCTACCGGGATGCAGCTGACAGTCCCAGAGGCCCTCTTCCAGCTCAAGGTGCGCCACCGCACAGCCTCGGGCTGCTCCACTAACCCCGTAAACAGTTTACAGCCAAGTCGCTGCAGCGCCAGGCCAAGAAGGCTAACAAGGACGAGACAGCCGAGAAGAACAAGCTCAAGGCGGTGGGTAGATAGCTACTGATGGTTCCCCGGTGGCTAACACCCCCCACAGGCGCTCCAGAAGGGCAACACGGAGGGAGCGCGCATCTATGCCCAGAATGCGATCCGTAAGAAGACCGAGGGCCTGAACCTGCTGCGTCTGGCATCGAGGATCGATGCGGTGGCGAGTCGTGTGGAGACGGCAGTGACGATGCGCACGGTGACAAACAGCATGGGCCAGGTCGTCAAGGGCATGGACAAGGCGATGGAGAGCATGAACCTGGAGAGGGTAAGTTGCACCGTTTGCGTCGTAACTAACCGCGCAGATATCGCTCGTCATGGACAAGTTTGAGTCGCAGTTCTCCGACCTGGACGTGCAGACCTCGTACATGGAGTCGACCATGTCGGACACCACGGCCCTCACCACGCCGCAGGACCAGGTGGACTCGCTCATCAACCAGGTGGCCGACGAGGCCGGCCTCGAGATCCAGCACGGTCTCGGCGAGGCCAAGGTCCCCTCTGAGCAGATTGCCGTCACCCCGCAGACCGAGGCGCCCATGGAGGAGGACGGCCGCTTGGCCGAGCGTCTCCGTGCTCTGAGGGTGAGTAGCTGGCATGTCAGGAACCCAGCTGACACCTCCAGCCCGCCGTGTAACGTCTCCACGACCTGATTATGATGTAGAGAGCAGTGTCATGCCATTGTACGCCATACTATGGGGCATCGTGTCTAGATAAAAGTGGGGAGACCTCCGATTACGAGCGCCGTCTTAAACCTGGCGCTTGGTGCCGCGGGAGTTGGCAGCGTCGTGCAGCTTGCCGACATTGTCGACGTTGGGCGCGCCCCAGACAAGGACGTTGCCCTTGCCCTCCTCGACCCAACCGCGGGTCTTAATCCACTCAATGTCGTGCAGGCGGCGGGGCAGGTATGCCATGACACCCGTGGGGCCCGCAGGTGCTGGGGGAGCAACCTTGTCCACGACAATGGTCTCGGGGGTCACGCCCAGTCGCTTGTCCTTCTCCTCGTCCTCGATCGAGCGGATAAACTTGCGCTCGGCCTCTGGGGGCAGGAGGTCGACGACGTCGGACTGTTGGGTGTGTGCGTCAGTGGCAAAACATCAGGTGTGTGTCGCGGGTACTCACAAAGTCGTCCTGCTTGACAGCCGAGATCGAGTAGATGTACACGCTAGCAATGAACGCGACGATGGCGCCGCCGGTGATGAGGTTGCGCACGTTGTAGGGCTTGCGAGCGCGCATGAGCGAGGCGGACTCGTCCTGTGATGGAGTCAGTTGGTGGGCCACAGGGGAGAAGTGTTGTCGCTCACAAAGCCGCGTGGGTGGTACGACATGTCGACGCCGCGAGCGTTTGTCTTTCCTGATGACATGGTGGGCGCGGTGGGGGAGCGATGGGAGGAGCGATGGAGACACACCAAAGCTTGGGACCTGCGTCGGTGGTCATGAAATCGACAACCAGAGAGTGAGCGATGATCTCCGAGTAATTGATTTTATTCGACCCCACGTTTAACCACGTGCAATCTCCTCCACGTCGCGACGCGCCCGCAGTGACGCCGTCGTCGACCACTTTGTGCCCAACGACCAGCACGTCGAGTGCACTTTGTGACCCCACCACCAACTACATACCCCCCTGCTTGTTCGCCGTCTTTGCATCCCGCGTCGCCGCTCTACAAACATGTCCGCCCCTTCCTCCACAGAGCTCAAGAGCTCCCTCAACACACTCGTTGCAAACTACAAGAGCACGACCCCGGCCCGTGTCAAGCTCATCGACTGCTTCCTGGCCTTCCTCATCATCTCGGGCGTCACACAGTTTGCCTACCGCATCCTCATCACGTCCCACCCTTACGGCGCGTTTGTTGGCGGGTGAGTCCTCTGCGCCGGCGCGTGCGGTGCTGCCCGCCGCCGTCGTTGCTTTCGCGTGCGCTCTGCACCACGCTTTGCTCCACTTCTTCGCGACACCTGCGCCGCAGTCATGCTAACCACCTGCACAGCTTTGGTTCCACTGTCGGCCAGTTCTGTCTTCTCGCGGGTCTTCGGGCGCAGGTCTCGCCTGGACGCGACGAAGAGTTCAAGGAGGTGTCACAAGAGCGGTGAGTGTGGCTTATTTGGGTTGAAGAGAGCGGGTGCGGGACAGCTGGTCGCCTTTTGGTGCTGCGGACACGGTTCGCCTACCCAGTTGAAGCATAGGCGCGCGCAGTACCTGGCCAGCATCGCCACTGTTTGTTTGGTCAGCTTGTACTGGTGGCGCGAACGTCTGGCATGTTGTGACGTTTGGCTGGTGGAGGTCGTGCGATGCTGGTGTTGTCTCTCATGTCGGCCTCTTATCCCCGGGCCACCGTTGTCGTTTACCTCTGCTGACGCATCTTGCAGCGCCTTTGCCGACTTTGCCGTTGCCTCCATCGCACTGCACCTGTTTGCGTTCTCCTTCCTGGGATAGAAGGCAGAAACGCAGTTTTGGAGTAGAGAGACAGAAGAGAAGGCAGCTTGTAGAAAATTCCGTGTTCCGTCCGGTTATCGTTTCCGTCTGTCCTCTCCTCGACAGTAGTGAACGGACAGGCGGTGCGGACGGACGTCCTTAGACAGACCAGGGTGACATTTTCCCCCGGCAACACCTATGTACCACTTTGACAGTGAGTGAGAGCCCATGTGGTCGGATACTGCCCGTCCCGGTGAAACTGGTGTTGGCGCTTGGCTTTGATCCCCGTGGATCTGCGGCCAGCCAGTGGCATCTCCGTGGCCATGTGGACAGACTGTGGGGCCATGGGGCCACTGGAGGGTAGCATGAATGAGGACGGAGATGGGCTGGGGCGTTTGTTTGTGGGGAGGGGGGCCTTGGCCCACGTTCGGACATGTCCACAATCTCGGTCTTGGCCGCCACCATGGCACCACATCCGTCCGAGCCATTTCGGTTCGTGGACGCATGACGTTGCCGTGTACGCCGTGTGTGGTCGTCGGTGCAAGCGACTGCCTGGAGCCTGCCTGCACCTGGCTGGGAGGGTTTCTCGGCCGGTGTTCTCCGGCTCCCGCTGACGGTGAGGCCACTGCCCAGTCAGGCTTTGTCAGGGCGAAAAGCAAAAGGTCGGCCACGTTTACCGCCGGTTAGGCAAACGACTCTCTGCGCACACCCAAACACATATGCATAGCCCATCGTCTGGCTGCGTCTGGCCTCTGTGGCTACTGCTGAAAGCCGGGGGCCGGGCGAAACGCATGCAGCAATGATACACCACTGCGCCACTGCAGCGTTCGCCGGTTGTGAAAACGGCGGCTAGAGCCGGAATGCCGCGCGCCCACGGGCAGAGGCGTCACCCCCGCGCGCCCACCGCTCGCCGCCCGTCGCCGGCCCACCCGGTAACCGGTATCCACCCACTTTCTTAAAGCCTCATAGCCGCATCGCACATTGCATCTTTCTTTCTCATCCTCCCTCTCCTTTCCCAAAACACCCATCCCAGCCATGTCCAACGCCATCCAGTCCATCACCTCGGCCCTCCCCAGCCTCGGCAAGGCCCGCCTCCTCATCAACTCGGCCGACGACGTCGTCATCGTCGCCGCTGTCCGCTCGCCTCTGACCCGCGTGAGTAGTGTTCGATAACACGATATGTCAGCATCCACCCAGCAGCCACTGACGGTTCTCCAGGCCAAGAAGGGCGGTCTCAAGGACACCCTCCAGGACGACCTCCTCAAGGCCGTCTTCCAGGAGGTTGTCAAGCGCGGCAAGGTCGACCCCTCGCTCATCGGGTAAGTCCGAGAGGGGCTGGTGCGATGCGCTGGCAGTGAAGCAAAACTGACACCTCTATCAGTGACGTTGTTGTCGGTAACGTCCTCCCCCCCGGCGGTGGTGCCACCGTCTCGCGTATGGCTCAGCTCGCTGCTGGCATCCCCCACTCGTGAGTACAGCTGGTGTCATGGGACACTCCATACGGACCGTGTGAATCCGCACACGCGCCATCGCGACACGTGCTGACTGTATCCCCCCAACAGCGTCCCCCTCGTTACCCTCAACCGCCAGTGCTCGTCGGGTCTCCAGGCCGTCAACAACATTGCCAACGCCATCAAGGCCGGTGACATTGACATTGGTATCGGCGCCGGTGTCGAGTCGATGACCTCGAACTACGGTGGCGGTGTCATGCCCGCCGCCTTTTCGGACGACGTCCTCTCCAACAAGGAGGCCGCCGACTGCCTGATCCCCATGGGTATCACCTCGGAGAACGTTGCCAAGCAGTACGGCATCAGCCGTGACGAGCAGGACGACTTTGCCGCTGCCTCGTACGCCAAGGCCGTCGCCGCCCAGAAGGCCGGTCTGTTCAAGGACGAGACCGTCCCGATGAAGGTCAAGTGGATCGACCCCAAGACCGAGGAGACCAAGGAGATCATTGTCGACTCGGACGATGGAATCCGCCCCACCAGCCGCGAGCAGCTCGGCAAGCTCAGGCCCGCCTTTGCCAAGGACGGCTCGACCCACGCCGGTAACGCCTCGCAGGTCACCGACGGTGCCGCCGCCGTCCTCCTCGCCCGCCGCTCCACTGCCCAGAAGCTCGGCCTCCCCATCCTCGGCAAGTACGTCGCCTTTGCCGCCGTCGGTGTCCCCCCCAACGTCATGGGTATCGGACCCGCCTTTGCCATCCCCGCCGTCCTCGCCAAGGCCGGCATCACCAAGGACGACGTCGACTTCTGGGAGATCAACGAGGCCTTTGCCTCGCAGGCCGTCATGTCCATCAAGACCGTCGGCATCCCCTTCGAGAACGTCAACCTCAACGGTGGCGCCATCGCTTTCGGCCACCCCCTCGGCGCGACCGGTGCTCGCCAGATCGCCACCGCCTTGTCCATCGCCAAGCAGACCGGAAAGAAGGTCTTCGTCACCTCGATGTGTATCGGTACCGGTGAGTCTACGTGTGTGGGGGCGGCGTGGAGGGTGGGGTCGGCTCGGATGATCAAAAACACACACTATGTGGTGTTGTGGCATCGGGGATCGACTCCTTCACCTTCTACCTACCTTCCACGCCTCCTCTTGCTCTCTGTCTTGCTCTTTGGCTAACATTACGTAAGGTATGGGTGCTGCCGCCGTGTTTGTCGCCGAGTAGCGAGCTTTGCGTTGCATGTAGACTTGTATAAGAAGATGCAGAGGTGTAGGAAGAATGTGGGTGACAAGTCGGGTGGAACGAAAAAGTGGCAGTGTGGCGCCCCACATGGGGCGCAGAAGTCACGTGCTGCCTTCTGAATCACTGTAAAGGTCCTTTGCATTGCATTGAATATATGCATGGCCTTTGCACTAACGATTGTTTGTGTTAGTTAGTTCAGCATACTGAGTATGAACCCACTCTCGATGTCAGTTGGTCGAATGTTGGATTGGGTGTGAGGATCGCTTTGGCGCCCCCAAGTGGCGGCTAGTTCAATTTGCTTCCTTTGGACACCGCAAGACTCTTCGTTCTTTTGTGCTCGCGCCCAATCTGTAGAGCTAGAAAGGAACAGTAGACAAATCGTTCCATTGAAAACAGAGTGCTAGCGCGACCGCCGCAGCCTCTGTTTCATGAAAATGCCATGACGTCGCTTTTGTCGTTGTGGCGAAACTTGGCCGATTCTCTTATTTGCCACAGACGTTGAAAAGAATCCAAGAATCCAACGCGTCGTCAGGCAAGGCGGGGGCGTCGCCTGCACCGCTCTGTCGCCTTCTGTGCATGGGGGGTCTGCGCCCTAAGGGGGGCATTGTTGCAAGGAAGTGGGTGGCGCACAATGGCATGGGCACCAAACTACATGGGAGCTAGCACTGGCCACAATGGTGGGCCGCAAGGCAGTGGAGCAGTGGTGAGTGGCAGTAGACAACGTACATTGTTCACCGTACATTGTTCACCGTACATTGTTCACCGTACACCGTCCAGCAGCGCCGTTACTACATATGTCGCAGGAGAGGCACAGCTGCAATGGGGGGGAGAGAGCGGCATGCTCCTTCGGCCGGTGGTGAACAGTAGCTGTTGAGAAGGGCGCAGGGGGACAGTGCTTGAGCGGGGCATTGTTCGCTGGGCGGATGCAGAGACAGCACCGCCTTCCCATGCCCCCCCCCCCCCATGCATTTGGTATATATTTGGTGCCCATTCGCTCTCCTTCGTCATCGCCTCCCACTATGGCTTCTACCACCACATCTCCCATTACTTTCATGACACAACCACAACACACCTCTACCATGACTGCTCAATCTCATCCACTTCTCCGTAAGCACTGCAACCGTTTACCACATTGGTTCATTCCCAGTTGCTGACCGCCGTACAGCCACCCTCCTCCACCTGCCCTGTCCCTTCCTTGACTTTGACACTACCGTCAATGTCCTCCACGCGTGCAGCATGGCGCGCCACAACACGAAGCCCAGCAACTTCTGCATGACTGCCACCAGCGGCATGTCGGCACCCCTGACGTGGGGTCAAGAAGGCGAGGCGTTCTTGATGGCCATGTACCGGGGCATCAAGAGCGTCACGGTCGCCAACAAGTCTGCTCTCCTGACCTGGCTGGGCGCGGGCAGATCGCTTCAAGACGACCACTGGATCGGAGACGCGTTCTTGGCAGTCCGTACAATCTCGTTCACGCCCACGGCCGTCAAGCAGCTCGGCCGTGTTAACGAGGCGATCCAACAATCGCTTCGTTACCACCTCGAGCCGGCCGCGTACATGCTCACCGAACGCGACGCGCAGCACGCCCTGTGGCGTCACCTGGCCGAGATGTCGCCGATGGTCAAGACTGTCGACATCACCGCGTCGAGTCTCCCCACTCCTGTCGACGTGGACGAGGACATCGCCTGCCACCTGGCCACACAGCCAGAGTGGCGCTTTCTGTTCCCTCTGTGGCGCCACCTCCAGGTCGTCTCGTTTTTCGACTGCCTGTCCCAGCCACCCCTTCCCCCGCCCTCCGCCCATGTCACCTTGACCATATACATCCACTACGCCTCCCGTCCCCGCCGCACGGTCCTCACCCTTGAGGATGTCGACGCTGGCGTGCCCTTCGGATTCGAGGTCATTTTCACCAACCTCGGTCCGCTGGCGCGCATCAAGCGCGACGACGACGAGGAGGTCCGCATCCCGTATGGCCCTGCAGGTGCCTATACGGAGGCGTCGCCGTCAGGCTTGGTGCTATACACATTCCTGCGGGACGTCGTGGTCTGAGCGGAACGGGCTGTTTAACTCGCAATGTCTGCCCCAGTCAACACCCACGCTTTCGTCGACCGCGCCGAGTTGGGTAAGTCATACCACCACCCTCACCACATCCGTCATTGTCGTGTTACTGACACTCTACAGGACCAATCTGGGCCAACCTCGGTAGTCACCTCGACCACAACACTGCCATCGCCCTCATGCACACGCCTCACCTCGTGCGCGACAACCTTCGGCCTACGGGTTTGTCAATCTCGTTTGACGCCAACACAGCTCCGCCTCCTTCCTGGGGTGGTGCGTTCGCCCAGACATTCCTCAAAGCCTCCTACCTGGCCGTCACCGAGGTTGAGGTCGTGGACAAGGCGGGTCTTACAAGGCGGGTCTTACCGTTTGGCTTCAGGCCAATGCGCGGTTGCGCGCACAATTCCCGCCCAACCCTATCATTTGCCCATTCGCGTCGGTTCAAGCGGTGTCGTTCGAGGGTGATGCCGTCCAGGACCTCAGCCGCCCCAACGGTGCCATCAAGAGCAACGAGAAGTCTCTGGGGCGAGTTTTCAAGTACAACATCAGGGCACGCGAAGACCAACGCGTGGTGTGGACTCGGATTGCCGCCATGGCGCCTGGTGTCACGACCGTGAACATCACCAACACTCCGGCGGCGGGCACCACTACGCCCCACAACCTTCTCTTTCACCACGACGTGCAGCGCTACGCCAACGCTCAACCAGAGTGGGACCACCTCCTTCCCCTCTGGCCCCGGCTCGAGCGCGTCGTGTACCACCACTGCCTGACGCAACCCCCCCTCGTCCCCCCCTCTCCTCACCGCCGCCTGGTCATTGTCGGTCACTTTGCCACCAACCACACGGTCGGCAACCACCCCATTTTCCACATCCTGGACCTCGAGGTCAACCAGGCGTCTCAACACGGCATGCCGGTGATGTACGGCAACATTGGCACTCAGGCCCAAATTGCTCGTGGATCGTTTGTGCACGCCATTGCGTACGACCTGCAAGGCATGTACCAGGAGACGTCTCCGTCGGGCCTCATCCGCTACATTTTCAGCCGTGACCACACTGTTGTGCGGTCCTTGTGCGGTATGGTTCGTGCGCTTCCACTCTGTAACAGATCTATGATTTGAGCCGGTTCTGTACTGTACCTGTACCAAGCCTCATGTGACAACTATGGAAGAAATAGCCCCATCACAAGGCAAATAAGCTGAACTGACCCTCGGGTACTCGGAGATTGATTTCGCGGCTCCCACCTTGGGGCGCCACGGTACGCTTTTGCGTTCCACCCGACCACAACCGGTGTCTTCCTACACCGGCTACACCTCTGCATCTCAATACAGATAGATCCACATGCGCACAAAACTTTGGCTTTGGCGACTTTGGCACGGTCTCCCCCCCGTGCATGTTGGTAGTCAACTCTGTCGCTCCATTATTACTATCTGAGCACGAACAGACTAGTTACATGTGACTGCACCTGATTCTATAGGCTGGGCTATGTACACTGTCTACAAGGTGGGTGTGGAGGACACGTTCTTTGGTGTCTCTCCCTATATGTAGCGCCCCTGATGGATTCCTTTTCATTTCTTCTTCTTCTTCTCTTGCTGCTGCTGCTTCTTGAGGGCATCTGCGGCGGCATCCTCATCGCGAAGGGCAGGAGCGATCTTGCGGACGCGTGTGCACAGAGCCCGGAGTAAACGAGGTCCATAGTTTGGCAGATGCTTGGAGTGGATGTACTCCAGGTCGTAGAAGCGCTCCAAGGAGGTGGGAACGGGGAGGCTCTTGCGTGCCTCTGGCGTCTTCCAGTAGGCGACCAGGTGGGTTGGCTGGAGTTTCTTGAAGAGGTGCTCGCGGGCGGCACCCCTCAGGATCCACACAAGGGTAGCCGTCGTCGTCACGGGCACTGCCCGTTCATAACACGGCTTGCACAAAGTCGTGCCATCCCGAGGCGTCGAGCATGGACGGCAGGACCGTGTCGGGGCATTCCTTGATGAGTTTATCGAGAACCCGGAAGATGAAGACCATTCGGCCTGAAGGGATGATGCAGTCCCAAGCCAGTCGGTCGAAAAGATTGAAGTTGCAGCCGCCCATGTCGTCAACGGTAAAGCCAAAAACGTTGAGGCAGAAAACTCCACCGCATGGAGGGCGGGGACCGGCGTCTCGACATGCATGACAGAGGAGGCCTTCATGAGCCAGTTCTCGGGTGGGCCGAGCTCTGCATGTCAACGTCTGTCTTCAGAACCAGCACGTACCCTCTCGGAGTTGGGCAATCTTCTTATTCACCGGCTTGGTGAAGGACGAGCAGGGACACTCCCCCTCGTGTTGGAGGGTCAGTCATGCCCTTGTAGGCGCGTGTTTGCTGACAGTCAGCCTCGGGCCCCTCATCAGGTGGTCACGCACCGTAGGGTCACTTTGAGCTTCACGCCAGTTGATGACGCCGTCCTCGACCTTCTTCACGACCTCGAGGTCGACACATTCGCGGGGGATGAGGATGTACGTGCAGAACATCTCTTTGACGAGGGCAGCATCCACACTTCCGGCCAGCAAGAGCCACCGATATTCGGCCAGGTCAAATCCAGCATGCATCCTGTCGTGTTAACGCGTGACGGACTCGGCGCAAGAGAAGAGGTACCGATGGTACCGGCTGCGACTCACGCTTCGAGGGTAAACTCCTTTTCCCTGTCGACGGTGAAGCCCTTGTAGAGGACCGCCAAGATCATTTCACAGACGTCGTGGTAGCCTGCCACTGACATCGGCCGGCACGAAGCAGACGCAGCGGTGGATCACGGAGGCTGGTTCAGTTGTGAACCAACACGATGAGACGCGCCGGTCCTCCGTGACGACTGTATGTCAGATTGGCATTTGTGGCGGCAGACAAACTCACGCAAACTTTCCTCTGCCACCGCGCACCAGGTAGTCACGGATAACGTCGCCGTTGGCTTCATGCCACTGATACATATGTACATCAGTGTCCATTGTTTATGGGGGAGAGGTGGATTTACCTGGTTAGAACCAGTGTCAAGGTTACGCATGACGAAGTCTGTCATCCGAATGCTAATGGCCCGCGTTTGGCTGTCCATTTGCGGAAGCCGGGACCGTACGCCATGTACCACTCCATCGCGAGCAAAGGACGAAATTGCTTCAGCTTGAGGAGAGCGGCCACGATCTCGATGACGTTCAGAGCCTCTACCACAACCGCCTCTTCCGCAGCATCCTCGTCCGCAGGAGAACTTTCCTCGACGATGGGCGAGGGGGCGGCGAGATCGACTGTGCGGTCCAGTTGCCGACGCGACTGCGCGAGCGCAGACGGGTGCATTGAACGGGGGTGGCGGAGGCGCTTCATAAAGCCGTGCTCGTACAAATGGCACGCCTTGGGGGGGACTCGCTTTCCAGCCGCACCTTGTCGGAGTAGGACTGCAGGGGCTGGAAGGTTGTGACATAGGCGTGTTGGCTTGGCTGGGGGGGGGGGGGTTTGCAAGTCCTGGATTGTCTCCATACGCCTGGCCCGAGGGAAACGAATAGCAGTACGGTATGCGTCCTGCACATGATCAGCGCGACTCGTTTCACCTACACCAACCATGCCTGTAGTCGGTATATGCATATTTGTGGTCAAGGGGAGGAATGATGAGCGGCTGTCGAGGCTTTTGCAGTTGCTGAGTGGCTTTAGCGCGACTGGTGCTGCGCAGCGGTGGAAGTCTTGTAACTGCCCAAGTTGGCATAGACTAGTCGTGTGTGGTGTGAGTGACCGCGACAATGCCGGGAATGTGGTAAGTAAGGTGGCGTTAAGGTGTACATACTGGCACCGAGGCGATGCCCGGAGTGGCAGGTGTAGTGATGAGGGCGGCTTTGATGCTGTTGAAACAGACGGCGAGTCAAAAAAGGAGGAGAGTATGGATAACGATGCTTTGTGATTCTGTGGATGTGGGTGAGGCTACCCTGTTGTTCTATGATATAGGTCCTTTTCCTCCCAAGATGGGATAGTGCTGTCGGACTGAGGAAGAATACAGAGTGAAGAAAATAATTACGGAAATTAAAACTTAAATACTCGATTTTTGATGCCGTGTGCACCTCAACTGCTTGACGTTTGCTCCCGTATGTTACCACCACACCTCTCACCCAGCGCGTCCCCCTGCTTGCCTCACTTCCGTCTCTTCAGCTGTCAAGCCCTTCTCAACTCACTGTTGATTCTTCTTCTTAACCAACAGCGACCCTACATTCCTACTCTTGCCAAAAGGCAAACGGAAAACGCCGTTGGCCTGGCTGTCGCGAACAGGTCAGCTGCCACGCTGCTGAGAGGCTAACCGGTCTTGGCTGGAGTTGCAATGTGCCCTCAAAGTGTTTAGAGGGCAGACCAGTGGATTTACCGCCACCTGGGGACTCCACGTACAGCCCAACGTTCAAACTGGAAGCCACTCTGCCGCCCGTTCGGTCAAGCTCCCAACTCATTTCTGCATCTTGTACAATCTACAAATCCAGACGAATGGTCATCTGGACAATGCAATGTCGTCAAGCACATGTTGTATAACTGCCAGGTCGACACGTTGGATTGGGATGACATTTTGCATAGTTCAAGGCGATGACAGGTGATTTAAATCTGGGCGACCTGGGCGTGGTCGCTGGACGCATCCGACCCGTGAGTCCCATTGAGTCCGCGCTCGGGGTCCTCCGCGTGCTGAACATGGTGGGCCAGCTTGTCCAGGCCAATCTGCTTGGCAACGCGCTCACGGCGCAGCGCATCCTCGGAGCCGGACTTGTCGCCAAAGATGTTGTCCACTTCTTCCAAGGAAAGTCCCTTGAGTTCCGGCAAAAGGAACACGGCATAAAGCAGGCCCACCACACAGAAACACATGAAGACGAGGTACGTCTTGTAGCCAATGTTGTCGAACATAACAGGGGTGGTTTGTGCTACAGTGAAGTTAATGATCCAGTTTGTCGCAGAGGAAACAGACATGCCCTTCGCGCGCATGTCGAGAGGGAAGACTTCGGCGGAAACCTGCCCATGTCAGCTTTTTTTTCTCCTACTCTTCGTATGTTTGTGAACTACTCACCACCCAGGCCAATGGGCCCCACGTGTAGGCAAAGGTTGAAATGTACCAGAAGATCATGAAGACTGCAGCGTTGCCAGCTGTCTTGTGGTGTCCGAAGTCTCCACCGTAGACGGCGACAATTGCGGCAACAGTGGCGTGGGAAATAGCCATATTGGCCTCACCCCATATGAGAAGGGGGCGACGACCGACATTGTCTACGAAGAGGACAGCACTGTGGGGTTTAGCGAGGGTTATGCATGGATATGTCGTGAAAGAGGGTGGGGGACGTTGGGAAAGTGGCGACTGAGTCGATTGGTGGTGACTGTGGCGTGCCTGGCGCCGATCATTCCGGGCGCACGTATAGTGGCCACTATCACAATCCACTCCAACTGTTCAACACCTTCCAACAAGGCCCCCACTCAGCGGTACTTACGGGATGGTAAAGACAAAGTTGACAATGCCCACAACTCCAGTCGCCAGGAGCGAGGTGGACCCTCCGGTCAATCCGATGCCTTCGAAAACGGCTGGAGAAATGTTAGCCACAAGCCATACCCAGTGTTGTCATCTTCTGTTCCTGCTCACTCGGTGCGTAGTAGATGATTGCGTTGATACCAGTCCACTGTTGAAGTGCCTGTGCCGAAGCTCCAATAAACAGGCGATGGAGTAGAGCCTTAGTGGTGAAGAGCCTCTTATACTCGAGCAACGACACCTTGAAGGTCACTTCGTCCATTCCGTACCTCTCCTTTGCGGCCTCACGCTCCACCAGGCGCTCCGCCTGAAGGGAGCGGAATTCGTACTGAACGGCATAATTCTCCGCAGGAGAATCACGCAGATAAGCGAGGGTGTCGAGACACTCCTCCTCACGTCCCCGGAGCATGAGCCAACGGGGGGAGAAAGGAATGAAGAGGGCGCCGATGCCGAGGATGATTGCAGGAATCAATTGGATGGCAAGGGGGACGCGCCAGGATGCCTCGGACTGGCCGGTATGAGTGGCTGAGTCGTAGCTTGTGCCGCCAATGTAGTTCTGGTGCGATTGTCAGCTTGTGAAGAAGTAGTGAGGGTGCACGCACAGTTCCGTAGCCAATCCAGTACGAGATCAGGATACCAAAGGTAATGGCGAGCTGTTGGAGCGCGACCAGCGAACCACGGATGCCGGACGGAGCCAGCTCTGCGTTGAACATGGGGACCAGCATGGACAAGGCACCGACTGCCATACCACCAAACCAACGACCGACTGAAAGGAAAGAGTCAGCAAAAGGTACGGATTTTGATAAAGGAGCTCACCGTAGATACACGCCACATTGTAGTTGGCGCCGACTTGGATCGCAGTGCCCATGACGAACAAGACACACCAACCCGAAATTGAGTACTGTGAAATGTGTAAGCGACTCCCAGTGTCACCAATAACTCACCTTGCGAGAGTACATGTCCGCAAGGGGACCAGCCATCAGGGATCCCACGAATGCGCCGAGTTCTGGAGAGCATTGTCAGTTTAGGCGTCTTTCCAAGTGACAGTCATATTTGTACGTACCAAGAATTGAAGTGAGGAAGCCCTTAGTCGTACCGTTTGCCAGCTAATTCGTGTCAGTACCTGTTAGAACGGCATCCCAACTCACTGTCGCAGCATAGCGGTCCTCAAAGTTCGCCATCACTTGCACTTGGCCGAAGACGCCCTGGTTGTAGCCGTAGAGCACACCACCGAGGGAGGCAAAGAGGGCGATACCAAGCGATTTGCCGTTGGAGAAGAGGCCACGGAAGCCAGTGGGACCGTGGTGGGCGAGAACATCGTCACCGCCGGGGGCAGCACCACCGCCGCCCATGATGCTGGAGATAAGAAAGAAAAGGAAGGTGGAAAGGTGAGCCTGTGTGGGCTGTGGGTGGAAATGGGAGTGGTTCCCGCTGGTGTCGTGTGAGGTTTTGGGAAGGTGACAGAAGAAGAACCCATGGGGACTTTCTCTAGCTTTTATCAGGTGCCCCGAGCTATTCGTGAGCCCCCTCTTGCTGCGTCTTGGCCCCTCCTGCTCCGTCGTCTTGGTCCGTGGCCCCCTCTTGCAAGCCCCGGCTGGCCCCCTTAGTCCCGAAGCGGCCCCCGAACCACGACGTTCTTAGCGACGGACTGAGCGACGGGGCGAGGTGGGGTCCACGGGGTGACGGGATCGCACGCGGCGGTGCGCGGAGCCTGCGGGCAGGGACAGCAGTTAACACCGGCCTAGAAAGCCGCGTTAGGTGTTCCGAGGTCTCTTTTCGTGTGTGCAGAGAGGCAAATTGCGTGGAGCAGCTGCGCGATCGTGCCGTTCATTGCCGCAAACCGGTGTGCACGAGGGCTAACATGTGACGTTGCCTGAATGAACCCTGCCGGCGGCAACGTCGTCAGCTGATCAGGACATGGATGCCAGGCGGACGCGCCACAACCTGACTCGGCCGAACGGCGGGCTTTGACTCAGGATGAACTGCGTCTCCTACCCAAGTTCCCTGCTAGTCGATAGGGAGGCTGCTATAAAAAGTGACGGGCCAGTCATCTCTGGTCTCAACGCCGGCATTGACAGGGTACAGATGTCCAGGTCCAGCCAATACCTCACGTTTGGACGAGCTACGCACTGCGCACTTGTGAACCTGGGAAGCGTAGACAGCATCAGGTGATGCCCAAAATGTCGATCTGGGGCAGCCTCCCCGGAAATACTGACAACTTGGCCGCCGTGGGGGCTGTGGGGGTGGGCCATGATGCCCCGTGTTGGTGGAGAGACGATCCCATTGGTGATATCGCGGTGGTGCCAAGCCAATTGATCAATTGAGAGATCGAGGAACATGGTGCAGGCTGCAAACCAAGCGGTCAATCGCCGATTTGCGCTCCACAGGCCACAGTACCACAGTAGCAGTGACATGTCATTCCGCCAAGAGCCAAGAGAACCTCTCCACCACCCCCGCCGGTGTCATGGACCGATACACAGGGTGTCGCCCGTATGTTCCCGACACCAGCAGACGAGCAGCCTCGGTGTGCTCGCCTACGCGTCGGATATATGAGCCGAGGAGGTTTATGGGGCAGGCATGTGGGCAGCCTCTGCGTGTTGCAAGGGGCATTATAGGACAGCAGGTGGCTTGCATGTGAGCATGTGGCTTAATGTGGCTGAACGTGGCGTCCTCACGTGCTGCTCGTCGGCCTTGCATTGGAGATGAGATGAGATGGAACTTGACACCGGTACACCGGCCTGCTACGTTTGCCCCGACATGGAGAGCAACAGCCATGAGCCATCTGTAGCTCTACCCCTCGGCAACTAACGGATCACAGCGATCACAGCCGCACTCGACATGATCAGTTTGCTCAGAGCTTATAAGCAAGCGTCTTCCCACTCTGGTATGTATGTACCTGTAGGTCCTCCTCCCCCGCTTTAACGGCACTGCTCCCCACTGATCGCCAGGGAGCCGAACGTTGCTGGAACTGCTGGCGTCTTCCATGGCCACGAAGAGGAAAATAAAGAAAGCGCAGCCGTCACGTGCGGCGCCATTTTACAAGTTTGTTCGGGTGCAAATCGAACATCCGGCGGCAGCAAGTGGAATTGGCCGACCGTGGCGTCGAGGGCTCGGGGGCCGTCCGTGGCCCGGGGAGATAGGTGCCTAATAGGCAAGAAGCTGTGGACCTTCGGATCCCAGCGAACAAAGCCGGTTGCATCTGCGCAAGTCATGGCGGTCGTGAGCTTCAATGGCTGCAGTGGCTGGCGAGCCCTGCTAGTCAAGCCAGTGGGATCAGTTGTGTTGGTTGCACCGTTTGTACTCCTGCCATGAGAGCGGTTGTGATTATACTCCCGTCTTCTCAGTAGCACCCCTTGTTTACAGGAGTCTGGTAGCTGGCCGCCGGCAGCTGGTTTCGTAACCTCTCCATTTGGTAAAGAAAAGTCCGGCGAGCCAGAAAGAGGGGACTCATGGACTGGCTATGGTTTGATTGACGACGATGGAGAGGGGAGGAGGGGAGCCTTCGTGGGACCTCCGGCGGGTCGGTGTGGGTTGGGGACAGAGTTGGATGCAAAGGCAGGAGTTGGGTGGGAGAATAGGCCGATAGAGGAATAGGGCTGTGAGCTGTGAGGTACCGATGGATATGTATTTGATCAGCAAGAGCGAAAGAGGATGTCGCTGCGGCTCATTGTCGTATTGTCGTGTCACCTCGTTGCGCCCAGTCCCATCGCTGTAAAACATACTACCCCGCCCATGATGACGACGGCGTTGATTGTCTGTTTTAGGACCCGCCGAGAAACACACAACGTATGCAAAACTGGCAATATACCAGAACGCCTGTGTGTTTTAGGGCCCACGGAGAAACACACTACTTATGCAAATGTATGCAAAGGTAGCAATGTACCACTGCGCCAGTGTGTTTTAGGATCAATGGAGAAACACACAATGTATGCAAACTAGCAGCCCACACGGGGTGATGCGACTGGCATCACCACACATGTGCGCGCGTGCGCGCCTTCAGAGGAGTGTCAGTAACAGGCGACTCAAGACCAGTGTTAGCGACACCACCTATTACACTTTGCTAATGCGGCGCGGCCCTAATGAAAGCTAATGTTTTGGACCCTTTTTTCGCACCTTCATTGTAGACATGATGAAACAAAGTACCATGTGATCATGTAGCTGTCCTCCATTAGCGTTTCGGTACTGGTTTGATGCCGATTTTGGCTCCTGCACGTCGGTGACGAGTGGGTCGGGTACCTCTTCATGACTGCTTTGTCTCATGTGAATCGGTAGTAACATTCCATCCGTCTATGTACAACCCTTCCAGATGCCTTCAAAGCGTCTTCTCCTTGGGCGCAGGTTTGCCCTTGCCTTTGGCAGAAGGGCCCTTCGACGAGCTGGGCGCCTCCTCAAAGTCGTCGGAGATGGCAAGCTCGTCAACGTCGACAGCAAGCTCGGTGCCCATGCTCTCGGACGAGTTCGTGGCGGCACTGCTTGCGCTCTTGATGGCCTTGAACTTCTGCTCGTTGATATCCGCGGCCTTGTCTGGGTCACTGCGCGTGAAGTCCGAGTGGCTATAGACATACGTCTCCACTGACGTAGAGCGTCCACCCGTAGCTCCCGTTGGGCTGTACCTGTAGGTATGGGCCTTCCATCAGCTTTGGCTTTGTAGGTGAGGCTCACGCTAGCAAATTCGCAAGCATCAAGCAACTGAGTGACTTCGTTCCAAGTGGCAATTCCGAGGGCAGCACTGGGGGGTTAGTGTCCGTTCCGTCCGCCGAGATGGCTCACGCGATGGACTCCGTCACCTCTGGCTCGTTGAGGATCGAGAAGGCGGCGCCATCCTGTATCCACTTGGCGCCCTTGATGTGCAGCCGGGGCGGGTTCGTCAGATAGTAGTGTAGAGCGGCGAACTTGTTGTCTCCACCCTTCATGAAGATTGTGAGGGCCGGTGGCGGGATCTTGCGGCCGGTCGTCTTGTCGATACGTCCATACTTTGCAAGGTCGTCCACCTTCTTGGCCTCGGCGCGGACGTACGCCACCCTGTCGAATGGCTCGGGCTGGTTGGGGAGGATGACGCGGGCGCGGTTCTCGGCAACCGTCTTGTGGCCGTACAGCTCGAACAGCTCGTCCAGACGCTTCTGTGTCGCAGCGACGTCGAGGGGCATGGTTGTGGTTATGTTTTGTCGAGTGATGTATGGTGCCAACAACAAGTCAGACATCAGAGATCAACGCGAGTGCATTTTGGTATCAGCCAGAACCTACGTCCTACCAGCGCCTGCCATGTGACATGTGACATCCTCAGAAGCACGCGAGCACGGGGCGCAAAGGGCAACGGAAACTTGGCGACCTTCTGAGAAACACACTATGACCCATGCGACCGTAAAGTTCATCCGCCATCGGGGCAATATTGTGTTTTCCAGCACAACCATGGCGCAACACCCCAACCATGACATCGTGAATAGTGATCTACTTGCCAGTTCAGGGCAACCATCACCCCATGTGTATGTACCTCCCCCAGTAGGCCGAGTGTGCGATGGGCACAGAAAGGTGCATCCACAAGGCCACAAAGCCTTCTCAAAGATCAAGAGCTGTTGGCTGTCGCCAATTCCGCCACCACGGGGCGTTGCCGAATCTCGTCGGCGCATGGGCGGCTGCGTCGCTCAGGTCGTCCAGGTCAAACTGTGTGAGACGATAACGGACCCTGTTGTGTTTTCCCACCCAGGTGGCCAGGTGGAGAGGAAACCGCACACGGGGAGCCGTCAGGTGCATTGAAATCGCTTTAGAAAGACATAAAATTCATCGAAAATAGAAAGCGTAGCACAGTTATTTCTCAGATGTCGTGCAGTCGCCTTGCGCTGAAGCGGTCGTTGGCGGCGCAGGGGTGGCCACACGGGCAGTTGACTGGGATACTGTGGGGACTGAGGTACTCTGAAAAGAGGCTGCCAGTGCGCTTTCTTGTCTGAGAACAAGTTAGAACCCCGGCTTAACTATGTGTAACTCACTGGCTGCCTGCAGGAGAAGAAGTTGCGCCTTCAACCAATCATCACACGACAAAAACACCTGGAAGATGGGACCCGATGGGTCGCGGTACTTCGCCACACCAAAGAGTCCTACATTCGGGCATCCATCGGTGTAGCAGTATGCACCTTGCGCCAAGGAGCGCTCGCAGTTGGCGGTCACATGAAGGCTGCAAGAGGGTCTGGGCGAACTCGAGGTTGAGCGCCAGTGAGTCAGGGCTGTTGTTGTGTCAGCACAACCGCAATATGATTGCCACCCACTGCATAAGGCGGAAAGCAAGGTCCAAGTGCAGGTGGCACAAGTCATGATCTCGAGCTTTCTGTCAAGTCGACCAGAGCTCCATGCAAGCGGAGTGATGCGTGCGAGAGCCATTGCGATCGCACGCAGAGCGGTATCGCCAACCGTCTCAATTGGTGGCGAGCGAGGGAGCCGTGACGGAGACGCGGAGCGGATCTTGGGAATGGAGATCGAACCGTATGTGCCGTCCTCGTTGACGCCAAGCTGGACACCGGTCATGAAGGTGACGGTGTGGCGGAGCTCGGGATCACGTCGGATCACCGCCAGCGCAGTTGGCGACGTGGGGTCACCGGTGTGGCGGACGGCCGAGATGAGCTCCTCGCCGCCAGCGGTCTGAAATATGGTTAGCACCGCTACGTGGGGCAGAGCGGCAACCTACCTCGACTGTCGTCCAGTAAAGGAGCGACGAGAGGTCGGGTCGCTCAACCATAGCCCGTCCAAGCACCGTTGCCGCACAGTTGCTCTGCTTTGACAGGAGCAGGCCGAATGCATCCTGGAGCTCGCCGGCAGTGTGCTGATCGGTGACACCTTGACGCTCGTTCTCGGGAATCGAATCGAGCTCCCCTTGACGGTGGAGGGTCTCGTCATCGGAGCCCAGAAGAACGTGGTAGGTCACCTGGAGCTGACTGAGCTTGCCGTGCTGGCGAAGGAGCAGACCGACCCTGGAGCTTGCGGAGGGGGACGGCTGGGTGAGCTCGGCGAGAGCCTTGTCGAGAAGTTCGAGCTGCACGGCCATGGACGCGTTTCGGCCAAAGGGCAGGACCTGGTCGAGACCCTCAACGCGCGAAGGAACCACGTCCACGGGAACCGCGTGTTCCATGGCCCGCGTGATAGGGTCGGCCACGGCGTGCGCGTCTCGGCGCAAGAACGACGCCGAGCGGTCGGCAGGGGTTTGAGACGAGATGAGCCACTTGCCACACTCGGACGCATAGCCGTTTTCGCGGTAGAACACGCCACGCGACCACAGCTCCTTCTTGACTGCTTGGTCAGCACATATCTTGTAGCAGGAGACACTCACGCTCGACGGGGACGGTGGGCTCCTCGGCCGTGAAGAGGACATAGGCGGGGGCCTTGTCGCTCGGCGCCGTTCCCCTCGGGACCAGCTCGTCAACAAAGCACACGGCGAGACCAGCGTTGCGTGCCGTGAATGCCAAGATTCGTTTGAGAAACTTGGCATGGGCCACGACACAGGTATCCGCCGCCTCCTCGCAGTCGATGACGACAATCTGGCGAGTGTAAGGCTGTCGACGGACCCAGGCGAGCATATCCGTGAAAGGAAGTGCAAACGCCTGGACCGAGGTGCCGACGACCGTGTGCAGCGACGTGTTGCTGCGCCAGATTGTCGTGGCCCTTGGCACATCGGCAATCGTTGGGGCGAATGTACCGCGAAGTGCAATGACCGACGCCACGAAGCACAGCAGCGAGGTGAGGACGGCCGCTGCAGTGTTAGGCCGTGTCTGAAGGCTTCACTCACTGGACACGTCCGCCTGGCAGGTGCGGTCGAGGCCTCTGAGGGCCCACACCGAGTTGGGGGCAACAACGCCACGGTACAGCCCAACACGGGCGGGGAAGTTTGCCTTGATGCCGTGCACGACAACTGTTTGTTAGCTGTGTCACGTCTTACACCTGCGTGGGGCGACATACCGTGGGCCGTTGGACGCCTCGGCGCCATAAACGTGGCCACAACGAGCACTGAAATGTTTAGCAATATGGTCACCTATGGGTGGTCATGACACTCGCCTCCCAAAGCCGTGGCTGAAGACTGTCAGCCTTGGGCTTTGGACAATGTTGATCGAAGACTTACTGGACAGGTGACGCATCTCGGAGGGGAGGTTCTTCAGCTCGTCACGGATCTCGCCGTAGTTTGGGTGGACGACGTTGTAGCCCAGTGACGACGTGACCTCCTGGTCAGGGCCCTTGAGCTGGTTGGCGACGAGGGAAGCTTGCCTCAGGTCGTCGTCGATGCTGCACGCCGAGTGTGCGAAGGTGGTGGGGGTGTGTGGCATCGATAGTGTGCCTGAGGATTGGTACGAATGTAAGAAGAGATGGGGGGTGGATAATAAGCGACGATGTGGATGATGATAATGTTGGACGGTGTGGTTTCAGACGGTGATAGAGTACTAGAGGGTACTCGATACTCGTCAGTGGGAGAAGAAACGATCCAACGTTGGAGGGAACGAAGCCAGACCGCACAACTCTATATATCGAGACACTTTCCGACTATCGGAACAACACTTACTGCCTCGGAGACTGTGCTATCGGAAGACCTCCGGTTACTCTAAACCCCGCAGGCGGTGGCCTCAGAGATCAAAGTTCGCCGGGGCGGTGCAGGAGTGTGCTGACAAACGAGGCCGTGTGCCCGTGATGTAACGCCGCAAAGCCGACCAGTGATGTGCACTTCAAAAAGAATAAGAAATATTGATAGCCAGATGGAAGGATGGGCACCTGTGGAGCTTTAGATCTTGGGATGTGAGGGGTGACGGCTTTTGTCGTTGGCGTTGGCGTGACAGAATGGAATGTTGTCGGTGGCACCGCCACACTTGGGCGCTACCTTGGGCGCACCACCGACTTGATACTTGTACGAGCAGAAACGGGCGTGGACGGAGCGTGACGATGCGACAAGCACGCATCCGACCCACGCACCACAGCCACGATACCCATGGACGTCCTCCCCAGCAATGAATGTCATTTCCCACGGATCCTCCGCCCCACACCCAGTGGGCCTGGAGTAACTTTGGGCAGGTGCCAACCGGGGCACGTCGCCTTCCAGACCGATGTGAGGGCTATCCATATGTGTCCACTTCTCTTAGCCCGACCCCAGAGCATTCCTTGTCGGGGAAGCGTGAAAGATGGAGAAGATGGCACAGGAAGCTTGATGACGCACCCGCACCGGCATGGGGATCTTGGGGACAGGAGGGACAGGGCTCCGTCCTCAAAAGCTCTACGACATACGTCGCCCCCGTCAGAGTGGAAGGGCCTTTCTTCCTCCACGTGTACTGGGGCACGGCCAGTCGTCCTCATCTCCCCGGGTGTCATGGAGCCGGGTGCGTGAGTATCTTGGGTTCGTAACTTCTTTGCAATTCTTTTGTTCCCGCGCCGCGTGGCACCAGTGCTTTTTTGCAATTTGTTTTTTTTTTACTTCCTTTTTGCGCCCTTTTTGTGGCCCGCCACCTTCCAGTGACGTTCACCGCCAGTCTCTGGAAAGGGGATGGGCAGTTCTCAGAGGACAGAAGCATGTCGTTGGTGTTACGTTTTGCATGGCCTTGGCCACGTCCCTGTGACTCGCCTCCGACCGGCTCCGTTGCCTCCTCTATTCGGCGAATACCGCAGTTCTTCGGCGAGGGCTGTGGCAGATCAATCGTGTCTCCGTCGTGAAGGGATCGCAGATCGCAGAAGATGGGCAGTAGTACCGACATCACTCACAATTCTGGAACGGAGAGATGCCGATTGGGAACTGGCGCCATCTGCTTTCCCTGCCACAGCGGACGTCGGGTCGGTTCGCCAAGGGCTCACCATCCGAGGCCTCCCACCCGAGGACCCCACGCTAAATGTCCATGGGGAAAAGCTATGGGGGCCGAGTGAGACGTGAGCGATCACGCTCGAGCGTGCTGCTGTGCTGAGCCCCTCAGAATGTTGACCAATGTGAGGCAGGGTCCATGTACATATCATTTGCCGCTGTCCATGCACAGTGGAATATTGCGACGAGGATGGGACATGCGCGGGTGTTCTGAACCGCTTCTTACAACGCACATCACAAATGGAAAGCCCGGCATGACCTCAGAAAGAAGGAAGAGGCCAGCTTCTGAGCCGGACATCTCTTTGGTGGCCCCGTGGCCAAGATCTCCGTGGCGCAAAGGCAGGATTTCAGTGGAGAAAGAAAGAAGCTCGGCGATCTGTAATCTGTGATCTGTGGCCTCTGTGGCTTCTGTGTAGGCACCAGCACAGCCGACACCGCTGGCACGGCTAGCACGGGGAGGGGGTTACGCACCCCCATCTCCCCTCTTCCCTTCTGCCTGCATGATGAAGAAGACCCAAACACTACACTCTTCCAACCACCCATCCAGCATCCACAGCGCACACCTACCTCATCAACGCTCTTGTTGCACCCCAACCCTCATCATCGCCACCATTTCCTCAGCTCACTCTACCCGTACTTGCTCCGCCTACTCCAAGCTCCTCTCCGCCACCAGCATCACCCACCACGGCTCCCAAATGCCTACAACCAGCCGACTTTGCCCCAACATCGGCATTGACGATGACTTAAGGCAAGCTCCTCTAGTCATCAGTGACCTTAAGGGCCTGGACAAGGACATTGTCTCAACACTTGGGCACAACGTCATCCACCCAAATTACAGCGAGACGCGCCGCGAGTGGGGCGACGAAGAGGACGAGGAGGAACAGCGCCTCCAGCTCAGTGCATCCCCGACCTCGATATCGGGCGAGGATGACTGGTACCCAGAGCTCAAGAACCTTCCCTCGGAGATGCGCCAATTGTCGGGTAGGTGGTTCATGTCCAGTATCCAAAACCCCAAGCTGATAGTCTTCAGGCAAAGTTATTGGTATCTTCTTCCGCCCCCGTCCCCACCATGCCCGTGGTACGTCCGCCTGCCACAGAACGAGTCCGCTGACCATCCAGTCTCTTCGTCTGGCATCGCTGTAGACTACGAGCAGCGTGTCCAGATCTACACCGCTGTGGTCGCCCCCAACTCGGTGTGGTCTCTCAGGGACGCCGACCGAACGTGCCAAGCGGACGTGTCGAGTGAGTACACTTTGGAGCGGAGGAAGTCAATGTGCTAAACCTCGCAGCCCGCGCGCTGACCTCCCTCGTCGACTTTGTCGAGGCTGTCGTCAACCGCCACGGCTCGTTCGCGCCGACCCCGGCCGACCTGGACCTCGTCTCCACTGTCGAGCGGAGCGTTTCGTCGCGGCGTACGACGGTGGCCCACGCCACTCGCGCATTCGCGCTCAAGGCCGACGACATGGTCCCTTGGTTGGCGAGTCAGCCGAAAGGACTGCGCGTCGTCAACATCGACTGCGCGGAGGCCGTCGACAAGAGCGTCTGGGCGTACAAGATGTTCGCTCACCTCATCTTGGTCTTCACCCAGCGCAACCCCGGCCTCATGGTGGTGGTCTTCAACGGCCACTGCGATGAGGACCGGGTCTTGTCCTGCACCTCGGAGGCGGTGATGTTCTGGTCCGCCAAAGACGGTGCGATCTCGGACAACAGTGCGTAAATGGGCCTCATATCAGTTGTAACACCGCTGACTGGATTCCAGCCAAGGCATTCCTGTGGGGCCGCCTCACATACCAGCAGGGAGAGGGACATGCGCAGGGGCGCGGTAACCGTCTCATCACAGCGAGTGACCTGCCGAACCGCTGTCCCGATTTCCTCGCACAGGACGCATTGGCTGTTTCGGCGCCACTAATCGCCGGTCTCCAAGTCGCCTCGCCGCTGCCCGCCGAGACGGACCTCCCCTCGTTTGGCCGGAATGCCACGATGGTGGCGGAGTTCCGTATCCTGCGCGAGGCTCTCGGAAAGCTTGACGAGCCCCGACCATACGCCACGACTACCGTCGCGTCAAAGTGGCAGCTGGGTGGCGACTCGGGAGTGCTCAACATGACCTACCATGTCATGCTCGGCACCCGCGATGAGCTCCTGGCCGAGCAGGCCGAGCTCGACGGCCTCAAGCCAGAAGAGCGCAACTTCGTCACACGGAAACACTCGGTCGAGGCTGTGCAAGATGCCTTTGGCGTCGACCACGCCAAGCAGAGCGGCTGCGCCGCGGCGCGGATGGCGCGCATGTCCGTCGAACGTCCGGCGCTTGACGCTGTCCTGTTCTGGAGGTTTGTCGAGGTAAGTGATTGGCCATCTTTATTTGAACACCACGCTGACACACATTAGGTCAACGGGCAGCAGCACCTTGTCGCCGCCGTCCTCCACGCGGGCCGTGCCACCTCCCCGACCGCCCTCGCCCTTGCCCGCCTCGAGTGCGGCGCCAACTGGGCCACGGGCTCCATGACCAAGACTATTCTTGGCATCAACCCAGTCGACGGCCTGTACGGCGACATCATGGTTCCCTCCTTCTCGCTTCTTGCCTCGCCTCGGCGTCAGCCCACCGATATTTCACTGGTGGAGCTGATGCGTACCCTTGCGCTCACTTGGGGTGCGTACCCATACGCCCCTGCCCGATGGGAGGACCTCGGCGTGGGCGCCGCAGTCCGAGAATGGGCAGAGAGGCGTCACTGGACGGTCGCCGACGTTGTCAAGCTCTGGAACGCTGGTCGTCGCTTGCTGTCGTCCTCTGGTGAGCTCGCGACCAAGAGGACCGAGGCCAAGCAAGATGGTGCCCTCCTTGTGGGCACTAGGAACGCTATCTTGAGTAAACGCCTGCGGGATCCTGCTCCCGACCAAAGCAGCAAAAGACTCCGCAGGTTCAAGGGCACCACCACCCCTGTACGCTTGTCGTATGTACAACATCATGCATGTCTTATCAGCGGAGTTTGATGTCTTATGAGAAGAGTATGACGCAGTTCATGTACATATGCATCCAGTACATAGACTACAGACTTCGTGAGGTAAAGCGCCTGAAACACAGCAGCACGGCAGACCTGCTGCCCTTTGTCCGATTTACACAAAGGTATCATTCAACTTCAATGCAATGGTGGAGACTATGCTACATGTCCTCAAGCAGGATGGCCGCAATAGCAATGGGCAACATGGTCCTCTTGAGGTTGAGGTACTTGATGATAACGGAACGAGCGCATGAGACGGTGAGCTTTGCTGTCATCGTCAGCTCCCATATCACACTGTTGCAACTCACCTCCTGGCACAATGGTGTGCGAGATCCTCACCGCGTGACGGAGGACGGCGGCATGGAGCAGGTGGCGAGGACGCAAGCGGGTGATCGCGAAGGAACTCGACAGGGCCGCTGAAGACGGCAACGTCTCCATCCTCGAAACAGGTGCGGCAGCAGGGCAGACCTTCCTGGATGGCGTACCCGTAGTACCCGAGCACCAAGCAGTTGGAGCGGCTAGCCGTCGCGCAGTCGGCGGGCGTACAGTGACGAGTGGTGAACTCGGTCACGAATTCGCCGCGGTCGAGAGCGCGGAGACCTAAAGCGTCGTCAGCATCAAGCAATATCTATAGCCAGTGAAACGCTCACCTTCCTCCTCGATGATGGGCATCTGGGTGCGCCACCAACGAGCACATGGGTCGCAGACCAGGATGTTCTGGCCTGAGGGGTCCGGGACACAGGCCATATGCCGAAAATACCCTCGTCCGGGCAAAACCTACAGTCACGCAAAAGCCGCCGGTCAGGAGCGTGTTGACTTGACCGTCGCACTCGGTGGAGAGGAGCACCTTGGTGATGTCCGCGGACAGTGCAAGTCCCCTAGGGCTATGGGTGTCAACTGTGCCACGTATGATAAACTTCGCTGATCTCACCGCATTAGCATGGTCGCCTTGGTGAAGTGCACCCCGCACATGATGGGGTTGGAGGGGTCGAGTCCCAGGGGGTCGTAAGCCCAGCCCGACGTGCGGATGTCATGCCTGTGCATATGCAGAGGTTGTCGATCGAGTTGATGCACCCGGGAACCTGCTATGTCAGCTCGTCTCCCGTTTGACTACCCACGACACAGCCACGCCGGTTGCCGGCCTGCTCGAGGAGGGCTCGACCTACCTCGTTGTGGGTTCCGTCCTTGTGGAGCGCATGCCAGGTGAGAGTGCTGGGCGCGTGCTTCGCAAAGTTGAACCGGACGTCGCCGAGGAGACGCTCATGGAGAGCCTCAGTGCCGTGGCAAGTTTTGTAGAGCTTGCCAACAAACGCGCTGGTTTGTTGGTGGCGAGCAAGGCTGCCATCACCTTCACGCTGGTTGATCTTGTCGCGAATCTCCCCAATGCGGTAGATCGTGCCGTGAAAGATAACGGCCGCGGCGATTATGTGCTGGAAAGTGATGCCACTTTCCACGAGCTCGTCAACGTACGCCTCGACCACGGTCTGCTGATTGGCGGGAAGCTCCTCAAACTCCAGGAGGTGGGGACCATCACTAGGGGAATTAGCTCTACTTGCCGCCGAGCCAACTCACTGCCTGTAGAACTCGTTCAATAGGTAGACATGCCTGGAGCGAGGGGGGGGACGGTGTGGTTGTTGTCCTCCAGCCAGGCTGTGGAGATCTGCAAGTTAGTCGTGGTTTATTACTAATACTCACGTCCTGGAGGACACCGCGGCGGTCGTCGTTGACCTTGTTTGACACCCATCCCCTCAGGACGGGAGGCAGCTCAATGACATGCCGGTAGAATTCCTGAGGGGCTTCGTCGCCGGGGAAGCCGAACGGTGGGGGGCCGTGCACGAAGCCGTAGAAGGCGCGCATGACGAGGGGGTTGTTGAAGAGCTGGGATTTGTTGTACGATAAACACAGGTGAAAGATGATGACAAAAATGTTGGAGTGCTGTGTGTTTAGCGGAGGATACAGATGCTGGCACCTACCTCCTGGACGCCAAAGTGGGTCGTAGAGCGCAAGGACGGGGAGCTTCAAGCCGTCGTTGCGGATGAGGAAGTCGTGAGCGTCACGAAGCGACTTGTAGAGCGGAAGGGACTCTAGGACGGGGATGCTCGAGTTGGGGAGGAGAAACAGGGGCTTCTTAGTGGCACGAGACTGGATGTTCGCCACGTCGTCGTCGGAAACGAACTCGCGGAGGATCAGGTACGCGCCGGTCACGTCGCCGATATCGAGCTTAGCGCGGAGCCTCACGAAGAGCTGTGCGCGCGGTGCTGTGGCGATGTCGCGCAAAAACTGGACACATCCATGGCTGACGCCCTCTTCATAGTACGTGTGGTACATCTTGAACTGGAGAGCCGGATTATTGGCCAGGGACATGTTACACGAGTGCCGTGGGTGTGGGTGTGGGTGTAGGTGGAGGCGGAGGGCGTAGGGTATGGAGGTATGTACAGTAAGTAGTGTGTGGATGTGTGTGGGTAAATATAAGAGAGGGGCAAGTCGACGATCGGCGATGGCCAGCATATGACCATATGGGTGAACTTGTGGGAATGAAGGTGAATGCAAAGCCAAGATATAAATACGGAAATAACAGCTTAAATACCGGTGTATTTGATGCCGACGGGCTGCCACACACACGGTACACGGCACCACACACACTGCCACACTCACGCCAAAGGACGGAGGAATCGAAGCAGGTCGAGAGGGAAGGGCGCAAAGGGCGCACACACCGCACACTGCACGCTCACGCGCTCACACGTCCACGGGCAACAAACACCCACACTAAGAGCAAGTCACACCTCATCAACACCCACTCTTTCCCATCGCCACCATGGACCCCGCCATTGCCGCTGGTGCTCTGCAGCGCGTACTCGACGCTCAGGCCAGACTCGCCAACGAACCATTCGACCTGTATGCCCCTCACCTGGCCGCTTCGGTACCTCCTCCACCCATGCCTGACCGCGAGGGGTACGTCGCGGAGCAAGCCAAGATTCCCTACAAGATTGCTCGCGAGGGCTACCGCCGCCCGGACGGTACGCCGGCCGATGTGCCCAACCTCTCCATCTTCCAGAAAGGCGGCGCCGACCCTCCCCTTGGCAAGTTGTTCAAGTACCTCTCGCATATCGATTGCCAGGGATCCCCCAACGTGTACTGGTCAGACGACGGCAAATCGTTCTACGCGAAGAACTCGCCAAAGGTCATGACACGCGGCTGGCGTGAGTCGCTGCTGCATTTGTTGTTGTTGTGCGGTCATGCTGACGCTCCATACAGCCAGCACGTCGGTATGTCCCCCCCGCGCCCTTCTTGTGAACTTGCTTGGTAAAAGCTTCCGTTTCAAGAGGGTGGGTTATATCGTTGTTATCTGACTGACACCCCAGCTCGACGGCAGGACGCGCAGGGGCACCCTGTCCACTATTGCAACCCTTTGCGATTCGAAACGAGCCAGAGATAAGCAATGCTGCAATGCCATGGCGTCAGTCATCCCTGTCGATGTAACGGACGCTAACCCTCAGCGACGGTCTCGGCGTGTCTTGGGCCGGCTTCACGGGCATACTCCGTCACTATGGATTTGATACTGTGAGTGCAGTACATCAGGCCTTAACTTGTGGCTGGCAGTTAGAGGATCAAGGCTAACGGCAGGCCCACACATACGCATGGAAGAAAACAGCGAAGGCCAAGCATCCCATCGTTCAGGTTTATAGGTACAGCCACCCTCAATTCACCCGCGAGACGACCCAAACAAGGCCGCCGATATGGAGCCCGAGCGTCTTGAGAGCGCCAAGAAGAAGAGCACCAAGAAGCGCTTCTCCCAAAACCAGTCGACGGGGGCCGCGTACCTGCTGTCGTCCGACTCCGAGGAGGAAAGCGACGCTGCCCGCCCTATTCAGTTACTATACACGTACCTTGCCAAAGGATTACCAGACGTGTACTGGGCGGGTGACGGAAAGTCGTTTTATCTTCGGAACCTTCAAGAGGTCAAAGAGCCCCGGTTGTTTCTTTGGTCGGAAGGCATGTGGTGCTGACAATTCGGCGTGCAGTGCGCATTTGGGCCTGTCGTTCAAGGCGCTGTCGTTGTTGCTGGGTAAAGGAGGTTACCGGTTCAAAAGCGTGAGTTATGAAACTCTTTCATTTTACTGACACCCCAGCTGCACGGCCGGACATCGTCAAGGATCCCTTCTTCACTACCGCCACTCGAGTTGACTCGTGGTGAATACAGGCGCGCTTGTCGCATGAAGGTCCCAAAGAAAGACGCCACGAAGGCAAGGAAACCCTATGCTACCACCGAGGAGGACGACGAGGACCACCTTGGCGACGACGCCATCCACAGCTGTGACGACGACCTTGGAGGCCAGCTCGGGAAATTTCGAGACCAGGGCCTTGACCTCGCCGAGGCAGGTCCCTCCAAGAGGCCCCGGCCCGTCTACGATTTTACCCCAACCGTGCTCATTGACGACTCGGACGACGAGCTCTCGGCACCGACTGTCAAGGCCAAGAAGGCAAAGAAGGCCAAACAACCCAAGAAGGCGCAGTCGCGCAAGGGCAAGGAGAAGGTCGTCGACTCGGACTCGGACTTTGAGATGATGTACATAGTTGCTTTGTTTTTCTGCCTCTTAAGATGTACTGTACATATTTGCTCCATTGACGACACACAGATTGCTCCTAATCTGGAGTTAGTGTGACAGCACGTTGTGGCAGGTCGGGGCAGGGAGAGCACCTGACGGCGGCTGTAACCAGACCCCAAGGCAACCAAGGCAACCACTGCTCCCGTTAGTGGCCTCACAGTCGCAGCCAAGCCTCCAGCCATTTGATGCAAACATGCATGCGTACACTTTACAACTACTCTTCTGTACCTCTCGTGCTGCTACAACTTTGATATTTGATGATTGTGTTGTTGTTGGTGTTTGTCCTCGTGGCAGGTATCTCCCCCGCTCACCCAACGGCGCGCATCTTCTCCTCGTCGGCCACAAACGCGGGCGTGGACCGCTGCCGGACCCCATCCTCGCGCTCGATCGCCTCGACAAACTGGTGTCGGTTGCCACGGCTAAAGTAGAGTGCTGGCTCGCGGCGCTTGACGGCGCCTTCGGTGATGAGGCAGTGCTGGACGCTCGAGCCGGGGACCTCGAACATGGCGTCCACAAGCACCTCCTCGAGCACGCCGCGCAGACCACGGGCGCCACCGCCGCGGTTCAGACCTTCTTGGGCGATCGCCTGCATGGCCTTGTGGGTGAAGCCCAGCTCGGAGCCGTAGCGACGGAACAGCGTCTTGTACTGCTTGATCAGGGCGTTGCGGGGTTCGGTGAGGATACGGATCAGGTCCTCAATCTCCAGGGCGTGCAGCGAGGACAGGATGGGGAGACGGCCGAGGAATTCGGGGATCAGTCCATAGTCCTTCAAATCAGGCGTGGTAACCTTGAGTGCACTCGGGGCGACGACAGCCTGGAGGGGGGCACCGAAACCGATCGACTGGGGGTTGGTTAGTATTGATTGACACAATGGGTCGCCGTGGAACTCACCCCCTTGCCTAGACGACGCTGGATGATACCCTCAAGCCCAACGAAAGCGCCCGACAGGATGAACAAGATGTTGCTGGTGTCCACAACAAACGTGTCGCCCTTTTGGGCACCTCCGCCGCCGTTGAACCCGGGGAGACCCTCACGAACACCCTTTTTGCCCGTGGCAGCGCCAAACGTGCGGTTCATGGGGTTGTTCGGGTCCCATCCGGGCGGCTCGGAAAAGTTGGACTCGGCCTTGGTGCCACTGGGGCTACCTGCGGGGCTGTTGCCACTGGAGTGGGACGAGCTGCCCGATGGTGGGGTCGAGGTGATGGGCGGGGCCTTGGCCGAGAGTGTCACAGTCGTGCCCTCGAGAATACGCAAGAGGGCTTGCTGGACACCTTCACCACCGACGTCGCGGCCGCCACCCCAGGTGCCAAACTCGTTACCGCCACGGCGGGCGAGTTTGTCCACCTCGTCAATGTGAATGATGCCCATTCTGCAGAGTTAGTGTAAACGTGGACACAGAAACTCACTCGGTACGGGCAATGTCGTATTCGGCGGCCTGGAGAAGGCGCAGAATGCAGCTCTCAACATCCTCGCCGACGTCTGGTAGGTTAGCACGATGTAGAGCGCTTCGACCTACATCCTGCCTGAGTATACGTTGTGGCGTCGCATGAGACAAACGGCACGTCGAGGGCACGTGCCAGTGTCTTGGCCATCAATGTCTTGCCGGTACCCGTGGGTCCACTGGGATGTTAGTTCATCAGCCGACAGTGCCAGCTTACACAATGAGCACGTTGCTCTTCTCGACGGTAACGTTTGGGTCCTCGTCCACCTGGCGATCTCCATTACTGGCCATGGCCTCGTGCAGCTCGGCGGCGCGACGTGCGCGAGCCGCGTCCTCGAGCTTGCGCTGGTTCTGAGCCCTCCAGTCATCGTCCTGCTTCTTCTTGCGTGGACGCGGGGGATCAGGTGGCGCCTGCCTCTCGCTCTCATTGGTGACTGAAGACGTCAAGTCAGCCTCGCGAGCGCGACGGTTCATCTTGGAGAGCAAAGTGGGCGGGCGCCGGGACGAAAAGTAGCCATCTCCACGGGCTGTGTCTAAGCATGGGGGCAGTCGTGCAGTAGACCTGTCAATGCTGTACTCACCCCATTTCTCCTCGCGGGACAGAATGTCATGTGTGACTGTTGGGTCCGAGCCGTCCTCTCCGGCACCCACTGCGCGGGTCGAGTCGGGAACACCGTTTGTGCGTTCATAGTCGACGTCAAAGCTAGGCTTCTGCAGTGGTGGAGGCGGCGGCGGCGTAGTACGAGGTTGGGGTGGACCATCGGGCTGGTCCCAGATGAGCTGTTCGTTGGCCGGCTCATGGGTGTACACGGGCCTAGGTGGCTCATCGGCTGCAGCGGCTGCGAGGGGCTCGATACGGCGGTAGTGATTGAACACACTGCGGGGGTGAGCGGCGACTCGGGGACGCGCAGGGGTCTGATGACGACGACTCACGCCACCGAGAGGGTCTTCTTGGCTGCCTCTTGTCCGATTACATATTGGGACAAGTGGTGATAGAGCTGTAGCGATGTCAGCCAAGGTGGTCGGGGCCTGCGCGATAGCTTGGACGTACATCCTTTGGAGAACGGGGTGGGCCAGTCATTGTCGAGTTGAGACGGAGACATGTCCCGACGGTGCGGAGCTGGCGCAACCTGATGCGGCCCCTGGAGAACATGGTGGTGGGCAAGGGGGGGGGGGGGGGGGGGCAGTGGGTGGGGTGGAGTGGAGTGGGGGAGCGGGAGGGGGAATGTGTAGTATAAGACGGCGAGAGAGAGAGATGTGAGAGAGATGTGGCGATGTCGAGTCGACAGACGATCCGACTGATGGACCAAGAGAGCGAGATACCCGGGGCTGAATGACTCTGTTGGGTGTGGGACGCGCGAGACGATGCGGGGAAGGCGGCCGTCACGGCAATCGGGGCACGCGGGGCAGGCCGTGTCAATTCAACCGGCCGGTGGCGATTGTCTCTCCACTTTCCCACGGGCGGTACAACCCACGGGATCAAATCAATCTGCCCCCCGCTCTCTGCCCATCACTAAGTGGCGCGCCGAGACCACCGCCGCCGCCTGCGCTGCCGACGCCGCCGTCTTCGTTCGGGCAACTGCTTTGTCTCCCCCTCTCTCATCCCATTACCCCCCGTCCCAACCTTTCCACAACCTCCCCTCCCAACAGCTCAGCTCCTCCTCCCACGCAACCCCACACCCGTGTGCATCCAATCCCCCAACACAGCCTGCACCCCCCGCATCCTCTTGCAAACCAACTCGCAGTTCGACAAAAGGCCACCCCCGCGGCTTGGGTTTCTCCGACCACCCGTGTCTTGAGCTCAACAACACCCATCGCACCCCCCTGCCCCCGTACCATCTCCCCCGCCATGGCCTCCCTCGCAGACCCTAGCAAGGTCCAGCCCATGGATGTCACCAACCTGAACGACCCCAACCGCTCCAACCGCCGTGTAGCCTAGTAAGTACAAAAGAGCCACACATCTGTCATCAGAGAGGCACGCCCGCTGACAAGGCCCACCCTCAGCTACTATGACCGTATGTGTTGTTGCGTCTCCCTGCGCTATCCATCCCCATGCTCCGACCCCCACCCGTACTGATACCCCTCTTACAGACGATGTCGGAAACTACCACTTCTTCCTGGGCCACCCCATGAAGCCCCACCGCATCCGTATGACACACAACCTCATCAGCAACTATGGTCTCTGTGACGAGTACGAGTACGACGCACCGCACCCCGAGGGTGAGGGTGCGCGTGTTGTCAACGACATCACCCAGGGCATGGACGAGGAGCTCGAGGATGCCGTCAAGTGGGAGCGCCGTGTGCTCGCTGGCCCCCGCGGCCGCGCCATGCAGGTTTTTGTAAGTGGCTCTCTACCCACGCATCCACACGCCGCTGACATGCACGTGCAGAGGCCACGCCGAGCCACCAAGACCGACATGACAAAGTTTCACACCGACGAGTACATTGATCTCCTCGAGGCTGTCACTCCGGAGACGGCCGACGCAATGACGGGTGGAGGTATCAGATGTGGGTATGCTGGCCCTAAAACAACCGGCTGACCCATCCTACAGGTCTCACTGGCGAAGACTGTCCCGCGTTCGAGGGTGTGTTCGAGTTCTGTACCATCTCCGCTGGTGGATCGCTCGGTGCTGCCGAAAAACTCAACGGGGGTCTGGCCGACATTGCGGTCAACTGGGCGGGTGGTCTCCACCACGCCAAGAAGTCTGAGGCCTCGGGTTTCTGCTACGTCAACGACATGTAAGTGGGCCGCGCAGACTCCTCAACTGACGTGCAGTGTGCTCGGTATCCTTGAGCTTCTCCGCATCCATCCGCGTGTACTCTACATTGACGTCGACGTCCACCACGGAGACGGTGTCGAGGAGGCATTCTACACCACCGACCGCGTCATGACCTGCTCGTTCCACCGTTTCGGAGAGTTCTTCCCCGGTACCGGTGACGTTCGCGTAAGTAGAACCAAGGTTACGCCGAACAACTCATTGACCTTTTCAGGACAACGGTATCAAGCGCGGCAAGGGTTACGCGGTCAATGTCCCTCTTCGTGACGGTATTACCGACGCCACCTACCACACCATCTTCAAGCCTGTCATTGCAAAGATTATCGAGACGTTCCGCCCCGGTGCCATTGTGCTCCAGATGGGTGCCGACTCGCTGTCCGGTGACAAGCTTGGTGGATTCAACCTCACCCTCGAGGGCCACGCCGAATGCGCTCGCTTTGTGCGCAGTTTCAACATTCCGACCATGCTGGTCGGCGGTGGTGGCTACACCATCAAGAACGTCTCCAAGGCCTGGACCAAGGAGACTGCAATCATGTGCGGCATCGAGCTCCCCGAGGACCTCCCTTACAACCGCTACATGGAGTACTTTGGCCCGCGCTACAAGCTCGAGGTGCTGCCGACCAACGTCGACGACCACAACCCGCCCGAGTACATTGAGGCTCTCAAGCGTCACATCTTTGAGAACCTGCGCGACTTGCCCCACGCTCCAGGTGTGCAGATGCGCGAGGTTTCCAGCAAGCCTCTGTCAAGAGTCATGGGCATTAGCAAGGAGGACGAGGACGACGACCCAGACAATGACCTCGACGCACGGATCAAGAGTGAGTGGTAGTTGTTTTCATCGTTGTCTAACACCTCTACAGAGCTCCTCCGTCAAAGGCAAATGAACGGCGACGTCGACTCGGAGTCTGACTCGGACTCGGACGTTGCGGCCCAGGCTCGTCCCAACCGCGCACGACGCCAGGGAGGTCTGTCCCTGCGCCCCAACCCCCGTCCGCGCGTGAACGGTTTCCCCGCATCCAAGCGCCAACCATCGTCCTCCCCCGAGGGAGACGACTGCGACGGACGGAAGAAGCGCCAGTTCTTCAAGGCGCGCGTCGGCGACGGCGTGTGGGACCCCACGTCATTGCTCAACGGCGGCCAGCGGCCAAACGACGGCCTGGTCAATGGCGTCAAGCCCAAGCTGTTTGGCGGCATTCCAGAGACCTGGAACGTCGGCAGGGCCAGCAGGGCTGGCAGCCCCATGAGTGTTTCGTAGACTTGTGTAGAGTTAGGCTTTGTATGATAGTATCTTTTCGCATCCGACAAGTGGCAGAAAGCGCAGGTGGCAGGGGTTGCGTCGTTCGTGCCTTTGAGGAGTGGTTCGTTTGCAGTGTGTGACTCTAGTGCTTCGAGCTGTTATATTGACTTTGGTGTGCATGCGTCAAGCTGGCGGGTGTCCCGAGTTCCCAAGGGAGCATGAAGGGGATCGCGCTGTGTTGTGTGCTTGTATCGTTGCACCACACTATCCCATGATGCCATCAACTATCAACCTTGCAACCGGCCAACCGGGCTGCCAGGCCGATCGGCGCATGGTAGCTGGGCAGTAGGCTCAAATAAAAAGGCCCGCGAAATAGGCGCCACATTGTTGTTGCCACTCAACATGATCAACTTGAAGCCACTTGGTCCTATCCGCCAGACATCAAACTCACCACCACCACCAACACCACCGTCCTCCAGCCACACAAAATGTCCCAGCAAGTCTGCCGAGATTGGGCAGCAACGTGAGTCCTTCCTTGCAGCTAGGCAGAACATGCAGATGGTCCTTTAGCTGACTCCTTCTCAGCGGCAACTGTCGCTTCGGCAACAACTGTCGATACTACCATCCTTCGCGTGCGTACCGCCATGTCCAGCTACGATTTCTTCGTACCCAGCTGACATTCAGGCAACAACCAAGGCGGGAACCTCTCCAGCAGGCTGAGTAACGCAAATGCCACACCGCTGGGCCGCTCCACGAGCAGCAAGTATCAGTTCAAGTGAGTCCCCCTTTCTCCTTGTCCCCATTCACCCCGCCGGCACCGCTCACACCGCTGCAGCGACGACACTGTGCGCCTTGAACTTGGCCCCGAGCGGCCCCAGTGGATCCTCTCGTCGTTTGGCGTGGCGAAATACGAGCCCAACGTGCTCCCCGGGCCGGACCTGTCGCCAGAGGAACTGCGGTGGCAGAGCGTGCAGGCGCTGCGGGCGGGCGGACCGGCCGTCGACGCATACGTCCAGCAGGAGACGCAGCTGGTGAACACGGCCAAGCAGAACCTCGACAGCGCGCTGCAGAACCTCGGGCAGACGGTGCGTACCGCCGAGCGACTGCATGACGCGCGCTTTGCCGGCGGCAGGGCGCTAGGCGGCGACAGGCCGCAGGGCTGGTCCGAGGCCAGCGTGCTCGGCTCCAACACGGGCGGAGGCGCAGGCGGCTCGGCGTTTGGGGGGACCAGCGGTGGCGCAGCAGGCGGTGCGTTTGGCCAGAGTGCCTTTGGTGCCAAGCCTGCCGGCAGCGCGTTTGGCCAGTCGGCCTTTGGCTCGTCGTCGGGCGGCGGCGCGTTCGGGTCGACCACAACCACGTCTGCGACACCAGCTACCGGCGGCGCGTTTGGCCAGAGCGCGTTCGGCGCCAAACCTGCCGCGACCGGCGGCGCATTCGGCCAGAGTGCGTTTGGCACCAAGCCCGCGGGCGCGAGCGCGTTCGGCGGCGCGAGCAACACACCAGCGGCCGGGAGCGCGTTTGGCCAGAGCGCATTCGGCGCCAAGCCGGCCGCGACGGGCTCGGCGTTTGGCCAGAGCGCATTTGGCAGCGGCGGCGCGACGGCGACGACGGGCGGCTCAGCGTTCGGCCAGAATGCCTTTGGCGCCAAACCCGCTGGCGGGGCGTTTGGATCGACCACGACGGCGCCGGCTGCGGCTGCGCCTACGTCTGCGTTTGGCCAGCCTGCGACGGGGTCCGCGTTTGGTCAAAGCGCCTTTGGCCAGTCGGCCACCCCAGCGACGAGCGCGTTCGGCCAGCCCGCCGCCCCTACTTCAGCCTTCGGCCAGTCTTCCACCCCCGCTGCACCAGCCACATCAGCCTTCGGCGCGCCTTCAACCACGGCTCCCGCCGCCGGCTCGGCGTTTGGCCAAAGTGCATTCGGCCAGCCTGCGGCCTCGGGGTCTGCGTTTGGCCAGAGCGCGTTCGGCAAGCCCGCAGCGAGCGGGGGTGCATTCGGCCAGAGCGCTTTCGGCCAGCCAGCCGCTGCGACGACGACGGCCGCCACGGCCACGGCACCAGCGACAAGTGCTTTTGGCCAGCCAGCCGCCACCAGCGCGTTTGGCCAGGCGTCCACACCAGCAACAAGCGCGTTTGGCCAGACGACTACTGCTCCCACAACATCCGCGTTCGGCCAGCCAGCTACCGGCTCCGCGTTCGGCCAGCCTGCAACCACCAGCGCATTTGGTCAAGCTGCCGCGCCAGCAGCGAGCGCATTTGGCCAGCCATCAACAGCGAGCGCATTCGGCACCCCTGCCACGTCCACCACCGCGGCACCCATCACCAACCCCTTTGGCAAGCCACCAGCGGCCGCCAGCGCGTTCGGCCAGCCTGCAGCCCCCGCGACAGGCGCGTTCGGCGCCGGCGGAGGGTTTGGCCAAAAGTCTGCATTCGGATCAACAACTGCTGCCGGCGCGTTTGGCCAGCTGCCATCTGCAGCGGCCGCACCGTCGTTTGGCGCCGACGTGCAGGTGCCCGCTGGGTGGAGCTACGACGACGCATGGAGCTGGAACATGGAGGACATTGGCGACGAGGCCACGGCGGCGTTCACGGCGGGCGCGTTCGAGTTTGGGCATGTGCCGCTGGCCATGCCGCCTGTGGCGCTGCGCGTGTGAGAGAAGGGAGAGGAGAGGGGAGGCAGAGGGGAGGGCGGAGAGGGGTTCATTGTTTCCCATAGCATTGCGTAGAAGGAGATTGTCTACGCTCCATAGCACCACCATGTCACACCATGCCATAGATGTTGTTTCTGACGTTGTATCTGACCAGGTCTGTTAAATCGGTCGCGCGCGGCGTGTCCGCTCGGTCGCTGCTGATAACATTGTGCGGACCCGCCGAGTTGACTTTGGCGGAGTCGCCGCATCAACCTCTCTGCCTCTTGTACCGCTGCAACATCTCTCTCCATGCTCCTCGCTTGGGCTCGCTACTACAAAACAAAAATGTATCTCGTGCTGCTTGCTGCCTGCCTGCTGTACTTCCTACATCCCGCACCTGTTTTTGCTTCCACTCGCTGCCCTCGCGGCTTAAAGCTTGGCCTTTGAGGGTGCGCCGTTCTGCGCGACGCCGCCGACCTTTGAGCCGTTGGCGCTGATGAGGTTGCTGGCGTCCATGGCGTTGCCCGAGCCGTTGAACTGCACGCCCTTGATGCCCGGGTATCCCTTGATGCCGGTGGCCTGCTCGAGGCGGGACGCAATGTCCTCGGACACCTCGCGCCAGATACCGATCTGGCGGCGGATGATCTCCTTGTCCTTGACGGTGGACATGTGGCCCGAGACGGTGGCGATCCAGCGGTCGCGCTCGCCCTGCGAAAAGACCTTGTGCCAGAGGTTGCGGGGCGCGTTAAAGTCCTCGGGCCTGATGGCGGACAGGAACGACACGGCCTGCGCGACAAAGCCGCCGTGCACGGCGTCGACGTTGACCTTGGCCGGCTGGAAGGTGACGGCGTCCTGCGTCGACAGGTAGCCCGGGCGGCCGCCCTGATTGTAGAAGGACATGGCACCGTCGCGCTGGAAGTTGGAGGGTGCGTAGCCCGTCACGCTCTGGTTGACGGGAAGCTGCTGGTAGTTTGTGCCCAGGCGGTGGCGGTGCGTGTCCGGGTACGAGAACAGGCGCGACTGGAGCACGGGGTCGGCCGACGGCTCAATGCCGGGCACCATGTGGCTCGGCGAGAAGGCGGCCTGCTCGACCTCGGCAAAGTAGTTGGCGGCGTTCTCGTTGAGCTTGATGCGGCCGACAGTGCGCAGGGGGTAGTCGGCGTGGGGCCAGATGTGGGTGAGGTCGTGGACGTTGATGCCCTTCTTCTCCCAAGCCTCGACGGCCTGGGCCTGGGTCATGGTCTGCACCTTCATGGTCCACGAGGGGAACTCGCCACGCTCAATGGCCTCGTACAGGTCCTTCTGGCCGTGGTCCGGCGACAGCTTGCCGGCCTCCTCGTTGGTGAGGGTCTTGATACCCTGGTCCGAGATGAGGTGCAGCTGGACATACTGCCACTCGCCCTTCTTGTTGACAAACTTGAGCGTGTGGCCGTAGTAGCCGTGCATGTGGCGGAAGCCGTCGGGAATGCCGCGGTCAGACATGAGGATCTGCGGGTCAGCATCGTGTGCTCTTGCCGGGTGACACAAGGACGTCGTCTGGCAACCAAAGAGCAATGACGTCGTCAAGTCCAGGGGCCAGTGGCCAGTGGGCTAGCCTATGCGTCCACTGGTCCATCCTCGCACACTCGCCAAACACTGTCCGGGTGCGCAACGAATGGAATCACGTAGCCAGCGTCGTCGGGAGTGGGACAAGGGTCGATGTGGCCGATAGTGGGTCACTCGACCTTGACCCACTCTGGGTTTGTCTGTTTCGGCTGCAGTTACCCGCCGTGGGAAATGTGCGATGCGATTCAAGACGCCCTCCCACCTCCCAACGACCTGTGTCCGAGCAGCTACGAGCTGGGGATGATGCAGCAGCGACCCTCATGGCCACAGCAAGCGTTGCAGCCACCCGCACACAAGATCTCGCGTCTGGAGTCCGAATTCTAGAGTCCGAGAGACACAACTCACCATGACCTGGTGCGCCGCCTCGGGGTTGTTGGACAGGTAGTCCCAGAACATGGTCGCGTCGTCGCCGCCGCCGAGGTGCGTGGCCGGGTGCCTCTTCTGGGTGTGGATAAAGTGCGGGAACTTGGCAGGATCGCGCAGGCTGCGAGGAGGGGGGGGGGGGGGGGACGCCAATGTCAGCGATGGCGCCACTTGCCTTACACTCCACTCACAAGAACACGGGGGTGTTGTTGCCGACAAAGTCCCAGTTACCCTCGGCCGTCTTGAACTTGACGGCGAAGCCACGGGGGGTCGCGCGCGTTGTCGCTCGAGCCGCTCTCGCCGCCGACGGTCGAGAAGCGGATCGTGATGGGGCAGGTGGAGCCCTTCTTGAACAGGTCGGCGAGACACAGGTCCTCGAGGCCCTCGGTACACTCCCACACACCGTGGGCGCCCGAGCCCTTGGCGTGGACGACGCGCTCGGGGATACGCCTGGATGGGGTTAGTTGGGGAGGACGAGGGAGTGGGGAGGCGGATGGAAGACGGTGACGGGGGTAGCAGGTGGCCCCAAGTGGGCAGCGTGCGTGTGGCGCATCTACCGCGCATCCACCGCCGCCGGGTTACTTACTCGCGGTCAAAGTGGGCCAGGAGGCTGGAGACTGTCAGCTTGGGTTCAACAAGGTCGTTGCAGCGGCTGTCCAACTCACTCGATGAGGTGGAAGTCCTGGAGCAGGAGGCCCTGGTTGCCGGCGCGCTGGGAAGCGTAAGGGTGGGGGACGGGCGCGCCGTTCGAGGCCGTGTAGGTGGCCTCGGTGGACTTGGCCTTGCGGTCCGCGTCGTAGGACTTGGGCTTGGGGGTCATTGTCGCAATGTGTTGTTTACTGGCTGCAAGAAAGGTGTGAGGGGGGGACGGGGTTAACACGGCGTACGGAGTGGGGCAGCGTCTGTTATATCAAGTTGCACGCTGGTGGGGGCAGCGAACGTGCTGGGGGCGAATAAGAGTGGGCCGAATGATCACATGAACACGGCAATCTCCGGCATGCGTCGGTCACTCCGCGCGTTTGACGCTCGGATACGCGGCATCCGGTGTTCAGCGCCGGATTCACGCGGACACACCGCCGCAAAAGTGTTTTCAGGTGTCAGCACACTTGCCCAGTTGGCCCCGGCCAGTGGCTAGTGATATCAGTGAGCCGCAGCATAGCACATATCGTCTGCATAAAACGCTCCCTGTAACAAAAGCTCTGTATTCTCTTTACGTTTCCTCATATCCAAAACACGAGCAGCAGTAGCAAAATAAAAACCCCCTTTACACTGCTGTCCACTACCAGCGGCTGAAACCGCCGGTAGAGCCAAAGCCGCCCGCGCCGCGGGACGTGACGTCCAGGTCATCGACCTGGCGGAGCGGCGCCATGACAATCTTTTCGAGAATAAGCTGCGCGACGCGGTCGCCGGCCGAGATGGCAAAGTCCTGCTCGCCATAGTTGAACAGCAGGACCATGACGGTGCCGCGGTAGTCGGCGTCAATGACGCCGGCACCCGTGTCGATCGAGTGCTTGGCCGCGAGGCCCGAACGGGGCGCTATCCTGCCGTACGTGCCCTCGGGGACGGCAATGGACAGCTGCGTGTCGACAAGCGCCTTGCCGCGCGCGGGCACCTTGATGTCCGCAGCGGCGTACAGGTCGTAACCGGCCGAAAGGGGCGAGCCGCGCGTGGGCAGCTTGGCCGAGGAGGACAGAAGCTTGACGAGGAGCTCGTCCGAGGGCTGAGAGGTGGGTCAGCAGATGCAAGAGGCGTTGGTCACTCACCGGCTTGACAGACGCGCCGTTGGCAGGCGACGAGGTCGATCCCGAGGCTGCGACCGCGGCGCCAGCGCCAGCAGCCACGGCAGCAACAGCAGCAACCTTTGCGGGGGCAACCTCGTCCTCGCTCTCCTCCTCGGGCTGCTCAATCTCGAGGTTCTTGGCCTCGACAGTGGGCTCCGGAGTAGGGGCGGCGACGGGCGTAGACACTGGCTCGGGCTTGAGCTCCGCCTTGGGCTCGACCTTGGGCTCAGCCTTGGGGGCAGGAGCCTCCTTGGGGGTAGCGGGCGCGGAGGGGACGGGGGAGGGGGCCGCGGCGGGAGTAGCAGCGGCCGAGCGGGGGAAGGGAGTGATGGGGGCCGAGTTGGCCGACGAGGCCATGGTCTCGAGGTCGACGACGTTGGGGCGGGTCGTCTTGCCGCCGAGCCACTCTGCAGCGGTGAGCGCGGGCTCGATCGAGTTGGCGGGCGGGAAGATGTCTGACTGGAAGCCCTCGGCCTTGCGCGGGACGATAAACGACAGGGGCTCGACCGAGTTGACCGACAGCTTGAACGCGCGCGCAATCTCGTTCTGCGACACGTCGAGCGAACGGCGCGGGAGGAACCCCATACCGCGCTGCGGGTCCGAGGTCTGGTACTGGTTGAGGAAGTGGAACTGGTCGCCCTCAAACTCATAGTAGCGAATGTTGCCGTCGCCCTTGCCGGCGAGGAAGAGGACGTCGTTGCCCTCAGCAAAGAAGGGGATAATGACACCGGCGCTCGAGTCGAGGCTCTGGGTGTCGAGGTTGGTCAGGCCCCCAGTCTCCCACAGCGAGAGCTGGCGGTCCGACATGCGCGAGAAGCCAGTGGTAGCGATACGGTCGCGGTCACCGAGCCACACGACGCGCGAGCCCTTGATGCCGCCGTGGCCGTCAGTGACGCGCACGGGGTCGGCGCCGGCACGCGGGTCAAACAGGCGCAGCTTGCGGTCACGACAAGTGGTGGCAAGCGTGTTGCCGACGGGGTTCCAGCACATGCTCTGGACAGAGTCGTTGTGGCCCGTGAGGGTAATGGACGCGGCGTCCTGGCCGGCCTCAATGTCCCACAGACGCACGAGGTGGTCACCGCTCGCCGCAGTGAGAATGTTGGATGCGGCAGGGTGGAAGACGACCTGGCCGACCTTGCGGCCGCCAGCGTTCAGCTTGCCCGTCGGCGCAAGGTCGACGGGCTCCCACTCGTCGCTGCCCCAGCCCTCAAACAGCGAGTCCTCGACCTTCCAGATGAAGATCTTGCCATCCTCGCCGCTCGACACGACGAGGTTGTCGTCAAACGGCGACCAGGCAGTGTCCAGGCTGTGAAACGCTACGTCAGCACACGGCCACTGTCGCTTTTGCGGTCGTTGTTGACGTACACAGGCGCAGTGTGGCCACGGGCAAGCGGGAGGACATCCGGCAGCCTGGTGGGGAAGTGTTCCGGTGCCGGGGGCGTGAATGGCGAGAAGGTCGGGAGGATGGCAAAGGCCTGTGCGGCGTCAGCGTCGGAGCGAGCGCGAGGGGGTCAGCACACAGAGATCCAGAGACAGCCCCGACAAAAGCGGGGCCATGGGGGAGCGCCAGCACATCTGTCCGCGTCCATGACGATCGCATCAACGAGCACTCACACCACCGCCGGCGACCTGCCAGTTTACAGCGACGTATTTCTGTCATGTTAGCGGTCGGTTACAGAGGGGAGAAGCTGCATGTCCAAAGGACCAACAGCTTCTCTGCGCCATGACGGCCTCATGTAAACTCACCCCGCTGGCCGTAATGAGATCCGTGTCCCAGGCGCTGCCGCTGACCTTGGCATTCTCGTAGTTGACCTTGGAGCGGTTGCCAAAGACGTGGCGGTACTTGGACTAATGCGAGCACATGTCAGTTGCCGTGCGTTTGATGGTGGATAAAACGAGATGGGGGTTGTGATGTCTCGTGTGACTAGGTGAACCACAGTGGTGCGCTGGCACTTGTGCAACGAGCGCAGCCGGTGCAACTGCCAGCGGTTCCGAACGGGAAGGCACACCACGGCTGCAAACGGGACGCCGAGACGGATGGATGGGTCGGGCGAGGTGGATGGGGGACTCACTGGGCGGACGAATCGAGACATTGTGGGGGCAACGCAAAGACGAGCGACGGACGTTGGGAGTGCAGAGCGATGTAGATGGATGGGATTGCTGGCGCCGGGGGGCTCGATGAGCACGGCCTGGCGCACAGGGTGTGTGTGGCATGGCTCTGGGCCGTCCCGGCGGTGCGTCATGTCCATCGTGGGAAGGCGGCACGAGACACAGGGGCGCGGGGGTGGGTTGAATTGGGCCAGACATGCCAGGCAGGTGGTCCACAGCCCGTGACTCGCGGTCGGTCTGCATACAGGCTCTCCAGGGGACATGCATGTACATGTGTACAACCAACAACCATGTGCATGACAGTGTAGCATTAAGGTATCAATCTGACAGACAGGCGGGCACAGGACAGCGACGGGGCGGCACCAGAACGTGTATCTCTTTTTTTTCTGTAACTCTTCTCTTCGCTCAGGTGATCGTGATGACCTCGCCCTTTGCATCGCGCAACACGACCAGGTCGCACGGGATCGTCTCTCCAGAATCCATATACGTCAGGAGCGTCTGATCCAATGGGTCCACCCTGCTGGGTCAGCGCAAGCATCGAAGGGGGCTCCGTTACCCACTTGATGTTCATCTTCTCGAGCCACGCGCGGCCCAGCACCACGTCAAAGTGCTGCTCCTCGGACAGCATGGCCGTGTGGATCCCAGTCCGCGACCCAATGGTGATGGGGACCTGGCCGAGGATCTGGAGACCAGAGTATCCGCCAAACCCTGGTGATTGCTGCGAGGTTAGTCAAGCTTTCAACATGTCACCTCTTACCTTGCTCGAGATCAGGCGGTGGCGCATCGCAAACGAGCGCGAGATGTAGACATGTCGGTACCCCGACTTGAGCAGCATACGGACTGGGGGGGGCGCGTCAGCAGAGTTCACTGTTACACAAATATATGAACTCACCATTGTCCACATTGCCGACCTTGCCCACGACGGTGCGCACGCCGTTGCTCGCGTGGAACTGGCAGCCGGTCAGCTGTGCGCCCGTGAAGCAGGCAGCTGGCTTACCTCGTTGAACTGGCGGCGCTTGGTGTCGCCGAGCGGCTCGGCATCGTCGTCTCCCCACTTACTCCGCCTGGACCGCGTGCTCATACCGCTGCGCATGCTCTGGGCCGAGCGGGACCGCATCTTCTCCGAGTTGGGGATGCCCAGGTGGTTTGCGGCCGTCAACGGGTCAGACGGCGGGGGCACGTAGTGGACGTGCTCGACGCGGGACGCGGCGAGCGGCGAGCTCGGGAGGGAGGGGACGGTGGACGCGACAATGACCGAGCCAGCGGCGGACGCGGGGCGCGAGCCGGACCGGGACGACTGCGACTTCTTCTTCTTCTCGGTGCGAGCCTGCAGCTGGGCGCTGGCAGACACAAACGACGGAGGCGGGCCGTTGAAGCTTGTTGTGTGATGCATGATCCCGTTCGAGTGCGGCAGGTTGATATGCAGCGTGATGGAGGGGCTCGCCATCGTCTCGGCATCGGCGCGGAACCGCTCGTTGACAATCGCCAGGTCGTCATCTGGGGAAACCCGACGTCAGTGTTGCTGTTCCCCGGGTTTTCGGCGTCGGACGCCGACAAAGGGGGACACGGACACGACGGCTTCGGCGTCGCGCGCGCGCGCCCACCCGTTCCCGACCCCCGACGGCCCCGTCCTTCCCAGACTCACCATCTTCCAGCGCCCAGCGCTCGCCCTCAAACTCGTACACGATACCTGCGCCGTCGCGTCTGGCGCGCAGCACCTCCGCCTCGGCCGGGAGGAGGCTCGCTTTGGTAATGATACGTTCGATGAGCGCGACCGAGTTCTCGTTGGCTAGAGTTGGCGTGTCAGCGGCGCGGATGGGGGTGGGGTGCTGTCGACAAGAGCACTGCGTCGGCAGAGGCAGTCGCCGGGCGCGCCGGGCGCCGAGCGGCGGCAACACCAGCATTCACTCACCTTTTGCGGCGAGCGCAAACGTCTTGTGTGGTGCGTGCACGTTGTATATGAACATGCTGGGCTGTGGCGCTGTTGGTAGGTGAATGTGGAAGAAGCGACGACGAGGGGCCTGGGGATGATGATGAGAAGGACGATGAAGAGGATGTGGCCTGTGGCCTGTGGGTGGGTGCAACAATAACCTGTTGTGGCGATTTGCTCGTGCCCGCGCCGTAATGGCCAGGGTGTGTCGTCTATGACGCGTTGTGGATGACACCCCCACGCACTAAGGGATCTGCGCTCCACCTGCTGCTGGGCCGTTTTACCCAACACAGGTGCGACATGCGACGCTCGTGGTCTTGAATCCTTGAATCTCACACACCCGGGCAGACGTGCGGACACATGGGTACATGGGCGCTTGCATGCGCGTGCTTGCAAGCGAGCGACAACGGCATGCACGTACTGGATGTGCAACTTTAACACTCTGACCGGCGCCGCGCCCCGCACACTGGGCTCCGAAGCTCCGACGAGGTGAAGACGGATTGTTCGTACCTTTGCGTCATGCCCAAAGATCGAGTGTGCATATCAGCATGGTACAGAGGCACCAAGAGAACAGAGCGGATCCCTTTGGGCAGCGCGTTTTCTTGGCACCAAAACCACACTATGGCGCTTCGGAGCGGCCGGCACCTGAAAAACACACTATGGGCATGATATGGCGGCCGACGTCGGCACAGTTTGTTTTCATGGGCCACCTGGCGACCTGACCGAAAAAAGTGGCATCTACTGCATCTAACGCTATGCCGCATGTATCACGTCCACGTCCACAACCCCTCTCTCTCTCTCTCGCTCTGCACACGGCACTTTGTCTCCTTCTGTCTCACTCTCTCTCTATCTCATATACATATCTTCTTCTGTTGACTGTTTTGTTTTCCCTAAAACTCATCCTCGCCGTCGTCACGCACCTCCATGACCTCGCGCACAAACTTGGCGACACGCGCACGCATGTCGGTCACGAGGTGGGTGCGGTCCCAGTCCTGCCTGGCCCGCCAGACGCAGTCGAGGAGCGAGGCGCGCAGCTGCTCCAGTTCCTCGACGTTGAGCGGGGCAGTGACGTCGCGCAGGGCCGTGGTGAGCTGCGACACGTCGTCCTCGGGCACCACAAAGGGCGGGTACACTGGCAGCGGGGTAGGCGTGCGTGGTGGCACGGGAGTGGCCTCCTTGGGGGTCGGGGTGGGCGTTGGCTCCTTGGCGGGCGGGCTGGGCTCCTTGGGAGCAGCGGGAGGGGTGGGCTCCTTGTCCTTGGGCGTACCCGCCGCAGGCTGCGTGTTGGGTGCCGACACGGCGGGCTCGGGCGCCGCTGGCTCGGTGCCGTTCTCAATAGAGTCGATGGGGTCCACGTCCATGGCGTCGTCGCGAGGGCGCTTCTCAGCAGGCTCGCCCTCGCCGCTGTCGCCGTCCTCGCGCGTACGCTTGAGACCGTTGGCGGTAGGAGTGGCGTCGCCGTCACCGTTGCCATTGCCGTTCTCCGTAACGACCGGCTGAGCGTCGCCGTTGGTGCCTTCAGTGTCCTTGTCCTTTGCGGCCGCCTCGGCCCTTTCAACGTCGGCCTTGTCCCTCTCTGCCTTTGCCTTTTCACGCTCTGCCCTGCGCTTGGCTTTGCGCTCTTGCGTACGGTGGGCATAGGCCTCAAACTCGGGCGTCCACTTTGCGTCAAAGCCAGAGACGTGGATCTGGGCCTGCGCCATCATGGCACCAATCTTGAGACGCGTCTCCTGCGAAGCGAGGAAGCGCGAGTTTTCCTCGATGAGCGCCAGGTCGTGCAGGACCTCGGCGGGGGTGCAGTACTTGTGCTTGATGAGCTTGCTGGACATGGTTTCCAGGTCGAGGTCGTGGGCTACAATGGTCGGAATCTCGGGGTTGCTGGCCGGCTCGACCGAAGTGCGAGCGGTGGCAACTTCCAGGACGGGAACAATTTCAACCCTGGGAGGCTCGACAGCGAGGCTGGCCGAGTCGCCATTGTCGATCAAGACGGGCACGCCAGTCTGGCCAGTGGCCGGGTCGACAACGATCTGTGGAGCCTCGGCCGCGGGGTCCTCGGGGTTACCGTTGGCGTTGGCCTTCTCGGCGGCAGCACGTTCTTGGGCATAGTACGCAGCCTCCTTGGCCATGAGGACGGGACGCTGGTACTTGCGCTTGAGCTCGCCGAGGAACGTGTTGAAGCTGAGCTGGATCATGTGGCGAGCGGCATTGTCGCGGTCGAGCTCGCGCTGGATCTCGGCGTGAGTCGGCTCGCGAGGTGGCAGGGGCGGAGCAATGGGCAGCTCCTCGAGCACGCGCTTCTTGCGGGGGACACCGTCGGGGAAGTCGATGGGGCGGCGGTGCACAGCGTCGAGGAGTTCAGAGAAGAACTGCGCGCGCTGGTCCGCAGACGGTGTGCCGAGCTCTAGACGGTTCTCGTCGCCAAAGCCAAACCACGAGCGCACGTCGCGGGGGAGCGTGTTGAGAGGTCCGTCCACGAGGGCCAAGAGAAGCACCGGGTCCGAAGGGGGGATACCGTCGAGAAGGGCACGCGTGGTCGAGCGAGCCGTCTCCGTGACGTTGGCAGACCATTGCGCGAGGGACGGAATGAAGATGATGCTCGGCTGGTGGCGCTTGGCCTCGACAAACAGCTGGACGATACCGGCCTCGACGGTCCTGGTCGAGTCGCTCATGAGGCTCGCAAGGTCAAAGGACTGCACGTGGAAGCCCTCGAGGTGGTGCAGGATGGCGGGACCGAGGTACGTCTGGCCAGATCCAGCCGCGCCATAGACGACGAGACGGGGGCGGTAGGTTCTCAACTTGTCCAGGGCTGCAAAACGTCAGTTGAGAGTCACGCCAAACAACTTACACTGCAGCATCATCTCCTTTTCAAACGTGTCACCGTCTTCGTCCTCGTACTCGGCTTCCTCGAGCGCGGTACGCTTCTTGACGGGAGGCATGGCACGGTCGACCGCAGTCTTGAGCCTCTCGAGGTCGTTGGAAAGCAGAGGCGTAAGCTGAGCCGGTAGCTGGATGGCAGTGGAGGACGTCGAGCGGGCAGAGGAAGGGATGATTTCTGCGCAGGTAAGTGACTCGCCCCCGTTTTCTGTACCTACTCTTCACAGCCAGCATAAAGTCCTTGGGTTGAACGTGGATGGAGCCTGGCTGGACTAACAGCCTGTCGGTCGACTTGTAAATCTGGGGGTAACGACGCTGGATGGCGTTCAATGCAGACTCGGTGCACAGTGCCCTCAGGTCGGCACCACCGTAACCCTTTGTCAGAGTCGCGAGGTTGTCGAGCATCGAGTCTGGCAGCTGAGGCTCCCAGTCGCGTGTGTTGATGCCGATGATCTTGCGACGGGCATCACGGTTGGGGAGAGGGAAGTAAAACTCGCGGTCGAAACGACCTGGGCGACGTAGCGCAGGGTCGACAGCGTCGGGACGGTTGGTAGCGCCAATGACGATAACCTGGCCACGACCGTCCATGCCGTCCATGAGGGCGAGGAGGGTCGACACTAGCGAGGCGTGGATCTGGTCCTGCTTGCTGCTACGCACAGGTGCGAGGCCGTCAATCTCATCAAAGAAGATGATACTGGGCTGCGACGCGCGTGCCTCTTCGAACAGCATTCGCAGCTGGCGTTCCGCCTCGCCCACCCATTTCGACAGCACATCGGCACCCTTGCGCATGAAGAAGGCAATCTTGGTGTTGCCGTTGCTGCAAGACGCTGCCAGCGCGCGAGCGAGTAGCGTCTTACCAGTACCTGGCGGGCCGTGGAAGAGGACACCACGGGGAGGGGTGATGCCAAACTGCTGGAAGAGCTCCGGGTAGAGCAAAGGAAGCGCGACCATCTCCTTGAGTTGGTTGATGTCTGGGTGTGAGCTCGGGCAGGGCGCGACGCCAACTCACGGTTATCCAAACCACCAACACGGTCAAAGGTAACGTTGACGTCAACGCCGAGTGGGTCGGCATCGGCAGTGGCTGGGACGTTAGTGATTACACCGACGGTACATACATACAAGACTTGGGATTGAACCGGCCAAAGTTGGGCACGTCGCTGGGGCCAGGGACGTTGGGGCCGGCAGGACCAGCCCGCGACGGACCAGCGGCAGCGTTCATGGGCAAGTCGGCATCCGAGTCGGACGAGTCGGCGTCGCCCATCAAGTTGGCAAGGTCCTTGCCGCGCATGCTCCAAGGAAGGGGCTTGCCTGCAGCAGTCATGCCCCCAAAGCCGCGGTTGCGACCACCGCCACCGGCCATGCGGTTGATCATGTCGGCTTGGCGCTCGGCCGCCTGGATCTCGGCTGTCATGTCCAGAGGAGGGAGAGCATAGTTGACCTGCGCATCGCGCTTGCGTAAAGTGCGACGCGCACCATACTCTTCGTCCGACTCTTCTTGGCGGCGCCTCGTGCGCTCGCTGCGACGGGCAACGGTGGTTTGGCGAGTAGTCCTGCGACGGGGAGGGCTGCTCTCGGCAAACGACTGCACGTCGTCGTCGACATAGTCGTCACCAATGGGGTCGGGGCTGGACGCCGAGTCTGCAGACTCGGACGGCGCAAACGACTCGGCATCAGCCGACGAGTGACGGGGACCGCGCGACTGGCTCTTGGGCGGCTCGGGCACATAGTCGGCCTCTGCTGCGTCAACAGCGTCACCGTTGGCTGCTGGCGGCGCCGCGCTCGGTACTGGGGTCGCGTCTTCGTCATCATCAGGGTCCTGGTAAGCACCACGACGCTTCGGGCGGCCGCCTGCGGCAGGGCGAGATGTCGAGGTGGTAGCGACAGGCTGGACAGGTTCGACAATGGGGCTCGTGTCCATCATCTTGTTCTCAAAGTCGTCGTCGTCGTAGCGCTCAGGAGCCTTGTGAGCGCGCCTTGAGCGACGAGTCTCGTGCGTTGCGGGAGCTGGCGCGACAAAGTCATCGTCGCCGTCGCCATCGCCATCGCCCTCGGCGTCAAAGTCGCCATCGTCGTCTTCTTCTTCTTCCTCGTAGTCTTCCTCCTTGACGGCGCGCGACGACTGGCGAGTCGCCCTGCGGTCACCAGTCTTTCGAGAGGCAGCGCGAGGGGGAGTCTCGGGGGTGCCCACAAAGTCCTCGTCATCGTCGTCGTCCGCGTATTTGATGGGCTTGGACGCTCGCCGGCGTGGGCGGCCATGCTCGTCGTCGTCAGCCGGCGTTGGCACCGCCGCCGCCGCCGAGGCGTTGCGTGTTCCTCTCGTTGGCATCGGCATATCGGCGTCCGCAGCGACAGGTACTGTCTTGGGCTTGTTGGTGAAGCGAAGAGTGATTTTGGGAACGTGGGGCGACACTATGGGCTGCTCTGGTGGGGGCTGGACAGGCGCGACGTAGGGTGCCGCCTGTGGGGGGGAAGGCTGAACGGCGATGGGTTCAGGCAGTTCCTGCTTTGGCTGCTGCAGATGTTGTTGTTGTTGTTGCTGCTGCGGCTGCTGCTGAAGCTGAAGCTGTTGCAGCTGCTGAGGAGCCCACGAAGGCGAGACACCTGGCTGCGGCTGCTGCTGGTGCTGCAGTTGATGGTACTGGTTTTGGGCGACAGGGAACCCTTGCTGAGGAAGGAATGCGGCGGCGTAAGGGTGGGGGACTGGGCCGCCGAGTTGATGGTGCTGAGCGGGGACACCGGGCGAGTTGAGGTGTGATGGATGGGGGTTGTGGTAGTACTGGGATGGAGAAAGGTTGGGGTCTGGGAGTGACTGGAGGTCGTAACCCGGTTGCGGCTGCTGCGGATAGGGCTGCTGTGGGGTGTTGTAGGGGTGGGTTGCGTAGGGGTGCTGCTGGGAAAAGTGCTGTTGGTGGATGTCCTGGTGGTAGAGGGGGTGTGGAGAAGGAACGGGATGTACAGGAGGAGTAAAGTTGGGATCTGGCTGCTGCGGGTAACCTTGGCCGGACATCACACGCTGCTATCCCACGTTGTGAGCGAACGGCGCTGTGGTGAGCGCAGGATGGGCACCTGGTGGGGCGTGTGTGAGAGGGGGCAGGTAGGGATGGGGGGGGGAGGGGACGCCCAAAGGGGAGATGGGATGTGTAAGGAAGCGGGTTGTGGGGGTGCGAGATGAGGACGGGGGGGGAATGGGATGGATGCGGTGTGGGGGACGCACAACCAACACACAACACCAGACGCAGCCAGCCAGCCAGGCCAGGCCAGCGCACGCGCACAACGACGGCGCGTCCACCTTCGCCCGTCCCCCCGGAACCAATTTTTGATTCCGCTTACCCCCGCCTGTAGAGGGAAGGCCACCCCCGTCTGCGTGTTGCGTCAGTCGTCGTTCTCTCCTTTTCGCCCGCCAGAAAAAGCAACAAGCAGTGCTTCGAAACAGGTCGTGTCAGAAACATGTAGACGAGCAAGTAGGCGTCAACAGGTGCACACCAGCCGTAGACGCGGGAGCCCGCCGCCCAGCGCTCGACAGGACGACGGTTTCGCACCGGCAGTGGACGGGGGATGTCGTGATGGGGGATGTGCAGAGAGCATTGTTGAAGGAGGGGGGAATGAGAATATGTGCGACATCAAGAGACGAGCGGTTTGCGGCTGTTGGATGTGGGCGGCGGTCGGCAAGACATTGTCGGTCGACGGGGTGGTCAGCACGGTCGGTTGACAGGGCGTTGCCGGCGGCCTCTTTGTGGCACTCGGCGGCCATACCACCACTGTTTCCCCAACACGCTTCTGGTTGGCAAGACCAGTGCACCGAGACATGCATGAGCAGGGGGGGTAGAGAGCTACGATGTATGCATACATGGTACAGCATGCAACACATACACGTGCCAGTGGGCAATGTTGGCCCGTTGGAGGAGACGCGAGAGCCCCACCCCACAATCCCAATCCCCCGCCTGTGTGGGAAGGTGCGGGGAACCGCCCTGGCGGGGGGACGGATTCAGAGCGTCGTCGTTGCCACTCAAACCACTCTCTCCCTCTGACGCAGCTATCAACCGGTGGTCGGCTGGACCGTGTGTTCGTGCACCACATTCTCATCCTTTCTCACTACACCCATGCCAGAATCGCCACCACCAGACCCGTTCCCTTCTTTGTCCGCACGCCGACATCGCCGCCGACACCCCACCTACGCCGCCGCCGCCGCGAGGGCAGTGACCTCCACTTCCGCAGCGGACGCGGCGTTGTCGCAGACCGCCGCCGCTTCCTCGTCCACCTCAACTTCCACCAGACATCCCTTGGCACTCTCACCACCCCGCACCATGCCCCCACACGACGACGAGTGGGCCATTGAAGACGTCGACGTCCCCGATGGTCTCGCTGAACTGTTCACATCCCTCGTCCCCGGTCTCCCACCCAGGCGCGATACAGCACACTCTGCGGCGCGCATGTCCCGCTCCTTTGTCGCAGATTACATTGCTGCGACTGCAGAACGCAACGCAGCCTCTCAACGAGACGCCGAGTCCAACGCAGGCGAAGCGTCGACTACCGTCGCCGCGGGCCCGTCCAGTTCTTCGTCATCTGTCACAGCAGACCCATCTGCTCCTCGACAGAACAGCGCCCTCACACTGGAACACATCCTTGGCCCGCCACCTCGCGCGTCTCCCTCCCCCGAACGTCGAGTCATCGTTCCATATCACGTCCGTCGCACAAGCGCCTGGCGCTTCTCTGCCGGCGCAGCACAAGCCCAGAACCCGCCCAACTCGAGCTCTTCCCCCATGCTCGGCATGAGCTGGCCCAACGACGGTATCGACGGCCCCCGCGAGCGTTACCCATGGACCAACGCGATTGCCACTGCACGCGCAGCGGGATACGGGAGTGCCAGTGCGAGTCGCCGCGCCAGTGCCAGTGGGCCCAGCAGTGGCGAACCGCCTGCCCCGGCCGATGAAGTACCGCCACCTCGCTCGCGCGCTCGCCGTACAATCCTCGCCGACTCTGCTCCTCGCCCGCGACCTGGTACTGTTCCCCAGGTGACATTGACAGGACGTGACACTCTCTACTCATCCATGCGTGGTACGGGGGCAGCGGCGATGGACCCCCCTACAAATGGCACCAACGAACGCATGGCCACCCAAGTCCTCCGCCGACCTGGCCGCCGAGGCGACCGTACAATGTACGTCTACGACCCAGAAGACTTGGGTTACAACGACCCGCTGTGGGATTTCCTCGGCGAGCCCGAAGAGAGCGACGAAGACGACGACCGGTGGGGCATGTTTGTCGGGGCCCAGCCGACGACCATTGCAGCGGGCACAGGCGTCGCTACGGGTTTTACAACAGCAGCGGGTGCAGGCGTAGGCGCAGGCGCCGACGGTCCGTCTGCTGCGGACATGCTCGATCTGGACGGGTGGGGCGGATCTCCCGAGACGGGCGCCTCGCTGAGTCGAGGACGCTTCAACCGCCGTCGCGCGCAGAGCTTCCGTTCCTCCACCCGTGGTGAAGCCGACAATGTTGACGGCGACCACTTTATGATCGACTTTAGCCCACGCACACGTTCATGGGCACCGACAAACCGCAACGACGTCGAGGGAGCGCCCAGTCCTGAAGTTGTCGGTGCCGAGGCTGCCACAACACCTGGGCCGCTTGGACGCCGTAGTCGCGAGCGTGAGGACCAAGACGGCGGGGACAGCAACAATCCCAAGCGCAGGAAACGCGACAGGGCGACCGTCCACCCACACTACCTTTCCCTCACCGACCTCCCGCCGTCTACTCTGCTTCCATCCGACTTTGCGCCTCCGCCTCACGACTCGCACCTCGAGCTCAGTGTCGACACACGTACCGCTGCACCACACCCAGTCGTCACTTTCGGCACGCGCAACATCAAGAGCCTGCGCGACCTAGACGAGGACGCGCGTTCTGTACGTACCAACCGCCCCATACCCAACGGTATCGGAGTCTACTACTACGAGGTGGACGTGCTCGACAAGGGCGACAAGGGCTTCATCTCTGTCGGATGGATGAACGGCGACAACAGCCTCAAGCGTCTTGTTGGATGGGACAGGGGCGCGTATGGGTGGCACGGTGACGACGGCAAGGTGTTTGAGGGTGAGGAGAAAGAAGGACTCAAGTTTAGCGACACTTGGGGTGCCGACGACACGGTCGGCTGCGGCATCGACTATACCACTGGCCGCGCCTTCTTCACCAAGAATGGTGTCTTCCAGGGCAACGCGTTTGCGCGTCTCCCACACAACCTCTACCCGGCCGTCGGGATGCGCACGGTCAACGAGTCGGTCGCCGTCAACTTTACTGGGCCGTTCAAGTACGACATTGACGCGCACGTGCGCGCCATCAACGAAAAGGTCGTCAAACAAGTGCTCGCCCCGCCCAAGACGACCTTTGCCGCCTGGTCGGCCCCCAAGACCGTCGTGCCCCGTCTCGCAGGGCTTGGAGAGAGTTCCGGCGACTTGCCCAAAGTCAAGCCGTCTACCACCACTGTGGATCCGCGCAAGACCAAGGGTACTCGTAAAAAGCACGCCAAGGGCCCAGCCGACCCCCACGATATCCCGTCTGCTCTCCCTCCCGACTCGCCACTGCAAGACCCGGCCTCGCGCGCCACTGCCGCCTTTGTCCTCGACCACCTCTCGACCGCAGGCCACGGCCGCACCCTCGCGTTGGTCAAGCAGGCCATGGCCAAGCGCGGCTGGCTCGTGCCCGCCGACGCCGAGGCGCACGAGCCCGACACCGTCGTCCCGCCCAGACCCACCGACGTCGACTCGCCAGCTGACAGCTTTGCGTCCCCCACGGCCGCTCTCCTCGCCCTGGCACGTGCCATTGCGGACGAAAGCCACGAGCGCGGACGCATCCCCTTCGTCCTCGTCGAGAGCCTGCCCCCGCTCCCAGAGGACATTGGACGCCGGTTGAAGGTATACGACTTTGCCGCGGCTGCATCCGCGGCCGCTGCGGCATCTGCCACGCGGGCGGACAACGACGCAATAGCCATCGACGGCGACGGCGACGGCGACGGCGACGGCGACGGCGACGGCGCGGTCTCGGAGACCAACTCGGACATGGACACGGACTCGCGCGTCCTCTGCCTGGGCCGGGACCTGCGCCGGCAGGCGCGGGACGACCGCTGGTCTCCGGGCGACATTGAGCTGCTCGACCACGCGGCGTCGCTGCTTGCGCTCGGCCCTGGTTCTGGCGGCGCTGGCGCTGGCGCTAGTCCAAACGACACGGCGGTTCACGCCCTGCGCGACAGTCGACGCCGGGACGCCGTCGAGGTCGACCGCGTCCTGCGCGAACAGCTGGGCATCAAGGCCCAGTCGTACCTCCACCTGGCGATTGCGCAGACCCAGCTCGTACACGAGGTGCTCCGCGGGAGGGGGGAGGGGTACGCCAGTATGGTCGGCGTGGATGATGTGCTGGGCAAGCGGAAGCGCGTGGCAGAGGCGGAGAGTAGCAGCAAGGAGGAGGGTGTGTGAGAAGGAGGCAGGAGGCAGGAGGCAGCGAGACTGCGAGAATCATTGTTGTAACCATGTTGTGCGCGATGGATAGTCATATGCCATGCGAGCCTTTTGACCGTGGCTCGCGATGCAGCACAGTGGGTGGATGGATGGACACGTCCCGTTCCATCATCACAAAGTACAGTGGCTCCTACTCCTACAAGCTAGCTACAAGGTTTCCTCTCTTCTCCTTCTCTGCGTGCAAGATATGTACAGGGCGGGGTGGGTGCGCTCAGTAGGTGTTGACGACCTTCTTGCGCTTGGGGTTCTGCGACGCGGGAGGCGGGTGCGTGCCGGCGCCGCCGGAGCCCGAGCCTGAGCCCGAGCCCGAGGCCAAATCGGGGGTCGACGACGATGCGGCCTGGTTGGCAGCAGCGGTAGCGCTCGCGCTGGCGATGGCGAGGGCACTCGGACCAGCACCGCCGCCGCCGCCGCCACTGCTGCCCGAAGCCGGCGCGTTGGACGCAATGTAGGGCGGGAGCAGAGTGCTGGGCATCTGGGCAGCCGGCGTCGACGCGGACACCGACGCCGACGATATAGTAAACTTCAGAGCGGGGGGTGCGGGGGACGCCGAGTCGCGGATGGGCAGGGAGCTGAGGCGGACCGACTGGCGACGGGTGGTGGTGGTTGTGGCGACGTTGGGCTTTTTGGCGCTGGTGGTCTTTTTCAGCGCAGACTTCTTGGGCTGGGCCTTGGGGTTGGGCTGGGCTTTGGGGGAGGGAGGGGGAGGGGCTGAAGGTGCCGCCTTGGTCACGTCCGCAGCGCCAGTGGGGGGCTTGGGCTTGGGCTTGCTCGGTCCCGCGGTGTGAAGGTCCATGTCGCCGTCGAAACCGTCGCCAAGGATCTCGTCGACCACGTCCGTGTTGCTGTCGAGCTCGACCAGCTTGCGCTTGCCTGGGACAGGGAGCGCCGGGGTCGGGGTGCGGGCAGTATTGGTTCCCTGTAAGGTTAGATAAGCTCACGCTCGCCTTATCTACCTCTAGGTCAGAGAGCGGCGACGACAGAGGAGCTTGAATGACGACGCGAGGGGGCACCTATGCAGTCAGATTCATCCATCCCCCAAGACTTACCGAAACCGGGGTCATGGTGACCGTCTTCCTGGCCTCTTCGAGCTTCCTGACCTTGTTCTGAAGCTGTTTGTTAGCGTGTTCAAGTTGTGATGTTACCTCGTGGATCTGGTTTTCTGCACGGGTCAGTAGGTGGAGAAAAACCAGAACCCACCCCGCTCGGTTATCGTCTTCTGGAAGGACACTGCCACGTTAGCGAGATCTCGCGGCACACTCACGCTCAATGGCCTGGAGGAACTCTGGCGGGTTAGCCATCCGCAGCCCTCAGACTAACCGACCCTTGTCAGCGGCAACCTGAGGTTAGCACTAATCTCGTTGGGCTTGGGACTCACCATCTCGCCGCGCTGGTAGCGAATGAGCGAAGTTCCCGCTGGCACGCTTGCGGTGACCTGGTCGAGTGAACACTGGAGGCCAAGGCGTTCCTGTTCCTTCTTCTTCAACTCGTCAACGAGCTTGGCTTCTTCAGCGGCGTAATGTAAGGCTGCGGCATTTTGGTCCTGTCTGTCAGCTCTTCCAGTTCCTGTCCCGCAGCTCACGGTCGACTTCTTGTCCAGCTGCCTGCGAAGATCCTGGATCTCTGCGTCACGCGCAACGGCCTGGGGTCAGCTTCGAGTGGGGTAAAAAAGCTCACCTCGTCAACTGCCGAGTCATTGATTTCCTTGAGTTGACTGGCCAAGCTGTCTGCAGCGTCATTCTTGGCCTTGACAAGGGTTTCGAGGGTGGCAATGTGAGAGTCCTTGTCCGTGAGGCGGGCAGCCTGGTCGGAAATCTAGGCGGTTGTTAATGTCGAAACGCCCCTTGCGCCACACTCACCTTCTTTTGAAGCTCCCGCGACTTGGCACTCATATCATGGGTAGCCTTGGCGGACTCGTGGGCAGTGTCGAGATCCTTCTGGACGGTGATAACCTCGTTCTGGAGAAGCTTGCACCTGTCCTGTTGTCAGTTAGGTTTTAGAGAGTGGTAACTCACTTGAGAGCTCGCGAGCTGCTGCTCAAGCTTTGAAATGTCCTTCTCGAGCCTCTGGATACTCTTGCGAGCGGTACCGAGCTCACTCTTGGCCTCAGTGAGCACAGTCTAGTAGCATTAGCACGCTTTCAAGTGGTAATAGACATACCGTACGCTCAGCAGCGAGGGCCTGCGCGACCTTCTCGGCGTGCGCAGCCTGGGTAATGGTGTCTTTAAGGGTCTGACATTAGCTGGACGCACTGGAAATCAGCTACTCACCTGGATATCCCTCTGGTACGACTCAAACTTGTGCTCGGCTGCCTTCTTGTACTCCTTGGCGTCGCGTTCTTCCTTCTCGAGGGTAGCTTGGCTGGCGATGGTTTCGGTCCTGGCGACAGCGACGGCCTCACGATGGCTGAGCGCAGCGTCCTTCATCTTGCCTTCGAGCCGGGCATGCTTTGCCGTAAGGATATCCGACTTCTCCTCCAAGGCTTTATTGACAGCTTTGAGGCTGTACCGTCAGTCAGTGTCTCCATGGCCACTCACCAATCAATTTCGTTTGAAGCATCCATGCTCGCGAGCTTGTTCTCCGCCACGATGGACGCGATGGCAGCCGTTTGTTCCGAAACCTGGGCAATGAGGCTCTCCCTGGCCTCCTCGTGGGCACTCTCGAGGTCCTTAAACTCCTGGCGAAGGGTTTCAATGGTCAACAACGCTTCCTCGCGGCGCTCATTGGCCTTGTTAAGCCTGAGAATGTCAGGAGGTGAACCTGGCGGTGGGGTGTTCTCCACCTACTCGGAGCGATACTGCCCAATCTGGTCCTGTAGAGTGGTGACAACGTTGGCAGAGAGGAGGCCACTGCCGGCGACGGTAGCCAGGTTACTGCCAAACGTTGTAATGTCGCCACCAAATGCAACAGTGACGGTGTCGTGAAGAGCCGCGAGCTGCTTGCTGAAGGAGTTAGCCGCGCGCCTGTCTACTAACTCACTTGTGCGACTCCTCGTTCTCAAGTGCGAGTCTGAGTGCCTTGATTTCTGTTGTCAGCGTTGCCATGAACAACACTCACCTCCATTCTTCTCCTTTACGACTGTCTCGCGTTCCTCCTGCACGGCCTTGAGGTCATCAAGGGCTGCATGGGCACTGGACGTGGCGACCTCGACCGCTGTCGTGAGTGCTGAAGGTTAGTAACGAACACGAGCACTTAACCTACTAGTGCGACAGCTCTCAAGCTCGCGAGCCAGAGTATCTTTATCCTTGATGGCCTCTTTAAGGTCGGCCAAGGTCGAGGCCTGCTGGCGGTGGAACGTCTGGCGGAGGTCGTTGAGGTTTCCGTGCGTCTCCGCGAACCTGGTGTCAGTTTGGTCCAACATCTAACAAAATTCACTTTTCGGACAGTTCCTTGAAGCGGTCTCTGGCCATCTTCACAGTACCATCCTTTGAGGCCTTGATCTCCTCGGTCTGCTTTTGAGCGGCCTGCAGATGCTCACGGAGCTGGGCGTTGTCCTTTTCAATCGAGTCGGCATGGGCATTAAGGTCCGCAATGTGGCTTTCCTAAGGAAAAAAGGTCAGAAAATGGAAAGGGTAGGTTAAATTCTTTGCAGCACTCACCAGCTGCTCGATCTTTTCAGTGTTCATGTCCAGCTGACGAGCAGCTTCGAGTAGAGAGTTGTTCAGCGGCTGGGGCGGGCGGGTGTTGGCCGAGGGAGTCATGCTTTGACGCCCGTTGGAGAAGTGGCGGTCGCTGGCAAAGCTCTGCTGGTGCTGGTGACCACGGTTTGGCTGGGGCTCATGAGACATGTGCTGTTGGTCTTGTTCCATGGTCTGCTGCTTCTGACCATCATCAGGGTGGATGCTCCCCATTGCCTGGTGGTTGGAGTGTCCGTTGTTGAATGGTCCTGCAAGGTCGCTCTGGGTTCCCTGGTGGAACGGCCCCGAGGTGTGGCCGCCAAAGTCGTGTCCGCGGCGCTGGCCGAAAAGATCCTGCTTCATGTGGTGGTTGAACGGCCTGGGTGTCAGTTCAGTAATTTACGTTCCAACTCACATGCCGCGGTTGGAATTGCTAGAATCCAACTCCCCGCCCGCGGGAGCATTGCCGGCCTCGTCGACATGAGCAGGTGGGGAGGTCTTGGGGCGACGGGGGTAGGGGTTGTCGTTCTGGAACGCCTCTTCCACCATCTCAGCATCATTCTCCTCCGACAGAGGTCCGGCTGTGCGTGAACGCTGAGGGCGGTGCTCAATAGGCATGTCATCCTGGAATGGAAGGCTGATGGAGAGAGGACCGCCAAACTGGGGGAGCTGGCGACTGGGAGTCGCGCCGAGGAGTCCATTGCGGGGGTTGGCGGAAAGTGGCGTCGGCGACTGTGGCACCGTTGTCAGACGCCTCTTCTGTGCACCAAACGCGGTGGCACGGGGGACCTGGACCATGTAAGGAGCGGGGGACTGGGTGGGAATGCCACCAGAACGGACATGGGGACTGGGGTTGTTTCCTCCCCCACCGACATGGCTGGTACCAGGAGGGAAGGCGGGAGGACGCTGAAGCTTGGGGGTGGGGAGGTGGCGAGCAAACTCTGCAACGGGACTAGCCTTGTATCCCTGCTGCGCAAAGCTGAAGCTGAGGGGTGGAGGTCCGTTGGGACCGGAAGAGGATGGTTGAGCGTTGTGGAGGTGCTCTTCGCTGTGGGTTCCGTTCCTCACGCTGGGGCCAGCGCCCTTGTCATGATGTTCCCCCGTCATGTCTGCAGGCCGCTGGGGAATCTTTCGATGCGGCGGTCCGTAATCCGTGTCGCTTCCGATTCGCACTGAGCATGTCAGAACGAACCATCAAACCCCAGTTACGAAACCTTGCTGACGAAGGCGGATGTGACCGCGGAGAGGTTACTCACCTCGGCCGGGCTTGAAGATGACCGGCTGAGCACGGGGCCACGGGGCTACACGGAGAGGCTTGAGAAGGGGCTTTTATTCTTCTGGTGGAGGATGTTCCTGATGGTCACTCCGAGTGATGGTGGTGAGGCCTGGGGTCTGGGATGGTGGTTTTTGTGTGTGGATGGATGGAGTATGCGATTGTAGCAAAAGAGGAGGTGAAGAGGGAAGAAGGAAGAGTGCTTGGAGGAAGGCGACGGGGGAAGGCAAAGGAAGGTGCATTAGTCAACTACGAGAGGCCCGCCACCACCCGGTGGTGTGGGTCTGCGCGGACACTGGGCCCACGAGGTGGAACGATGGGCGACCATCATTCTTCACTTTCCCACCCAGAACCCATCATCGCCGCCCCGAAGCTGGTCAGCGTGAGCCATCTCTTCATTCACCATCACATACTCACTCACCAGAACGTCGACATGCATGGCCACCGACCCCGGCCGTCGCGTTGGCGTCGCTTCGTGGCCCGGCTCAAGCGCAGAGTGAGTGATAAGCCACTGACGCGTATCCCCTCCACGATACAGAGTAGATCAACCTGCTCATCAGCACACAGATATCCAAGCAAGCTCAGGCTCCTCCAGATGTAGCCGCTCTACTCCCTGCTGCCGACGACAGCACCGATATTCTCGCGCTCTGTTGGCCAAGTCAAGAGCTCCTGGAGCGTATCTCGACCTGCGAGCAGCAGTACCATTTGGCCATGCGGTTCTGGAACCTCCCTCAACTGCGTCTCCCCCGATACTGGAGCAGGCGTCAACTCTGTGAGCTAATGAGAACTAGCATCCGCATCTCACACCCCAGGGGACATTCTCGAGGAGTTGACCCACATCCTCGCCGAGCTCGACAGCGTCAAGCGCTCGATGGACGAGGCTGTCAAGCAGATTTCTGATATCCCGTTGCCGACCAATGTCAAGCTGTTCGCGCTCGACGCGTCTGTACGCCTACCAGGCTCGTTCCCTTCCGAGCGGCCACTGTGCGACATTCTTCTCAACGAGGAAACTGCCGCCGTGCAGCCTCGCGTGTCTGTCAACAAGTTTCTCAGTACCTACTATGTGGCTCTGTGTGAGCTGCGTGATTCCGTTAATGCGTGGAAGAAGACGTTCCAAGAGATTGCAAGCGCTGTATAAAACTGTGTGTCAAAATATGTCAATTGTAGTAATCCGCGACCATGTTTCCTTGTCCATGATATTTCATTCCGTCTTTATGCACTGGTCTATGCACTTTGGAGCACCCGCTCCTCTACAACCCGCTCCTCTATCCCGCCCTGGACAACCTGGGACAACCTTGACAAGCTTGGGGGAATTAAACAACATGCAGGGTGTTGCGCGCCCTCGCGTCCTCGCTCCGCGACCTAGCCTCTGATCTACCGCAACGGGCTCCACGACGTCGGCACCATGATGGTCGTCTTCATCGACTTGGTCAACTTGACGGTCTGGAAATGGTCAGCGTCAAGTCTCCCTGATACCCGTCACCCACCTCCTGAACCGTGTCCGCCCAGGTGCTGACTGTCCACGTCTGCTCGCGAGTCTTCTTGCGGGTCTCCAAGTCCGGGTACTGCCAGATGTGGTGGACCTCGTGGAGCTGGCCAATCTGACCAAAGAAGGCGCCAATGGGTTGCTGTACCATGTCAGCTGAAGATCCCGGACGGGCCCAGTCAGTGGACTCACGACAAAGCGCTGGCGAGCCTTGAGGCCACGACGCCACGCGCCCTCCCATTCGAGCAGCTTGCCGGGCTGGAGCTCGTAAGTACGCAGCTCAAACACACCGCCGTCGGGGAAGCCGCTGTCGTGGGGAGGCGAGGTTGGCCAAAAGGCAAACTCGGAGACGATCTGGTGCTGGCGAGACTGGAGGAGGGGGAGAATGTCCTTGAGGAGTGCCTGAAGGGTCTGTAGGTGGGGTCGTCAGTGTCCTGCACATTGCATTGTGTGATGTGATGCAATTAAACCGACCCCGGGGGGAGACGTGGCGAGCAACTCACTGCGTGCTTGAGCGAGGCCTTGCGCGTCTCGTCGTAGCCCGAGTAGCCCTCGTACTCGAGAATGTGGGTGAAGTTGCCGACGGCGCCAATGATGGTCTCCCATGAGCCGCAGAGCTTGACACCGCCGAGCTGGGGGCTGTCGTTGACAAGGGTGGTAAAGTATGCCTCGGCAGCGGCGAGGTAGGCCTCACGCTGGCTGGGGAGCACCGAGTGCGTGATCTTCTCGTGGACGTACTTGCCGCGACCGACAACCTTCGAGTGCTGAACCTCCTTCTCCTCCTTTGCCTTGGCGACCTCGGAGCCGTAAAGGAGCGACTGGGCGGTTAGGGCTGTTTATCAGTGAATGTTATACGTACGCTCAGAACCCCACCACTACGACCGGCAGCAGGAGCAGCAGCGCCATCAGCAGGAGCGCCGGGGGCGGCAGCGGCGGCGACGGCGGGCTCCTTCTTGGACTTGGTTCCGGCGACGGCGGTGGCGTGAATGGCACGCGTCCGGGTGGTGGCGACAAGGGTGCGTGCCGAGTTGGTAGGTGCTCTGATAAGGGTGCGAGTAATCATGTCAAGATGATGGTGGAGGGTGGGGGGATGAACGAGATGAGAGCAAGAGTGGCAAGAGATATAGGGGTGCTCTCGACTGGGTGGGCGTTGGATATGAGATGACCGGGCCAACAGGGGAGAGAGGGGAATGGCGCGCTACGTCAGTGTTGACCGTGGAGGCCCCTCGACGGCCCGGGGCCGACGATTCGAAAAGCCGGGGCCCAATCTCCAGCCGGTAATCGAAATACACAAAGTGCCACAAACGCGAGGAGGCTCTGGAGTGGTGCGGGGTTACAGTCTATATCTCCATCCACGTGGGGTGATTGATTACCTAAGCACTTGATGCTGAGCCCGCTCCTCGCCCAGAGCGTCAAGACACGGCCTCTCGCCGCGATGCCGCAATCGAGCTCGTTAACAAAGCAAGTCGTCCACCCGCGCCAATCCATCCTCCCTACCGCTGCTGCTGCGCTCGCTGCCGTCGTCGTCGTCGTCTTACTGTTTGCCCAAGCAGCATAACAGCCACAACGCGCGGACCCAAAAGGCATCCACCCAGCACACCTTTGGCGCGTCCGTCGGGTCACATCACACCACAAAGGTATATACTCCTCTCTCTCTCTCTTACTCGCTTTATTACCCTTCGCTCACCATGTCATCGACTTTGTTCTGTAGCTTCAACACTGTCGCTTGATCGTGGACTTTGGCCTCCCCTCAAACCTGTTTATTGTCGAGCCCCAAACCAACGCATTCAACGTACGTCGTCACAACACAGCAGCCTTTAACCGACGCAGCATGTCCGGCTACTCCGGCCTCCCATCGCGGCCGATGGACGCGGGCGAACCAATGCAGTCACCTGAACGTGACCATGGGGGCTATGCCCGTGGGGACTATCCTCCCCCCCGTCATGCCGACCCTCCTCCCCACTTTGACAGCGCCTACCGCGGACACGAGGGTCCCTCGGACCGCCACTGGGAAGGCGGACGCGAGTATGACGACCGCTATGATGACTATGGTGAGTTGGTTCTACGCTTGACTGCAACTGACAAAGCAGACCGCAAGCGCCGCAGGTCTCCTTCTCCGTCGTACCCGTATCAGCGTCCTCGCCACAGGTCACCTTCCCCGCCGCCTAGGGCATACCGCGGCGGCGGTGCTGGCGGCCACTCCCACCCCGATCCGGCTAGCCTTGAGTACCTCCTCACATTCAAGCAGTTTGCCGAGTGGTTCCGTCAGTCGCACCCACAGACTGCGCGCGACGATGACGAGGACCTGAGGAGGATTCGCGCCGATGTCGAGAGCGGCCGGCTGCCCGAGTCTGTCCTGATTGAGAAGCACGGTATGGCCAAGCGCTACGAACGCTACAGGAAGGAGTACACTTCCAGGCAGGTGAGCTAGGCGTGCAATAATTTGAGTGACAAAGCTAACTATACAGCTCTTTGGCATCTACCTCACCCACCGCGAAGAAGCTTGGTTCATCGAGCGTTATTCGCCAGCCCCCGAGCAGGCAGCATTGCGTCGACGCGTGAACCGCCAAGGACGCGTGCCTTCTGTGCAGCAGTACATTACCGAATTGCGGGAAGGCAAATGGGACGAAGCCAACTTTGACCAGACCGACGAGCCAAGAGCGCCAGAGGAGGAGCCCGAGGGCCTAGACCACGCACTGGGAGAGGACGCATACGACCCCCTGCGCATCGAGGTGCCCCCTCGTCCCGGACAGGTGTTTGTCAAGACCGTCCCGCCATCCACCGCGCGCCAGGAGCTCGAGTCGGTGTTTGACAAGCACCCCGGTTTCCAGTGGCTCGCCCTGTCTGAGCCCTCTGCCAAGCGCAGCTTCCACCGCGTTGGATGGGCACAGTACGCCGACGATGTCAACGTCGAGGATGCGGTCACCACGATCGACGGCTCGAAGGTTGACAACTTCACGTTCCACATGGGTGTGAACGGTACCCCCATTGTGGGCCGTATCCGTGTTGCGCCTCCCCTTGCCAACACCCTGTCGAGGCTCGAGACCGATGCTCGTCTCGCCGCGGATCTCGCACGCACACTTGAAGACGAGCTCATCCAGGAGGACACGCCCGTTCCCGAAGCAGAACCCGAGGCAGACAAGCCCGTGGAGGAGCAGCCTGCGACCGAGGAGGCAAAGGCGGAGGCCAAGGCGGAGGGCGAGGAGAACGTCGAGGAGAAGAGCGACGACAAGGTCGAGACCAAGCCTGAGCCCAAGCCTGAGCCCAAGGCCCCTCCTCCCGGGATCCACGAGCGTGGTAGCGACGCCGTTGCCGACGTTGTTGCTCGCCTGCTCGCCAGCGAGGGTCTGGATGGCGAGGAGCTTGAAGAGGAGCAGCGCGCCCGCAAGGCCAAGATCACTCTTGACCAGTACATGGCGTACCTTCGCCATGGTCTCAACACTTGCTACTACTGCGTTGTTCCTACGGCTTTCCCCGAGGAGCTTCAGCGCAAGTGCGTGGGTCACGTCCGCGCCCAGCCCGAGCCTGCCTCTACTGCCATCGAGGAAGAGAATGGCCATCCCGAGGAGGACCGCTCCGAGGTCAAGCCCGAAGGCGTGGAGGGCGCCGCCGAGGACGAGTCTCGTGAGCCCGAGGAGCACGAGCGCCGTGACTCGGCTACTGGCCCCCAGGCAGCGGGTGGCAAGCGCTACACCTACCCGACCAAGAGCAACGACGAGCGCTGGGCCGAGAGTCTTGAACTCAAGGTTCGCGGTGTGACCGAGGATGTTGACGTCGTCGAGTACGGAGGCCGCGACATCGAGGACGAGACCAAGCGCCTGACTGCCCCGTGCATCAAGCAGGAGGATGCCGACAAGTACCGCTGCAAGCAGTGCCTGAAGCTGTTCCGTGCACCCGAGTTTGTGATCAAGCACGTCATCAGCAAGCACCCAGAGAGCGTCCGCGACAAGCTGGACGACTTTGTCGTGTTCAACGCGTTCGTCCTCGACCCGCAGCACATTCCCCCCTCGGCCAACACCCTCGCCGCCATTGACGACCAGTTGCCGATCCAGCCTGGCGCGCTGCCCGCCTTCAACCCGAGCAAGGCACAGGCGATGCTCACCGCCGCCGCAGCCAACCAGCCCGGGTTCAACATGGCGATGCAGCAGCAAATGATGATGATGATGCACATGCAGATGATGATGTCTGGCGGTGGCAGCGGCGGTGCTGGATCCTCCACACTGCCCGGTGCCCCCGCCGGCGCTGCATCGGCGTCTGCGGCCCCTATGGCCAGCCCCGCTGGCAAGAGCCGCGACTTTGACGCCGTGGGCGGCCTTCCTGCCGCACCGCCTGGTGGCGAAGACCCGCGCGCGCGCAAGGGCCGCGTGAGCTACCGTGACCTTGACGAGCCCAGTGGTGCTGGTGACCCGGGACTCCCTTACTAGATGCCAACTAGTTGATATCTATGTAGTTCGTTGGTAGCATACAGCAGATCAGAGATGAAGCAGATTCAACCATGGCCATTACAGAACTCGTCGCGGAAAAGGAGCCTCGAAGGAGGGTGGTGGAGGTGCCTTTCCCACGGTGTGCCCCGGATATTGTGACTGCAGCAGAAGTTCAAGATTTCGAGAATTCACATCTCCGTCGTCCACCAACCCACCCAAACAAAACCATGTCGGCCGCCCCAGCGCTCACCGCCTTGACGGTGCTGTCGCTCTTGACTGCTCTCCCTCTCCCCTCGCCTGCCGCACTGGAACTTCTTTCCACGTACGCTCCTCTTGCTCGCCCTTCGGCTCTCTCCTCGTCGCATCTGTCCAAGTGGCTCAACCGCCTCAATGCGTCTGTGTCGGCCCGTGAGCCCGCCGCTGCTGAGATGGGTGCCGAGGTGATCAGGCAGGATGTTGAGGGCCATGCGGCTTCCCAGTATGGAAAGGCGTGGATGGGTGCTTGTCTTGGTTCCCTTAGCGTGAGTACTACAGCAGTGCAGCACCGCTCTAACTTGCAGTCTGCCGCTACCCCCGTCGACGCTCTCCCGGCCTTCCTCGATCTGGTCCGCGCTCTTGTCGCCGCCGCGCCGTACGCTCCCACGTTTGAGCGTGAGGTTGTTCAGCCTGCAATGGGCAAGCTGGCCGTCGCCATGAGCCGCCTTATCGAGCGCCTCGTCGCCGACGGCGAGTGGAACGCTCTCCTCCCGACAATGGAGACTGTGCGCGCGCTCGTGTCTGCCAGCCCTGCTCCTTTCCGCCCCGCCGTTAACACGATCCGTCCTGCTCTCACTGGTTTGGTCCTCCGCACCTCGGCTGGTGCCCCTGCAGCTATCCGTGGCCCGGCCGCGGACACACTCGCGCTTCTCCACATGTGCAGCGGCAAGGCTGCTGCCCCGGCTACGTGGGGCTCGGACATGAAGGATGCGCTTGGTGGTGTTGCTGCTTCCATCTCCGCCCTCGCCGCCGATGCTTGGGAGGAGGAGCCACCTCGTACTGCCCCCCTGCCGCCTTCGGCGTCGACGCCGGGGTTCCCCCTCGACCCTCTGCTTCGCGTCCCAGCCGCTGTTGATGCGATTGAGGGCTACACCGAGATTGCGCTGTCGCTGCTCTCGGTGACCAGCCAGCGTCCTGTGCCCATCCCCCTGGCACAGGTGGTCTCTACCTCGCTCCGTCTGCTCAACCTCACGCTTGACACCCCTACCGCTGCCCACATCAGCCCCCAGCACCACGCCGCCATGGTCGCTAGTCTCCCCCGCCTGTGGGCTTCGGGTCTCCTTCTCCTGGCCACAGCTGCCACTGCGGCTGGCGACCACCTCGTCCCCCACCTCGCCTCTGTCCTCGAGCACACCGTCTACCTCCTCGAGCGCGTGCCCGCGTCCATGAGCGAGTCGCGTCTCAAGCTCTTCCACTTCCACTCGATTCTCCTGGAGGTGTTCCCCCCTGCCATCCTGCCGCTCGAGTACACTACTCGTCTCCTGCGCTTCTCCCTCAGCATTATGGGATCCCTTCTTGACACTCGTCCCCAGTCCTCGTCGACTATTACCCCTCAGCACCGTAGCAAGGGCAAGAAGCGTGCACGCGGTGCCGAGGATGCGCTTGTCGCGGGTCTCGAGGGCCGCGCGTCTCGCCCTCCTTCTCAGGAGGTTGTGGACATTGTCCTCGCCGCCCTCGAGCTCACGCGTCAGCTGCACACTGCCCCGATGCTCCCCGCCGCGCTGTTGACATTTTCAATCCGTCTGCACCTCTCCCTCCACCTTGCGCTCGCATCGCGCCCCGCGCTCGTGAGCCACGGTCTCCTCACTTCCGCCGTGGATGATGTTCTCGAGGAGGCGGCACACCTCGAGGCCGGTGGTACTGCGCGTGACGTGCGTGCTCTGCTCGTCTCTGTCCTTCCCTCAACCTCGAAGAGGAACATGGCCTTTGACGCCCTCCTTCACCCCGCCCTGCCTCCTATGGCCCGCCCCCTTCCCCCTCTTGCCCAGCTGCACATGTTTGCGCCTGAGAGCGATGAGGAGAAGAAGGTCAGGAGGGAGCTTGGGTTTGGCGGTGGGGATCGTGACCAGGACGACGACGACGAGGATGACGACGAGGCCATGGCCGTCGACGAGCCTGTGAGCTTTGTTCAGCCGGCTGTCGTGCCCGTTGTCACCCCCGTGGTCCCCGCTGTCGTCATGCCCGTCATGGCGCCCGTGGCACCAGTCCAGTCTGCTCCTGCGCCATTCTCGGTCCCTGTCGTTGTCCCGGCTCCGGCACCCGTCGCTGCTCCTATCGCCGCCCCTGTTGCTGCTGCCGAGCCTGCCGTCCCGTCGGTGCCATTCATGTCTGCGCCTTCGTCCAAACCCTCGAGCGCGTCCGTGGCTGAGGCGGCACCTGTCGCTGCGGCCCCGGCCCCCGCGGCTGACGGTGACTCGGATGGCGAGGCGATCCCCGATCTGGACAGCGGAAGCGAGGATGAGGACGAGGATGACGAGTAGACCTCAGAGTGTAGACTTGTGTAACTGTTTGGGATAGATTTTTATGCACTCTATAGCATCTAGCATGTCTAGTAACTCTAACGTGTCTAGTAACTCTAACAAGAAACAACAAATCGCCAGCAGCAGAAGTAGGTTAGCAGCAGAAGTAGGTTACTTGAACCTGCCCTTCCACACCTCTACCCCTTCCCAATCCTCCGGCTTCCACCCCCAAGTCCTCTCCACAATCTTGGCCACGCGTCCATGTGCCACTCTCCGCAGGTCACATCCTGCCTGCCGGCCAATCTCGAGGCTAGAATCGACCAAGCCGGGATCACGGCGCTCCAGAGCGATGTAGAGCGGAACGCCAGCGTGCCCCGCCGCCGGGTCCGGACGACAGACGGCCGCCAGCGTGGCCCACAGCGCCGGGGAGAGGTGGGGAGCATACACCGTGTCGGCAGTGACGACCATGTCAATGTGCGGCAGGTCGAGGGCCGCAATGGCCGCGGGACGGTCCTCGGCCAGCCAGTCGAGCTCGGCGACGCGCACGCTGCCGCTCCCGGCCGGCAGCGACGCGGCGCAGTTGCCGACGTTCCGACTCAACACCGAGAGGACAGGCTCAATGTCCGTCGTGACCACGTCCAGGCCCGCCTCGGCCAGCGCCAATGCGAGGAAACCGATGCCCGCGCCCAGCTCGAGGACGGTCGTCTGCTTCTCGGTGCTGCTGGAGACGGTTTTGGAGAGGTAGGCCGAGAGGACCTGGGCGCCCGTCCACAGCGTCGTGCCTGTCGTGTTGTCTGCTTCAGAAGCGCGCTGCTGGAGTGTAACGGCGCCGCCGCGCGGAAGGGGATGTTGCAACGTTGCGAGGTGCTTTGTCGCGGGGGCCGGGAGGGGGTGCTCCATGGTGTGCAGGGAGCAATTTGTTTTTGTTGCTGCCCCTCAGTTTTTGCTCTCTCTCCGGATCTGATCGCCTGGGCCCCGAGTTGGCGAGGCTGCGCCGTGGTGGGGTGCTTAGGACAAGCAGGCGGTCGTCTCCTATTGACAAACACGAGAGACGGTGTTCCCAGTGAGAGCTGGTGTTGTTGAACGTAGAGATGGAGTGGGTGGATGAGACCTGTTATGGTCAGTCACCGAACTTCTTCCGAGCGAGAAGAGTACGGTTCAGGCACCGCCCACACATGCAACGCGTCCCGCGGCTAAGATAAGATTCCACACGATCAAACCATCCACCTCATCATTTAAAATCACACACGCCTCACCCGTGCTCTACAATGAGCGTCACATCCTCCACAAGTGACTACCAGATGGTGGTCGAGGACGGTGTGGGCTTCCCGCCCGACATGGTCTTTTGTCGCCGGTTGCCAAAGATCGAGGTGAGTTGTTTTTGCTGTGCGGTTGACAGGTCGGCGTAGCTAACGAGCCTCAATCCAGCTCCACGCACACCTCACCGGCAGCATCACCAAGAACACTCTGCAGCAGATCTGGGAGGCAAGGTCGGCCGCAGAGGGATCACTTGGCATCGAGGCTCCAATGGCCGCGCTGGCAGACCCCTCGGATGCGCAAGGCATCGACACGTACGTACAAACATGTGTGCAGCGACTGACATCTGGCAGCTTCTTCACCCACTTCAACATGTACATGTACCAGCTCGTCAACACACCCGAATCTCTCGCTTTTGCAACCCGCGCTGTCCTCGCCGAGTTTGCTTCGGACGGTGTCGCGTACCTCGAGCTGCGGACGACTCCGCGCGCCCTTCCAGGGGGCAGTGCCGAGGCCAGTGTGCGTACCATCCTAGGCGAGATTGGCGCTTGGAACAACTCGAGTAACGGCGACATCATGCCTGTGCGCCTCATCCTCTCGGTCGACAGGGCCAAGCACGACAGCATTGCATGTGGGGGTATCGTTGACCTGGCACTCAAGCTGCGCGGCGAAGGACACCCGATCGTCGGTCTCGACCTGTGCGGCGACCCCAACAAGCTCATCGACGTGTCGACTCTGCGCGGACCCTTTCTCCGCGCTCGCGCTTTGGGCCTCCCATGCGTGCTCCACTTTGCAGAGGTGGTCGCCAGCAGCACCGCACGCGAACTCGATGAACTCCTCTCCTGGCAACCGAGGCGACTGGGCCACGCGATCCACGTTCCCGAAGCGACACGAGACCGCATTCTCGCTGCTGGCGCCGCACCCGAGCTGTGCCTCTCCTGCAACGTGCTTGCCGGTATGCTCCCGCCCAAGACGACGGTCGACGGTGACGGCAATGGCTGCCACTGCCCGGCCGAGATGATTGACCACCACTTTGGCTGGTGGTGGGAGCAGGGTGGACCTCTGAGTCTCGGTACCGATGATGTGGGCGTGTTTGGCAGCACCAGCAGTGAAGAGCACCAGCACGCTGCCGTGCACTTCAACCTCTCCCGTCGCGACCTCGTGGCACTCAGCCGCCGCGCCATGGCTGGTGCGCTGGGAACGCCGCAGGACGAGCTCCGCATCGACCGTCTTCTGGACACGTTTGCAGTGTCGGAGGGCATTGAGGTGGAGGAAGTCGCGGCCGCTTTGGCCGGGACGGACTTTTAACGAGCAGTGTGCAGGACGCAGAAGAACGAGGAGACCCCGACACCGAACGATGACCCTAATGGCATGGATACCCCGGCCAGCATAGATATCCCCCTTATCCCCCTTTCATGCACATATATTCAACGCGTTGCAAGTAAACGTAATCATTGACAGGTCGACGTTAAAGGTATCCTAACCGTCTTCAGAGCTCTGTTCAGAGCTTGGCACCACGCTGACCCTTCTCCTCGGCATCCATACGCTCAAGAGCACGCTTGTAGGCTGGGCGGGAACGAATGCGCTTGATGTAGTCCTCGGTCGCGGGGCCAAGAGGGAACGGGCGCTGGCCAGTCGGGGGAGCCAGGAGCATGAGGGCCCAGCCCATCATGAACTGAAGCATCAGTAGAGCTCTTTTCTTCAGGCCTGCTGGACTATGGTGTGAACTCACGTCGCCCTCTCCAAGCTTCTCGCTGTTGCCCGAGAAATTCTTGTTGGCGGCGAGGAACAGCTCGACCTGCTCCAGCATGGGTCCGAGACTGCGCTTGGAGTACGCGCCAAACCACCTGGACACCTTCTGCGCGCCCTTTGCTTCCTCGGGGCTGGCAGCCTGCTTGGCAATTTCAGCAGCGCTCATCTGAGCGACACGCCTGCCTTGGAGGATCGACATCAGCGAACCCTCGGAAAAGTGGTTCCAGAAGTTGGACTGGGGCGACGTGGTGGTCTCAACGCCCGAGGTGGGGTTGGGGAACGAGTTGAGGAGGGTGTGCACGATGACACCCGACTCGGTGAGGAGCTTGCCATCGATGGTGATGCAGGGAGCCTGTGAAGCAGTTAGGATACCGCCGGTGAGTCACCAGATCCCTCTCACCTTGCCGAGTGGGTTGACCTGCCAAAGAGTCTTGGGCGCCTGGTGGTTGGCGTCCCTGTAGTGCACCTGTACTTGATAGGGGACAGAGAGCTCCTGTTGTAGTGTTAGAACAGGTCAGACGGAGCCCTCGGCAGATTGCCATCAATGCAGGATTCTGACATTGCGCCAGCGCAAACGTGGGCCAGGCAGGACAGCGGCGGCCTCACCTCCAAGACCCAAGGGATGCGCTCCGAACGCGAGACATTGAGGTGGTGGACGACGACGGCCATTGTTGCTGTAACGGCAGTGAGAGAGAGATGACGATGACAAGGACGATGTACGATGAGATGTCCACCTTCACTGCCGGCGTGCACAGACACGAAATCTCGGCAACTTCCCATCCGAGCCGCCTGCCAAACAAGATGGCCCCGGTCAGAACACGTGACTCGGCCAAATCCGAACGACCCACGGATATATGCTGGATCTCCGTGCAGAAATCCAAAAGTCAATCGCCGGAAGAGGAAAGTGGCGCTTTACGAATGTCGGTACAACTCTTCCAGATCATGATTTCTTGTGGAGTAAAACCCCGGTCCCGCGTTCGTGTTCGTGGGAGACAGCCCCAAACATGCAGGCCCAAGGCCCACGGGCCACAGGCATGGAGGCTGCGGGCCACGTATCGTACGTATCGTAAGCCCACCGTCATGCCCAGCATTGTGGGTCTGGGCAGGCAGGGTCTTGCGGTCGCAGCGTGGAGCTAAGAGACGCATAACCTCACAACGCGGCGCGATGGCCGGTTCTAAAGCAAGACTTCGTAGTAGATGTAGAGGGCAGGGCCGGGATACACCGATAGGAGGCAAAGATTGTTTGGAATCGGACAATGCGTTCGTAGTGCGGGAGGCACATGCAGACTTGCGGTGCCGTCACCATTGGAATATGTTGCCTGGGTACAAGTATACATGCGATCCCAACACGTTGCCCACTTGACCACCCCTCGCTCTTCACTCACGAGCATCCACGATCTATCTTACGCCAGTTTACGCCTTGTCGACGACCGCCGTCAGCGCTCTCACTATCGCGGCCTTCCCCACACACATACCGCCCTTAACCCCACAACACGATACCTGCCGCACTCACTACACTGTACACATGTCTGAGCATGTGTGTATCCCCGAACGTCGCCTGTCGACCAGTTCCACCGCGTCGCGCATGACCCGGAGGCGGTCTAGCGTCACGTACCCAACAGGTCTTGTCGTAGTCTCCTCTCCCCCACTCGCGACCCTCGAGCCTGTGCGATCCGGAGGTTCGGACGACGACTTGACGGTCTTGACGGCCTCGTCGCCGCCACCTGGCACCGCACCCTTGGCGGTGGCTTACCCCACCGATAAGAGCGACCTCCCGCGCGTGTCGACCACCACGTCCGCGACATGCATTACTGTCGGCGGCCTGTCAAAGGAGGCCCTCTCGCTGTCCCACGCCGAAGCGGGTGGCATGGTCCAAAAGCATCCCCAGCCTTTCACCTGGTCGCGGTGGGCTGGGGAGAGCGTCGCTACCCAGGCACTCGTCCCAGCCCTTATCACCCAGGCGCTCGCGACGGGGTAAGTGGCGAGTTGATGAGTAGCATTGATTCCAGATGCTAACATGACCCAGTATCCTCGACGCCACTACCTACGCCGACTTTTCGACATTTGCCTCCAACCAGACTGGTAACGCAATCCTCCTCACCCTCTCGGCTGTGGGCACCATCGAGGTGCGGCTGCTGCTCACGGGTGTGAGCTTTGCGGGCTTTCTGGGGTGTGCATTCCTGTTTGGCCACATTGGCCACTGGGTCGGTGAGTGGCGGCTGTGGCATTTTCCCTTTCCAGGAAGACTGACACTCATTCCCAGGTGTCCGCCGCCGCGCATGGCTCCTGTGCTCGACCTTTTTCCAGACCATGTGTCTCGTCATCTCTGCCATCCTCGTCTCCCCCGCGGGCCCGCGCGCCACTGCGCTCGGCGGACAGCACGAATGGTTCATTCTTTTCCTGTTTGCGGCCATGTCGGGCTCCCAAGTCGCCATGGCCCGCCAGAGCAGCTGCCAGGAACTGCCCACGGCGCCCATGACATCTACCTTTGTCGACTTTGTGGCGGACCAGTACCTGTTCGCTGCTTGGGGCGACCCGAAGGCGACCCCGCGCAACAGGCGCATCGCGTACGTCATCTCCATGATTGGCGGCTCGTTTATCGGCGCCTGTCTCCACCGGTACTCGAGCAGCTGGGTTGTGGTGGTCGTCACGGTCGTAATCAAGCTGGGCGCCATGAGCTTGCTCCTGTTTGCACGCCCTGACGAGCCAGAGTTCGCAGAATAGGGCTCTCTCAGTACCTCGCAGGCGGGAGCTTGGGGTAGTCTGCCTTGTGTTTTCTTGGAAATGGCGGCTTGGCGCCGCCCTTTGGGAATTTGGACCATACTCTTTTGCCCTCCTTCATAGACTTCTAGACATCGATATTGTACGAGATTGTATGTACACCACGTGCAGAAACTGCACATGCATCGCGTGACCAGCGAGAGAGACTGCAGTGAGCGTGGACAGCGACACATACGACACCGAAGGAACGTGTAAGAGTGCACGGCTGCGCAAACCCTTGCGAGGTGGGCAAGACATCTCGAACACCCCCGGAGGAAGTGGGAATGGGACGAAGGAGTGCAGTGGGGTATATGCATATGCAAGGTAAAAGAATACGAACGGAGATGTGCGGGAGACAGGTGCGGAAGGACAGCAGTACGGCTGGGATGTGCAAACGGCAAGAGCCCGCCAGAAATCCGGCATTTTCGACGGTTGGGGTCGGGGCACATCCGTCTGTCGCAGAACCTATCGAGTTATCGGCTCTGTCCGCCGATAGCCTCCCACTTCTGTCTTTTAAAATGTTGATTGATCGGTGGCTGCTGGTAAATGCTGCCATGGCGGCGCATCCCGGCTAGTTGACCCAGTCGGCAGCCTCGTTCTCGTCGCGTGAGTTCAAGTTGGCAGGACCGTCCCATTTGGAAAGATGGAAGCTGGGGGCAGGCCTCCCACCGGCCAGTGGCGTGAGTGGCGCGAACAAGTTGTGCAGCGCAACGTGCTCCTCGCTATACTCCTCGACAATGGAGATGACGCGCTGCGGGCGGCCCGGGACGGGATTGAGGGCACCCATGCGCCCGAGACGACCGGTCACAATGTCATAGAAGGTCTGGCGAAGCTGCTTGCCCTTGTACTCCCTCTGGTGCGGGGAGAGGGTAGCCATGTCGAGGCCGTTAAGGAGGTACACGGTGTGCAGGTTTTTCAGGTGCAGGCCCGGGACGGCCGAGCGCTGGGCCAAAAGCAACGGGGTGGGCTCGTCGCCCGAGGGAGGTTCGATGCCCTCGGCCATGATTTCGGGGACGAGCGGGATGGTGAACACGCCCAGCGAGCCGAGCTCCGAGTCAATGTTCTTGATGGAACCCTGGTTTGGCATGAGGGCAAGGGCAAAGGTTCCGGGCGGTGGAGGTGAGGTGGTGTGGAGAAGCGCAAGCGCCTCCATCACCGTCGCCGCCACCTCGCCCTTGGTCTGCTGGCCACTCTGGCCGTACGCAGGTTCCGACATGTCAAGGGGGTGGACGTCTCCAGCCCTGTCGACAACAAAGACGTGGTTGCGCGGCTTTGTGATTCTCGGGGCCCTGTGTGCGGGGATGTCGGTAATCTGGCCCATTTCCTCAAACCCAGCGCGGACATCCAGCTGACGCTGGCTGGCAGTGTGTGTGAAGTCGAGGTCGATGATACCGCTTGACTTGTTCTGCTTCTCGTTACCAGCCCTCACCCATCCGCGCCCGAAGGTGAGACGGCGGAGTTCAGAGTTGAGCGTAGCAGATGCCCAGACGGTGCGAATGGGCAGGCGCGAGTTGAAGTTGAGGATACCCTTCTTGGTCTTGCCCAAATACCTAGGACCATCCTGCTCCTCAAAGATGCGCAGCAGCTTGTTGAGAGCCTTGACGATGTGCGGTGGGTGGAGGTTGATGGGGTGGCGGACAAGACGGCGCTCGTCTGTACCCCTAGCAGGCAAGGGACCCAGCATGGTGTCGGGCTCGTCCAAGAAGATATGGCTGAGGTTGGGCAGAGACTTGGGCTTGGGAGGCGCGTCGTTGAAGATGGTCGGCGTCGTGATCACCACCTGAGCGTTCCAGTCCATCTTGAGAGGGTCCAAAACGGAAGCGTGCACCTTGTGCTCAGGACCCAAGATGTCAAAGAGGGCTCCGACCTGTTGCACGAGGTGGCGCGTGGGGACAAAGAGGACGACCTGCTTGCTGCTCTTGTTCACAACCGTGAGAGCGCCCAGGACGAGGGAAAAGGTCTTTCCCTGGCCCATGTAGTCCTTGTAGTAGATATCCACATCGCCACGGCCCAGCGAGAGAAGGAACGCACGCTGCGCCGGAGTCGGCCTCTGAATTTCGGGGAAGTGGTTCGCCAGCTTGCGAGCAACGTCTCGCGGCAGGCCGGCACGCTGTCTGTCAGCTCTTTCCATCGGGTTTTGGAGCTCACCCTCCACACATCAACTGCGTCGCGGAACCTGGCACGGTCCGGGTCAGTATCGTCGGCTCCTACGCCTTGAGCATCGCCTGTGGTCTCATTCGCCTCCACATTCGTTTCGACAGCGGGGTTGACGGCGTCGGTGGTGGTTTCGTTCGCCTCGAGGGTTGGCTCAACGGCGACAGTGGTGCTGGCCTCGACGACAGGCTCCACTACGCCATCCACGATCTTTGAAGATGACGCATACGAGGCCGTAATGTCCGCAAACGAGATCGAGGACGCGGGCTGAGCCGAGGTTGAAGTGGACGATGAGGGAGCAGCCGAGTCACTGGCCGTGGCCTGGGTTTGCACCCAGCGGGCCGAGGCGCGCACGAGCGGTACAGCGCATGAGAAGCGACTGGCCGTCACCGCACGTGAAGGGAGTCCGCGACAAGCGAGGAGCGCGTTACGTGTCGCCATTGTTGTTGGAGTGTCGAAACGAAGTGGGTGCCGAAGGGATCTTCATCTTGGTTGATGACGGAAATTTTGGTTCCGTCGCTGGGACATGAGTGGCGACTGTTGTCTGTCAACGACACGGGGAAACAGCATAACCGCTCCAGATTTCGCACCAACAATCGTTCCCTAGTAGAACACATCGCACGGTAACAAGGTGATACAAGAAAAAAAAGTTAATGCATGCCATGCGCAGTTGTGGTTTATGAGAGTTTGATGGGTTGTGTTGGGTTTATGATGCCAGTTTAGATGGGTTCGTCTATGCCTGCCGTCCCGCTCCGCCCAGGACCAGCTTCTTGCTTGTCTTCTTACTCTTCTTCTTCTTTCCACCCGCCAGTCCTGCCCCCTCCGCCTCCGCCGCTGCCACTTCCTCGTGCTCCGCATTGAAGCCGCTCCACGCCTCCTCCACTCCCTCCATGTTGAGTCTCTCCTCACGGCGGCCGATGGGCGCACTCGACATGTTGCGCGAGTGGACGGCCCACGCAAACGAGCCCGACGACGCAGAGGGCGGGGACGCAGCGAGCTGGTGGGCCGTGTTGCTGCCCGGGAGTGGGAACGCGGCACCAACCTCGGGCGAGACGGAGAGTCCCGAGTCGAGACGCGAGGCTGCAAGCGCCATGGCGAGCTCGTGGTCGTGGTCTACGGCCTGCGCCGAGGGTGTAATGTGCATCTCGGGCATCATGGCCCTCTCAGCCTGTTCGGCACGGCGCTTGTCCCTGTCCTCGCGGCGCACACGGTCACGACGCTTGGCGCGACGTGCCTTGAGAGGCTGCTCGAACTGGGCCAGGACCTCGGGGCTGACAATGCCTGCGAGGTCGGCCTCGACAAACACTACCTCGGTGCCGACGGGCAAGTGAGAGAGGTACTTGACGCGTCGGCGCAGGTCCTCGGAGACGGTGGCCGAGTCGTATCCCGTAGTCGTGAATGAGATGTGCTGCGGGAAGGCCGAGTACGAATGGAAGTGTGCGAGGAGGATACGGCTGTCCAAGGGGTTGAGGAAGACGTTGACGCCAAGGGACGATTGGTAAAAGTAGTAGCTTGGTGCAGGCGGGATAGGTGGGGCCTTTGGGGCCGCTCCACCTTGTCGGCGGCGGTTCTTCTGGTTCTTCTTACCCACAGTAGGCGGCATTGGGTTGGGCTCGACGACGACGTTGGGAGGGACGTGAACAGTGGGGCCGCGGTAGGAAACGTCCGAGGCCGCGAGGAACTCGACTGGCACCTCGGCCTCGTCGGTGACCACTTGCGGGGGAGCTTCCAGCTCGCGCTCGGCGCGTTCCTTTGCTCGTTGCTCGCGCTCAACATGGCGTTCCCGGGCACGGCGCTCGCCATTTACGGCCTCGCTCCACGCGTCGCGCGCCTCGGCCTCGTTGTGGCGCACGACAGGCGTCATGAGCTCGTTTGTGACCTTGCCGATTTGGCGCTCAACCTTGTTACGCGCAGACGTGACAAATCCACGCCCCAGGTCGTCGCCTTGCAACAGGTTCCACTCAGCCTTGAGCTCTTCCAGCTCGCGGTTGAGCTGCAACAGCATGTACTCGGGCGTCGCCAACATCACGCGCGAGTACGTCAGGACATCCGGGAGGAACTGCCAGGGTACAGTGAGAGGAGGAATCGCGTCCGATGGCCACGTCGGTGTCGCTGGCAGTGCCAGTGTGGTCATCTGGGGACGATGCAGGAGGCGCATGTGGATGCGATGGGCTCCACCGGCTGCCGTTGCCGGTTCCGAATCGATAATCTTGGCCTCGTCCATCGTCGCGTCGGCACCGAGCTGGTCGACTCCTTGGCCTTCTCCTTGTGCCGCTTTCACCATCGTCTCGGCGTCGAGGTACCGGACGCTCTTGAGCATGCCTTCATGTATCGTGTCGCCACAGATAGGGCAGGATGCGGACCGCGGGACGTCTGAGAGTTGGATAAAGTGCATGATGCACGGAAAGCAAAAGATCTGTAAAACGAGGTCAGCACTTGCACTGTGTTGTTCCCACGTACATGTCCACACTTGGTCATTCGTCCAGCGACGGGCTTGCTGAGGCAAATGGGGCATGAACGGCCCTGTCGCTCCTCCTCGACGCGTCGGCGCCGTTCCGCAGCCGACTCGCCGCCCACGTCGTCGTCCACCTCGTCCTCGCTAGCCACAAATCCCTGCGCAACAGAGTACGACGAGTACGTCGGCACGAGAATCTGGAGAATGTTCGGCCAGTGGAGGGCAATGTCCGGGTCTGCAAAGTGGGCACCATAACTCAACGTCTCGGTGGGCTTGACGACGAAGCGATAGCTGGCGTTGACAAATTTCTCGCGGGTGAGCGCGCTGCCGCGCCACGAGTCGCCGCGCTTGCTGCGACGGGGAACAGCGCGCTCGATATGGTTGTGCGGCGCGCGCGGCGGAAGCGAGAACCCAAGCCACTGCGCCGGGTCGCGGTCGTCATCGTCCATGGCCAGCGCGGGCTTGCCTCGGACTCCCTTCTTGGCGCCGTGGGGCGCGCGGGACGGGTGCACGGGGGGATGAGCCTGGGGCTGCGCGGGCATTGCGGACGCGGCGGGGCGCGGTTGAGCGTGGGGGTAGGAAGAGGGGGTATGGGACGCGCTTGGCTGCGGGTGGCCAACGAGGGACAAGTGTGGAGTCGGTGAGTGGAGGGTTGTGGTGTTGTGTGGAATGCGGGTGATGACAAAGGGGGGTTGTCAAGCGACGAAGGACTGGAAAGAGAGTGTTGTATAGCTATATCTATTCTAACCCCGCAACGTGCGTTGTAGAGTGTTTGTTGTTTGCCAGGAGATGGTGGTGCCAAAGCGGGGGACCCAACGGCTAGCCGTTGTTGACCGTCGCTATCGTCATGGAATTCATATAAACTAACGCGTTCACACCTAATACCCACTCACCCAGGCCGGGTCCGCGCACGTTGCTCGGGTATCGCCGGCATCGCCGCCCGCAGTGGCACACTCACCAGCTCACCAGGTGGAGGTGGTTCGGATCCCGCATGCCGGCACTGGAGACGCGTTGCACGAGACACGACAACGATGCATGCACTTTTGTCTTGTACACTTACCACTGCGCTCACCATGTCCGTCCAGACCTACGACATTCCCGGTATGCTCCACAGTCACAAGACCCAGTGCTGACCGTCAAAGGCTTCCTCTACGCGGCCGTCGTGTTGAGCGGCGGCGCCATGGGCTTCATCAAGAAGGGCTCCGTTGCGTCTCTCGCTGCTGGCGGTATCTCGGGCGTGCTTCTGGGCTACGGCGCGTGGGTGAGTTTCGACGAGGATGGATGCGCACGAGATGGGCAAACCCGGTGAACCTACACCGAGTACTGACTTTCCAGCGCGTATCGCAGGACCCCAAGGACGTCCGCATCTCCATCGGTGCGTCTTAGCTTTACGCGCTGCCCCAACGCTCACTGTCAGCTAACTTGCACAGCTGTCTCCGCCATCCTTGTCCTTGTTATGGGTTCGAGGTTCGCTCGCTCGGGCAAGTTCATGCCTGCTGGTCTTGGTAAGTTGCAAACTTGTTGACTTTCAACTGACGTCAGTCTCGGTATGTCTCTGCTCGCCCAGTCCTTCCATCCCTAACGTGGTCAGCTCTTGTCTCTCATCATGGTCCTCCGCTACGCTCAGCGTCTCATGTAAGAAGGGATGCAAGAAGATCAATATGGAAGCAAGCGCGTTTGGCTGTGGCATGGATATAGTGGTGGCTGGGCCGAGGAAGGTCACCTCATGTTGGTTTCACTGCAAGGCTCGCAACCAAAGTGCACTGACCCGCAGTGCTTCGACTATTAGCCGTGTGTGTAGCGCCCATTATCACAGACTATATGCCCCGGTTCTCTCATGATCGCATGATCTCTCAACTGGGTACAACTGGCCACCTGGGATATGCCAATACACGGCGGGCCTGTGACACTGGGATGGGAGGGTGGACCACCCCCCTTTGAGCCCCCTGATGGCACTGATCGGAAGTTGAAACGAAAACTACCCACCTACCTTCTTCATAGCTGCCGTATACATATATCATAGCTTGCACCACTGTCTACATGCTACCTGTGCTACACCTGCTACCTGTATACCTGTGCGCCTGTGCGAAAAAGCCTGGACACATCAACAGACGGAGAGTGACGAGTGCTCGTCGTGCCACCCGCTGCTAGAGGCTCAGAGACACGCCTGCGCATCGGCCGCCACTCAGGCACGGGACACCCGCCAGCGTCAAAACCGAAACGTCATATGTACGCCCATGCCGCCACTTATCCATCGTCCTCTTTCTCCATCGCACTCTCCACACCCCCCACATCATGAACGGCTGGGCATGGGTCCTTATGGACGACGACGACGACGACACGCCAAGTCTTCCTCCCGGGTCCCCCGGAACATGTACGTGATCAGTAACCCCCGCGCACGCACCAACAAATACTGACGGAGCAGGGCACGGGTCTGGTGAGCATATCTCGATTGGGCCCCCCGACTGAGGTTCGGGATGACTGACATGTGCTATAGAGCAGTGGTTCTCGACACAGCTTATCCTCTCCCTGTCTATTGGCGTCTCGGCATTCTTCATCTTCTGCTTCCTTCGCACACGATGGGAGATGGTCTATATGCCTCGCACGAGGCTCAAGGGTGTGTTGACTAGCTCTCCCCACGTGTGGTGACAGAGACGAAGACACGACCAGCTGATCCCACTAGACTTCTCCCCGGCACCTGCGCACTGGCCTGATATACAGAAGGCCTCTGGAGCATCCCGCTTCTTTGGCTGGATCATTCCGACTCTACGCACGAGCGAGTTTGTGGTTCTGCAAACAGTCGGCCTCGATGCTGCCGTTGTACGTCTGCCCACACCTCCTGAGCAGTTTGCTGATGACTAGCTGTTGAGTTTCCTCCGCATGTCCTTTATCCTCTTTTCACTCTTCGCTGTTCTTGCTGGGGCCATATTGGTGCCGATATACAAGCTCGTGAGCTGCGCTTGCTCTTGACGGCAGCTGACGTTTAGGGCGGAGGCAGCACCGAGTCGCCCGCTCCCGACATTCCAGACAACTCGACAGACTTTCTTCCATCATGGACGCCAGACTGGACGTATGGTAACGGTACATGGAAGCACGGCAACATGACCTTGCCGCCGTTCTTCGACTTCATCGCCGACCCCACCACCTCCGCAACCTTACAGCTGGTGTTTGCCTACACGTTCACCGCTCTCACACTTCACTTTCTCCATCGCAACTTTCACCGCTTTGTCACATCCCGCCAGGCGTTTGGCCTTCAGTTGATCCACTCGGTATCGGCACGCACTGTGCTTGTCACGGATGTGCCTTCGCACCTCCGCGGTGACCGTGCGCTTGCCGAGTACTTTGAGGGATGCGGATGGGAGGTGGAGAGTGTCTCGATTTGCCGCGAGGTTGACGCCGTCAAACGGGCATTGGACAAGCGCACAAACGCCCTCCTCGAACTTGAGGATGCGTGGGTCGCGTGGGTGGGAAACCCCGCTACCGCGACGGGTTACGACCCCGACGTTTACCGCAACAAGCCCCGCGCGTCGTCGCCCACGACCGAGACGTTGATCTCTGGGCTGGACAGGAACGGTGATGGTCCCGCAGCGACCGCCGAGGACCCAGAGAGCCTCCGCGCGCGATACAGCACCATCCACTCTGACAAGCCGCGTCCGACAAAGCGCATCCGTATCGGCAAGTCTGTCGACGCCATCGGGTTCTGGGAGGACAAGTTCTTGGAGGCCGACGAGGAAGTCCGCGTCCTGCGGAAGACTGGTCGCTTTGAGCCTACCCATGTCGCCTTTGTCACATTCGAGGACGTCAAGTCGACCCAGGAGGCGAGCCAGGTCGCCCACTACCGCGAGCATACGCAGGTAGTCACCACTATCGCACCCGAACCGCGCGATGTCATCTGGAACAGAGTCTCCATGTCCCGCCGCGAGCACCGTATTCGCGACACTGTTATCACCGGTCTTATGGGTGTCCTCCTTGTCTCCTGGATTCGTGAGTTTGTTGGAAGACGTTTGTACGGTCCTGACCCCCGTTCAGCTCCTGTCGTCGCCGTGTCGTCCCTTCTGTCGTTCAAGGAAATCGAACGTGTGATGCCGTGGCTCGCCAACCTGATCAAGCAGAGCCCACGACTCGAGGCGGTGTTCCAGACCACCGTGCCCACTCTGGCTTTGATCATGTTTAACAGCCTCTTACCTTTCCTTCTGGAATGTACGTGTTCTGGTACAGACAGCTGCTGACGGCAGTCTTGTGCTATCAGCAGGGCTTCAAATCGCGTAGCAGTGCCGAGTACTCGTTGACCAGGAAGTAGGTGTTTTCGACGTAGGCCGTTGCTCACCTACATAGACACTACCTGTTCCTCCTAATCTCGGTCCTCCTCATCGTGAACGTCACGACGACCTATTGGGCTCTCGTGCGCGACCTGGCTGACGAGCCCATGAAGGTGGGTCGTTACCCTTTTAAACAGTGCTTACCCCCAGATCCCCGAAAAACTCGCCATGGGCCTGCAGCAGACGAACATTCGACACTTTATGGTCTCCTATGTGATGCTCCAAGGTGTCGGTCTCATGCCTCTTCAGCTTCTCAGCATCGGCCCGCTGTTCCTTCTCGTCTGGAACCGCCTGTCCGCCAAGACGCCCCGAGACTATGCCACGGCTAACGCCGCTCCAATGCTCAACTACGGATGGGTCTATCCCCAGGCTCTGCTCATCTTCACCATCACGCTCGTGTACAGTGTTGTTACGCCTTCCATTCTTGTCTTTGGCGCCATCTACTTTGGTTTTGCCTGTGAGCTCAGAAACTCCTCGAAACGCAGCTGACATCAGACCTGGTATTCAAGTATAAACTCCTCTTCAGTAAGCTCGGCTCCCCCTGCTATAGCTAACACCAGTCTACTTCAAGCCCTGGGAGTCGAACGGCGAGGCCTGGAAGATCACCTTTGACCGCCTCATCTGGGCCCTTGTCATCTTCCAGCTGTTCGTCACTGGGCTCTTTTCGCTCATCAAGGCGTTCAAGCTGGTTGCTCTCATGGTCCTGCTGGTCGCCTACACCATCTGGTGGGGAATCACCATGTCACACCAGTTCAGCCCGCTCAGCAAGTACCTGGCCCTGTCCAGCGTTTGCGACGTACAGCGCGGCGAGTCGACCGACGAGGTCCTGGGGGTCGACGACCCGGCCGTCCCGCGCTCTCAGAGCAACCTGAATCACAAGCGCTACGCCATGAATGACGACACGCTCTACGTGGCGCCCGCGGACCGCAAGACCGACTACTCGCAGCCGCCGATGAACAGCTTCTACTATGGCGTTCTCAACACTGGTCGCAGACGATACGGCCACCCCGCGCTCACTGGCAAGCTTCCCAAGCCGTGGCTCCCGTCCAAGGCTCGTCCGCCTGCGTTTGGTGACGCCGCTGCTGCTCGCCGCGGTGTTGTTCTCAGCCTCCGCCGCAAGGTTGCCAAGAGGCTGCGCCGTTACCAGCAGGGCGAGTCTGATGGCGACCGGACAGCCCGCGAGGGCTCCACGGGCACGTTTGGCGAGGCCGACGAATGGGGCCGCCGATCCGAGTCGCCGTCCCAGTCAGGCTCCCAGCTGGCCAGTGATGCCGGTCTCGACGGCGGCCGACTCGGAGACAGCACCTACGCCAGTTCGTCGGGCTCTACGCCTTCCAACCCGTGGGCAAGGGACAGCACACCCGTGCCCGACTTTGGTGGCATCCCGCGTCGTCTCAGCTACGATACAGGCTCGGGCGTTATTGCACTTGGCGATGAGCACGTTTGGGACGACGATGCAGACGACGACGACGACGAATCGCCTCTCGACCAGAGCGAGTCCCAGGACGCGCCAGCCAGTCCGGTGGGTATGCCTCAGGTGACGGCTAACACGACCCAGTCTACCTATTTCCATCGTCCGAACCGCCGCCGCACGTTGTCCAGCGTGGGCACGGTGCAGGCGCAGTAGGGAGAGGGGAAGTGGGGAGAGAAGGGAGTGGGCGTGTCGGTGTCTTATACATAACGTCTCGTAACGAAGATAAAGCCTTATACAAAGCATGCTGCGCGGTCAGCGTGCAGAGCATGCATGAAGAGAGATGTGGTACGCCGTGATAGCATAGCCGCAACGCACGCAGCACCATAGGAATCGAACGGGCGGAACCGCCACACTCGAAAACTCCGCTTGGCCATGGCCCTCCGATCAGCTCCGTGTGCCGCCGCCAGCCAGCCAGCCAGCGCCTGTGCCCTCCGTCCCTCCCAGCGTCCTGCTTGGCCCATTCGCGACCGCCGGTCCTTCCAGCAACCCCACCCAACACCCCTCTATCAAAACAGCAAACATGTCGGCCTGGCGCGAGTTTATGTCGTGCGTACCATCGCGCGCATGCGGGCGTGCAGCAGTGCCGCCGTGCTGTTGGCGTGCACCGGAATGAAGTTGTCGCGGAAAGGTTTGGTTGTGCTGACGCTGGTGCTTTTCCGCCAATCCTGAATGAACATCGCGCTCCTCGACTCGTGTACGCCGTCATCATCCCCTCCCCCCTCGCCATCGCTCGTCGCTCGCCGTCTGCGCCTCGTCCTCGTCCTCGTACCCCCTCCCCCTACCCCTCCCCTCTCGACCGTTATACCCCCTCTTTATTTCTCCCCCACGTCGCCTCGTCGCCAAATCGTACCCGTTTCCTCGGCAATCCCCGGACCTTGAACCCCTTCCTCCCCTCCCCCTCCCCCTCCCCCTCCCCTTCTCCCTCGTTGGCATCGTCCTTGGTCTCGTCTACAGGTGGAACAAGTTCACCCAGATCGCCTCCCGCGCGGTCCGCTCGGCTCTCGTCGAGTCGGAGCGTGTTGGTGCCGAGAAGCGCGCTGCCCTCAACGTGTGAGTGGAGGACTTGGAACGGCCGTGTCGACCCGTGGAACCGAGGAGGGGGAGGGCGGGGAAGGGAGATGCAGATGCAGATGGAGACGGACGTGGGGAGGAGCAAGGCGGCGGTGGACGAGGTGCTGGGGGGCAATCCCCGCTACATCAAGGTTGTTGTGTAGCTGGAGTATTGCTGTCCACAAGACACACATTGTGTTGGCACACCCATGCCGCGTCGCCCCATTGCCCTCTGCGCAACAACCCGACCCCTTGGAACCCCCGGTCCACATGAACGAGACACTTGATCCGCTCCATGTGAACGCTGTTGCTGACTGTCCCGCAGCAAGTACCAGACCTGGTCGAACGGTGTCGCCTCCGAGTCGCAGTACATTGTCAAGCCCAAGGACGGCTCGGCCTAAGCGGACCTCGATAGAGATGCGGAGATGAATAAGTAGAACCAGGCCGGCGCGTCAGAGCGGAGAACGGTGGGGCTGGGGAGAGGTTACGGGGAGGTGTATGGTGGTTTCTGAGCAGACTGGCAGGCATATGGCGAGAGTGGTGACAGACCGGTCAGTGATCAGTGACGCCTGGGGGTCTGCCGGCTTCATTCGGGGAAATCGTACAGAGTTGTATTAGCTGCACCATCGGGCCACGCGAGACGTACGTGGAAACACTTTGCAAAAAAGCGGCCTCAAATAATTCCCATTAGAAAATAAGCTTCCGTTCATATTGAGCCAGAGCCCAGGCTGCGCGCCAGACGCCGCCTCGTCCCTCCAGTTGGCATGACGAGACGAGGGGCCACGTCCACGATCCCAACGGCCACAACCTAACAAACGCGACCCCGCGCGGTGAATAGTCTCTCGTTCTTCTCCAACAAACACCCTCTACAAAACATCCTCCACACCATGGACCCCACAAAGGCCCAGACCACTGCGGCGTTCGCATACCTCAAGTCTCAGAAGGCTAACAAGGTAGGTGCTCCAATGCGTGCAACGCACGCGCGCGTGCGCGAGGGAGGGAGAGGACAGAGGATCATGGGAGGACTCGACGGTCGACAATCGGTCTCGACAACGCGACATGGGTCCACGGGCCACGGCTACACGCCCATGGTACTCCACATCGACGACCCGTTTCTCGTGTCTGGCACGTTGGACGCTGCCGAGCTGCCCCGGCGCATTTGAGCGCCGGCGACGGCGGCTGCAATACGAGCACGAACACGAGCACAGCGGCAAACGCGCCCGGCCTGCAGCCGGTTGAACCACGTTGCCAGTGTGCGCACCGCCGCGTCCCATGTCTCCTCGAGCTGCAACAGACCAGCTGTGCTGTGGCTGTGCAACACAACCATGCTTGCCAGCTGGGTTGCCCCGGCTAGCTGGCACACGAGTGGCCGGCGCGTTCTTGAGCGCACGGATGTGCATCTGGTCGCGCCTCCACTGGGACACATGGATATAGGGGCCCATACCCCGCATCTGAGCTGCGGGATGTGTACCGTGGTCACCTGCGAGGTGTTGGTCTGAACGCATGTGCTGTCACTTGTTTTACTTGTCCTCCCTCGCCTCGCACACCGACGACTGGGACCAAGACCTTGGCTAACGCGCTCAGGCCTGCTTCGACTGCTCGGCCAAGAACCCCACTTGGACCTCGGTCACCTTTGGCATCTACCTCTGTCTCGACTGTTCGAGTGTGCACCGTAACCTCGGTGTGCACATCTCGTTTGTGCGGTGAGTATGATATGGGGTTACAAGCTCTAAACACGTCCTAACCCATCTCAGCTCCACCAACCTCGACTCGTGGTCACTCCAGCAGCTCCGTCAGATCAAGGTCGCTGGCAACCAGTCCCTTGCCGACTTCTTCAACAAGCACGGCGGCTCGTCCCTCCTCCCTCCTGGCAACAATGATGCTCGCACGCGCTACTCTTCGCGCCAGGCAAACCTCTACAAGGAGGAGATTGCACGACGTGTGGCCGAGGATGTGCGCCAGAACCCCAACGGCATCCACATTGAGGGCCTCGACCTGACCCCGATGGGCTCGTCCACACCCGCTGAGAAGCAGGAGGACTTTTTCGAGTCTTGGGACAAGGCCGCGCCCACTCCTTCCCCTCGTCCCAGCCGGCCGTCGTCCACCGCCCCACCCTCCATCGGTGTGCCCCGCACCGCCACTCCTCCCGCTGCCGCCACTCCTGCCGCGCCCACCGCTCCCCGCACTGTGAGCTCGTCGGCCCTGCGTTCCGGCGCCGGTGCCCGCCCTGCTGCCAGCTCGCGTCTCGGTGGCGCCCCCAAGGCGTCCAAGCTCGGCGGCTCGCGCCTCGGTGCCAAGAAGGCCTCGACCGGTATCAACTTTGAGGAGGCTCAGCGCAAGGCGATCGAGGAGGAGGAGCGCATCAAGCGCCTCGGCTACGACAAGAAGAAGGAGGAGGAAGAGGCCGCAGCCCTCAAGGCTCGCGAGGAGGAGGAGCGCCGTAAGAACCAGGCGGCCGGTATCGCCAACTCGCGGTCGGCTACCCCGCTCTCCAAGGCGCGTGCTGTGGTCGAGGACAAGCCCGTTCCCGTCAAGCTCGGTTTCGGACAGGTGGCGAGCGCGCCCGTTGCGCCGAAACCGCAGGCAGCGTGAGTACAGACGGACAGAGTCGGGATACACCGAGAGGGCCAGAGGTGGCAGGCAGGTTTCAGGTGATACGGGTGTGTGAGGCAGACGAACGGGCCGTTCATTCCGGCATGTCCGAATTCGCGTGCACCACCAACCGCGCCGGCCACGCATCGTGGCAGGCTATTTCTGCCCGGCATGGATGGCGCCCAATGCGACCTAGCCGAGGGGCCTGATTCCAGCGTCGGTAACGGTGACGTGCACACCATCGCACGCGCAGGGGCCGGTCGGCGGCGCGCGGCGCGCGGCAATAGGCGCCGTCTACCCTTTCCCCGTGCACAGGCCCGCACCCCCCACCCCCACCACCTTCGCCCCGTCCGAGATTAGCATGCTCGGTGACTATATTTGCTAACTCTTGCAGGCGCGTGCCGGACGAGGCGGACTTGATGAGCGCCGCCAAGGACCGTTTCGGCAACCAAAAGGGTGAGTGTTGAGACAGGCAGTGTGGTTTCCAATGGATGGGAAAGGCATTAGGATCAGATCCAGGATCTCGGCCACCCACGGTCCCCAGTGGTGCTGGCTGGCTCCGTTTACGGAGATCTGGCAAAGCCGCGTTCGCACCTCGCGGATGCTGTACGTGGCACTAGACCACAAAGGTGCCGTGCCACGGGCGTGTGCACAACACGCCTGTCGGTCCTTGCTGCTGTGCCCCCAGGCCCTCCTCCGCCATCACCTGCTAACCCGCCGCACAGGAATCTCGTCGGACATGTACTTTGGTCGCGGCAACTATGACCCGTCGGCGGCCTCGGAGGCCCAGAGCCGTCTCCAGAACTTCCAGGGCGCCACTGCCATCTCGTCCAACGCCTACTTTGGCCGGGAAGACGAGGAGGACGACGGCGGCGACATGCAAGGTACCGACGGCATGCTCGGCCTGGAGGGCAACGAGACGGTGCAGGCCCTCGAGCGCAACGTGCGCGACATGGCAGGCCGCGTCATGGCCGACCCCAACGTCCAGAACCTTACGGACCAGATCCGCGCTGGTGCCCTGAGGGTGAGTGAAAGACGAGGTGTACACACCAGCGGTTTTGTGGCACCTTCTGTGGTGTGGATCCGTTTTTGCTGACATTCGGCCCAGCTGTCCGACTACCTCCAGACCTTTGAGCAGAGGTAGAGAGGTGGCGAGAGAGGGACGTGTTATGATATTTTTACGGTACCGGTTTTTTCCCTCGCGCGGCACCCACCACGGGCCACAGAGAGAGATTCAGTCGCAATGCATTGGGACGAGTTGTTATCAAAATGACTCCGGAGGGCCTCGTTACGGTGTGGCGGGGCATGGCTGGCAGCTGACAGCGGGACTGCGGTATCAAGTGGGCCGCATGGGCGTGTGTTCTGTGTGAAGAGCTGTGATAGACACTGCACTGCACACTACTGCGCCGGCAGGCCCGCAAGTTGACATGTGCACATGGGCGACCTGCGGCGGTACGACCGGCCCACAACTTGCAACTGGCCGAGTCTGGGCCATGTCTGGGCTGGCGAGGTCCATCTCGCTTGCTTGTTCAAGCAGCCCCCCTCTACCCCCCCTCCCTCTGGCTGTCAGAGATGCCGGCGCAGCACACGACCGCGGCGCAAGCAAATAGACGCACGCAGTCATGCTTGGCATGGATGGCGCACGCAAACAACAAAACAACAAAACATACGCAGTAGGTCTTGGCCTCTTGGCATGCATGTCCCACAATCCCGCCTTGCATCTCACAGCTCACCATCCACTGATTGACCGCTTCCACTGACGCGACGACAACGACGCGATGCGGCGACCGCAACCTCCGCCACGGCGTGTGTCGGATGTCGGGCTCCTAGGCTCCTGGTGTTCCCTGCGCCGACACGGGCCCTGGTGGAGTAGCCATAGACGCTGCACATGCCTCCGTTGCTCGCTGCTCTACTCACTGATATCACTGATCACTAGTGAGCTCGTGTCTTGTACTGTCGCGAGCGCCGAGCTGAAGCCTATGTGGCAGCTGCGCCCCGGCCCTCACGCATAATAGGGTGTGTGGGGCGCGTTTGATGCATATGGTGGTGTTTACGCGTTTGCTTTTCCTTTTCCTTGTCGTCAATGTCACCTGGCCACCTGGCCAGCTTTCCAACCATGCTCGTTCGTTCGTTCGTTGGACGTTTGCCCTTTCCGGGAGAGCAAACTGCGCAATTCTGTGTGGCGTCGTCGCGCGTTCGTTCTTGGGCCCTCTCGGGAGCAAGGGGCGCGCACGCCTTTACAGTGTTTCCTTTATGCGTCGCGTTTCTCGCAGTCGCGTCATGGCCGCAGCTGGCCGGCCTGGTTGGACACTCGCTCTCGCTCTCTCGGCCTCTTGCGTGTTTGCAGCCGTCACAATTAACGAGGCCCGCCAGGCGCAGCGATAAGCTAAGGGTGGTGTGCAAGTCTGGCCATGGTGGGCGTGTTCCGAACGTGTTTACAGAGGACTGCGACGCTGCTGCGACCGGCACAATGCTGTATGCCTCGCATCCAACGCAGACCGACATGAGTGCACTCAGAACAAATGTCTCCACAGGCATGCACGAACAGAGTGGCATTCTCATCTGAGACCCGGAGCAACGGCCTTGCTGACGATACCAGCCCCACCCTGGGGTGTCACCTGCCGTCCTGTGCCCTGGTGGAGACCTGACAATGGTGCCAGCATTGTTGAACGGGTCTCTATTCCTGGACCACCACGACGACATTTTCTATTCCCATGCGCAGCCATCTGCCCCGGCTCTGCCCCTTTGTACGAACGCAAGGACATGCGGTGCACGCCAGCGATCCCACCCTGTCGTGTCTTTAGCAGCCCGTCTACGCCACCGGAGACCCGGCATGGGCGCGCGCGCCGTTTGCCCGGTGCATACGCAGGCCGAGACGGTACCCACTGGCCAGTGGGTGCAAGAGCACCAGAGCAGAACACATGTGGCCTGCCATGGCATGCTGCCTCCTGCATCCAGGGTGGGGCGTGACTGCTGGTATACCGACGAGAGCGTGCGCCAAGGGCCATCATGGTATTTTTATCCACCCAAAAAAAAGGTCACCCAGGATAGACGACTGCGCACAGCCGACGCAGCCGACACACCACACAAACCTGTCCAAACCCTCTGGCCTCTAGGCCTCTAGCCTCCCCACCACTGCCGCGGCTGCAGCTTGTGCATGCAAACACTCAGCACACGCATGTGGGCAGGGAGGGAGGGCTGGCTCTCGGTGCGGGCAGACACGACGGACAACGGACAGACACAAGGAAGCCCCGTCGTGTCTTGATGGGTCTGGCAAAGCAAAGCACTGCACATTTCCGTGTCCATCCCTTCTCATCCCTCTCCCTTCTTTCTATCCCTTTCATACGACAAACCCCACTCTCCTCCCCCCTCCTCTCCCCCCTCCCCTCTCTCTCTCACAGTATATCCCACTGTTGAAAGACCCTTTCAACTGTCCTATCGCAGCTCACACACTCTCTTTAACCTTCTTCGTCTCCCTTCCTCTCTTTCTCTTTCATCGCTGATCGTCAACGACCAACTGTTTGACGGTAACCGACCACCTCTGTTCGACAACATCGACACCCCCCTTTGCACGGCCGCTACCAATCATGATCGCCGCCGCCGCCGCCCTCTCCCTCCTTCTCCCCCTCGCCTCGGCCCACATGGGCTGCGGTGGCCACGAGATCGGTCGCCGTAACCACGGCGGCTCGCGTGTCCTCGAGCACCGCCAGGTCGCCAACAGCGTCGTCGGTGAGTATTCTTGTTTCTCTTTCTGCAGTGGTTCTTCCCAGTGGTCCGTTGGGTAGCGAGAGAGCGCGAGTATGGCAGAGGCTGGGGCGACGACATTCTCGGAAACATGCTCGAAACGGACCTGCGCGATAGTGGTCGGTGTAACGCCTCCCCGGAGCGAGCGTGCCGAAATCCAAACGCGGCGCCGCCCGGCGTTGCTGCTGGTGCTCGGGCCGTCTCTTGCGCATCGCCCACCGGCCTTGTCCATGGTATGGCGCCCATGCGTCGGCGATGGCCTGCGGCGTGGCACTCGACGCGCTCGCCATCCTCGGACGATGATGGAGAGCTATTGGAACAGTACCTGGTACCGGGTGCCGTATCGTCGTGGCAGTTGGAAGAAGCCTCGCACCACCTTCCGTTCGGCAACTCACTAGGATCGGCGTCGACCAATTGCTCGACCGTCGAGGACGTGCTGACGCCATCTAGACCCCACGTCGGAGTGCACGTACTACACCTACTCCCCCTGGGATGCCATCAAGTCCAGCTACCCTACCATCTGGGCGGCTGCCGACATTGTCGCCAACGACACTGAGGCGACTGCTCTTTTCGCCACCATCAACGCTTCGCTGAACGCTGCCCTCCCCGACGTCGCCGTCAAGGGTAACGGTGACCACACGGGTAACTGGGGAACCACCGACACCACCTACACCACCGACACTGACTGCTGGTGGACCTACGCCAAGTGCACCACGCCCGCGTCGTCGACCGGCCTCGCTGCCGACATTACCACCGTTCCCGAGCCCGAGACTTGGGGTCTTGGCTTTGACGACGGACCCAACTGCTCGCACAACGCTCTCTACAACTTCCTCTCGGAGCAGGACCAGAAGGCCACCATGTTCTTCATTGGCTCCAACGTTGTCGACTGGCCCGTCCAGGCTATCCGCGCCAAGGACGACGGCCACGAGATCTGTGTCCACACCTGGTCGCACGAGTACATGACCTCGTTCTCGAACCAGCAGGCCTTTGCCGAGCTCTACTACACCCGCAAGGCTATCAAGGAGCTCCTTGGCGTGACCCCCAAGTGCTGGCGCCCTCCCTTCGGTGACGTCGACAACCGTATCCGTTTCATCGCTGCTGCCCTCAACATGACTACCATTGTCTGGTCCGAGGACACTGACGACTGGAAGGTGAGTTTCTCTTTGTTTCCGGTGTGTGGAGAGAGGGTGGTTGGGTGCACGCGTCTCGGAGACTCCTCGTTCGACTGCGAACGCCCAGGGACTCGTTTGCGGTTTCCTGGGCTGCGGGAGTTTGTGTTGGCCGATCACCCATTGGATTTTTGCTCTGCGTGTTCTGGCCACAAACATGGGCTGCGGTTTCTGCCAAGACTTGCACAGCAAGCTGGCCGTTGAGCAAACCAGTTGGGAACCGAGTGGCGCAGTGGCAGTGTTTGTTGGCCGCCCCCTCCCAACTGCGGTGCCACATGCCCCGTTTTATGTGTCTGGAACACAACACACACACGTTGCAGATCTCCGCAGCGCCGTACCCTACACCCCTCCCACGCCATGTGTTGTCGTTTACTTGGCATAAACTGACGCTTGCTCTCCAGGTCGGCACTGACAACGTCACCTCGGCCGATGTCTCCGCCAACTACGCCGACTTCTGCGCCGCCGGCAAGAACGGCACCTACTCGACCTTTGGCCCCGTCGTCCTCAACCACGAGCTGAACAACTACACCATGCAGGAGTTCATTGACGTCTACCCTACCATCAAGGCCTCGTTCAAGTACATTGTCCCTATCGCCACCGCCCTCAACACCACCTACCCTTACGAGGAGACCAACGTCACCTACCCCACCTTTGCGCAGTACATTGGCGGCACCACCGAGACCAACGGCACCACTGCCTCGAACTCGTCGTCGTCGTCGACCTCCAACTCGTCGACCGCCTCTGGCGCGGCCGCTGCCGCCTCGACCTCGGCCAAGTCGGCCGCCTCGCAGGTCGCCGCCCTCCCCGTCATGGGCATGTTCGTCGCTGGCCTCGTCGCCACCCTCCTCTAGACGCCTGTACGGTGAACCTCTCCCCCATGCACATCGAACATTTTCCATCGTTGATCCATCTCATACCTATTCACGCACACAAGACCTGCCTGCCCTCGGTCGCACAGCGAGTGTGCTTATTTCTTTTGACCATAATTTTGTTCAAAGGGCCATGATCCCCTTGCCCCTTCCCAACCTTATTGGGATACTACTCGCATTGTAGCCAGCCATCCATGGACATTGCTCGCTGGCGGTGTGGACGCTCCGCCGGCGACATCGAATGCATCCGTTGAGATCAAGAAGATATTGGAAGCAGCTGTGACGGGTAGGTGCCACAAACCGCTACGGGATGATGTCTGTCGGAGTGGACACACGCCATCCCGAGGCGCAACGGTGTGCCTGTGAAATGAGTGCACAGAGTCACAGATTCGCACCACCGGCCACAGACAAGCCGTGGAGTGCATCTGGTTATCTGAGCCCGACTGTTTCGGCATGCCAAAAAGGTAAAACACCCAAAAAACCTAAAGGACAGTCCGCGCGAAATTTCGATGGGCAGGACAACCGCGACCCACACCGGACACCCTTGAGAACATTGGGAACAGCACGGACGAATGACGTCGTAATGTCGTTGGGTACCGTGTGCTGTTGCGCTGTTGTCCGTCCGTCCGATATCGGTGCGAAACATGTGGTCTAGATGGGGCCGGGGGTGTGTCACCCTACCCCCCCTCTCCCCCCGAAGCCGACCACCGTCGCCTCGCTCGCCCAGGATATCCGCCCGCGGTCCATCGCGCGACGGACGGACGCACTGCAGAAGAATTTGCGAACAGGCCAAAGACCACAGCGCTGGCGCGCTGGCTCCTCATCTGGGTTCCATGCATTACGCATTACAGCCCACTGGCCACGTGGCCACACGGCGTACCACACGCGTACGCCATGTGATCACGAGTGGCTCGTGGGATGGTACATGGGTCACAAGTCCGGGGCAAGCGCCGTGTAATAATATTGTCCGCCACAAGGGGCATGTGGAGTGGGAACGTAGAACGTAGACCTGCCTGTGTGTGCGTTTTCTGTATCCTGCCTGCCACCCACACGGTGTCGCCAGCGGCCTGCTGCCTGCGGCCTGCGTTGAATGCACGGACTCGAAGCTCAGCTCTGACGACGGTTCCGAGATGTGCGGAGGCGCGGAGGAATACTCAACGAGTTTCGGTTCAGAGAGGCTGTGGTATATTTGCGTTGAGCAGGTGCGCCTGCGTGTCATCTTTTTTTACGAGGGCCTTATTGCTGCATGCTACTGTGGATATTGACGAGAGGTGGGGATAAAGGACAAGCATCAGGCATACTGACCCACCAGATACACACCATCATAGACACCCGACGTTGCCACAGTACGCGAGCCGATCCTGCCACAGCATCCGAATATCCGCAGCAGGTCCAGCAACCATCATTATTATTTGCTTCCGTGGCCCCCCTTCCGTGACCGTTTGTCAGCCCCGCCACGGTGGTGCCGTCGGTGGGCGCGCGCATCACTACGACCGGCGTGCACGACCATTATCCATTCCACCTCCGCTCTCATCCTCCCTACCACCCCTCTCCTGTCCGGTATCCCGAAGCCTGTGCGGGCACTACAGCCCTCGCTAGGCATCCCGGGACATCCACTAGACAGCAACCTCCTTCCCCCCTCCTCCTCTCCGACCACACTCCGCCCCCCCCCCCCCCCCCCACCTCTTCTTCCACTCGTCCCCGCAATGCAGGGCCGGACCCGTGGCCATGGCGGGTGGACAGCGTGCCCGCCGTCACCCCCGCCCGTGCCGGTATCGGGCCAGCACCGAGAACGCGCAGGCGGCAACATGTCTCCGCCAACAAGCTCGGCGGCGACGCCGAGTCCCTCGGACGCTACGTACCCCGACGACGCTGCAGCGGCCGCGGCGCGCACGCTCGCGCTCACGATTCCCGTGCTCGGGTCAGCCAGCGCGCAAGCGCTCCCGCTCGCGTCGCCGTCCCACCTCGCCCACACGCATTCGCACACCCACTCTCTTTCGCACTCGCATTCGCACTCGCCGCACAACAGCATCTCGTCCAGCACACATACCGTTGCGCCCGTTAATATCCCGTCGCAGGCCTTGTCGCCACCTACACCCGCGCCAAGCCCGACCCCGACCGAGCGCTGGAGCTATGGCCCGCTGCACGTCGGTGACGACGAGGATGAGGATACAGAGGACGCTGGTGAGTAGTGTGTACACCAAGGCACAAACTGCGTGCCGTGCCCCCCATTGTTCTACCCAACTGACGCTTCTGTCAAAGAAGGCGCCAACGACCTGCTGACACGGTTCCGGACGCTGGCCAAGGACGAGCGGTTCGCGTTCCTGTCCTCGCTCGTGTCCGAGCTGCAGCTCAACGAGGCGCTGGTGGTCTCGAGCAAAATCGCCCCACGGCTCAAGCGCGATTTCCTGTCCGACTTGCCCATCGAGCTCGCTCTGCACTGCGTGAGCTTTATCGACGACGCACGCACCCTGGGCCGCTGCATGCGCGTGTGCAAGTACTGGAACGAGCTGCTCCAGGACGAGCGGTTGTGGCAGGACATGCACGACAAGCAGCTGTACCGTCCAACCCTGCCGCTTTCAAACGTGCCCCACCCGCCCCCCTCCGTGGCGGCCGTCACCAGCACGGCGTCGGGCAGTGGCAAGAAGGACCCTGCTCCTCTCCATTCATCCTGGGCTCGCGGGTTCTCTTCGCGTGGCGCGGCGCACCGCGCGCTCCAGCAGCCCCGCACGTTCCGTGACAAGTTCCGCGACGCATACCTCACCGAGGCCAACTGGCTGAGCGCAGGCAGGCTGCTCACAACGCACTCGAGTATGGGCGACAGTGTTGTCACGTCTTTGGTCGTCAATGACGAGTTTATCGTTATTGGCATGGCAAACTCGAAGATTCACGTGTTCGACGTCACCACTGGCCACTACCGCCAGTCCCTGCTGGGGCATGAGCTTGGTGTGTGGGCCCTCGTCCTTGTCTCGCCGCGCAAGGCCAACGACCGCCGCTTTGAGCAACCCCAGCCCAAGCGCTGGGAAGACGGTAGTCGCCGTGCCAGCTTCTCGTCGGCATCGGCAAACGGCAGTTCCAACCCTCCCTTCCGCTCCAACTCGGCGGCGGAAAGTGATCGCCGCCCGTCACGCCTCACCAAGCGCATGCGGTCCAGCGACGTGTGTGGCGCCGCGGCAGGCTGGGGCCTCAACCGCACCCTCGTGGTGTCGGGTGGCTGTGATCGCGAGGTCCGCGTGTGGGACCTTGCGACGGGCGAATGTGTCTTTTCGCTCCGTGGCCACTCGAGCACCATCCGCTGCCTCAAGGTCCTCGATGGCCGCCCCATCGCCGTCTCTGGCTCGCGCGACTTTACGCTCCGCGTATGGGACATTGACCGTGGGCGCATGCTGCGAGTGCTTGCGGGTCACGACCAGAGCGTGCGCTGTATCGAGGTGGCCGGTAACCAGGTTGTCTCGGGTTCTTACGATTACACTTGCCGCGTGAGTTTCAACTCCTCGACGTCATTGGGTTTCAACTGACATTTCCAGCTCTGGGACATTGACACGGGAGAGTGCCTCCAGGTCTTTGAGGGCCACTACCACCAGATCTACGCGGTGGCGTTTGATGGCGAGCGCGTCGTGTCGGGCTCGCTCGACTCGACCGTCCGCGTCTGGGATGCTGGCTCAGGGTGAGTTTGACCTACCCGACGATAAGTCTTTCTAACTCTTTCAGTGAATGCCTCGCCATTCTCCAGGGCCACACCTCGCTGGTGGGCCAGCTCCAGCTCTCAGGCGACCGCCTCATCACCGGCGGGTCGGACGGGCGCGTGATCGTCTTTGACCTGAACGACTATTCCTGCGTACACCGTCTCTGCGCACACGACAACAGTGTCACCTGCCTGCAGTTTGACGACCGTTTCGTCGTGTCGGGCGGAAACGACGGTCGCGTCAAGCTGTGGGATGTCCACACGGGCACGTTTATCCGCGAGCTCACCCGTCCTTGCGACGCGGTCTGGCGCGTCTGCTTCCGCGACGACAAGTGTGTCATCCTCTGCCAGAGGAACGGCAAGACGGTGCTCGAGGTCCTCGGGTTCAGGCCGCAGGACGAGAAGATCACGCCGGGTTTCTCGCGAACCCCGGATTGGTAGTGTCACACCGATCCACCGCGTGCCGCCGCCGTGGCGAACGTACATCCCCCTCCCATCAATTTAACAACTGCACCGAACCCACCACCCGCACCACCACCCATCCCCCATCCCTGGCCCACTCATACATCCCATCCCCATCCCCATCCCCATCCCCATCCCCACCCCCCACCTCCCCCACCCAACGAACCCCACCCACGCTACGGAACGTACGGCGCCATTATACGCCACTGTCCCGCGTGCACATCCGGTCCGTCTGTACCTGTTGAACAACACCCTTTTTACAGCGTTTATGCCATGTTGTCCTTGTTATACGCGCAATTGAAGTGGGGAGCGGTACATTGCATCTTTGTGGCAATGACTTGTCTGGCCTAGTGACAGAGGACTGTCAAAGCTGCACAAGACGAGTGGCATCGTAACCTGCCCGCCTGCCTCTCTGTAGCCATTTGCAAAGAGATGAGGCCGGTGGTGTAGGTGAGAACTGCCCTAGGCCTTGCATGACCACTTGCATGACCACGTGTGTTGGTCTAGCAGCACAAGACAGCGGCCACAGTGAATGGAGCGACAAGTTGCCTTGTAACCTCCCACTCTGCCTCTCTGAGCCATTTGCAACGAGCCGGATGTCCTCAAATTGAACGGCGGTGTCAGTGAGCTATGTCTAGCTAGAACTTGCATGACCGCATGTCTCGGTCTATGCAGGTCATAGTTCCCGTGTGCCGGCTATCTTTCTTGCTTGGTCTATGGATCTATGGTCATGTTCCGGTGTGCCGGCTATCAGCATCAAGTCTGTGATGTGTGATTTGCGCACGTCAAGTGAAGCCACTCGCTTGGGTTTGGAAAGAGGGGAGAAGGACGAGGTTCAGTGCGGGACCGGCGCTGAGAAAGCGCTGAGAGGCTAACAGCGCCGTCATAGGCGCCACTGGCCACTGGCCACTGTGGGGGCGATGGGGGGGGTTGACTATTTGCTTTGTCGCCTCGGCGCTTCTCTGCGCTCTGCGCTCTGCCAAGCGGGCCCCTTCCTCCCTCCTGTCCGGCGACTGGCACGTTTGCAAATGCATACGTATACGCAGACTCTGCTCACGATGGCCATCTGCCCGCACATGACCAGTAATGGGCCGAGACATATGGTCAAACCCGGTCGGTGGACGGTCATCGATCCCCGCCTGCACCCCAACCCGAGAAACACATAGAGAATCGACGAAAGCATTTCGTCCATTCCGTCTATGTGTTTCTCCAAAATCTCCACCTGTTCGATGACATGGAGCACTCCACAGATGCGTTTGGGGGTGCATTCAACCGGGTGCGGGGGCACGCAAGTGTAACCTTGTGGAGGAGTACATTTGCGTGTATGCATGAGGACGGTAGGGGCCGCCCGTCGTGATTGTCGGTTTGTGGGCATGGTGGATTATGACGACTGGGGCGCGCACAGTAAGTGTACCACAGAGTGCCCGCCTCTCTGGTGCATCTAGGATTCCCGTGCCGTTTACCCGTGGCCCGTGGGGAACGCTCGTGGATACGGAATGGGGACATTGTACGCGTGTGCGTGCATGCGCTTCGGTGTGGGAGTTCGGCCAGATGTGTTGGCGGAGGATGTCGAACTGGTCTGCGACAAGACGACGTTGTCGCGGTCACTAGGCCGGCTATGGCGGTGATTAGTCACCACGCACCGTATTCTTATTCAGAAAGATAGAACAAGGACGTTCTAGAATTCGAGGCGTGTTCCACGTACCGCGTGGGCCCCTCTTGGCATCTCGGGATACGTGGCTCACAGCACTCCATATCGTACTCTCTGTAAAGCCTGTGATCCTGTGAACGGGGGGGTGAGGGGTTACAGCCCCAACGGAATCCCATGCACACACGATCTCACCATCGGTGACGTCATTTACTTTTTCCGAGTCGTTCAATCTCCCGTGTAGAGTCCATGTCACATGTACATCTCCAGCGGAGTGGATGAGTCCTGTACGTACTGTACGGCTATCTAGCAGGCGCCGCATTGTCCTTGGCATACACTCACCCATCTACTCACTGCTGGTGGTCAGTTATAAGAACATCCAACCGCATCGACTGTCGAGGCGTGTCCATATCTGAATTCACATCGAGTCCCTGCTACTCACCATCCTCGACAACATGTCGCTCCCAACAACCATGAAGGCCGTCATCCAGCCTTCCGCAACCTCACACGTCCTCGAGGAAAAGACACTCCCGGTTCCCACCCCGACGGCCGACAGCTATCTCATCCACGTCAAGACCACCTCGCCTTGCCCAGGTGAACTGGACTGGGAAGCGTGGTTTGCCGCCATCTACCCTCCTGGCGGACTCGAGCCCGATAACCGTGTACCGGGTACCGAGGGCGCAGGCGTCGTAGCTGCGCTCCCCACCAGCGGCACGCCGACTTTTGCTATCGGCGACGAGGTCTTCTTCCGCATCGACGCCGTCCTCCCGGGCGCCATGAAGGACTACACCCTCGTCCCCGCCATCAACGTCGCGCCCAAGCCCAAGTCTCTCAGCTGGGCCGAGGCGGGAGCCACAGCGCTGTCATCGTTGACGGCGTGGCAAGGTATCTTTGAACACGGCACGCTCGATCCCGCCGCCCTAGCGTTGGGCGCCGACACCGAGACCGCGGACGCGGCTCGCAAGAGCAACTCGACCCAGCGCGTGCTCATCACCGGCGCATCGGGATCAGTGGGCAACTGGGCAGTCCAGTTTGCAGCTGCGGCCGGAGCCCACGTCGTGGCCGTGTGTAGTGGTGCCAAGGCTGCCGCTGCCACAAAGGCGGGAGCCGCCGAGGTCATCGACTACACGACGTCGAGTGTGGGCGAGTGGGCAAAGGGCGGGAACGAAGTGGACTTGATTTTCGACGCGGCCCCAACCAAGCCCGGCGATACGGGCCCGATGGCCCAGCTCTGGTCGGCGATCAAAGATGGCGGCACCCTTCTTTCTGTCGTGAACGACCCCAACTCTGGCAAGCCCTCGACTGCGACCCCGTTCAAGAACCATGTCAAGGCCCAGTGGTTCCTCGTGACGCCGCGGGGATCGGACCTAGCCCGCATTGGGCAGCTCGTCGATGGACGCGACTGGAAACCGATGCTCGACAGCGTCGTGCCTTGGGGGCAGTACACGGACGCGTTTACGCGCGTCGACGAGGGGCGTGCGCGCGGCAAGGTCGTAATTACTGTCAATGTCTAAGGTCGTAGCGCGCGAGTTGAGCAGGGAGCAGCGGTGTGACATGCACGCGATCACGACATCGACGACGGACGGAGCTGTGCACAGAAACAAGGATCTTGGTTGTCGACATGGAGACGACCAGCTGCGGGGGGGAACGGGGGAGAGAGGGATCGAGGGAGCCTGTGTTCCACCAATTCCGCAAAAGGAGGTCTATGCTGAATATTGTCAGACAAGTGCGCGCGGGCCGTCACAAAGGCCACGAGGCGCAGCCACTGCATCAAGAAGAGTGCCGAATGGCCCGCAGTGACACAGCCGCAAGATGCCGCCACCCGACTGGTCGGGGGTGGTGTTTTTTGCTGTTTTAAAAGCGCAGCCTCACTCACCTCGTGTAAACTCGCGCAACTCGTAACTCGCGGAAACCGGAAAGTCCATCAACAAAGGGTCCAAGGCTGCTTTCTTTGTGTGGGTTGGGATTGGGAATCAGGCAACGTCAATATGCGCGGAATGTCGGAAACGATCGACACCGGAGGGAGTGGGCGCCATTTCCCCGGGGCACTGTTCTTACTTTTTTAATAGAGCGGGGTGACTACACGCACTCGCCGGAGCAGCCGACGTGATCAGGACTCTGCGTGTGCTGCTTTGTTTCTCCAGCTTGATTTGTTCAGAGGGCAGAGCCCCGGCCGGCCCACAGAGGTACAGAGGAGAGCTTTAGGCTTTGAATGGGATGGCGGACGGCGGTTTCGGGGACCTGAATGGTCAGGACAAAGACAAACAGTTTATCGGCCCGATTCATAAATCGACCCTGGCCAGAGCACGGGACTGCGCCTCCCACAAACTCCCATTCCTTTTGTGATGTCGTATGGTTGTCCGTTGGATCACTCCGCAGCAGCGCGCTGCACGGGTACTCTCTAGTCGTCTCTAGTCGATTTTCGATCCCTCCTCGCCACCCGGGACATGGGAGCATGCAAAGATGGGGCCAAGTCGAGGCGGGGCACAGAGTGAAAAGGAGAGGGTGGGACGCACAGGAGGCGGAGGCGCAGTCGCAGTCGCAGGTCACGTCGGTCGGGCGCGCCCCCCAGCGAGATGCCCCCGATGGCGGGCAGGGAAGTGGGCGTTTAGACTCACATCGAGGTATGGAGGGAGCCGGGGCAAGGAGGGGCAGTGGGGGGCCATCGACTGCCAAGGCTTGTGGGGATGGGTCCGAGCGTGTACTGGAACTGTACTAGCCATAGTTGGGTTGGGTGGCAGAGTCACAAATATTTGTGTGTGAGTGTGCTGGTGCACTAGGCGAGGGGAGCGTGGTGGTCCACAGGTCGACATGTTTGAGTCCCCCGTTGCTTCTGAAGATAAGGTCGGGCCGCTTGGTGAACACGCTAGTGGATGAAACCTACCGCGGACCAGAACTTGGCACCGCCACAAAAGTATCACAAGAGGGCCGAATGCCAGTTTTCGACGACGTGATGAGTTAGTTCCACTGAGAAGGAGCTACGCTGAGAAGGTGCCACTCAGTCGAGTGCTTGCGAGGCAATGGTAACAGTGCAGATGTTAGTCGTGTTAGTCGGCTGGTGGCCAGTGACGACGATCAGTACTGCTGCCAGAACCCAGCCAAGGCGGAGAGCAGGTCTGCATACCCACAACCCTAAAAAGATCAACATCACTCAAATCCACTTTAGAACTTAATAACCACACGACCCGGCCTCCTCCACCGCCCAACATTACCCGGGTTCTGATGTTTGAAAGAATGGCGAAGTCGCCGACTAGTTGGCGATGAAGCCACCCTCGGAGACGACAATCTTCTTGTACATCTTCGAGGCCTTGACGGGGTGGGGCTGCTCGTAGATCCAGTCGAGCTCCTCGAGCGAACGGCCCTGGGACTCGACACAGAGGAGGTACCAGAGGACAGCCTGATACAGTCAGCAATCTGAAAGCCCCGCAAAAAAATGATTGCCCTAATGTTACTCACCTCAACAACGTCCCATCCGACGAAGACGTAGATGTACTTGTAGCCGAGGTTCGCGAGACCGATGGGGCCGGCGAACTGGTTGATGAAACCGATGGCAGAGACGATGAAGCCCGAGGCGGCGAGACCCTTGGCACGCATCGTGGTGGTAAGAGACTCGACGGGAAGGACACCCTGGAGAGGGGTGTAGGTGAACGAGTACATGCAGTTGAAGAGGAAGTAGGCGGCAAGGGCACCCTGGGCAACCGAAGAGGAGACGCTGCCGTCACCACGGTGGGTCTGGCGGTCAAGGACAGCCGAGAGACCCGAGTTGATACCGAGGAGGACGGCACACATGAGGGTACCGGCGGGGAGGATGGCACGACGGGGCATGCGGTCGGTGATCGAGGCGGCCGAGAGAGCGCAGATGGCCGACACGACCTGGTTGAGGAGGTTGTAGCCGAGCTGCTTGGCGACCGAAGTGATACCAAGGTTGTTCTGTAGGGATTGTCAGTCACATGTAGAGGAGGTCGATGTTATGGATTGTGGCGCGGTGAGGGAGGCGTAGTGCGACCACATGACCAGATTGGGAGATCAAGAGACAAGCTCTCACTCCGCAGGCTTTCACCGCCAGAGGCAGATCCGTCCGTATGTGCCAGTGAGGCGCCTCCCCGCAGAGCTCCCCGCGCCTGTGTGGAATGCGCGGAACACCGCTGCGGACGGAGGCGCTGCCCCCGGGCATGGGCGCGAGGAATGTCTAGAGGAGACGGGCAAACTCCTCCGCCACGCGACCGCCTCTCACCACCGCGACTAATCTTTCCATTGTTGTGGTACTCACGTAAATGACAGTGTTGAAGTAACCAAGACCGTTACCGGAGAACTGGCCGAAGATGGAGATCATAAGGACCTGAGTCATACGCCAGCGACCGCCACGGGTGAGGAAGAGCGGGCGGTAGTCCCACCAGCGCTTGTCGATGCCGTCCTGCGAGATGGAAGCCTGCATCTCCTTGAGCTCGAACTGGACGAGGGGAGCGTTGGGGTCACCGTTGCCGTGGTACTTGGTGAGGAAAGCGTGGGCACCCTCGACATCACCGTTGGCGATGAGGTAACGGGGGGACTCGGGGATGACGAAGACGAGGCCAATGACAATGAAGCAGGCAACGGCCTGGAAGATGACGGGGAGACGCCACGAAAGGTTGGAGTTGATGTACGAGGTACCGAAGGTGACGGCGGCGGCGGGAATCGAGCCACCGAACCAACCACAGTTGTAGATACCGGTGCAGCGACCACGCCACTGGGGAGGGGCAATCTCCATCGAGTAGGCGGGGGCAGCCACAGTCATGATGGCGATACCGAAACCAAGGATGAAACGGCCAACAATGAACTGGGCAATGTGCGAAGAAGTAGCCATGATGATCATGCCGACAATAATGACCCACGAGCCGGCGAACATGGCCTTGCGACGACCGTACTTGTCGGAAAGGACAGCAGCGAAGGGGGCACCGATCATGGAACCGACAGTGTAGAGAGAGAAGACGGTGCCGATGAGCGCACCAGTGGTCCCGACGTTGAAGGTCTGCTGGAAGTGGGGCATGGCCTCAATAGCAGTCATAAGCGAACCGTCGTAACCGTTGGCGAAAGCACAGCAGCACGAGCAGAAGACGGAAACTAGTAGACAAGTTAGCACGTTTATCTTTTCGGCGCCGATCCCCGCCACCACCCTGCGGGAGGGTGACGTTGTCGGAGTCTTTCTGGCTGATCACTCACGGTAGAGCTTGATCGAGGTAGCACTCCAACGCTGAATGTTGGAGCTGGCGATGACCGCGGCGAGGTCATCCTGCAAGTGATGTAAGCTGCTGATGGCATGGCAATGTGCACGGCCCCCATGTCGCTGGAGGCAAACAGACGTTGAGAGAGATACTTACCTGATCGCCGCCGTGCTCGGGCTCCTTGTGGTCGAGGTGAGCTGCCGCATCGCGGTCAGATTTCTCGAAGTCGGACATGTTGTGAAAGATGTGAGCTATGGAAGAATGAAGCTCGAAGTTGGGAGGTTGGGTTTCTTGACGTCTGGTCCTCGATCCCTTTTATCGTCTCGCGAACAAGTCAAGGTTGGCCATGGGCACGGTTGCCGGAGGGAGGTTGTTCCCATACGCGGCCCGCAAAGATTGCGCGCGCGCGGCTCCGCCGGTGGCCGCCCGCGCTGTCGGCGCATCTCGTCGGTACGTCAGGCGCAAGGCTGGTGGTGCAAGCATTGACATTGTGGGCGTGCAGGTCAGTCGGCCAGACCGTGGGGCAGGGGTGTGAGGCCCCAGCTGGGGGTGTGAGGCGGCCAGGGTTGCAAACGAGGTGTTCCAGCGCGCACCACCGCGGGGGCCTGCCTGCTCGCTGCTCGTGAGGCTGACCCAGTTGGCCAGTGGGCCAGTTGGCCCCCCGGTACCCCCGTACACCCGAGAGCCCGGCACGCCGGAAGACAAGAAAAAAAGAAAGCCGAACGTGCACTCCGCGGCTGGGTGGCGGATGGCGCCGGACGCCACGTTTGGCATATGGAAGAAGGGGCCGATGCTAGAGTTGGGAATGCTTGGCGGCCCTTTCACGGTCACACCGTTCGTCAGGTGTCTGTTGTCTGGTGCTATAATCAGCCCTGTAACACGTCCCAGTGCGATTAAGGACGGGTCTCCCAAGCTCCCAAAGCCCGGCCACGCGCGAGTCGGCCCTCATAACTCATCCCCCATCTGGCCATCTCGCAGGCACAACCCTGGCGGCGGAAAACCACATGTGGCAGCCAGGACCACAATGTGGGAAATGGCCCGAATTCTCGCGTCGTTGAAAACCCAGATTGTTCGTCCATCCCGAGTCCTGTCGGGTCCGCACCCATGGCTCCGCGGGGCCACTGATGCACTGATCCATTGATCTCGCGCACGAAGACGAAGACTGCAAAGGGCGCGGAGGAGCCACCGGGTCTGACCAAAAGATGAACGCCACCTTGTGGACAAAGCCTTGTTGTGGGCGGGCATCCGGTCAGAGTACACTCTCTGTACTCGTGTGCGAGCCCGTGCACATCCGCATGCCAATTTGGCAACCAGCTGACCATACGTCCAAGTCGAGTCCTCCTTTCTTGTACGTGGGTGGCGCTCCTTCAGCTGGACTCCCCTCAGCCACGACCACAGTGACCCGCTCTTGGGTGCCGCAGAGAGTCAAAGCTCACACCTGGCCGCCACCTAAGGTGATCTTGATCTACCTGCGGCCCGCAAGGTGCTGCCGGGAACCAGTGCGAGTGCAGCTTGGTCTGCAAGTTGTTTTGTGGAGCGGCTCCTTCGAGCGGCGCCGTCGACCAAACGGCGCTCCACACCCTCCTCGCCCCCGTCGCGCTCTCGCTCCCTTCCTGCGGAGTGGACGCGATAGGTACATCACTTGTCCCTGCCACCCCTCGCAACTCCTCCCCGCAACCCCCGCAGTCCGTGTGCGTCCGATTCCAGGCAAGAGCCGTCAATTCCGAGCGGGGGCGGGGAAAAAGAACCTACGCAGTAGGTCTTCTGTCGCGGATCGTTGCTGCTACCTCAGCAGTGGGTGGTCGTGGACAAACAATCAGCATCAGCATCACATCACGGGTCACATATTTCTCGGGCCGATAATGAGCCGGCGTGCCGGTGATCCGCTGACAGCAGCTCAGGGATCGATACGCGAAATATGCGAGCGTACCCGCCCACATGTCCGTCTTATGCCCTCCGTGGTTCCTGTGGCAGGCAGCTGAGAGCGGCAACGACGATGCATGTGCGACGCAGTCTTGGTCTTCTCGGCTTCCAGCGCGAAATGGCACGAATAAGTTGTTGGCAGCAAGCATGGTTTTGTGGAGAGATGGGGTCCCGACGTGCCGCGATTGCAGAAACGGGCCATTCGGATATTAGGGGATATAGGGCCATTTCTGTTAGGCATGCCTTGACTCGAGTGGCCTTTCCTACTCACCAGGCATGCTACCAAGTATCTCTGGCAGGCGGACATGCTCCCTTCTCCTTGTCAGCAGCGTCATATGTCACCGCGACGTATCATGTTGTCTTGTCGCCCCGCACTGTGTTACGGGGTCAATGACGCTGACGTTGCGAGGACCCCAGAGCCCCGCACTCCTACAGACTTACATTGGCCCCCTTACCCTTACTGAGTCTCCTTTCCTCATCCTCACGTATAACTTATCCCCGACAGTGAGTACCAGAAGCTACGAGTGGACAACACCGGTCGTCTCGCCAGTGGGCCAGTGTACAAGATGGCGCCACTCGTAGTCAATGTGCCAAGTGTGGCCAGAGCTGACCCCACGCTACTTGCTCGACGCCACCCGCCTTTGCCTCCACCTGTCAACCTCCACATGGCGTCCCTTCATATGCCATCTTCCCTACGTTCTGTCCAGTGCGTGAAAAGTGGAAGAAGAAACGTATGCGGAAGCTTCGCCGCAAGCGCAGAAAGATGAGGAAGCGCTCTAAGTAGGTCTCCTTACCACCCACACTCGTTTTTGTATGTGGTGACTTATTCGGAAGGTAACTTGCTCGACAAACACCGCCTAACCTCTGTGGCGTGTCACTGCCCGTCGATCCCAAAGGCCACTGGTGGCGATTACCATCCGTCCAAGACTATACAGGCAACAAGGAGGGTGTCATCGGGTAGAGGCGCCATAGGGGCGCAAGCGTAGGGCGGATACCGAACGAGAATGAATCTGAATGAACTCACTGGCGTTGCCGTGGTCTCGTCACCAGGGTGCCCCATCAATTTCCCGACACATCCATGGGATCCATGGTGTTCCATCTTCTCACGTGCGTGTTGCACCTGACTACCGCTGAGGCACTGTGCGCCGGAAAGTGGAAAACAATTCTCAGAAGAGCGGGGCACTTATTTATAACATTTAAACTGCGCCGAAAACAGGGAATGGGTCATCAGCGACGACGTCAGCTGGCGACGCCGTCCGCTGCTCCCTTACATCACTGCGGAGGCGTGAGTGCCACATCAAGTTCTGAATATGCATTACTGGGGCTCAACGTGTAGTAACTCCCCGCATGTAGCCCTTTTACCTGCGATGCCCGGTTTCCGGGTGCTCCTTTTATGACTTGGCTTTCTCTTCCATCTCCTTGTCCGTAAGACGGTGTGGAGAGGGACCAACTGCTGTGCAGAAACAACCGACTGCTAGCCCGTATCTCTTCACTCTTATCGCTTATTTGTATTTTAAATGGGCTAACGTTGATCTTTTATCAAGCGCAGTTCTTCTTTACTTCCTCCTGGATCGACGTTTGAACCTGTATGTGCAGGGCATTGGGACGACGCACTCCACCGCTCAACGGTGGCTTTGTTGGAACCACCCTTCGGATAAACCGCGGGTATGATGTCGGAGAATGAACTGATAAAGGCCAGTTAATATAATCTTGGAGTTATGGTCCACTTTAGCATATCATGCACTCGTAAACGATCGACCAGTAGCCAGAGCCAGGCGGCGGCAGTAATCACAGCCTTAATCCAGTTCAGTATCTGTGGGCTTGCAACTCACATCTGGATTCATACGCATTTGTGAATCCAGACAGATGTGATGCAACATATGGCACAGACACCACATACCTGCCAAATTTCATGGTGCCCGCGCGCCGCCTGTAGAACGAGGATAGACGCAAGCCGATACGTACAATCGATCAATAATTGCCGCAATAGCAATAAGATGGTCGCCTACCACTGTCCAGTGGTAGGATTTATGTGTAGCCCCCAGAAGGATTCGACCCCCGGCACCCAGTAGATACCGGTTCCTAGCCCTTGCCCATCCTGGAATCGAACCTAAAGTTGTCCTTGTCACCAGAGCACTTTAACGTGTGTGCCAACGCGACCATCTTTCTGATCTGGAGGGGAGATTCCTTATGACCTGTTCAAATGTCCGGAAGACTGTTGAGATTACGTAACCACTTGCGCCACTGCAGTGTGGCACCGAGCTGACCGGAGAACGAGGGTACTGCACCAATGCTGCTCTTTCTGCTTCTTCATTGTCCTCGTGCTTCTCTGTAGTGCTCGGGCCTCCCTTCTGTGTGCATATAAGCAGCTCTGTAGACGCCTATGCATCCCCATCCTCTTCTGAAAGACAAACTGCCAGCTTAAGACCATCGGTCTCGGGCGCTAAACGGCATCAAATCCCAACAGAAGACTATTGCAACAGACAAATAATAGTAAACGGCCAAATAATAATATTTTGTAATGGTCAAACACGTGACCTGGGATGTGTGGAGGTGGTCCAAGCCGTGAATATTGTTGTGTTTGGACGGCACATGTAGCACATCTAACATCACCTTGTCCCCATCATCAAACTACCAATGGTGCGTTTATCCCTCTGTACCATTGCTAACCGCACAGAGTGTGGAAGAAGATGTGCGTAAACAGATCAACTGTACCTCCTCGGATCCAACAAGCTGACATGACGCGTTCCCGCTCCTCGTCCTCTCTCCGCCGTTCAATATTCTGACCTTCAGCACGCCTCCAAGCGCGCCCGCCCCAACGTCGGGTCGGCTCTCAAGCGCGGTACCCCTGGCCCAGACTATGAGAAGGGTGTCAAGTACTGGGAGGACATCGAGGCGACCGTCGACGGCGTTCTTGGTGGTTTCGGCAATGGCGTGAGTTCGAGAACTCATTCGTGCGCCAAGGTTACCGCTGACTCTTGCCTCCAGCCGGTTCCCCACATTGAGCAGCTTTCATCGCGTTTGTTCCTTCTCGCGGTTCAGCCGCAACTCCACACCTTCGCCTCCCCTCTGACGCCCAACCCCACGGCCCGCCCTCCTTACCGCCTGACGGCCCTCGACGTGGGCGCCGGTATCGGCCGCGTGACCAACACCGTCCTCCTGCCCCTGTTTGACGACGTCGTGGTTGCCGAGCCCGTCGAGCACTTTGTAGAGGAGGCTTACCGTGCCGCCGTTGTTGGCGAGTGGCGTGAGATGCCCCGCCTGGTGGGCAAGATCCGTGACGAGGCCGAGGCCAAGGAGAACGACCGCCGCGTGGCCGAGTTCAGGAAGGGCCGCGGCAAGCGTGTCTGGGCTGTGCGTGCTGGTCTCCAGCACCTTGACCCATCTTTCCCCGTGCGCGGTGTCAACAATTCCAGTGTCGGTGTTGTTGGCGAGGCGCGTGATGGCACTGTCGACCACTTTGGCGAGGAGGAGCAAGAGATGCACTTCGACGCGTAAGTGCAGCTGCCAAGAGGCTCTTGAGCTGACATTGCAGCATCTGGTGCCAGTGGTGCTTGGGTATGTACCAGCTTGGTCACCCACGGCGATGTGTAGCTGACAGCCAGGCCACATGACCCACGACGAGCTCGTGTCGTTCCTGCGCCGTGCGAAGGCCTCGCTCCGTCAAACGCCCGACATGAGCGACGACGACTCGTCAGCGTACGGCCCTGCGGTTATTATCGCCAAGGAGAACGTCTGCGAGGACCAGCCCGATGGCCGTGCCAACGAGTTCCTGGACGAGGAGGACTCGAGTCTGACCAGGTGGGTGGAGCTTATGGACGAAGGAAACGGTGTGGGCTAACAATCAGGTCCAATGGCAAGTGGCTCGAGGTGTTTACTGAGGCCGGTCTCAAGGTTGTCAAGGAGGAGGTGCAGCATGGTATGCCCGACGAGCTCTTCACCGTCAAGACGTAGGTTGTTTGTCCGTGTGCAAGTAGTGGTGGCTGACGGCGCGTGTAGCTGGGCTCTCTGTTGATCTGGCACTCTTTTTTGTATTCTGTGGTAGTAACACCTTGTTATGCCGCGATCCCTGGTACTCTTCTTCCTTGCACTCGTTCATCGTTGCTATTATCTCTTGATCTGTGATCTGTGAACTCTGTGACGTTCTTTGTATGCATCAACAGTGGCCTTCGGCCACTGGCCGCTGGCCCGGCTGTGGCCGGAAGGTGGGCTCTCGCCGGTCGCTGCTAAGCCACGTGGTCCAAGTCACGATTTTTCTTTGTCGGTGATTAAATTCTTACGTCCGATTTTGATCCCGTGGTCACCAACCCCCAGGACCCTGCGTGTGGGTTCGCCAGTGCGGTGTGCGGCAGCCTGGCGCAACCTTACAGCGGCGTCCGTCTTGTTCCATCCATCCAGCAAGACCAGTCTCGTGAGCCCCCAGCACCTACACCGCCGACACCAGCGCTGACCACGCCGTTCTCCTCGTGATCGCCTATCCCGACATTTCGCGTTTGTCTCGTTTTCGTCGTGTCCCAAAACTTGTGACCGGACGCAAATTCTTCCCCCCTCCCCCCATAATCTTTCGATCCGACTTGTCACTTTGACATTTCTCCCCACTTTACGAACCGCACATACAGTCAAAATGGCGTCGACCATCCCCATCGTTAAGAAGCGCACCAAGGCGTTCAAGCGCCACCAGTCGGACCGCTACCACGGCGTTAAGGAGTCGTGGAGGAAGCCCAAGGGTATCGACAACCGCGTGCGTACGCTCGGGAGGTGGACAAGGACGAGCAGGGAGCTTGGAGAGAGGGAGGAGAGCGCGCGCACAGTGCTGGACGGACGAGTGCGCGCGCGAGGACGAGGGAGCAAGAATGCTGGAGATTGTGTGCGCAGGCTTCAATGCCTGAGCGTATGATCGACGTTTGGGACTGGGTCCCAAATCTTCCCAGTTCCAGCAAAACTTGCTCCGAGTTCGTCAAGCTCCCTCTTGCATGCTCTCTGCTCGTTGCCCTTGTCCACCCACAGATGAGACAGATGAGAACGGTATTCTGACTTTCTGTGCAGGTTCGTCGTCGCTTCAAGGGCCAGCTTCCCATGCCCAAGATCGGTTACGGTTCGAACGCCAAGACCCGCCACCTGATCCCCTCGGGCCACAAGGAGCTCCTCGTCAACAACGTTGCCGACCTCAACCTCCTCCTCATGCACTCGGGCAAGTACGCCGCCGTTGTCGCCCACGGTGTCTCGTCGAAGAAGCGCATTGAGATCGTCCAGCGCGCCAAGATCCTCGGCGTCAAGGTCACCAACGCCGCTGCCAAGCTCCGCACTGAGGAGGCCTAGACGATGGGCGATGTATGAGTGGTTGCATATACGCAAAACGGGGCATGCCACGCATGCGAGACATGGAGACATGACACACTGGCAAACTGGAGGGCTCGAGTCTGCGGGACCGTGACCCGGGCACAAGACTGATCGTCGTCAGGGGAAAAAACTGATCATCGCAAGAATAAGGGCTCTGCATCCATGGATCGGGAGAGCTGTTATCGTGACCGCTGGCCCGTCGAGTGTCCGGACGTCACATGTGGTGTCCAGGACGACGGGACATGAGAATATGAGGACCAGCGGCGTCGAGGCTGCAGCGAACGCATCACCTGTGCCGGCTATCGGCGTAGGCGTCATGCGTGTGCTGCTTCAACCTGCCTCAGAGTCTGCACTGCGTAAGCTAGGCTGCGTGCCGCCGGTTACGTCTTGCCTATGCCAGCGTACGGTGGTACCGTGAGCTTCGAACGTTTGGGCAGATCTGACTGCGGGGGTGCGAAAATTGCCCTGAGGCCAGTCACTGTCACTGAATGTGGCACACGTTTTCTTGCAAGTCTGTCTCTGTAGACTTCGCCGGCCTGCATAGCTGCTGACACCATTGCTATCCTCGGTTACGAGACCACATGTACGTCGCCCAGCTGTTCTTCATTTGGCGTGTTGTCTGTGTTACTTCTGTAACACTCCCCCACTACTGACTGCACCTTGGGGCGACGGGCGTGGTACATGATGTTGATGCTGGACAATGGTGACAGCATCATCGGCATCACCGACATCACCGGCCACGCAGTGCAGCAGGCTGGGGACGATCTCGTTTCTGGCGGTGTTGGACACCTGGTATTCAACGTTGAAGGCGATCTGGTAGCACGACACCACGCAGAACGTGGAACGCGAGACGGGCATGCCTACCTGTTGTTTTGTTGGGTACATATCGACCTTGCGGGAGCTTACAGTAAGACGTTCAAGCAGTTCATGCCAGTAACAGGGAAAGAATGAGAATGAGGCGAGTTTTCAACCATTGTCGCGCATCAATCATAGGAGATAATGTGACGGTCTGCAGCAGGCATATCGTGGGGTCCTTGCTGCTGATCTTGTTGTGGCAGAAACCAACCGCAATAGTCCAGATGCTAAACTTGTTTGTTGTAATAGCTGTGCCGTCTGCACCATTGCTACACCCCTGCCCAGTCGACATGGCTAGTGTGCTCGAATTAACTATTCGCACCTGATTATGTCGAAGCAGATACCGTTATGTTAACAGAGTCGTGTGGCACCCTAATACACGTGGTGCAGGGAAATATGTATTCCTTCACTGCCTGTACATGTTCCGGTGGCGATGCTGTCAACAACACTTGTTTAGCGACTCTCTTGGGAGTTTCCACGATTGTGTCGGTGTTGCCGACTTTACCAGCATTGAGGGTAAGATTGTAGACAGAGTCAACGCCGGTGCTCGCGGTATAAATGATAGACATACTGTCCATGTCAAGACCTTGCCATTGGAGCCCACGTCGGGCGTGTAGGATCCTCCAGGTGTTTGGCGTCATTGCGGAGCGCCAGAGCCCGTTCAATATTATTTGCGGTGACACCGCTGCTCCGTACGGTAGGTGTGGTCAACCCAGTTATGAAACAAACGTACTGGTTCGCCATGATGAGAACTAAGAATGTAGGAGGGAGGTGGCACCATCCGGGTATGTGCCGCCATTGTTGTTGTGTAAGTACCTAGCTCTCAGACTCGGCGTGCTTTATTCAGTAATCGGTGGCTCCTTCAACAATTGGGACGTCTCATTTTGAATGTTAGCAATTACCACATGATAAAATCGCCAAAACATCATGATTCGCTTACCCAGAGCACATTACCTCCTGCGTCCTGATTGCTTACACAGCAGCAACGGTTGCTTCACGGCAGAGACATGGTGAGTTATACCGTCAGTGACTGGTTGTCGCTGTCCACCAAGATATCGCCACCATTAACCGTGTCCCGCCCAATCCCTTCACCTCAGGACATCAATGCACGGTACATGTGAACCAGGCAACGCCTGGTAAGATCTGGGGACTGGCCCCGAGGACACCGAGTGTCGGTCCGAGATTATGAACCGGGTCCAAGCGGGCAACTTGTGGAAGACGGCCCCGGGTCATTCAATAGATCAGTGGCGGCCGGCCCGCTTGTTCCTGTGGCACACGCGCTCGACTGCACGCCATGCCGTCGAGCGTGCGGCGTGTACCACTGCACTGAAGTGATGTGCGGTCGTTTACAGCCTGCTGATCACATGCTGGCGGACGCGTTGGGTTACCGAGTGTCCGGTTTGTAACGTTTGGACGCTAGACCTGCGGCTTCGTTGATGCCTTGGCGCATCTGTCCACCAAATTAAACAAGCTTGTACAGCATCTCTGCACTGAGTGTCACACTCGGACCCCAGCCGGGATTGGCGGCGGGACGTCTACTGCCTCTTCCACTACCCGTCAGATGTGATGGCAGAGAGTGTGCATCGACTGTTGCTTTTCTCCCAACGGACGTGGTGGCAGGAACACATGGCAACAGTGACTAGTCCATTTGTCGTAGGTCGAGCGGATAACGGCATCCGTGGCCGAAGCTGCAAGCATTTAGTAATCAGTAACTGACAGTGTCGGATAACAGGGAGGACGGGTACCTGCTGCGTAGCGCATAACGGACTGTCAAGGTGGTGTTTGTCCTTAACAGGTCAGTTGGAGTAGACGGCGATAGCTGTGCGGGGAGGGCGGGGAAGGACGTGCCGGCAGCCGTGGCAGCGTTCGGGTTCTCATCCGCGTTCGTCCCAGCCGTCCACTTCGGCGACTTCGTTGCCCGAGGAAGATCCAATTGGACTGATAATGGATCGTGGGCGAGAGGAAACCGCGGTGGGGTCATGGTGGTACGTAGGCGGTGGAGGTGAGTGGGACTGCCACAGAGGTGTGAGACAATCTGAAACGACGGATACAGACGTAAAATTGTTTTAGCAAATTGTTGCACAGTGAGACTGTGTCAGGCAACATCCGTGAAAGTCACAAAAGTCAACAGGGAATACATCGTATATGGTGGTAGTAAGAAAGCCTTGCTTGAGCACGAGAAACACATCATAGGACCTGGAAATACCCGAACCCGAACCCGGAACCCCTACACGCGCGCGCCTCGTCATTACCACTTGTTGCCGTACTGCTGGTTGTAGCCGCCGCCGTACTGCTGCTGCTGCTGCTGGCCGCCGCCGCCCATGAGGGAGGAGAGGAAGGGAGGGGCGCCCATGCTGTGGCCGTACTTGTTGGTGTCCTTGCCCTAGAGTAATGGTCAGCTTTCTGTTTCCCGGGTTGTCTTGGTGCTGCTAGATGTACTCACGCCAAAGAGCTTGCCGAGGAGAGCGACACCACCGGCGCCAGCGGCACCCATACCGAGAGCAGCACCCCAGCCACCGCCGCCGACGATGTTGTGGCCGTTACGCTTCAGCAGCGAGCCGAGGACCTTGTAGCCAACGGTACCGACCGCCGCGTTGGTCATGAAGCCACGCTCGCCCGTCTGCCCGCCGCCCGCCGCGCCAGCGTCCTGCTGGTACAGAGTATCGGCTTCGCGGTGGGTCTCGATCTGCTCCGAGTGCACCTGGCCCGGGGCCATGCCGGGGTGGGTCCACGAGGTGCTAGGGGGCGTGGTTGTGGGGTTGACCTGACGGCAGTCAGCATATGTTCGCAGCATTGGTGGGGGACACGGAACACTTACGTAGTAGACGGTCTTGTACTGCTCGTCCCATTCACGGATCCTGCCGACGAGTCAGCCTCTGCGCGTCTGTAGCCATGTCTGCACTGTGCGACTTACCATGGGTATGGGAGGTCCTCGTTCGACACGTTGCCCTGGTCGCGCTGACCAGCCTGCTGGCCTTGCTGCTGTCCGTACTGGCCAACCTGCTGCTGCTGCTGTCCGCCGTAGTAGCCAGACGACTGGCCCTGGCCCTGGCCGTACTGCTGGCCGCCACCGTACTGCTGCTGCTGGCCGTACTGCTGCTGCTGCTGGTCATAGCCGTGACCACCGCCCTGGTAGCCATGCTGGGGAGGGGGAGGGGGGAAGCCCATGCCGCCGCCGCCCATGTGGGGAGGTGGGCCGCCCATGCCGGGCCCAGGTGGCGGCTGGTTCCAGCCCTGCTGCTGGCCATAGCCGCCGCCCTGCTGGAATCCGCCCTGCTGCTGGTAGCCGGTGGGGGCACCGTACTGGTTGTTGTTGTTGTAGCCTTGGCCGTACATTGGGTGTGAAGGTGTGTGTGTGAATGAAGGTTGTGAAGGGGAGTATGTGACAAGGTGCCAGCAAGGATAAGTTATATCGTCAAGCACCCGCACCGCCCTTGGCCGGCCTTGCTTCCCCACCGCCGCCGCCGCTGCGCGTTTTAGTGCTGCGCGGCTTGGTCAGTTGGTCGTTGCACCTCTCGGCCGCCGGCCCGAGGGCACATTTGCGGGCAATAGAAACAGGTCAAGCTCGCGCCAAGGATCGCATGTTGGCAAGCATCCCTGACGACGCGTCATAGGTGCCCGAAGCATCGTTTGGTGAGAAAAGGTGCACCGCAGTTATCTCTGCGTCCGAGGCGGTGTCTTTATGCTTATGGCTGTGCGATCGTCGGTTCTCGTGCAAAACATCCGAGACCCGAGACGAGACGCGTTTTGCGTTTCCACTTGGCTGCAGAATGACAAGGGCGGCATCACTGCATGACTGACGTCTGCCAAGCAGCTGGGCGACTCCATAACGCTCTGTGTTCTGTGACATCGGCAGCGTGCGGTGCCCGGCAGATTTCAAGAATACACAAACTGGCCAAGCGACCATTGTGGCACTAGCCACAAACTCCATCCTCCAACGTCCCGAACCACACGTCCTTGGCCGTCCCGGCCGTCCACCGCCTCCCAAGCCTCCAACAACATCCCCAAGCACAAGTAGTCCTCCCATGCATCCTGGGAGGCCAAAAAGCGACCTGCTAAGGCCTACAGCTTCTCCGCCAGGGAGTTGAACCCTGCTCTACCGCGATATTCCTATTAGGAAGCTCCCTATTGAGAGGCGGTTATACTAACCGATATACTAGCGAAGAGACAATGTATGCTTGTTAGAGGTGCCGCTACGTGTCTACACGATGCTCTGGAGGTGTTTCGAGGTGCAGGACTAGACGGAGAAGGGATGGAAGCGGCGGGGAATGTCGAGGGACGAGACGGAGCTCGTTTTTGGCGGCCTCGGCTGGTGTTTGATGTGGATGTTTTAGTGGCATGGTTTTTTCGACGGGCTAGGAACTCTCCGACTGGCGACGACGGTGTTATTCCCAGGACAAGGACAACCATGTACATGCAGATGTCTACAGTTCTACCCACTCGCGTCCACTGGCGTTTACAACGATCACAACCTCGAGGTGGCAGCCTTGGACCCGTCCTGTCTCCTGGAGGGAGGGAGGTACTTGTCCATCCCCTTGACGAGCCCCACTGGCAACTCGTCTTCGGGAGAGTGCTCGAGGAGGTCACCCTCGTCCTCTACAACCTCGCCGCCTGCAAGCGCCACCTGGTGGAACTGTAGGAGCGCGTCAGTACACCACCACACAACACGGACGGTCGTTGTTCCTCCGCCACTCACCGCCCAGTCCCGTTCCACTCCGCCAGGCATATAGTCTGCGCGACCATTCCACAGCTGCTCCCAAGCACCCACACTGCCGCCTCCGGGTCCCTTGTCCGTCCTGCGGCGATACAGTGACGTGCACGCACAGCCGGCACACGCCTCGGCCTTGCGGTCGCCCGTCAGCGCCTGGCCGAGCGCAATGACCGTGGCGGCGTGCGCAAAGATGACGACGGTGCGCACGGGCGTCGCGTCCATGCGCGCCGTAAAGACATCGACAAACAGGTCTATCCGGTCAAACAGCGCCTGCATCTTCTCGCCCTTGCGGTCCGGGTACACGGACGGGAGGTAGTCGAGGTCGAGGGCCTCGGGGAAGAACTTTTCCAGCGTCGCGGGACCGCTGGGGCGCGGGTGCAGGCCCGTCCCCTTCTTTGCAGGCGGGTACCATTCCATGACTCCGTGGTCGAGCGCGATGCGCCGCGGCTCGTTGGCGCGTTCGGCGAGGAGCGCAGCGGTCGGCTGTGCGGTCTGGAGACAGCGGTAGAATGGAGACGAGAAGACGCGTTCGGGGACCGGGTACGGCGCAGTGCGGGCCGGGTCGGAGAGGAAGGCGCCCAGGTGCGCTGCCTGCTGTACTCCGTGGACCGACAGAGGGTGGTCGAGGCGCATGCCCGTTGGCGACGACTTGACGTCGTGCGCCATCAGATTGGACCTGGGGTGGGGTGTCAGTCGCGCCAACATGGGTGCAGCTGCACGGCATCGTTCGGAAGGGCGGGGCAGCTGCAGCGCACAAGACTTACCGGAAGCCATGCCTGCAGATGTAGATGTACTCGAGCATAGTGTCGCAGGTGGTGTAATGGACGAATGCAAAGGATACAAGAGCTTGGATCGCAGGAAAGGATACAATGCTGGACGCCGGTCGTTGGTAGTACCCGAAACCCGGAGACACCCAGGGACGGACATGGCCGACTGGCTGTGGGAGGCGCCGCCATGATCTATGAAATGGCTGCAAAAAGTCTGAACAAAGTCTGAACTTCACATGCCATGTCATGCGATTCTTTCGTCGAGGCCGCGATGCACATGGTGTAGATGACTTGATGGGTCTGGGAGCTCATGGACGAGTGATGTATGTGTCTCTGGAGCACCCCGCTATCCAAAACCAAGGCGCGCAAAAGGAGACAGCAGTGGCCTATGGGAAGAGTCGCCAGGATCAACGTCCTTGTTCAAACCTCGTTCACCGGCAGGACGCTTCTCCCATGGACAGTCGCCACCCAACCGACGCTGTCGCTGTGGCCAAGTGTACAGCATCTGCGAGAACCAGACGATAACCAGTCGCCACCGAGATTAAATGCCCAGCTGGTCGTGTGTCGATCCTGTACGCTCCTCCAAGCCCAGCCCACTCGGTCTTCTCTCTTCCCCTCTCGTACACATCTGCAGCGTTGGAGCGGTGGCCGGGGGGGAGTCAGTCTAAATGCCGCAGCGTGCATCGGTCTTTTGTTTCTGCTCGGATGGCAAAAGTACATCGTGTGAAACACTAACAAGAGCACCGGGGCAAAAACCTCAGTGCATGCCCGGCAACCCGAACTAGCATCCCAAACGTCGCTCCCGCATGCTGCCCCTAAATGCTAACGAGACGAGACGTTTAGTAGCCGAAGGCAGCGAGCTTCTCGTCGGCGGGAGCCGAGGCGGCGGCCTTGGCGCGGAGGGCGCGGGCGGCCTGCTTGCGCTCGAAGTAAGCCTGGCCCTTGACCTTGCGCTTCTCCTCGAGGCGGTCGACAACGTCCTTGTAGCCCCATCCAACCTCGTGCGAGATGCGCTTGAGGGTGGCGTACTTGCGGCCGGGCTTGAGGCGGAGGACGCGGAGGGCGGCGGGGACAACCATCTTCTTCACCTTGTCCTGCGCGGGGGGGACACCCTCGAAGAGCTCAAGGCGGCGGAGGGCGGCGGCACCACGGGCCGACTTGTGGGGGACCATGCCGCGGATGGCCTTGTAAAGGATGCGGCTGGGAGCGCGGAAGTGGAAGGGACCCGACTTCTTGGGGTTGACCAGGTGGCGCTCTGTTTAAACGTTAGAAAAGGATTGCTTGTGCGCACATGACCAAAATCTACGCACTGTTGAGGTAGGCGTGGTACTTCAGCTTGTTGCGGAAGAACGAGCCCGAGACGTTGATCTCCTCGCAGCGGACAACCGAGACCTTCTGGCCCGAGAGGATCTGTTCATGGTGGTTAGCAATGTTGGCAGGTTTGCGCAAAGGTCCGAGCCTAGAGTCCATTCCTCCTCCACCAAGTCCTGCCACCTGCAAGTGCTCTCTCCGCGCAGGACAGAGCCTGCCCAAAGTTCTCTCTCGCACGTCCGCTTCCTGGTCTCCTCCTCCCTCCAAACGTCCGCTTCCCAGTCACTCGTCCACTGGGCCCCGTGTCCCTGCCTCTCCTCCTCCTGGACTCGTTTCTTCCGAGTGCGAAATTCCTCGCGCTCTCCCTTCCGAATTTGGATCTGTCGATACCCACCTGCTTGGAGATGATCGAGGCGAGACGACCAAGGAGGTGACCCTTGCCGTCGATGACGATGGGAGCGGACGAGAAGGCCGACATCTGTGTAGGAGAAGGATAGTAGGTCGAGAGGAATAGGGGGGAAACAGAAATGTCGAAATTTGTGCGAGTCGAGTTGGGGGCACGAGTGGGACGCAAGTACGATGGGTACGCGGGCGCGAGATAAACGAGGATAGGTCGTTGGGAGACGGGGAAGACGCTGGTCAGCACGGTTGTTCTCTCTTTCGTTGTCGCTGTCTGCGGTGTCCGCTGGTGTACGCACTTTGAGGTGGTTTGACGGGTGACGGAGAGTGCTCCTTCGACAATGCCTAGTAGAGGCCAGCGTGCAGCAGCGGGGTGTGGGCCAGCACGAGGGCCGCTCCCACCCAGGGGTCAAATTCCCCCGCCGGAGTTACGGCGTTATCTCATTTTCCAAACTATCGAGTTTCTCGGCGATGAGCACGGTGGCGGAGAGGGAGACGGAGGGAGACGGATGTCAGCCTGATACGTGGGGGGGGGGGGTGGGGGGGCTAGCGCGCTGAGGCTGACACACAAGGACCACATGATTACGTAAATTCATTTTTCCCACCCTCACACCTGTTGCATGAAACGGGGCCTGCCGCACTGTACCCAAGACGCCCATATGCCCACAAGGCGCACACTCTCCCCTGCGTGTCGCTTGCTCTTCTGGCCCGTCTTAAAAAGTTAAGGTGCAAAAGGTGACCGCCAACGGACGCGCCAACTCGCGTCCTCGCGTCATCGTCTCCCGCGTCTCTCGCTGCAGCCCACGTTCTCAATGCTCCCAAATATATTCCCACAACAACCTTGCTCTGTTGCATTACATGCATTCAACTGTGACACGACGCTGACGCCGTACGCCGTGGAGAGGAGCCCGCTAGTTGAGTGCCAAGCAACCTCTAGCCACCAGCTCCAACCATCCGCTGGTTGTAATGTTGCGGGAACAAGGGGACTACGCCGTTGTTGATCATTGGGGTGGATCGGTCGGCTTCTGCCAGGCGTCGCAAACCCCAGAGGCCAGAGGCCACAGGACGCGTCACTGACGACCGGTCTTTTTCACGGGAAGACGTTGGCAGGGATTACGTGAATCAGGTCCAGATTGCGAGAGCTCAAGAGCCCAAGAGCCCCCAGAGCCGGCATGCCGCTCCGTGTAGTGCGCGACCGAAGAACCAGAGGCAGCAATAAAAGCATGCATCCCCTTTCGCATCTTCCAGCTGTGAGCTGTAGATCTGTAGAGAGCCTATCTGGCCATATCTGGCGGTATCTGGCCAGTGCGCACGGCGCGCCAGTGCCGAGGAACGGTGGGAATGAATCAAGCTCACCGTTTTTGTTTTGTCTTTCTGCCAGCACAATTGGCAGAGGTGGTAACTGAACAGAGAGAGGTACAGAGATGTTCCCCCAAAGGCCAAGACGAATTGGGCGTGCCTACAACGCGCAAAAGGAGAGTTGCAGCGTCGCCAGAGAGATCCCAGAGATGCCTGAAGACCGTAGAGACCTTCTAGGCAAGGCTAAGCCCCCCCCCCCAAACCCCCGGCAAGCCCCTTGAACACAAGACCGGATTTGATCGCCACCTATATTTCCTGTGACCAGGTGGCCAGTGGCGCGACCCAAAGGCGCTGGCTGCTGGCCGCTGCCGGCTGGGTGCGCGTGGAGACGCGCCTGGACGCCGCGGCGCACGGCTATACGGGGGTTGAGCTGTGGACTAGCTTGGTCGGGGACTGGGCGAGCTGGAACTTGTAGGCTGGAATCCGGCAAAAGGAGCGCAGTGGTGTCTGTGATCTATCTCTCTTGTCGTGTCGCAGCTTTCGCAGCAAGCAGTGGTGAGACCGACGCGCCTGGCGTCACACAAGCGCGTAGTGGGTTGTGCCCTGACTGGCCTGACTGGAGGGGTGAAAGGTGGGGGCCTGGCAGCCCCCCCTTGGGCTGGGTGTGGGTGTCTGTCAGTGCCAAGCACGCCAGCAAGGGACGCGGGAGAGAGGGAGGGAGAGGGAGAGGGAGGGTTTGAGTATGACTGCGCATTGAGCAGCAGCAGCAGCAGCAGACACACACGGGACCACCGAACTGTGCTACTGCGGTTTTGAATCCCGCGCGCCGCCTCTGCCGCAACACCCACATATCCCTTTCAGCCCTTCAGCCCTCTCGGTCCTTCACCTCCACCATCCCTGAACCCCCCTCTGGCTGCTGCCACCTCCTCTCTCACTCTCTCTTGTCCTCACCCGTGTTGCCCGTGGCCGTCCCCGCGCGCGTGTGCCCGCAGTCCCACATCCCCCCCCCCCCCCCCCACGCCCACCCGCCGGCGTGCCGAGGCTACCGAACAGACTCGTCCAGGTCTCCAGTCCGGCCAGAGTGAATAGGATTCCTGCGCCTTCTTAGCTTCTATCTTGATCTTTGCTGCACACCTACTGTTCCTGCACCCACACACGTACAGTACAGACACAACCCGCACATCACACTTTACCCATCATCACCACCACCACCACCACCCCCCACACCATCTACCGTCGTCGTGCGCCTCTGCGTCTCCATCCACCGGCGCGCCCCTGTTTCCGACATAATCGGCCACCTACGCGCACCGGCCACCTGTGGGCGTTCCAACATTATTGAACAACCCCCCGACGGCCACCCTACCGCCCAGCCGATCGACACACTCCTTGCTCCTCCCTCTCCCACCTAGCGACAACGTGCAGCGCCCATTGCCTAGGTACTCTCTTTCACCACCACACACTTTGGCCAGCCTCCAACATACACACCACCCCATCGTCTCCACAGAACAAAACCTTATCATATCCCCGTCGGCGATCCCCCCCCCCCCCACCATCAGCCCCAGTCACCAATCGTCAGCTCGCTCCACACGTGCGACAGCTACTAGCTACGCAAGTTATCTCTCGCTCTCAGACTAGGACCGCGTCTGTCTTGACTGTGCGCGTCAACTGTGCTGTCCGCGCCCATTCTCGCGACCCACTTTAAGCGACCACAAAACCCAGCCGCAGCAAGGCTAGACGGTCGTACAGTCGCGTTCCTCACGTCCCCTTGCCCCTTGTCCACCCCCTCCCTCCCCTCTCATCGCTCGGCGTGGACTTTCGCCGCCAGCTACATGTCACCATCATTCGGCAGCACGGCTTCCAACAGCACATCGACATCTCCTCCAGAGAGCCCAAACATCCGCACCCCGCCAGAGCTCACCCCGCCAACGACCGCTTCGATGGCCCGGACAGGCGACGTTGACCAGGGGTCGTCTCTGGGCGAGCCGAAGAACCTGGGCGCATCAGACTTTGACCTCAACCACCACCACCACCACGACAGTGCGCAGTCGCTGCCCGAGCCCGGGCACTTTACTGCGCGGTCCCCCGTAGTCCCAGCTACGCCTGGCAACCCCTTTGCTTCATCGTCACAGCCCGTTGCAACAGCCCACTCGCGCGAGCGACAAGGCGGCCACCACCCTCGACCCACGATCAACACTGGTTTCATTGAGGGTGCACCGTTATCGTCCTCCCCCATGTCAGCATACACGCCAGCAGATGGAAAGAAGGAGCCCCCAGAGCTCGGCTCCCCGTACTCGGGCCAGGGACAACAGTACCCCCTGTCCCGCACGAACGGTGCTCCTCCATATCCGTCAGGTCCATCCATGGAGCCGGCACCCACCCGCTTCTACGACTCGGTGCCGTACTGGCTCGGCATGTACTTTTTCTTCAACCTCGGCCTGACCCTCTTCAACAAGGTCGTGCTCGTCTCCTTCCCATTCCCCTACGTGAGTGTTACCGTTCACCTGGTTACGACACGGTGTCGCTGACAGCTCGCCTTCAGACCCTCACCGGTTTGCATGCCCTTTCTGGTTGTGCCGGTACATACATTGCCTTGGAACGAGGCGCCTTTGTGAGTAGCGAAATGTTGGGAAGGGAACAAGCTCGTTGGGCCAGCAGTCTTGCTCTGCCACCCACTTTGGAAGGAGGACAGCCACTGACTGCCTTCGAGACGCCTGCTCGTCTGTCGCAGAAGGAGAACCTTATCCTTGGAGCGTTCTCGGTCCTCTACACCATCAACATCGCGGTCAGCAACATTTCACTTCAATTGGTGACTGTGCCTGTGAGTACGACGTCTGATGCGACGCGATGTCTATTTCTATATGGCCATCGGACCTGAGTTTACCTTGTTCTTCCAGTTCCACCAAGTTGTTCGTGCCGCGACACCGCTGTTCACCATCTTCATCACTGCCGTTCTCCTCCGCCAGAGGTTTAGCGCAAGGAAGCTCGTCAGCCTCCTCCCCGTGGTTGCCGGTGTCGGTTTCGCCACCTATGGCGACTACTACTTTACCACTTGGGGTCTTGTCCTCACGTTGCTGGGCACATTCCTTGCCGCGCTCAAGACTGTGGTTACCAACGTTATCCAGACCGGCGGTGGCGGCAGGCTCAAGCTCCACCCTCTCGACCTGCTCATGCGCATGTCTCCGCTCGCGTTTGTCCAGTGTGTATTCTACAGCTGGTACACTGGCGAGCTCGAGCGCGTGAGGCGATACGGTGCCACGCAGATGACGCGCTCCAAGGCCATCGCACTCCTCGTCAACGGCGTGATTGCGTGCGGACTCAACATTGTCTCGTTCACCGCCAACAAAAAGGCCGGCGCGTTGACCATGACCGTGTCTGCAAACTGCAAGCAGGTCCTGACCATTGCCCTCGCCGTCGTCCTCTTCAACCTCAACATTACCTTTACAAACGGCATTGGCATCTTCCTCACCCTCTGCGGCGGCGGCTGGTACGCCTATGTCGAGTTTTCGGAGAAGAACAAGCGCACAGCTCTCGCAGCAAGTGCCAACAACAAGGCCCCCTCCCGGGTGTAGATGGATACAGTGGGCACAACCACCTCTATTTCAGTCACTATCACGACCCCACGAACACTTTTCTTGTGCTTTTTGCTTTTGCTTTGCTTTGCTTGTTTTCTACTCATTTTCACCATTCACCAACCCGACATCCCCACCCACCCACCAACTCACCAACCCAACCAGCCACTACCACAACCCAACCAAGCAATCTCACCACCACCGCCACCACCGTCGCTTTCACGTCCATGTTTAGATAGGGGATTTTCGTCATGCATCTAGTTAGAATTATCGCATGCATTGCGAGTGCTTTGTGTTTTTTAGCCAGTTGGGTCAGTCCGTGGCGGGTCACATCGGCGCCAGCACAATTACTTCTCACGCCTACCCGATGGCCCGCTGGCCGCTGGCCGCTGGGCCGCTAGTTGCCAACGTCCCTGCGCGCACACACGCGCAAGTACATGTGTCCCATATGTCTCACTCTCGGTCTCTAATGCCTGAGATCTCTGGCATCGTGTCCTCGCCGCTCCACGTTGGCTCGCTCCCATCCGCGCCAACCCTGCACTTGCACACGTCCCGTCCCGTACTTTAACTTTTCATCACATGTCTCACCACTTTTGCATCGTGCTGTATGGCATGTGGCAATACCTCGCACGCCGGCCGCACCAAAACACTAAAACACGCGGACCCCGAGTTTCTGGTCTGGTTTATTGCACGGCGGCCCGGGATGCAGGAGGGATACTGCGGCCATGCCGGTCGGCATGCCGGTTGCTAGCTGCTAGATCTCCCGCGGCGGCGGCGGTGGCACAGATCGCACAGATCGCACAGATCCACCGATATATGCTCGGCGCCGAAAAATGGACATTACGTGCGCGCCGGCTCGTTACGTGTTCATTATATACATTTATTATGTGCGGTTCACGTTTCCCCTCGGCGATGGCGCGCGGGGGATGCAGCGGCACAGCGGATACATGGCCGCGCATTCATTCTGCGTGCCGCGGAGCGACGATCTGCGCGCCGCCGCGACGACGACCTGGCTTGGGTGCTGCCGGCTAGGGCTAGATTATCCAAGCACGTACGCAGGGCATACACAGTAGGGTGTGGAGACAGGCCATGTCAGATCAGATCCGGGGACACCGGTGCGGACTACTGTGGGGAGACGGCGTCCGTCCTCTGCAGCACGGTACGCGCGTCCAGAGCGCCAAAGGTCTTCGGCGCCGCCAATGGCTGAGATGCAGCTGCTGTGGAGCACGACGCCGAACCGCGGCCCCGGCCCGCCCGACGTGTTCGTCGGCACTCGTCACTGCCCATTATCACTCACAACCGCGTATGGTTGTGGATGGACACGCGCTTGTCGAGCGTGGACATCGATACCGACCGTGCTGGGCACCTCCATGACCACTCCCCCGCCACTTCCTTGCTGCACATACGCCCAGGAACTCGGGAGGGCGGCCGCGGCTGATAAGGGGGCATTGGCTAGGGGCGATCAAGCACCCAGTAGACCTGCGAGAGGATGGGGGTAGCTGCTGTCCACGGGCCATAGGGAGGTTGGATACCGGCGTGCATTGGCTGGGTTGGAGTACCTGCGATTGTCATCGTCAAGTTGCCCGTACGTTGATATCCGTTTTGCTGTTTCTCAAACATGAGACCTGCAGTCAGAGGTGCGAATGAGGACAAATTCCAAGGCGACAGACTCCATAAGCGTCTCGTCTGCAGTGTCGACTCTTGTCCTTTCAGGTCAGCCGTGTCAGGAGGTAAGTTGAGGTTGAGCCGGTTGAGTAGCCGTAGCCGTATCGTGTCCTCCGCCGCCGCCGCCATCGTCCTCGTCAGCCCTCCTGTTTCCGTGCTGTTTATTGCATGATGCCTCTACAAATCCGACTTGGTGGTGTCATCACTACGTTTAGAGCGAGTCGCCGGTGGGGTCGAAGTAGCGCCACTGGTTGGGGAGGGGCTTCTCCTCGAGCGAGTCCCATCTGAGCAGGTGTCAGCAACCGAAGTTCGCAACTGGTTCGTCAACTGGACACAGAAAGCGACAGGGAGTGGGACACGCAGCTGCGCACGAAAAAGAAGAGCACAGCTGCAATCCCATCCCATCGCACTCCTCTGCTGTTGTTCTCGACTCACGCCTTCCACTCGGTCATGCTGCCGACGAGCTTGTGCTCGGCAGTAGCCTCCTCAAGGGCAACCTCGACGATGAGGGCGAGCTCCTTCTCGACGGCGGAAATGTCCTCGCCGGCCTTCTCGACGACCGAAAGGCGGTGGTTGGTGAGCGACTCAGTGGCCTGGCGGTACACCGAGGTAGCGGGGAGAGCGCTCAGCGCAGTGAGGGTCTCGCCGTAGATGGCCTTGAGGGCGCGCAGAGGCTTGGGGTGCACAGCCAGGCCGGTGATGCCGGTCGACTCCTTGAGGACCCTGTAGATGTCAGTGGTAGTTCACAACGCAGAGCAGGCGGGGGTGGGTGCACGGGTGGAGATGAGGGCGCGGTGGTTGAATGAACCGGCAGGATGTTGGTTGCGTGCTGGAGCAAGGGAGGGGACAAAGTCGCCGCGAGCAACGGCCTTTGAGCTGCGCCTCTTGCATGCGCCGTATTCTACGTGGTGGGCGGGACACTCACTGGGCGGCGTAGTAGGCAGGGCGAGTAGCGCGGAACATGGTGACGGTGGACTTGTGGAGGAGCGATGTCGGACGGTGCAATGGCGGTTGAATGAGGAACAGACGAATCCCAAGGTGTGTGACCCTGACAACCGAGACCGAGACCCGACCACGCAGTTGTCAGGCTCACCCCCAGGCCCAATGGCCTCCACCGCAATCCACCTGGTCCGGTCATCTCAGACTGGCACACAAATAGACGCGTCTAGCGCAGACCCATATCGTTCACTTCCATTCAACCGGCCACTCGACCATGCCATAGTTTGGACTCGTCGCAGAGACCACACGCACAGCGCATATTCCTTCTTGATATACCCCAAAGGCGAGCTCAACGAGCCCCACATGCGCCATGAGCTCGCCACCGCCACCCGACTTCCTTCTTCCTCCAGAGTCGCCGCGCCGAAACCAACGTAACAGAGGCGACGACCTTGGCTTCACACCCAATGACAGTCAGAGTCAAGGCGCAAGCTCAAGCAAGAGTAACGGGTGGCACAAGGCGTCTGTGCATGACGCAAGCAACGCGGATGGAGATGGGACACCACCAGGAGGAAGGGTAGGTGTCATTGGACCAAAACGCAACCTAACTTTGCAGGTGTCCATGTACGTCAAGCTCTTTACAGGTGAGTTGCACGTGCGGCGCCTGATCAACTCTGACAAACAGAAATGATCACGACTGTCCTCGAATCTGAAGCATACCTTTTCACGCCCTCAGAGCTCTGGATACTGCGGCACATTCTCGAGCTGCCTTGTATGTCTTCCCTCCGTCCACCTTCCTCCGCTGACAGCCGACCAGACGAACCCCAATACCTTCTTACACGTCTTCTCCTCCGCCGACCGGGAAAGGTCCATTCACTCTCCATTATCACCCAGGCATACTCGTCCGAGCTCGGCGACGCGGGTGTGGCGCGTGCCAGTCAAGTTCTTGCCCGTGCTCTCAATATCCCAGAGGATGTCCTTGCCGCCGACCCGTCCCCGCCCCTTGCCATTGTCAGCCCACCACCCGAGCTCTCAAGGAGTTCAAGTTCGAACGGCAAGAGAAAGGAGAAGGAAAGCAGCCAGAAGAGCTTGCCTCGCAAGCCAAAGCCATGGGCGGACTTGCCATCTGGCCTCACCGAAGCAGAGGAGAAGACGGACCCCGACCTCGCAGAAGCCCTTCGGGCCAGCCTGTGGCACGAGGAGAACCCGTACTGGGTTGACGACGACGACCATGTCAATGGGGAAGGCTCCTCTATGGCTTTGGCTGTGGATGTCGACTCATCGCCATCTAGCGAAACATCGCCCAGTACACCGCCAGACCCCGTGGACCAGTTCTCTCTCCTTCCTCGGCACGCCCATCCAATTACCCATCTGGCTCACGGCAATGGCCAGCTTAACCTCGACGACTTCATGTCCTGTGTACCGGCCGACGAGCTGAGAAAGGTGGCTCGTTCGCGCAAGATCCCGTTATCAGCTCTTGTGTCGCGCGAGTCGACGATGAAGGCTCTGCGCGACGTCGCCAGACGCCAGACGACGCTCTCGTTTGCGCCCGTCGTAAAGGGAAAGGGCAAAGGAAAGGCCAAGGACACGCCACTCTCCTTGTCGTCCAACACTACCTCGGAGCACTTGGTCATCAAGGACATTCTCCCCTTGCTCGGCGGTGCGGCCATCAAGCTCGACGACGAGCTGTACCGCCTCATCGCGCGCGTCAACCTCATCTTCTCCCGCACACCGCCAGCTACGGCTGGACAGCCAGCCCTCCTCCTCCCGCCCATCCTAGTCACCTCGCACCGACGCTACTATCCCGACTATGGCTCGCCAACGAGGAGCACGATATGGACCACCCGCGACGAGATCATGGTCTGGGAACGTGCCGTCGGTTACGAGGCTATCGTGAGCGACGCATTGGGCGACGTTTGGCTACAACAGCGCAATGGTGGTGGACCAGCGGGTTGGGGCGCTGGATCCCGTGGACAACCTCTCTCACGCGTCGAGTGTGCCAAGATCGTACGTGATGTGTGGGAGAACGTCTGGCCCATCTGGAAGACCATGGTGGCCACTGCCGGCACCGAAACGTCAACTGGCGGTATCGCCAACGACCGTTTCCGCACCGAACATGTCCTCACCCGTGTCGTCTACAAGGGTGCCGAAGCATTTGGTGTGCTGCACGAATACGACATCGAGTGCGAGGTGCTCCGAGCACTCCTTGCCCAACGACGCTGGCGCCGCGGAAAGAGAGGGTAAGCTAAGGAGCCGTCTTTGTAGCTGACCTCAGCGCGTGGTATGACCGTCTCGCCTTGGTCCTCATGACGCACTACAAGGGCACGGAGGCGCAACGTACCGCCAAGTTTGAAGAGGCCACACAGGTGTGCATAGATGCCCTGCTCGACGAGGACACACACCTCATCTATCGCCCTGGTATATCACGGCGCCTCACTCGGCTGGAGAACAAGCTCAACCTCCCGTCTGACGAACGGCACATCTGCCATGCCGGTCTAGTCACCTGCGAGACACGCGAGCTCGTCGCAGTGCGTTCACTGCAGAACATTGGACAGTCGCGCCAGCGCCAAGCCAGCCCGCAAAAGGACAAGGACCGTGAAGCGAGTCTGGGTCTCGACGACGAAGCGCCGTCAGCAGCGCCACAGGTCGGCAAGAGCGCCTGGATTGGACGCGATGGCGAAGTGACTGTCGAGGGATGGGTGTTGGAGTGGTGGGAGGAGCAGGGCTATGAAGGGTGAGTTGAAGAGGTGGTGGTGGCCTGCTAACTCGCAGGTATCACGCAGAGTCCTCCATCCTCACAACACTGTTCGCGCTCCTCATGTGGCCAGTCCTCTTCGAGCCCGTCCCAGGCGCGTTCGAAACTCGGTACCAAACGGCTCCCCTTGACTTGGGTGAAGACAGCTTTGCTCGCGCTCGCACCACTCTCATCGATCAACGCCTCCAGCAGATGGAGTCGACCGAGGCTGCCCTCGAAATGCTCCGCGAGACTGACCGCCGTGAACGTCCTCGCGGCACCTGGGCCGTCGGCGTGCGATGGGACTTTGGCGACCGCGAGCTGGAGCAGATCCTCGCGTGTATGGGCGGAAGGGCCATGGCTACCATCTGCCGCATGCTGTGTGAGGAGTACAGGCACCGCGCGAGTGGCGTGCCAGACCTGATGTGAGTCAGCTAGGTCCTTGCGTGCTTTCAGCTGACAGCCAGCGTTTGGAACTTTGAGAAGCGCGAGGTGCGGTTCGTCGAGGTCAAGGGTCCTGGAGATACGCTCTCCGAAACTCAAAAGGTAAGCTTTTTTTTGCACCGCAATGAAGCTGACGCCAGATCTGGATTGATGTCCTGATTGCAGCTGGGGTTCCCGTCGAGGTCTGCCGCGTCAAGGCCAAGGAAGACGACGACGCTCAGGCGATCAAGGCCAACAGCAAGCTCAAGCGCAAAAGGTCACAGCAGCAACCCAAGCGCACGATATCACGTGTTTCGCCAGAGGTGGTGGTGGTCGATGACAGCGACGACGAGGACGAGGATGAGGATGAGTTCAAGCATGAGTCGGGAGACGAAGGGAAACCTGCTGGACACTGGGAGACGCGTGCGTCGGACAAGAAGCGCACTCGCCGTAGCATGTAGCATACCTATTGTGTATAGATTGTAGGCGTCGATACGACGCTTGTTGTGAATGTAGTATTCAGCTCATGAGACGTTGTTCTTGTGAATTACAGCCGTAAACATTGGACGAGGCCGTTCGCTGGTGCCACTTTTGATGCTGGGTGGCGACAGCCGAGACGAGTGGAACCGTGCCTGAGATGACAAAGTCACGAAAGATCGGAAACGGTCTCTCGTTCAAAATCTCCTCCGAACACACTTCAATCAACAACAACAGTCCACCATGTCCGAGTCCATGTCAACAGCAGCGACCCACGTCTTTGAGGACATTGAGGTAGAGGCCGCGGCCGAAGCCGGTCCTTCATCCATGGGCGACGCCGCTGCGTCGCTGTCTCTCGAAGCTGCGTTCGACATTGAGACCACGGCCCAGATCATCCTGGAGGGAGGCTACAAGACTGTACGCTACCCTACACCTGTTACACTGGCTGACATGCTAGATTGCCCTGCAGTTCCCCGACGAGCTCTTGCCGTCCTCCCCGGCCGTGTACCGTGCCCTCCAGGAGCGCGTCGGCAAGACCGGCGCCCAGAGCTACGTCCTCGCCGACAGCACGTACGGCTCATGCTGTCCCGACGTCCTCTCGTGCCTCCACTTGCCGGCTGACTTGCTCGTGCACTATGGCCATGCGTGCTTGACTCCGTGAGTAGGAATGTGGGCCTCGCGCCGCGTGTGAACCACGGCGGTGAATGGCGGGTCGCCAGAAGCTCATTCATTGTTGCCCCCATGAGCTTTGCTGACGCATCTTCAGCACGGACGCTCTGCCTGTGCACTACGTCTTCCCGCGTCGTAGTCTCGATCCCACTGTCGCTCTCGCTTCGTTGACAGAAGCGGCTGGCGACGACTTGAACGACAAGAAGGGCATCGCGCTGGTCTGGGACGTGGCGTACGACTGGCTTGCGGACGAGATTATCACGGCGTTCAACAAGGCTTCTCTGCCCGTTCAGGCGGCACGGATCGTGCGACCGAGCGCGAACCGTGCTGCTCCAGTCGTTGAGGAGGCACCCGTTGCTCCTGCTCCTGCTGCAGCTGCGTCTTGTGCGGACAAGGAGGGTGGCTGCTGCAGCTCCACCCCGGCCACGTCCTGCGGTGACGCGAACGGTGGCTGCTCCAGCGGCGCCTGTACGCCAGCACCGGCCCTCCGTCCCATCTCGGGATCCAAGGCGGCACCCGCGCTGCGTGCCGTCCTCCCCCCGCCCGGCGTCGACATTGCCGACTGTGCGATCTGGTACCTCGGTCCCGACGGCCGCTCGCTGCTCAACCTCCAGATGACACACGCCAACCACACTGTCGTCGCGTACTCTCCCGACGAGGGTGCGCGCCAGGTTCTCGGGAGCAGCAGGCTGCTCTCGCGCCGCCTGTTTGCCCTGCACCAGGCCATGAACGCCGATGTGTTTGGTCTTGTGGTTGGCAATGTCGGTCTGGCGAGCTCGAGGCCGCTCGTCACCGAGCTGAGGGGTGCGCTGAGCCGTGCGGGCAAGAAGAGCTACACCCTCAGTGTGGGACGGTTGAATCCCGCCAAGTTGGCCAACTTTGCCGAGATTGAGTGTTTCGTCCTTATTGGATGTGCCGAGGGTGGTGTTGTCGACTCCAAGGTGAGCTTTCCGCCCCGGTTGTTTGGCCAAAGCTAACATACCAGGACTTCCTCCGCCCCATCATCACCCCCTACGAGCTCACGCTTGCCCTCCAGGGCTCCGAGCACGTTTGGGACCCGTCCAAGTGGACGCTCGACCTCGGCTCGGTCCTCGCCGCTGCAAAGGAGGAGAACCTGCCAGCCAAGGACGCCGACGCCAGCGAGGACGAGCTCGAGTTCAGTCTCGTCACGGGCACGTACCGTTCGCGCAAGACGTTCACCGACACGTCCGCCACGCCCGTGGCCGCCATCGCAGGCGTCACCGACGGCGTCACCGACTTGACGCTCCGCGACAAGGACTTTACCCTCGCAAAGCTCGAAAGCGCCGGCAGCGTGTACCTCCAGTCGCGCCACTTCCAGGGTCTGGACCCGAGGTATGGCCAGGACGAGCCCAGCGTCCTCGAGCAGGGCCGGTCGGGTATTGCTCGCGGGTACACAGAGGAGAAGGACGACAGCAAGGCGCAGTAGAACCAACATACATAGACGGGGTGAACAGCGTGCGTTATGTGCAGAGGGTATAGATGCATAAGATATTGCCAAGTGTAGATAAATGCCAGGGCAAGATGAGACCACACTATATAGTGAACTGGTGACTAAAAGAGTTAGGGCGTGTGGTTTGTTGGGGCCAGCCAGACGTGGCAGGCATGAGAGGTGTTTTGGATCGTCTAGTCCAAAGCGGAAAAAAGAAGAGTCCCAAAGGATAAAAATGAAGATGGCTATGTTTACAAGTGGGACACCGAGGGGAGCAGGGATGGAGAGTTGCGCAAGGGTCGGGCGAGATTACAGCGGTGTCGTGGCGTGGTTGATTGATGTCGTAGATGCGCGTGCAGGTGCAGGGAATAGGATAGAAGGAGGGAGGGGTTTGAGGAATCGAGGTGCGGGTGACCGATCTGAGCGAGGCCCTCGCTGCGATGCAGGAGGGGGGAGGTCTAGAATCTAGATATTTGAAAGCGTATGTGAACGGGTATGTGGAGGCTTCAACCACTCGGGAGGAGCTATGGAGGACAGAGGACAGCTGTCCAGTGGCGCGCCAGGGAGCTTACAGGCTCAGCGTACCGCGAGCGACGCCCAGCGCAATTGCAGCTGTAACAGCCAGGACACCGACACCGATCTGGACCTGCTGGGAGCGCGTTGCCGCGCTGGTGTAAATCCATTTCGGGGGAGCGATACCGTTGCCTGTAATCATTGCGCCGGCCGCGATTGTGGCTTTCCCCGAGCCGATGATGGATGTCGAGTAGCTCACAACCGCATCGTCGGGGACAGACGAGTCGGCAAGCGCCTGGTCGGTGAAGAAGACGACAGCGATGGACGGGGCAGGAACGGTGATGGCACACTCGCCGTTCGAGCACGTCACTTGCTCGGTGGTAAGTTCGCCAGAGAGGCGACCGTCCGAGGCGTACTGGTATCCACCCATCGTCTGGCCAGCCCACGTAATGTTGATCTGCTCGCTCACGCTGGCGGCGCGGAAGTAGCGGACACTGACAGTGTCACCGATGGTGGAGCCATTGAACGAGAGGTTGGCGGTGTAGTCGGATCCGCCACTGCCGTCGGTCACGTAGTTAAACAAGACGGCACGGACAGGGAGGCCGTCCTCGTAGATGATGTACTGGGGGAAAAAGTCGGCGGCGGGCCAGAGGTCGATGATCTGCGAGTTGTTGGACGAGCCAAAGACCTCGGCCACAATGAGGGCAGAGTAGTAGATTGAACCCGTAGTCCAGCCGTAGTTCTTATACTTGCCGGGAGGAGGGGTGAAAGGGTTGTAGTAGACGTTCTGGCCACCCACGTGCATGAGTGCAGCCGAAAAGTTGGTGTAGGCCAGCTGGAGCGACCAGTCGACCATCCACATGGCAGCGCCAAACGAGTCGCTCAGACCGGCGAAACCGCCACATGAGGCAGTGTTGGTCTCGAGCATGAGAATCTCTTTGCCCTGGGCCACCACCTCCTGTGCACTCGCAGTGTAGAGGGCAGCCATTTCACGCGGGTTCGTGTGGTTGAGGAAGTCGGGAAAGATTGACTGTGCGTCGATCACGTTGCCGTTGATCTGGCAGTTGTTGGTCGGGTAGTGCTGAACAGTCACATGTGAGAGATACTCGAGATTGTCGGTGAGCCAACCAGTGTTGAAGACGTCCACCACGTCAAAGCCCGCCGTCTGGCAGCAGACCGAGGGGCCCATGAGGAACTGGGTCTTGAGGAGATCACCCTGGCTGAGAATGTCATCACGCATCGTCTGGAACTCGTTGTAATAGTCGTTGACAGTCCAGTTGCCGTCGCGGTCAGAGTGATCAACGTAACTGAAACACATGTTAGCACGAGTCCTCGCATATCAAACGACCGCTGGTCGCTGGCCGCTGGAGCATGGAAACCTGGCAACAAGGGCAAAACGAGCGTCAATCGGCCCGTGACCCGTGGGGCCCGTCACGACCCGTTTGCGCGCCATTGCTGCGAGAGGCTGGCGAGACGACGTGCTTCTACTTCGCAGTTCTCGCAGCAGTCTCCAAGGTTCCAGCTGACCACGTATGCTACCCACAGATCAGGTTCGTTTCCCATCGCCGTGCCAAGAAGATAGTCGCCCAGGATCGTCTGGGCCCAGTGCGCAGCGAGAGGGACGTTGGGGGACTGGCTTTGGACAGCGGACTCGTTGAAGGAAAGGCCAAAGAACCAGGCCGTGTCGGTCAGGGCCGAAATGTTGCCCATGGTGTACAGAAGCTCGAGAGAATAGTTGATGATGGGAGTCGTTGTAACAGTGTCGCCGTCGTTGTACATCTTGTCAATGGAGCTTCCGTCCGAGAGCCCGTCGACAAGGATCGTGCTCTTCTCCTGGGTGTTGCCGCCCACGCGGATCAGCACGCCCGCGCCTGCACGGTTGCGGATGTTGGCCAAGTAGTTCAAGAAGATGGGCTTGAGCGAACCAGCGTCACTCCCCAACACGTTCTCCGCCACCGACAACTCTACTGAGAGTCCGAGGAAGTTGCCCTTTTGCTATTCTTGTCAGCCTTGCTCGGCGTAAGGGACCACCGTTCGTGATCCGTGAATGACGTCCGGTCGGAGGGCAGTGATGGCCACTCGCCACATATTTGCCGTCGAAATCGCCACTTTGCCGTACTCACCTTGATCGAAAGCAAGTTTCCAGAGCCCCAAACGTCTATGGGGATGCTGACAGTCAGGGCAGTTGTGGGTGGGTCTGGAGCTGCGGGGGCCGAGAGAACGGTGGTGTCGTAGGCGGCCAGACCCGTATAGGTGGCATCGGCAGCCGCTGTCGTTGTGGTGGTAGCGACGACATTGTAGAGAGTGATGTTGGCGGCTCTGCCGAGCTGTGCAGCTCCGAGAGCAAATAGCAACACCTGTGCCCACATGGTGGGGAGACGAGGTGGTCGAGAGGAGCGTCGAGGAGGAGGGCGGGGGAGTGGGGCGCGGTGGGGCAAATGAGTGTGGTGGATCTGGACGATGTCGTGGTCCAGGTGCGGAGGAGATGCGGAGAAAGTTGTCGAACTACGTCAAGGTGAAGGTGAGATCTGAGTTCAAACGGGTGTGTACAGTAACAAGAACGACATGAACGGGATGCAGAGCAGACATCTTGCGACCGTCCCCCCACGGTGAGGAGAGGGAGGGGCCATACGAGTGGGCGAAACAATCTGCAATGGGAGGAGAGAGGAGCAGGCCCGGGCGGACGTCGTGCATCGCGTTTGGATCGCGCGAGCAAGTCCCTGTATGTGGGCTGAGCGTCAGGTATGGGTACTGGACGGCGTCCGGTGGGTCAGGTAGCAGTACTGGACCCCTCGACTGCTCACATGCGTGCTCCCCATGTCCAAGACAAAGCGCAAGTGATTTGCCTGGTGGTCTGCGCCGCAGGCTGGCTCATGCCCTCCCTCGCGCAGTCCTGTCTGTGGGGAATGGACGTTCGACTTCGGGGCCCAGCGTGTGCCCAGCATGTGCCCTCCTGTTGTCGCGTGCGGTGGTGTCCTGCAACGTCGTACACAACGGGTGTGGCTTGCCGTCTTGGCGCCCGCCCCGAGCGGCAGGTGCACCGGGCGTTCCGGACACAAGGGCAAATGGACCGCTCGGGAGTGGTTCTGGACGTCTGGACACTGTACATGAGCTGGAACGTTTCCTTGCAGGCCGCAGATGTTGCTGAGGAACCATGCTGGTGGCAGCTGGTGCTAGCCGACAAGGTGCCGTGGAGCCATGGACAGCGCAGTCTCGTCGCTGGTGCGCCCCACTCGACGGCGTGCGCGCAGTGTTGGTTGCATTGCAATCACATTTGTGGGCTAACATCGATCAGCGACGACGACACAACGACGACGCCCGGGAAATGCAGAAAAAGCCCCAGTTCAAATGTCACACACGCCACAGAGAGGCGACGATGCTGTGCTTTAGAACAAAGCGAAATGTTTGCCCGTCAGGCTTTACACGTGGAGCGGTGTCCTGACCTGACGAACTGCAGCCAGTCGGTAGCAGGGCAATGTCTACAGAGGTCAAAGCTCACCCCACCCTACATCGGCCGTAGGATGCAAGTATGCATGCACCTGAGTCTGGGCTGCGCGTTTGGCGCTGCTTGGCGGCGTGGACGAGAGGAAGAGAATGGAGACGAGGAATAACCTCCAAGCCCGATTCCAAGCCCCGACATCAGGACTTTTTGTACTTACAGGAACCCGAGTGTGGCAAGCAAGCATCAGCTCGTCTGGCGTCTGGCCAGTAATCCCTGGAATTCCAGACCGAGACACGGCTCTGGACACACGTCGACTGGTCCATGTCAACTGGTCCTGTGTTTGCTGCTCATGCCAAAGATTCATTGGGCATCACACAGTAGTGCCTAACCGTCTTATGCAAGCCACGCGACACACCTTTTGGGTTGCGGTGGACTGTTGGTCGAGACTAAATGGAGCAAGTTTCCTGATGGTCGTGTGCCAACATGCCCGCACGTAACCAAGAATTTCCACATCCCGGGCTGGTGTAGACAAGATCTAGTTCATGGGCGCTGAGGGCTGCGAACTGGATGTCGGCTCAGCCCAATGACAGAGTCTGCCTTGCTCTGTCTCTCTGCCCAAAGGCCCCAAGCAGCCTGCCGTCCGCTGCCAAGCTCCCGGACGTATGGAAATAAAGAGCCGCCCGGGCCAAGCGGAGGAGGCGCTCACATCGGGCCTACAACGACTGTGGCCACTGTCTCCCCCACCCAGTCGTAGGGCCATGACGACCTGTAAGCCCCGTGTGGCACCGGACATGGTGCATGGTGGCTGGGTCAACTGCGGACGCCAACGCCAGGATCCTTTACGCCGCCGCTGGCTCTTCAACTTGTGGGTCGACGGCTTTTGCCCCACATGCGTCCACTGCGCACAGTCCCACCTAGGGCGCAGGTATATCCTAAACTCGCTGCTATGACCCGCTTGGCACTGATGGCACAGGGCATAACGAGCTATTGCTGTGCTGTCAGTATGGAGTGTGCTTGAGGAAGAAGAAGTGGTGAGTGGCCAGTTGGTGTTCTTGGCCGTCTGTGCTGACGTTACCCTCTGGCAGCATCCCCAATGTTCCAGTAGTTGGAGGACATGCCCATCACACGGTACGTGGAGTCGTAGTCACATATTCGTTTCCTGACCGTACGGCGCCTGTTGTGCGTGTCAGAATGCACACGAAGCACGAAACAAAGGTGCCTCCCCTCCGTCTCTCAATTTGTGACACTTGGCAGACAAGGCGCAAAGAACTCGAAACGTACCAAGTGCGCTATATAAGTTGTTGGTTACAGTCCCACCACGCCTGCTTTCCGGTCTCACCATGGCTACTTTCTCGAGTCACACAGTAGCCCTCTCTTTCCAAGTCGAAACAACGTGTTGCCATCTACTGTTGACGACTCGAATGCCGCCCATGGCGCCCGGCCCGGCTTGACCCACGCTGATATCACGAAATCGCGAGATCGTCATCTGGTCGGTGGAGTGGAGGATGGCCGTGTTACGGCTGACGTCTCGTGATTCGATATCGCGGACTGCGGGGGTGCCACGGCACACAAAGGTGCCAACGCCCCGCAGCCCGAAGATGGTGACTCGGCGACGATCGCGAAGGAGAAACGCACCGAACACTGAATGAATACTGTTGACTAGGTGCTGAATTCGGGCCATATGCTTGAGTTTCCTACTGCGGCGTGCCTACGTCGCCGGCCCTTGACTTCCAGGACAAGTTACAGATGGCCATATGGCAGTCCGCGATGGTGACAACGGTCCACGATGTTCCTCGGACGTAATCCTCAGACATCATTGGTCGCAGATCGCAGAAGATCATCCGGCCCACGCCACCTGAGCAAACTCTGTAGCAAAGCAGCTCCACATAGCCTGCTGAACACCGGTGAGTCCCTGGTTGTCCAGCTCAGAAGGTCTCCAGGTGGGTGGCGATACCCCGCAAGTTGACCGCTCGGGATCCCTACACATTATGCGGCATTGTGTGAACCGCCACAATCGTTGGTGGCTCTGTGACGTAAGTACGTCCTCTAACGGTACTGCACTTCAGCGCAGAAAAGATCCTTGGATCTATGTTTCGCCGATGTCCGGCGTTCATGCTCATGCCAAAGAGGTTGATTGTTTTGGCTGGTCACTCTGGTGGCCGTTAAACGCCGGCGCGTGACATCGTCGGCCGAGTTTGCACAAATGGAAGCAACAACTGATCCAATGAGTAAGCAAAAATCCAACGGCGGAATGAATGTTAACTCGAGCGCAGTTCCCGCACATGCAAGCCACTTGGCACGTGCTTGGCCAGCAACAGCTTGCAGCCGCACACGACTGCGGCGGACATCACGATGTTTAGAGCTCCAGAGAGCAGTGATTGAGCGCAGGGTATTCGTAGCAGGGACTCTATCGCGTGCTTGAGAACACACTACACGGCTCGATGTATGTGCTGGAATAAGTTGTGCGCAGCCGAAGTTGTCCTCGAAACGAGTCGGTAGTTGTGGTTATTTTAGATTAACCGGAACATCTGATCCAATAGGCCCTCGTCATTGGTAGTTCCCAGACGTTCGTCCGGCCCGGTGTTGCGATGTTGCGCCGGGCAGAGCAACAGGGCGGATAGGTGGCCTGGACTCTGGGGAGTCATCCACCAAGGCCAGGAGACCATTGCAGACAGAACAGTCGGGACGGAGGCATCCGAAGCAAAAGCACGAGGTCATGCAGCAACGCAACAGGGCAAAAAAGCCACCTTGACGGCCTCCACAGGTTGTGTCGCTCCTCTGCTCGGGACCCAATTGACCAAAATATCGACTCGTTGCCACCGAAGCTGACCGTGTTTCTTAGCATCTACATCATTTGTCATATAACACCATCAGCCAGGCAACATGGCTACCACAGAATCCCCTTCATCTTCATCGTTCGCCATGCGCTTCTTTGGCAGCTCAAAAGCCAACTCCCGGCCGTCATCTCGCCCCGCTTCGCCGGCAAGGCAGAAGAACATTACGTGCCGGATCAACGTCGACTCCTATGGTTGCTTCATGATGCACCGCAACCGCGTCGACGAGCAGTCACTCGGCACCAGCACCTCTGTCGCACCCATGTTCCATGACCGCGAGATCAGTGGCGTGCTCGAGGTGGAGGTCCCCAGAGGCATGGGTCGGCGTCGGTGTCGATCCATCAAGTTGACCATGAGGAGCGTGTGTCGGCTCAACATGGGCGACAAGCGGGGCTGGGAAAAGGACGTCCTGTTCAACCGAGGCATCGAGGTGAAAGGTGCAATCATTCTCGAGGAAGGCGTACAGAGGTGTGTTAATGCACGGTGCCGGATGCGGACACACTTTTTGCTGACGCGGTTTGTCTCAGGTTTAGCTTCGCCATTGTCGTACCCTACTCATTGGCGCCATACGACGTCACCCCGCTCGGCGACGTGAGGAGCGACCTCATTGCCGAGCTGGTAGGCTTGGGAGTCACGTCTGTCGATGCGCCATTGTCATGTAACGACAACCCCGACCTCCCACCCGAGGACAAGATCTTGAAGAACATGACCGTCAGCTGGAGCGAGCCTGTCGCTGCCACTGGCGAGGAAGTGCCTTGGCTGCGTGGTTCAGTCACCCAGACGCGCAGCATTGGTTTGATATACAACCCGGACCCGAACAATGGCGTCAACGCCCTCGATGACAACGCGCGTACCGCCATTGACGGCTTGGGCCCCATGGAGCTCCGGTACTTGTCTGATGTGTGGACTGTCTCGGCTGTCCTGAAGACGAACGCTGTGTTCCCCGACCCCTCGCCAGGCGTAACACTCTTCTACGCGGCTGTCTATCTGGAGCAAAAGGCAACAATCACATCGCCACGCGACCCAAAGCCGACCGAGCCAATCTCGTCAACCACGCCGTTCCTCGTCTGGCAGCAGGGCACAAAACCCGCTCCTGGAGGCAGGCTGGGGCGGGACACGCCTGCTCTCTGGCGTGGAAAGGAGGCAGGAGGAAAGGACGAGGGCTTCATTCGCATCACGGGTATTGGCCGATTGCCAAATGACCACACCGGTCGCCCATCCACTCTTGAAGGGTAAGTCAACAGTTCTCCGTTTGATCAAGCGGCATTTGCTAATGTCTCTCAGTATCGTCACCCCGATACACGTATCGCACCAGCTCGTCTTCCACATCTGGTACGCAGTGGCAGGCGAGGATGTGCGCGGTAACAAGCTTCCGCCCAACGTCCAAAACCGCACTGGTTCCCTCCGTCTCATGAAGCACCACATCAACACCATCATCCCGTCGTGTTGCTGCATCCCCGAGCACCTTTCATTGCCGACTTATGACTCATTGAACGTCCACGACCTCGGCCCATGTGCCTTGTGCAAGACTCCCTTCAATGAGCAGGCTTGCCCCACTTGCGTCACAACCTTCCCCCACGCGCGCCACGACCACGATCCGAGGATGGTCGGCAACCTCAACGGCAACTGTCCAGTCTGTGAACTTCGCTTCACTTCGACAATTGACGACTGCAACGAGTGGAAGAACTGTGCATGCGGCTTTAGCTGCCAGTCGCTCGAGGACAGAATGCAGAGCGTCTTGACGGACGACCTGCCGCCTTTCCTCACCCGACCGTGCACCCCGCCACCCAAGGAGGCACCGGCGTGGTAATTCGAGCACTGCTATCCCCCATGTCCCTTCTGTCACGCCCGAACGTTTCTTAAAAAATCATAGTTTATGACTGTTATTGTATGTATCTTAGATGTGAACATGTGTCCAGTGCATCCAGCCAACACGACTGTTGTTGAGACACACACTTAACAGGGCGAATTTCAGTCTACACGGGAAGACTGTCAAAGCAAGCAGCAGGCATAACCGGGTCCCGACGTCAGAGGCTGACGCGTGGCATGCTCATTGGATCATCTTGCATGTGCGGGCGGTCTGGAAGGCCTGAGGCGTCCGAGAACGCCGCTTTTCGACGCTTTGTTCGTCGAACAGTCCCAGTTGTGTGATCAAGTGTGTGCTTTTAACTTCAAATGTTCACTGGTGTGACCTGTTTGTTCTGCGCTTATTCTGTTGTCCTAACCGAAGGATCTGCGACTTGTATACGTGTGTTTCAGTCGTCAGCGTGTGTCATTTGAGAGAATATGACGCGTTGTATGTGTATGGGTGTGGGCGGGCCAAAAAAACACACAATGGCTGTGAAAAGAGCGTCCCACTACGTCATAGGTTGTTATTGCCGCCGTGGCCGCCGTCGATCGCGCGCACTACGCAGCGCAGCCCCGTTTGCGCCCGTCCCGCCCAGCTATCCGCCACCGCAGCGTGGCATCTCTCTCGCTTGCGCCAGTGCGTTCATAGCCAACCTGTGCTGCATCCTTTGTTCCTTCTCTTCCCATCTCACACTCTACACATCTCACCACATCCCATCCACAATGTCCACTGGCTACACCATCCACGTCTCGGGCCTCGCCCCGGAGACCACCGAGGCCAAGCTCCACGACTTCTTCTCATGTAAGTGAAACGCCAATGACGACCAGCTCGAGACGCGAAACTCACACTACCCAGTCTGCGGCAAGCTCACCTCGGTCAAGAAGTTTGGCACTGAGGCCGACATTACCTTTGAGAAGCAGAGCGCTATGCGCACCTCGCTGTAAGTGTCCTGCCGCCTGCAAGGATGCCTCAACTGACGCTCTTTCAGCATGCTCAACGGCGGTACCGTGCGTAGACTGGCTTGGCGTGCAGCTGAGGTGGATGAATGGCGGCCCGGCGCGCTCCCACGCGCTACAGAGCCACCTCTTTGGCCACCTCAACTACATCCACAAGCACAACGTGGACATCGTGCTGACATGTATAGCTTGACGGCGCTCACCTCGAGGTGACCACCCAGGCCCCTGCCGAGGACAAGGCTGTTCTCCCCACCGCCGAGTCGTCTGCCCCTGTTGAGCACCACATCGAGCAGGAGGACAAGCCCAAGGTAAGCTGACGAACCCATCTACCTTTTTCAAAGCTGACCACCAGGCCGCTATCGCCGCCGAGTACCTCGCCAACGGCTACCTCCTCGGCGACCACATCATCCAGAAGGCCATTGACGTCGACAGTAAGTATTGACGGGATACCTGGAGTAGAGCTGCACAGCAGTGTAAGCGTCGCGAGATCTGGTGTCAGCGGTGTGCTTTACGATTGCTCGTGACGTGCGGCCCAGTGCCGCTGCCGGGTCATTTTGGGACTCGCTGGACGCGTGCATTTCGGTCTCTCGACGTCATCGCGAGGCCAAAAAGCGCGTCATTCCATCCAATCTCCCGAATCAACCGTCATTGTTGTTTGTTGCTAACAATTCATCAGGCAAGCAGGGTATCTCGAAGCGCTTCCTCTCGTTCCTTGACAACATTGACAAGAAGGCCGGCGAGCGCTTTGTCGGCGAGAACAAGACCGTCTCGTCCAAGGCTCTGGAGCACGCCAACACCTTCGCCAGCAGGGCCCGCGAGGCCGACCAGCAGCGTGGTGTCAGCACCAAGTTCCACAGCTACTACTCGAAGGCTCTCTCCACCCCCCTTGGCCAGCAGTGAGTTGGCAGCGGCCGTCTCGCGACATCCGTGCAGCCTACTAACCCGTTGTAGGGTTGCCAAGTTCTACCAGGACACCTCGAAGCAGGTTCTTGACGTCCACGAGGAGGCCAAGCGTATTGCTGTGAGTACCTCGCGGACTACGGCCCATTGCAGCTGTAGCTGACTCTAACGAGGCGCAGAAGAAGTCGGCTAGCCAGGCTCCCACTCCCCCCAACGAGCCCGTTGACGCTGCTGCCCCCGCCGCTGCCGCCGCTGCTCCCTCGGCTGTCCCCGTTTCGGCCCCCGTCAACGCCGAGGTCGAGGCCAAGGAGGCTGCCCAGGCCGCCGCCGCTGCCGCTGCTGCCCCCGAGAAGTCGTCGTAAAACCACACACGCTTGCTTAATGACCGGCCCTCTTTCTCCTCTTATTCTGTAGTACTGTAGATCTGGCCCACCATGTCATACGTGCTAATGATGCGAGTCTGCTGCGAGCTGTAATGTGCTACGAACTGCGAGAATGCCCACCGAGGCCCATGCGATGCACTGTGGAGGACGTGCACTGAGCACTGTGTCAACAGCACTCACACCGTCAGCTGGAGCGCGGAGCGACCTGGTTGCCACGTTGCCATAACGCCGGAAACCCCGAGATTCCCGGTGCGAGACGCGTCGCCGCCGCTTAACTGAAATCTGACGCTGTTCTTTGTTTTCTCTCCCACCGCAGTCTCAAGGTCACAATGCTCGCCACACACGGCAGTCTAGCTCGTCTAGCACAGCCTCACTCGCGAGCGGGATAAGGTCCTGGCATTCTAGCCCCCATCTATCGGTCCCAAAGGACCCGCGCGTAATCCCCCTTTTCCGCGCGTCGCGCTCGACCAGAAATGCGCCACCGCAGAGCGTGTCGATTCCGGTCGTCACTCCCAGAGAAGCGCACCACTGTCTCTTCCTCAACGCAAGTTGAGGAAGAAAGGAGGGGTCGCTGAGGGTATGCTCGTGCGGACGGCTTGGTATGAGCGTGGGAGCTGCCTCGTGCCGCGTCGTTTGATCTCTAGGCAGAGACTTGTCTTTCGCCTCGTGGGTCTCTCGGTCCAGCTCTGGTCATGCGCAAGCGTGATTTCAACCTGGAAGCGCCCAATGCCTTTGCTTGGGCCCCGGCACCAGAGGCTTTAGTGCAATTTGGTGACGTTTTCATACCAGCTTGCTGGTTAAACCGCTCTCGATTCTTATGAGGGAGCGGGGAGATAACTCGATCAGGACTACTCTGGGTCTGCGGTCATGGCTCTCGTTAGCCTAGATTTTTCCACTCTTCCATCCTCTTCTCTTTGTACTGTACAGTGATCTGTCCACTGTTGCGGTATGAACTTGTTTGCTGTCACTTTGTCTGCAGGAGTATTGGACCGCTGGAATCCAGCACAACCAACGTGTGCTCCCCACGGACGGCAATTCGCACCTTTTCGATGTGGTCGAGCCTCACGGCAACCGCAAGGTTCAATGCCCTGGGGCGCGCGCGTTGGACTGCAGACGTGCGACTTGCATGGTGCCATTAGGGCAAACGGTAACGTGTGGCGGCGCATGGTTGTCCGTCTGGTAGTCTGGTAGCGCTACGACTCCGCACACCTCGCCGTCTTGCTCGGTTCATGGTATTTGCGCAATCTTGCTTCCTCAGCGCCTCGCAGACCAACACATGTGGTAACAGCGCCTGTTGCTTCCCTGCACCGTTCAGTTATTCTCCTCGCGAGAGGACACAGTGGGGCAAAACCCATCACTCGGCATGCCTAGACTGGCCACTGAGAGCGTGACCTGGGCTGGATGGAAACTGGCGCTGGACACCGTCTCCTGCTACCAGATGGTGGCGTTTTGCAGCGATGGCCTGTGACCATAACTGAGTACCCTATCAGCAGTGCCGAGGATGCAACAACAACCGCACGCCCCAATCCCGAATCCTGCGGAAAACAAATGCTTTGTTATGCGTATGCACCAGCATATGCTTCCAGACGATTCACGGTCTGTACCTCGGTCCTAGCTTACCAAGCTGCTGGTCCGCAGTGGATCAGTGGCAGTCCATTCCTGAGCCACTCCCACTCCCACCCCGCATCCTTCCCTACCTGCTTGAGCAGTTGACAAGGGAGTAAGGAGATTGAATTACGACGCAAGTGGCGGCCTTGCGAGGAAACAAAGCCGGAAAGGGAGCGAGCAAGGGGAGCAAGTGGCGTGCGGTGACGAAAGGCAGCCAACCATCAACGAGAGCGAGCCTGAAGGGAACGACTGTTGAGATCATTCCCGTCTCAACAGTCGTTCATTCCCGTAATGTCGACAGATGGGTTGAGGCGCTCGTTCATCTGCCGCGCGTCCTGACCTCTACTGTGCCTCGGAAGTCCTCTTGCCCCTATGAGTCGTCCCGACATTCCGCCTCCCCGCTGTTCGCAGATACCGCCTCTCCAGGGCCTGAACATACGACCCACAAAGCCGTGTAGCTGTACCGCCTGAAAAGGGAGAGTTTCCATTGGTACGGTGAGACCAGCAGTGTGCACGAGTATGCCTTGTGCTCAACGTCTTCTCGGAGCTTCATTGGTCTTCGAGCAGTGTGCTACCACATCCCTGCGGAGACGCGTCGGAGGGAAGCCATCCGCATCACATGCAGGGCATGAGCCACACCAGGTGCCGAGGCTCAAGTGTTGTCGTATCGTTCTGCAGGGTCACACTGCCTGCATTTCCCATTTTGGTCTAGAGGTAAGACAACTTGATGAGGAGTGAACGGACGAAGAAAAAGGAGTGGAACGAGTTAACGGTAGGGGATCGACGGGCGGCCGGGAGGACGAACCGGAAACAAGGTGCGACTGCCCCCTTCGCTTTCAACATTGTGCGATTCCGTCGAGACTTCAGAGAAACACAGTGTAGAGGTGCCACAAGCTTTGCCACTAACAACAAGGCGGCGTATGCCCGCGTTCTGTCAGTAACACTGTGAGCTGCTCCTTTTGGAACACGAACGAATATGTGGAATGCTGGACAAGGAGTCCAAGGATGTTTACGGCAGGAAGCCGAAATTAGGAGCGCGGCTTCTCGGAGCGAGGCCTGTGACAGCAGTTTGCCGAGGTTTCTCAGACACCGGATCAGGCGTCGTAGTGAAGGTTCACTGCGTATGCAGCATGCAGCCCCCATTTCGTAGGACAGTCACACCCCAGGCCCACGACGCTCAGATCGAGATTGGGCAACGGTGAAGCCTAAACCCTGCATTCCAAGTTCTGGCTGGTCAACTAAGGAAGTGTGCGGGGCAGACTGCAGATGGGGACAAGGGCGGTCAACAAAAGGCACAGAGAAGTCGTGTACCCCAGAAGCCATCCCAGAGTCCGTCCTGCAGTTGCTCCTGGCGACAAGTGATCAGCGACTCCTCTTGGCACTTGGCTGCAGTGCCATGCCCCTGCCATGGGTTTCGTTGGCGCTGTCGTGACCAGGGCCGCGTACCAAAAGCGATCGCAAAGGATGACAGCGTGGCGGCGTGTGCCGCGAGCGTGCGTGCGCCACTTGAATGTTCGTTCCGTCCAAGAGCGAGGCAAGAGAGGACCAAAGATCTCGCTCGGCCTCGTCCGAATCGCACACTGTGCGCGCACACTACTGCCTGTGTGCCATACCGGTTAAGACTTGGGTCTCGGTTGGGAGCCACCAGGCCAGAGGCCAGAGGCCAGCCAGAGGGTTTTTGGTGCCCTTCACCACTCTCTCCCCAGCGGGTGTTGGTCTGCGGAGTAGATGCGGGTCGATCGCTCCGCCGATCCCGCGGGACACTCGTTTCAAGACAACAAGCGCCGCCGCCAGCCTCGTTGCACGCCGCTTCTCCCCTCATTGCCTCATGATGGTGCAGCAGGTTCTCCTGCGCTCCCACTGGACATTGCATGGAGAAGAGCTGCAACGCCGCAACAAGGGAAGCAGCGCAGCCTTCAGGTGCGCGTACCTGTCACCTCGCCCAAAGCCACCCACTGGCCACTGGTCTACCGGTTTGGCGAGCTCAACCTGCCGCTGGATCCCCACAACGCTGCTAGTGTACGGCATCGGCGGTGGAGGCATTGGAACGCCCAGGTAGGTATGCACCGGAGTCTGCTCGCGACCAGCGCAGCCCATCTCCCTCAGGTCAGTTGGTGAACACAAGGAGTTCGTGTTCATCTTACTCCCATTCGCATACGTCGTGGCTCCACGTAAAGTACGGCGTGTGCTGGCCATTCTCATCACACCATCGCCCCGTCGCAAGCGAACACACCCTCGTCAACCTCACCCACCTTGCGTTTCCCGTCCCTGTCCCTCCACATCAACATCCCCTCGTCCTACCGCCGCTCGAGATGGCGCCGAGGAAGAACAATGAGCCAGCAAGCTGGGAGCTGGACGCAGATAAGCCCAAGCCCAAGGGCGAAACGCGTGTGCGGCGAAGCTATTGCACAAAGGAGCTCACAATGCGTGAGTAGCTGGACCTCGCCCAAGGCAAGGAGTGGCAAGGTCGTCGTAGGCCCAGTCTTCAGGAACTAACGTGTTTGTTGTTGTTGTGTGGGAGCTGACGCGCACTCAGGACCAGCACACGGCGTCGACACTGTGCACGATATCATGCTCTACGCCTCGCGCCACCACGGCGACAAGGGCGGTTTCGGTACGCGCGATGTGCTTGAAGTCTACCACGAGCCCCTTTCGCCCGCCACGAGTCTGCGTAGCGGCCAGTCGGCAGGCAGCAGCGCAACCTCCGTCGCCCGCCAAGGCGAGCGTCTACGCCTGGGCCCCGTGAAATTCATGAGCTATACCGAAGCCCTTCAAGAGGTGCGCGACCTTGGAAGCGGCCTGCGTGAGCTTGGGGTCGGGCTGCGTGGCAACCGTGGCTTCTTTGCAATCTACAGTGGAACATCGTGAGTAGCGTCGTTGATTAACAAGTAGGAATTGGACGAGTGGCGCCCATTTCCCGTGGCCTTGTGCTGACGCTGATCTACAGACGCAACTGGATGATGATGGCTCAGGCGTGTGCTTTCAATGGGGCGCCAATCTGCACTGTGTACAACACAGCCACGCAGACCGTTTTGGGCGAATGTTTAGTCGAGGCCGAAGCCGAAGGCGTGTTCACCAACGCCGACCTGCTGCCCAACCTCGAACGTCTCATTGCCAAGACAAACATCAAGCTCATCGTGTACGACGGCAAGGCGGACCCGGCGACCCTCGAGAATCTGCGCGGGTACGAAAACATCGAGATCATGACGATCGACGAGTTGCGCGACATTGGTCTCGAGAACCCACATGTTCAGGCCCACAGGGCCAAGCGCGAAGAGGTGTTCTGTTGCATGTACACGAGTGGCGGCGGCGGAAAGCCCAAAGGTGTGCTGCTCACCCACGGAGCGGTGTGTTCTGCCGTCGGCTCGTCTCACGGCATCATGGGCGACATTCTCGAGGGTGAGGATGTGTACCTCGCTTTCCTCCCTCAAGCACACATTCTCGAGTTTGCTGTGGAAATGACTTTTATCTTTGCCGGCCTGCCCATCGCCTACGGCCGTATCAAGACTTTAACAGATGCTGGAGTCAAGTACTGCAAGAATGATATCCAGGAGATACGGCCGGTGAGTGAGGGCGTCTTAGCATCGGTCGAGCTTTGCTGACCTGCTCTCCTAAGTCCATGATGATCGCCGTGCCACAGGTGTGGGAGCTGCTGCGCAAAGGCATTCTCAGCAAGGTTGAAGAGTCTGGAGCCCTCAAGAAGGCGGTGTTCAACATGGCCGTCAAGGCCAAGAGCCAGGCAATCCAAAAGTCCATCCCCGGTGTGATTGGCGTCACCAACGCGCTCGTGTTCAAACAGGTGCAACAGTCCACCGGCGGACGGCTGAGGACGCTCTTCAATGGGGGCTCTGCCATTGCCCGCTCCACCCAGGCCTTTCTGAGTGCCGCCCTTGTGCAGATGATCCAAGGCTATGGCTTGACAGAGGGGACGGCCATGGCGTGCCTCTGCCATCCACATTGGCCCACCTTTGGGGCTGTGGGAGGTCCCATGCCCGGTGTCGAGATCAAGCTTGTCGACCGCCCCGAGGAAGGCCTTGGATACTTCTCACACGACAACCCGCCCCGTGGCGAAATCTACATCCGTGGGCCGGCCATGTTCAAGGGATACTACAAGCGTCCGGGACTCGATGCGATCGCGTTCACCCCCGATGGGTGGTTCAAGACGGGCGATATCGGCCAGTGGAACAAGGATGGCACGCTCAACGTCATTGACCGTGTAAAGAACCATGTCCGTCTTGCACAGGGCCGGTATGTGCTTCTGGAGCGCCTCGAGGCAATCTACAAGGGCTGCACGTTTGTGTACAACGGCTGTATCATTCCCGATGTCGGCCACCACAACCCTGCCATGGTGGTTGTCGCCCACCCCACGAATCTGGCCAGCTTTGCCAAGAAGAATGGATTCAACAACTACCCCAACCTGGAAAGTCTCTGCAGCAACCCGCGCTTCGTCGATGCGTGTCGCAATGAACTAAACGCCGTGGCCAAGCGCGAGGGTCTCAAGGGCGCGGAGCTGCTCGAGGCCGTCATCCTCACCACGGACGAGTGGACACCAGAGTCTGGCTTCCTCACTGCCGCTCAGAGTATGTAACGCCTCCAGGACACCAGGGCAGCACTGGGCTGACATTCTGCAGAACTCCGCCGCTACCAGATCGAGTACCACTACTTTGAGGAAATCAACAAGGTGTACAAGATCACCGAGCCCAAGTCCGACGTGGCACCGATCCCCACTAGTCCTCTTCCGACGGTGGAGCAGAACATCACTCGTCCGCACCGTACCCGCATGACTATTGCCAAGACCCACGGACACGGCAATGGCTATGGCCACCGCGACGGACCAGGCAGCGCGCCGGTGACAGCAACCGGGGCCTCATTCCCTGGCTCAAAAGGTATCGGCATCGGCATTGACGGCGCCCACCCCGTCTCCCGCACAAAGTCAAAGTCCATCCACCGCCAGGGGTTCGCCAGTGCACGGGACTTCCCCCGCCCTCCGCCCTCCAGGAGTGTCCCGAACCTCGCCACCGGCTTGACCAACCTCACCGTCAACCTCCCCGGCGCCGACCTGCGGGGCATGGGAATGATGCGCGGGGAGGACGACGAGGGCGACGACGACTCCGAGACCGAGACAGACTCGGAGCTCGAGACCGAAGAGGATACCCGCAGCGGGGGCACGAGTGTCAAGGAGAAGAGGAAAGGGTCAGTCCTCCCGCCACTGGATTTCTTCCCGATCCCGCCCAGCTCGCCCCCCGCGAGCGTCCGGACGATTAACCAGTGGTGAGGAGAGATGTGGGTGTGTGCAGGGGTCTATTTTGTTGGGCTTGTGAGAATGAGCTGGAATACACGCAGTTGGAAAACACGACAGAGGAGTCTTGGTTATTGTTGTAACGACGAAAAAAGGAAGATCTGGGTTTCTGGCGTTGTTTTAATTCATTTTACTTGGTTTTTTTTATTTGATCATCTACGATATCTTTCCCACGACATATCCAGCCACTACCCATCCACGTATCTAACCTGGTGCTAAGTTTTCTCCTGCGTGCGTGAGGACACAGCTTTTCGTTGGGTTTGTGGGGGTTGACCAAACATGAACCGCGAAGTGGCTGGTGTGCGGGGCCGGACAAAGGATCAAGCCTATCACATCACTTATGGAAAGCATAAGCATATGCCGTTTATAACATTGGGGTGCACTAACAGTATCATAATAACAACACCTCCGTCTCATTCATGCCCATGGTCAACTCATCATCACCTCATTGTCTATAGTGCATTCATGTAGCGGCCGACACTAAAGCGTCATATTCACCAAACGATACGAGGCGGATGCGCCAGCCGCGAAGGGTGAAAGAGGCGGCCCACTTGTTGACCTCGTCTTCGTCTACACTGCTGTCGGAATCGGTGTCCCCACTGGTTCTAGCGTGAAGAGGGGTCGTACGGTTGATCTCTTCCTGGGCATACATCCGCTTGAAACGCTCAGGCGTGCAGTTTGGTGTCAAGGGCGAGGCAGTTGAACGTTGGCTGTGCTGTTCCTGCGCATGCTGTTGTTGCTTCCGCTGCTGGACAAACCACCGCTCCTGATGGGTAGGGGAGGCGGCCTCTTCCTCAGGGCGGCTTGAAGATGACCACTATGTCTGGGTTGCGGACACCACTCTGGTGACTGGCGACCGTCTTGCTCGTCTGCGATTGACTCTGAGAGGCTATTAGATACTCTAACAACGTTGAGGAGGCACACCAAATGGGCGCACTCACTGGCACCTGAGCTTTTCTGAGCGCATCGACCTCGTTTTTCCACTTGATCAAGAGGGCCGGGATACGCTGCTGGGTGAATGATGTCGTCTGGCCTGACGTGCCACCAAGAATCTGGGCGAGGTCTACCTTTTCCCGGACGACTAGCATTCCAGCCGTCGACATGACATCTGGAGTCACGTTTCCAGAGGCAAGGGTGGTAAGGAGATTCATGGCTGACTGGAGCATGTTCTCCGTCAGCACATCGTCATCGCCGACCGCGTCGATGTAGGCATAGAACTGGCCAAACCTGTCCAAAGGTAGCGGAAACTCGAGAGGGACTGCGGGTAGAAGGGTGATGGGAGGCATCGAAAGAGGAGAGACAGAGAGGAGAGAGTGAACATCCAGAGCGCGCGAGAACCGCGACGCAGGAAGCGAGGTTACGATGCAAAAGCCGGACAAGTAGTCCAAATCAACAACGAGCGGGTGGCGCGACATAGATAGAGACTAAGAATAACGCATCCGACTGTGCATACACTCTCCAATCTATTCAATCCCCCCTCTTATCCATGAATGTGAACCCCTCTCACATGCTCCTCTGCCTCTGTCGTCTTGCTGGGAGCCTTGCTCGGCAATCATCACTGTGGGATCTCGTGGCTCGGCGCGTCGGCAACATTTCTACATCGCTACAGTAGTAGCGCAGTACAGTAGCTGTAGTGGCTTCCAAACGAGGTAAATACTTGCCCCCAGTCCAGTTCAAGCTCGAGATGGTCAAGAACACTCCATGACTCTACATTATTCCGCCACATGCGATGTAGGCCATGCAGTGAGTGCCTGGGAGAACACGAGTCCCAGAACCGGTCCTCTCCACAGTCGTCGCAGACAGATGCATCGTCAAATTACCGCATAAGACCTCATCTCCCCTTTCTCCCTGCTATCCTCTGATAAAACCCTACGCTTCCCCCCTCCGCCTCTCGACTCGCAACGTCCTTGGCGCTGCGACTCGAAGACAACACTGATTGTAAACTAACCTTGGGGGGAAGCTGCGGCGTGGATAGGGTAGGGATTGGTTATGTATTTGTCTCTGTCTGTCGCCTACTACTACTAGCACTCTCACTCTCTCTCTCACTCTGTTATGTCGTCATCAAAGGGGTATAAAGTCATTTCAAGACAAAAGTCGAGTTTCAAAGTTTTCAAGCGACAGCCGGGCGGGCAGTGTCCATTCACTTGTCCTCCTTGTCCTTGCCGTCGGCACCGGGGGCCCACTGCTCCGATCCAGGCGGGTGCGGCAAGCCTGCGGTGGTGCGGACGTTGTAGAAGACCTAAGCAGTTGTCAGTATCCAATTGTATTTGGTGGTGCGCAGCAGCGAGGTGAAACCCCTCTTTCCCACGCTCTGTGTCTCGGCGTGAACCACTCACCTTGAGGAACTTGCTCCTGGCACCCTGGGCAGCAACACCCTTGTCCTGCAGGTCCTGGTCTGTCATCTGGACCATGTCGCGCCAGTTCGAGTGCTCAAAGTTGGTCGTGTACTTGTGGAGACGGAGCACACGGAGCCAGCTCGAGACGTCGTCCAGGATCTTAATGTCCACGTCGTCGGGACCGGCCACACCAGCGCCGCCGCCAGCACCACCACCCTGGCCCTGCGCCATGGGCACGGGGGAGGGCGACTTGCCTGGGTGGCCGTGGCCGCCGCCAAGCATGGGCGAGCGGCGACCCGAGGGGATACGGTTGGCACGGGGTGCGCTGAGAGTCGACTGGCCAGAGGGGTAGCCGTAACCGCCCAGTTGAGCAGCTTGGGCAGCCTGAGCAGCCTGAGCGGCCTGAGCAGCCTGTGAGATCTGAGCCTGAGCCTGTGCGACCGCGAGCATCTGGAGGTGGGCGGCGTTGGGCGACGCAAGCGGGTTGCCACCCATGTTGAGGTTGGCGAGGTTCATGCTAAGAGCTCCCAGAGAGACGGGGTCGCCAAGGCCGAGCGACGTGTAGTCACCACCGCTGCGCGAGCCCGCACCCCAGCCGCCGAAACCACCACCGCCACCACCACCACCGGGGTAAGGTGAGGTGCGGCCATCGTCGTCGTGGCCACCGTAGCTGCCAGCGTTCGAGATGCCCGAAACGTTGCGGCTCTGGGACACGGCACTGCCGCCGGTAGGGCGACGGTACTTGCGGGCATCGTCCAGCTGGACACGGTTGGCGGCAGCAGCGGCACCGGCGGCAAACTGCAGGTTGGCGAGCGAGCTGATGGCATTAACAGAGTCCTTGTCGGTATTAAACATCGGGGCAATAGGCGTGTTGACCATGGACGCCCATGAGCCCGAGGGCACCAGCGGCGAGGTGGCACCAGGCGACACCTCGCTGGGGTGGCCAAGGCCAAGGCCACCAGGACCTGTGCTAAGGCGGGGGGTGGTCGAGCGCGAGCCGTACGAGCCAGGCTCGTGGCCACCGGCGCCGCCAGAGAAGTCGGTGCTCTTGGGGCGAATGTCAGGCTGCGGGGAGCGAGAGCGGACGCTGGCGTCGTCAAGACCCGGGGACGGACCGCGCTCAATAACCTGGTCGAGCTGGCTCGACCAGCGCGCCTCGGACGATGAGGTAAGGGTGCCAGGCGCAGAGATACGGTTCTGACGGAGAACCTTGGCCTTTGCAACCGACGACTCGAGCGCCGACTCGGGGGCAAGGTAGTGGTTGGCGGTGGGCGAGCCAGTGAAGCCCGTGCCGCCGCCAGCCGAGGGCGACTTGAGACCCATACCAGCAAGCTTGGACTCCATCTGAGCATGCATGGAAGGGGGACCAGCCGGGGTAGGCGACAGAACCGCCGCCATGGGGTCGGCCTGGGCCATGTGGTGCAGGACGCTGAGGAAGAAGCGGATCTGGACCGGAGTCGAGTGTTGCAGCAGCGAGTAGAGAGCAGCCGTACGCTCGGCCTCGGAGAGCACGCGGAACCCTGTGGTAACGATGTCAGTTGAGCTTTTCGGTATATGCGTGGGCTGACGCCGCCTGGTGGTCCGCGCGCACTGGGGCGCAGCACGGCGCGCGTCACGGCCGGCACGCTTTCCCCCGGGGAGAGATGTCCCACTCACACTGCTCGATGGCACTCAGCTCCTCGGTGAAGTTTTGGTCCGTGCTCGCAGCGGCCATCTCCTCCTACGTGGACATGTCAGCTGTGGTTCGCGTGTAGGGTTGGCCATGCTCTTCATCGCGACTCACGAGGGTAGCCTCCCAGGAGGCGAGGTGCTTGAACCACTGGTCAATCTGCTCAGCCTCGGGGGTACGAGCCGACTCGCGGCCAGTGGGGAGGAATTCCGACGAGGGACGTCCCGGCGCGGCCGAGACGGTGCGGCTGCCACCCATGTTAGGCCTGGGGGAGAGCGAGTCGCGGTTGCTGCTGCTCAAACCGCCGAGACCCAGCATCACGCCCGAAGTCGAGACGTGGCGGCCTTGGGAGAGGGGGCCACCGGCTCCCTGCGGCGCCTGTCCGAGACCGAAACCACGGGCTGCGGACGCGCTTCCTGAGGTAGTAGGAGGGCCGAGCGACTGGCGCATGAGCTTGGCGGGGTTGGAAGGGTTGACGACGGCCGGGGCCGCCGGCGGCGTGGGCGATGGGGAGCGGTGGGGGCGGAGCGTCGACGAAGCCATGGTAGGATGCGGGCCAGCCGGTGGGCCTGGAGTGCGCGTTAGTTGTTGTTGTTGTGGAGAGCAGGAGGGGTGCGGGGTGGGATGCCTACTTCGTTGTGTGGGGAAGGAGAGGGAGGGGGAGGAGGGAGAGTGAAAGGAGAGTGGGTGGGTGTGTGATGGAGGATGAAAGAGAGAGCAAGACTGTTCCAGAGTGGCCAGGTGGCGTTTCCCAACAGCACGCATCCACCGCACACGCGCGCCCACAACCCAGACTGGCCAGAGAGCCTGGTAGACGGGCGCGCGCGACCAACGCTGCGACTCTTCCTGGGTGGGGCGATTTGGTTCCGTCGCCATATGGCCAACGGGTCCCCCCCAGTCCCGTGTCGCCACTGCTGCCAACTGCTGGGTTTCATCGCGTCGACGCGTCCAGTGCGCCAGTGCACCAGTGCCCCATTGCAGTTCTCCTCCCGCGTCAGATTATCATGACATGCGCACCCATGTGCATAGCATCATGCAGTTTCAGGAGCTTCGCAACACATGTAAATCATCTCACAGCGCAGCCGACAGCTGGTCTACAGTAGCATATATACGCTCCACCCCTTTAAGCTTCCTGGTTCATGACCTCCATCATCTCCCACTTGATCCTTCACTTTTGCATTCAACCGCACACCAGTCGATCGTTTCTGCCTCTCTGCTCTCAGCAATCATATCACCAGATAGCTACGCAAGCCCTGTACCTGCATTATGCTTGGTGAACGCACAGTTGAGCTGACGGTCCTTGTGCGCGGCAAAGTGTTATGACCTCCAACAAAACCCCGACAACGTCAACCCCTCTTCCCTCCATTGTTTCTTACTAATGCATGCCTGCACGGGTGCGGGGGTCTCTATACGGGGCACTCTCTTCAAACAACCTGCTACAAGTCTGGCTCTGAACCATCCGTTCGGCGATTTATCCGCCGGTTTTACTTTCCGATGGGCTGGCCAGCAATCTGTTGGTGTTTTTGTCAGTTCTACACCTCCAGAGACGTCGTCTAAGACGCTCAAAGTCCCGGAAAGCGACTTACCCAGCTCTTTACGTAGTCGGCAAACGATACCATGCAGATGGTCTGCCAGATGCCAAGGCCGATGCGGGGAGCGACGCCGCGGTACAGGCCCTTGATGCCGTTCTGGTTGTAGATGTACTGGAGGGTGTTGACGATGGTGGGCTTGGCGGGGCGGTTGGGGTCCTTGTTCTTGATAGCCGACTGCATCTGCGGGGGGCGTCAGGGGTGTCCTGGGAGCTAGCTGGGAGCCTGTGGAGAGCTGGAGAGCGCCTGCGGGCCGGCAGAAGGTCGGTCCGGGGCACTCGGTGAAAATTGCCACCGTGTCCGACCGGGGGTGTGCCACGGCCCCCTGCTCTTCTGCCTGTGCACTCCAACACGACGACTACTCACCTCAACGCGGACGACCTCGATAGGCTGGTTCCAGGTAGCGAGGGCACCGCCGACGGTGGAAGCGGCAATCTTCTCGGGGGCCGAGAGGGGCTTGTCCTCGGAGATGCCACGGAGCTTGCGGATACCGTTCTCGGCGAGACGGGCGAAACCAAAACGCGATCCCCAGTTGGTAGCCTGGCGAACGGCGACGGCGTTGACACCCTTGTTGATACCCTTGATGCCCTCCTTGCTGTAAATGTCGGCGAAGACCTTGAAGGTCGACTCGGGCTTGCCGCCAGACACGACCTGCTTGTGGCGGGTGATCTCAACGGTCTTCATGCAGGTGCAGAAGCCTGTCCATTGTCAGCACGGCAGTTTGCGGGGTCCCGACGGCCACACAGCAGCAGCAGCACACGACCGTTATTGGTCGTGAGTGTGGGCGCAGGCTTGCTCTGTCGGGTATTGGCGCCGGTAGGCCGATACCCCGGCGCCGGCTGTCCTCCCTCCGCCACATCCGTTCTCACTCACCCATGGTAGCGTAAGCCTGGGCGACACCACCACCGATACCGCCAAGCATGCCCGCGGCAGCCTTGGACATGTGGAGCGAGCCGGTAGCGTACTTCTCAATCTCGGACGAGGTGAAGATGAGCACGGCGCCCTTGGTCGACGCCTCAATCCACGCCTGGTCGGGTCAGCAGTTGCCCGGTGTGGCTTTGACTGTGCGTGCCAGCGTGCCAGCGCTACACGTCTACACGTCGTCGTGTTTGCTGCACTTACCCAAGGAATCAGGCCCTGGTAGAAGCCCTTGATGCCACCGCGCGACCAGATGGTGCGCATAGCGTCGCCCATGCTCTGGGTACGGTTGGCAGCCATCTGGGTCTTGACGACCTCGAGGGGCTGGCCGAGGGTGGTCACCTCGAACTGAGCGCTTTGTCAGCATGTCTCTTAGGAAAAGGATCTCATTTGTCACTCACCAGGTTCATGGTCGCGCCGACAGCAATGTTCGACCAGTTGAAGCCCTTGTCACCAGAGGGAGCCATCTTGAAAGTGTGTTGTTTTGGTTCGGTGTGGTTGGTGGAGAGAGGGAGGGGTAGGGATTAAATCAAAAGCGGGCGCGACGAGAGTGATACGTTATTCTAGTAGCTGTGGAAAGCTGGGTATAGACGTCGAAGAGAAGTGTTCGATTGGGGGTGTCTGGGGAGAGACGGGGTGCGATAAGCGCGCCTTTGTATGTTTAGCGACTCGCTGATGCGACGATCTGGCCCCCGTCTGTCAAGACACCCCCAACGCTCTCGCTCGACACGCTTGCAACGGCTCTATGGGGCGCCATGCCCTTTCCGCAGATACCCGAGGAATGCTCCCGTCCATGGGCCATCCCCACCCAAAGCTCGCTGTAGGCTTGCTGTCAGGCTTGCCGCCAAAGCCCTGCCCCCTCCACCTGGCCACCTGGAAACCTGACTCGCGTCGTGCGATGTGTGAGAAGGGACGCTCTGTGACCCGCGTTTCTAGGGAACAGACCGACAAAGAGTATGGGGAGGTTAGAACCCGCCCATGGGGGCCACGCAACGGCCCGCCGGGCTTAAGCACGAGAGCGCAGACAACGCAACGGCCAGTGAGTGGACGCACCCATTGCCCTATTGCGAGATTCAGAAAGAATTATTTCTGCACGAGAGACCTGAGTCGGTGGGCCTGCACTCCTGCAGGAGGTGCACAAACGCAGGGCCGCGTGCGCGAGTCACGAGCAACGGAGGTGAGGTAGGCGCCAACGTCCGAGATCGCGGGCAAGAACATCAGTCCGGTCGCGCACAGGTCACAGCTTGTCGCGTACATCCAGCTGCCAGATACAACCTCAGCCACTGGCTGCAAGTGGCTCGCCAGCCTAAGATATGCAGATATGCCCGGAGGATGCGGCCCGACCACATGCCACGACCCAAAGGCACAACCAACCTGCCATTGCCGCAGTTGCCGCTCGTGTCGTATCGTCCATGGGCCATGGGTCAACTGTGGCATGATACGTCGATGAGCACTGTGTCCCAGGACCATAAGCTGCGTGGTTCTTGTGCCATACACCAAACGTATACCATCGCGCATCGGCTTGACCTCACGTCCCCACACTGTTGCCCACACTCGGCGCCGCCCCCTATGGCCCACTTGTTCATCGTACGTTATTGATCGTAGTGATTGAAATATATTGGCTGTACAAAGGGCACAGCGCCATACCCTACACTCGCTCCTTGCTCCATGAAGACACAGAAACGGCCGCTCCGCGGGTTCGGGGACAGGGCAGGGCACATCGTCCGAGAAGGAGCTATTAGCCAAAGTGGGAAAACAAACATCTGAAAATCGAGATCAATGAATCCACACGGCCGGTGGGGTCTTGATGTCGCTTGATACTGCGTGCGTGAGGCTGCTGCCCCGATTCCAGGCCCTCCCATGCAGTGTGCTAGCCCTTGTGGGTGGATGTGGGCGGGCGATCACCCTGGTGGCAGGTCATGGGAAGCCGTGGCGTGGCGTTCATGTCCTACCCCACGACGCGGACACTGACTGTCCGCGCACCCCCAGTCGACGTCAGAGAATGGGTCCACGTTTGTTTGGGTGTCCCATTTGCATATTATCATGAACTCTTGGGAGCGATCGTCTGCGTCGCACGTATGATGTCCTCACTGTAGAATCCGCCAAGTCGCTCCCCGCTGTTCTATGTAGTTTTGCGCCACGAAGGCACTGGTCGTCCATGACTTGATGTGGCATGTCGAACGCCGACTCTTCAGCCTGTAACTCGAACGTTGGTGCTGCAGTCAACGGTTCTTGGACGGGGGTTGATGCAGATCAACAGCTACTTGCTAACTGGGCTCTTGCATACGGGCTGACATTGACACACCTCTACGAATGATCCATTGATATGTGACCTGCTCTATCACGCCACATGGGGGTTGCACTGAACGCTGACGGCTCTTGCGCCCGTTGCGCCCATCCATAGACGCACGATACGATCGCCGGATAAAGCATGTCTGAGCTTTTCGAGCAAAAAGCTCGGTTGTAACCAGCATGCTCAAAAAGCTCGAAAAGCTCGATAACCAAGTATGCTCAAAAAGCTCGGCCAAGTTTCAACGGACGCGGGCGCGTTATGCGTTTTCGGGTCGCCCCAGAAACACACTATCCGCTGAAATCTTGACCTTGGCGGGCTCTTGGCAAAGCGTTATGTGTTTCGCCAGGGGCCGGGGTAGGATGGGACGAGTACACTCATGCACTCACGCAGTCATAGCCAGTTGCGACGCAGGCTTTGTAGGCTGGGACGTGTGTCACTGTCTACCACTGGCCACTGGCGTTGATAGAGGTGCCCAGGAGGCGGTCAAATGGTTGAGGCATGTACCAGGTCGTGGCTTGCAACGAGCGTCGGTGCTCACTTACACCGTGACTCATCATGCGGCGTCCTCCACGGCAAGACGCAAACGCATACATACATGCAATGCAAAGAATGCACTTCACGCGTTATGTACTCCCGGGGGAGGGGCAAAATACATGTAGCGAAGTCAACGAAGACGCTGACGGCTGATTCCTCGCGCCAGTGGCATTGTGGCCACGCACGGCACACCAGATGGCCTTGCCTTCGTTGCTCGGTGTTCCTCGCTTGACCACGGTGGGCGAACAGCATGAACAGATGACTGACCAACTTCGTAGTGTTCTGTCGAGTCTGACGTGCTAGACCACAGCCTCAGATGCGTCATGACGGCTCCTTCGTCTGTCACACGAGCAGAGCCAACCATACCCCTCCCGCGCTGGCAACGAACACTTTCCCAACTCGACACTCCCAGTCCGTCTCCCAGCCTTGATTAGTGTCACAGTCCCGGTCCTCCACACACATATGCGCAATCTGGCTCTGCACTGCTGCAACATTCCGGTGGTCCGGTCAAACGTGCATCCCGGCATAAGAATACACAGCCCTCTCCATGCAGAAAACCAAGTCGTAAATGAATTAGAGCATTTACTTCTTGGCCTCCTCGGCGGCGGCCTTCTTCTCGGCGGCGCGCTTGGCGCGCTTGCCGGCGTGGCGAGCGTCCGAGCGGGCCTGGCGGAGAGCGGTGAAGGCCTTGAACTCCTTCTCCTCGGCGGTGATGGCGCGGGGAGCCTCGGCGACGTAGGTGGCGGGGAGGGCGGGGAGGTCACGGGTGATGTGGGCGGTGAGGTCGTCACCCTGGGCGTCACCGGCCTTGGGCTTGCCGTGGACGCGGGGGAAGACAACAAGGCGGGCCTTGTAAGCCTGGAGGCGCTCAACGTTGAGCTTCTGCGACTCCTCCGACTTGGAGCGGCGGCGGTGGTCGACAACGATGCCGAGGCCCTTGGCCGACTTGCGGTTGACACCGGCAAGCTTGAGCTCGGAGAGGGTGAAGCCACGGCCCTCTGGAAAGATTGTCAGTAAAGTTTGCTCTCGAGATTCCTCCGAGAAGCAGGTCCTACGCACCACGGATGCGGATGTTGTAGCGCTGGGTGGGGCAGCGGACGGCGGGGCGGAGACGCTGGAGGGGAGCGGCACCCGAGGCAAGAGCCTTCTTGGAGCGGGCGGTGCGGCGCGACTTCTTCTGGCCGGGCTGGTTGAACTGCACGAGATGGTCAGAAAGGCTGCTCCTTCAAACTCGGTCCCGAGAATCCTGATCTACGCACCCAGGTCTTCACCCTCCTCTGCCAGTCCTTGTGGAAGTGGTTCTTCTGGAGCTGGTTGTTGTGCTTGACCATGGTGCTGTTGGAGGGAAGAGAGGAATGAGGAAATGGCGAAAGAGGAGACGAAGGAGAAATTCAAGATTTGGGCAGTGTCCAAATTCGACCGCAAGACAAATTGAAATTGACACAAGCACAGGCAAATTTCGAGGTTTCCAGGAGCGCACGAAACGGGCAGAGCGCAGACAAGAACACAGGGGGAGAGTTGGCGAGTCGAGAAACAGCAGGGAGGACACAAGAGTGCACCAAAGGGGAGAGAATTTGACGTTTGCGACAAGGGCGGCACAAGGACACAGACGACACGAGAGACGACGCGGTAAACGGAGTTCGACGATGGCGGGGACAGCGGGGAAGCAAGCGTCAGCACGGCGGTTCTGTCGTTGTCGTCGACGGCGACGTTGTCGCCGTCTGTGGTACCCACCTCTTTTGTCCTTGAAGGCTGAGTAGGAAGTTGCGTCGGACCTCGAAACGTCGTGCAGCCAGCGGGCCTCGCAGGACGGTGGCTGCTGGCTGACAGTTGTTCGTTAGTGTAACGCCGACCCAAATGCCGGGGCGTCGGGCACATTGTGGCGCATTCATTTTTCACGTCGTCCCCCCGTTTACGCACGTGGCACCGTGTGTGATACGCCCCAGCGCCCAACACACACTACACGTCATGTTCCACACCTTTCAAAAAAGTGAGGTTCTCCTGCTCGTCGTCTCGCACCGCGAGACCCGCGCTGCTGGGTATTTAAGACGCATGGATGCCTCTGTTGAACAGTACAAACGCATTTTAACTCTGCTTTCAAAAAGCTCCGTCTCTGCTGCTGCTCCTCCTCTCCGAGTGATGGAGCGCACAGCGTGTCGGTCGTCCTACCGTAGAGGAGACGAATGGGCCATCGGCTCGCAAACGTGGTTTGGGTGGACCGTCGAGCCTGTTCAGTGGCCGGGGGTCCAAGCCTTGTTTGACAACTTCAACACTTCTTCTATCGTCTTGTATTCATGCACATGTACATGTGCACTACACAGCCAAGAGCTTTCGCTGGATCGGTGGGAGGACGCTGACAATACGTTGGGATGTTGACATTGTGTTGACAGCTCTGGATTGTAGGTTTGGGCGCTCGGTTGATCAGTGTATGTTTGCGCGTGCTTGGGCGTGTTTGCTCGGGCGTGCTTGCCGGTGTCGTCCCAAGTCCATCACTGGCCCAGCACTGTCATGGGCGCTATAATGGGCGCTGTAATGGGCGTTGTAATGGCGAAACGGGGTATGCATGTGCAGGGTATTCTCGTCTACAAAGTCACGGAGGAACACTAGACCTCGAGCGAGTCGACGACCATTGCCTCGTCGGCGCCCTTCTCTTCGCCCTCTGCCGCCGGCGCACTCTCGTCAGGTGCTTCAACGTCTGCTGGCTTGCTAGCACCGGCCTCGACGAGGGACGCAGTCTTGAGTCGTCGAATCGTGGCAGAGATCTCGGCACACTTCCTGGGCGGGTCAGCTACGCCGATCGCGTCGAACACCCACTCTTTCAGACGAGACGTCTGCGCGCGCCTCTCCTCGAGCTGCTTCTCCATGAGCATCACGAGCGTCGCCTCGGCCTGGATGTTAGCTGTGATCCTGAGGATACGGCAAACTAACCTGCACCCCGCGAAGTTGGTTGGCAGACACCATCATCGTTGCAGCCAAGTTGCTCAGGTGCTGGACGTACTGTTGCAAGTCAGTCTCACCACTTCCATGCGAATAGTCTGGTTACTCACCTGGTCACCCTCGCTCGCGCGCCCCGTCATCTCCAACTCGCCCGGTATCCGCGCCGTGCCCGTGAGGACGTCCACGAGGGCGAGAAGCGTGTGCAGGAAACTGTGCAGGAGGGTCGGGAGGGCCGCACGCTCGCTGTCACCGCCAGCCGACACCGGGTCAGAGACGAGTGCTGGCAGACCGATTTCTTTGGCGTTGGCAATGTGCGGTTCGGCCTGCAATTATCAGCTTGTGAATCTGGATAGAGGAGAAGCTGGTGAGAGTCGCCAGACAGGAGCGGGGAAAGCGGCGACTCACAGTGTACATCTGCCCAAACAGCATCCACCTGCCGTCCTCGAGCACCCCGTCGGCGCGGGGCGGGGACAGCTCGGCGACTAGCTTGTCCATCTCGCCTGCCTGCGCGGGGGCCGCGAGGGCCTCGACGTCCACGCCAGCGAGGGGCTTGCCGTCCTTGTCCTTGCCCGGAGCGGTGGATGGACCGGCAGAGTTGGAGTCGAGGTCGACATCACCGTCGGCGGTGCTGGTCTGCGCGCGCAAAGCTGCCAAACGAGCGACATTCTGCGCAGTGAACGCCTTGTAGTACCCTGGCGGAGGGGGGAAGAGGGTGTTGGTGATGGGAACGCCTTCTCCCATCGTTGGTAGGTGATGGATGGTGGATGGTCGGATGTCAATATCGACGCAAGTGGGGCGGAATGAGGAGGGTGGAGGTTGTCCACTGGCCACTGATCCACTGACGATCTGTGATCGAGCGAGGTCAGTTTTGTCCCGCGCCAAGTCTTGCGATCTCTACCACGAGCAGCCACCATTCTCACTGTACCAGCGCAACACCCACCTCCCTTCCATGATGATACAAATGCATATGACTAGTCAACCAACTCCTCTAAACAGCCCTGGCGAGCACGCTCAGTGCCGCCTGGCCACACACCCGCAGCACCTTGCCCTCCAGCTCGTTCACGCCCTTACCTGGGTTCTTGATAACGCTCTGCATGACCCAGGCAAGACCGCCAGCGAGCTCGGGCGCAGCAAGGGCCTTCTCAAACGTCTCCTCGACAGCCTCGATATCAGTGTCGTCGATCGTGAACGCTCGAGGGAGGGTCAGGAGTGGGGACGGAGTCTGGATAGCGAGCAGAGTCGAGCGCACGACGTTGTCAAAGAACTTGCGCGTCGGCTTGGACAGGTCGGTAAAGTCTGCGGCCTTGAGGATCGTCACGTCGACACTGCCACGAGCAAAGCAGAATGCGAGCGCGCGGGCAACGTGCGAGGCGCGCGAGTCGGTCACAGCCCCCTCGCCGAGCTCGCGGAGCAGGTCCCACAGAGCGTACTGCAAAGTGAAGCGGTGGTCGTACGAGTTGGCGCACAGGTTGTTGAGGACCAAGGTGTAGTACGGGTTGTAGTTGGTCTCCATACCACAGCAGTGGAGGGCGACGCGAACAAACTCGCGCTGCTGGACCTGAGTGAGGCGGAAGGCGTTGAGACGGTCACAAGCGTGGATATAGTCCTCGGACGTGAGAAGAGTGACAAACACACTCCTGCGCACATCCGTGTTCATACCCTGCTTGCGGGCCAGCTCAAGAAGCACCTCCTCGTCCTCCTGCTCGGTCTTGGCCTTCTTCTTCTCCTTCTTGCCGACAGTGATGGTGTCGCCGCGCTCGACGAGAGGGTTACCACTCCAGCCAGCACCGACGAGCCACCACTTGCCGCGCGAGTCGGCGTTGAGAAGGTCGGTAAGGCTGACTCGGATAGGCTCAGGAGCAAGAACTGGGACGTCAGTTATCGCATCGCGTTGGTGAACTCACGACGACGCTTCTTGCCCATGCCACCGAGGTACTTGCGCATGCGCGCAACGTCTTCGCGCTCGGTACCGAGACCCTTCTTCTTGCCGTTCTGGAGGTTGACGAGCGTCTCAACCATGAAACGAGCACGGGTGGTCATCTCCTTGTCCTTTCCGCGAGTGCGCTCCTGGACAAGGGCGACAATGTCCTTGAGCGATGCCGAGTCGTCGGCACGGAGCTGAGAACCACAGCCTGAATGTCAGCTTCGGACTTCGGTGTTTAGCTTACACTTGAGAATCTTGAGCAGGCCCTCGACGCTGCGCTCGGCCATGACGCTGTCACCAATGAATCCGCGCACAAGGTCGTACACAAGACCAGCGCCGACCACGCCGGCATTGTACAGCTCGGCAATGAGGGTGAGGAGGTTGTGGGCCTCCTTGTAGGCGTCGTCCTCCTCGTTATCCTTGTCGGCGGCGTTGATGAGCTCGTTGTACTTGTGCACGAGGGTCTGGACAAAGTGGGCACCAAACTCAATACCGATGACGCGGTGCAGGGCGCCCACAAGAGTGGCGTAGAGGACCACAAACGAGTCCAGAAGGTTGGTCTTGGACCCGATCATCTGGATGACGAGCGTGGTGATCGTGGTGGTGACGTCGTTGCGGCTGTATTCGCCAAAGAGCTTCTCAACTTCGGCGAGGATGGACTCGATGTTCGCCTCGGACAGCCTGGCGGTAAGAGTTAGCGGGGTGTCACGAAGCAGTGAACTCACTTGTTGAGAAGACCCTGGGCCTTGCGCTCGAGCTTGGCGCGCTCCTGGACGCGAGCACTGTCACCCGCCGCCTTCTCGGCGAGTGCGGCTGCGCGCATGTGGGGAGGGAGGTACCGGCCAGTGGTTGAGGGGGCAGCGGCCTCGGCGGAAGGCGTCTCATCCTCGGCGGGGAAAGCAGATGGCTTGTCGTCCTCCTCGTCCTCGGAGAGGTCGACCTGGTCCTCGTCGGCGTCGACCTCCTCGCCATCGTCACTTCCCTCTTCCTCCTCGTCCTCCTCTTCATCTTCGTCCTCCTCTTCGTCGCCTTCGCTGAGGTCGATTTCCTCATCGTCGCTCAGGTCGTCGTCGAACCCTGCAAACTCCTCCCCGTCCATGTCGCTGTCCATGTCGTCGTCGTCGCTCACGTCGCCGCGGCTGATACCCTTGCCACCGGGACCGAGCTTGCCGGCAAAGTTGAGCAGGTCTGTCATTAGCTCCAAATAAGGACCATCCATAGCTAACTCACCATCAAGGTCATCCTCCATGTCATCCTCGCCCTTCTTCTCGTTGGCGAGCATGTACTCGAGCCAAGCAATCTCGCGGTCCTCAACGTCCACGTCGTCCTGTGGGAGGACGAGCTCCTTGAAGCGCTCCTTCTTGGCCTTTTGGGCCTTGGACTCGAGCTTCTTCGGCTTGTCCTCCTTGGCAGCCTTAGCCTTCTTGCGTGCCGGCTCGGGCTGGTCGTCGTTGTCGGCCTCGAGCTCGGGGGAGGCACGACGCTTGCCGGCCGCCTTGGCCGAGAGCGCTGGCTTGCTGTCCTCGTCGTCGCGCTGTTGGCGGTGCTGCTGCCTCTCCTGCGGGGAGGGACCCTTGCGTGCGGCCTTGCGGGCGTCCTTGCGTCCGCGAGCTCCACCGAGGTTACGGGGAGCGCCTGGCTGGGTCAGTTACAAACGCGTTGTGGACCCACCGTAGCTGGACTCGACCTCGGCCATGAGCGCTGCAGGAAGCTTGGGCTGACGGGCGCCGAACCCGCTGGATCCACCGCGTCCGCGTCCGCGTCCCCGTGTGTTGCCTCGGAACGACATTGAGGTGAGGTGAGGTAATGGATTTGTTTGTTGTCTGGTCTTGAGATGGGCGGCGAAGAATGCGTTCATAGACATTTTGAGCGAGGAACGGGGCCACTTGGTCACGTGATTTGCGGGCAGCGCGCTCTGTGCCTGGATTCCTGAGCTGGTCATTTAGGCAGAGCAAGGAGCCGTTCGCAGTGAACGCTCACACCTTGTCGTCGCCGGAACGTTGGGGTTCCAGCTGGTGGTCGCGAGCATGGGCGTATGGAGTGAGTCTATATCAGAGGAAGTGGTGGGTATGTTGTTGGCAGACATATTTAAATTGATCCGTATTGACAACACCACAACCGTATGAGGCTCAGTAGTTGGGGTTGACCCTCGTCCATGCATGGTGATCATGCCTTCCACACGCACCTCAACTCTTTCACATATGTCCGTGCAGTTTGTTTGCCTATCTCTCGCGCCTCTTGGCCGCAAGGTCGCGCTGGATCAAATGAGCCTATTTTTTATTTTATTTTTCATTTTCGGCACCTTTTTCTTTTGGAAAGGCAAGAAAGCCACGTCTAATAAAGTGAAGTCGGGTTATCTGCTCCAGTTCAGTCGAGGAGAAATGTATGGACCTGAGTCTCGGGCAACCGGCTCTGTGAAAGCCTTTGGTTTGTGGACCACTGCGTCCAACGGCGATGGTTGGTGGTTCGGAATCCTCTGCCTCGTCGGTCGAGGAGGCGCATAAGTCTGAAACCTGGATCATCCCGATATCCGATCACTCTCGCGAGCATCGGTTGCGAAGCTGCAAACCACCTCTTTATCGTGACGACGGGTAGACACAGGGCTAGCGGCCCCTGCATATAAGTCTTGTCATGTTTGCCTCATCCACAACTTCCCCATGATAAATCCTCCTCCAGCGATCCAGCGATCTACTGGCCCACTGGAACTGCCCAATACAGACCTTCCTTCCTACCTGGACGCTGTAAGCTCGATGATCGGGACTGGGTGCCGATGATGATCTGCAGATGAGGCCGCGTCACGGTGCTCGCCTGTGCGCACCTACCATTTGCTCGCCCACCACACGTCGAACAGGTGACGGTCCATTGCTTGCCACCGTGTGCTGAGCGTTTCCAGGTATTCCAGGTAATTTGAATAGAGGTGCGTGGTGGACTATGAGGGGCTGGGTGACGAGACCAGCAGGGCATCCAGCGTACCAGCGTCGAGCCCTCACGAGGATTAATATATTTGCCCGCGACGGTGTGTGCAACCAGCGCTGGGCCGGCGCTCCGTGCGTCTGCGATCTACGAGTCTGTGTGTGCAGGTGCGAGGCATGCGAGGGCAGAGCAAGGCGTTTGAGTACGGATTGATCCCGCGAAGAGGGACAGATGTGTGTGTGTACATGTGTGTGTGTGTGCCACAGTCCGCGTCACTCTGACGCGCTGGTTACTGCACATATATCAGTCTGCCCGCCAGCCCCATCCATCCCGTATATATTTCTTCCCCCACTCGCCATTGCCTCTATCATTCACAACTCTCTCTCTCTCTCTATACATCACCACCAAACCCTCACCCATCCACTTTACCCCAACCTCAAGTAACATGGCCGGTACGTACATGCAAGCTCGCCACTCGCCGCGGCCGTGGTGGTTGTTTACCCGTTGCTGCAAGCGAGCTGACCGTAGGGTCTTCCTTTCGCTTCCCATTACCCACAACCCTCAACTACATGGTTCCCACCACCGCCCTCTATCCACATCAGCTGCTACCACCAAGAGTGAGCATTGCACCTCGTCATGGCCTGGGAATCCATACAGTCGCTGACGACGGCTCTTCCTCGCCACCGAATCTGCACCTTTCGCCCCCCTTTTCCCTGACTGTACCGGTCCGCTCACCCACCTTCCCCGGTGACCCACCTTCCCCCAATTCCTTCCTCCACCGTCAACCCCCAGGCAAGGCGACTGGCAAGAAGAAGGTCAAGAAGGGCGCCTAGTGAGTGACCATCCATCGCTGCATCACGACCATTCGCATTCCCGTCATCTCTGGGTGGCCTGGCAAAGCACCTCATGCCCCTCCGATCACCGCACCGCGTTGCAACTAGACGCTTCACACACACGGGCACTGACCACCCCAGCAACCGCTACGTCAAGGCTCAGATGCCCCTCATGAAGGCCGAGGCCACGAAGAAGGGCGAGAAGTTTGTCAGCGGCGTGAGTCAATTAGACGCGTGCTCGATCTCGACGTTTCTCGTCTCGAGCAAAGGACTGACACGCCCAGAACTACTTTTCCAAGATCGGCGAAATGTGGAAGACTGCGTGAGTGTATGGACGGCGGGCAGGCCCAACGGTGGCTACGTTGGCGCCCTTCGTAGCCCACACTGACGCCCAAACCAGCCCCGAGAACCCCGTGCGTCTAACGATGATTGGCGTGATTCGCGTCCCCGCGGCCTCAGACATCTCCTTTTTGTTTTTGGCTGACCCTTGGCAGAAGAACCAGAAGTAAACGAGTCTTCAAGATCGTTCTCATTCACGACGTTTTTCAAGACATGGAGGTGATAGACAAGACGCGACGTAGCACGGGCAGTTAAGCGTGGAGGGGCTGGGTGACAATGTTAGCGTGTGGATAGCGATACCGATGTGATTGTGGTAGTGTGTGTCACTTGACAAGGCGCATTTCAACGTCCCATCACGCGAGCTCACTGTCTCCTGCTAGCTGCTCCTCGCACATGCCACACAATGGCTGGTTGCAGGTTGCGCTCTGCCTCACATGCCACCGGCAGCCGCGGCTGTGGCGTCATCAAGGGCCTTGGCTGGACCGGGTAAATCACCACAACGAGCGATGCACGCGCGCGCTTGTGTGCCTAGTGCTGGCAGAGCGGCTGTTTTGCCGCAACTCTGGATCCTGCCCATGTGTCGTCAATTTGCCTGTCGCTCTTCCCATCGTCCACTCTCACACATCGAAAACAACAACAGTCGCACACTTTAGCGGGGACACCATGTCCAACTTTCCGCACTCGACGCTCGCAACGAGCCTCTCCACCTCGCCGTACGGTACGTGCTCCAGCTGCCAAGCAGGCAAATCTGCCGGCCAGGTCGTGCGGGCAACTCCGCCCACCACCTCAGCCATCTCCTCTATACCCCCTCCCTCGTCCTCGAGAGAGTGAGAATCTGCATACTGACACGCCCCAGCTCTCACAAATAACCTCGAGGCCCTCATCCAGCGTTCTCGGGCGCACCCACATGCCCAGTCCCACCGCCCACGGTCGCCCACCGGCGACGACATTGACGGCGATGGCCGTCGCGCCTCGCAACCCGACTCTCTCCACCCGCACAGGAGGTTGAGCACTATTAGCACCAGCACGGCAGTCACCACTTCTGTCGCCCCGGACGACTCGGGGGTCCTCTTGTTCCAGCAGGACAGCGTCGAGGATCTGGCACAGCGTGCGCGCGACGACGAGCGCGGCCGCCCCATCGACGGCGATGGGCCCGGCAGTCGCTGGCGTCCAGCGCTTTCTGGGAGCTATGGCGCCGTCGAGGACAGCAAGCCCCTGGTTGGCGGTATTCCCAGCGGTGGGCAGCCCATCGTCGCACGGAACGCTACCGAGGGTAACAGTCGGTCACGGAGTAAGGGCCGTACGCCACCGAGGACCGTCATGAGGCCCATGACCCTCGCGCACCGGAACGCAGCGGCCGCCGCTGGTGCCAGCCTCGGCGCGCTTCCTTCTGTCGAAGACATGGCGGCCTCGCTCGTGTCCTCGATGGACGACGAAGAAGGCCACCCGGGCCGCTCGCCTTATGGATCGATGGCACGCCGTGGTCGGTCGGCAGAGGCCCGTCCCATCTCGCCCGTGGCCGTGTTCCGAACTCTGCCCACGTTCGACGACGAGGCAGACGACGAGGAGGCAGAGTATGCGCGCGCGTCTGCTTTCCATGGCGGCCTGATTCCTGGTGCTGGTGTCACCGGCGAGATCCTATCGTGTGACCCCGCGCAGGAGCTGGATGCCGCCGACCTCAACCTCCCTACCGATGCCACTGGTCACGAGGTCCATTCGGCGCGCGGTGCGCTCACCGTCGAGCTTCCTCTGCTTGTCAAGTCGACAATCCCGGTCTTCTTCACCCAACTCGCCGAGTACTCGCTCTCCCTCGCGAGTGTCATCTCCATCGGCCACCTCGGAACCGGAGAGCTCGCTGCCTCGTCGTGAGTTGCCGTCGTCACGAAGGTATCGTCCGCTAACTCTTCCTACAGGCTCGCGAACATGACTGCGTCAGTCACCTGTTTCTCCATCATGCAGGGCCTCGCCACTGCCCTCGACACCCTTCTCCCTGCCGCATGGACATCGTCGGACCCCACGCGCGTCGGCCTGTGGACCCAGCGTATGAGCGTCGTCATGGCCGTCGCCATGATCCCGATGTTTGTGCTGTGGTTCAACATTGAGCCTGTGCTTCTCTTCCTCCACCAGGACCCCACCGTCGCCTCGCTCGCTCACCAGTACCTCACGTACTTGTCGATCGGTATCCCCGGATACGCAGGCAACGTGGTTCTCAAAAAGTACCTCCAGTCGCAAAACAACATGCGCGTCCCCACCTATATCCTCTTTGTTGTCGCCCCCCTCAACCTCGTCCTCAACTACCTGCTCGTCTGGGGTCCCGACTCGATCCGTCTGGGCTTCAAGGGCGGTGCCATCGCCACTGCCATCAGCTACAACCTGACTTGCATCATGCTGCTCGTCTACATCCTCTTCATTGGACCCCGTGAGGCCTTCCACCCGCTCACCGTCCACGGCACCTTCTCCAAGCTCGGCACTGTCACCTCGCTGGGTCTCGCCGGCACCATCATGCTGTCGTCCGAATGGTGGGCATGGGAAGTGTGCGCTCTCGCTGCCTCTCTCCTCGGCCCCACCACCCTGGCCGCCCAGTCTGTCCTCCTCTCGACCTGTTCGACGCTGTACCAGTTCCCTGCCGCCCTCGGTGTCGCCGCGTCGGTGCGTGTGGGCAACCTCCTCGGCGCCGGTCGCGCCTGGGAAGCGATGTGGGCGTCGCGCGCGAGCTTTATCCTCGCGTTCCTGTTTGCGCTCCTCAACAGCACGGTCGTCATGCTGTTCCGCAAGAACTGGGGATACATGTTCAACGAGGACCCCGAGGTTGTCGGCCTCGTCGCCGCGGTCATGCCCTTCATCGCCCTCTTCCAGGTCATGGACGGTATGGCCGGTGCGGCCAACGCCGTCCTCCGTGCCCTTGCCCTGCACTCGAGCGGAGCGATTGTCAACATGACGGCATACTACATTATCGGCATTCCTCTGTGAGTACAGCTGAAGGTGTTGTGTACGGCAGCTGACCCTACCAGTGGCCTGTGGCTCACCTTCTCCCCTCGCGTCAACCTCGGCCTGGTGGGTATCTGGATCGGCCTGACCGTCGCGCTGTCGTATGCGTCAGTTGTCGGTGTCGGCATCGTCTGGCGCGCCGACTGGGCGCGTGCCGTTGAGCGTGTCCGTGAGCGCCTTGGCCTCAGTCAGCTCCCTCGCGACATCCAGTTCGCCGACGAGCCCGAGCCCGAGCCGCTCTCGCGTGTCAACAGCAAGAACGGCAATGCGTCGGAGAGGACACCGCTCCTTGTCTGAGCAAGTGTTCGCATGTGTCAAAACGCCTAGAAGAGCCAGAGAGTATCGCGGAGTGGAGATACGCAGAGGGGAGAGGCGAGGAGAGAGAAAGTGTGGCCGTTACCAGAGGAGGCCAATTTAAAACATAACTTGCACGCATTTAGTACTATGTCCATTTTTTCACCATGCATTGTCACTGTCACGATCACGACGAGGCGATCCCACGCCACGAAGGCTGGACGCACTGCCACAAGAACCATTCAAGGTGACGCGCGCTGACGGTGCAGAGACATTCTCAGGTCCGGCGTGGTCCGAGGCGACCTCTGCGAACCCACGCGACCACGCGACGCTTCGCGTTCGCCGCCGGCACAATCCTCGTCCTGAGAGCCTGAGGGCCCCGTTGTTATAACTCGTCGTGTCTTCTTTCGCCACCGACCACTCCATCCCCACCCTCTACCATGCCTCACATCACAGAGGTTAACGACAGCGTTGACGCGGCCGCCATCGCTGCGTCGGCTGCGCCCGCCGCCGAGCCCGCTGCCGTCTCTGCCCCCGCCCCCGCTGCCGGCGACGCCGAGCCGCGCCGCGCTCGCCTCGCCGGACCAGAGATCGTCCAGCTCCCACCCGACCCAGACACGGACGACGACGACGAGCCCGACTCCAAGCCCGAGGGCGAGGCGCGCGACGACGACTTCCTCGCCACGTACCCTGCCGACACGGAGGAGCTGCACCTCCAGCACTTGCGCCTGCACAACAGCTCGCTGCTGCCTCTGCGCCTGCCGCGCTTTGGCAAGAGCCTGCGCCGGCTGTGTCTGCGCCAGAACGAGCTCAGCTCGCCCCTCCCCGGCGAGGTGTTTGAGGGCCTGGACGCGCTGGACGAGCTGGACCTGTACGATAACCGTCTGGGCCCCCGCGTCGGCGACGACGAGCTGGGCGGCGTCAAGAACGTGACGTGAGTAAGCAAGCAAGGCTGCTCACCACTGCCAGCTTAAGACTCTGTTCATGTCATGTCCGAAGCTGACGTTGCAGCTCGCTCGACCTCTCGTTCAACAACATCCGCCACGTTCCCTCCTTGCCGTCCCTCACTGCCGTCAAGATCCTCTACCTCGTCCAAAACAAGATCACAAAGGTCGAGCCCGGAGCGCTGGACTGGTGTGCCGACACGATCACCAGTATCGAGCTGGGCGGAAACAGGCTGCGTGTGAGTCGGCTGATGGGGTGGGGGGGTGTGGTGGTCAAGGTGGTGTGGGTTCGGGGGGTACTGGGTCTGGGTGTTCGGTGTCGAGCAACGCGGGCCGTCGTGGCTGCCCGGCGACGCACGTCACAGTCAGCCATTGTCCGCCGCCTGCGTTGCACTCGACAGTCGGGTCATGGTAAGCGGGCTGAGCGTGACCCGTACTCCTTGGTAGGCCGTCTATGCCTCCTGGGAGTATACCATTGCTCGCGATGCCTTGCCGCGCTGCGCTCTCTGTTCATGAATCCCCCACTCCCCCTCTCCCTCCTCCATCTCACACGCTGACATTCCAGGCGATTGAGGACCTCGACAAGCTCGTCCACCTCGAGGAGCTCTGGCTGGGAAAGAACAAGATCAGGACGCTGCAGGTGAGCGGTGTTCGCTGTCCCGGTGCTGCTAGGACGTGCTCTATCATCTAGCAGCTGAAGCAGCACGTTATCATGCGACACCAACTGACCACACCTCTCCTCCAGAACCTCGACACCTTCTCGTCCCTCAAGATCCTCTCGATTCAGAGCAACCGCATCACCAAGATGGAGGGCCTCGAGGGCCTGGTCAACCTCGAAGAGCTGTATCTCAGCCACAACGGTTTGATGAAGATTGAGGGTTTGGAGAAGAACGTGAGTGGGGACTGCGGAGGTGAGGCGAAGGGCGAGGGGCCACGGTGGCAGCAGGTGCACTTATCTTGCGTCTACCTGTAGCCGTCGAACCCTCTCGTCCCACCGTCCACTGCTGGGTAGGAACCTCAACTGACATCCCCCCCCCCACAGACCAAGCTCCGTACCCTTGACGTGGGCAACAACGAGATTGAGGAGATCGAGAACATTTCGCATCTGAAGGATCTCGAGGAGTTCTGGGTGAGTCTTCCTCTTCTTTCGCGCACCCCCCCGCAAGCTGTGGGCCTGTGGAGCGGCGACGCTTGCGAAGGAGACGTAGCGTCACGCGGGGAAGACTGTGTCTCTCGGTATCTTCGGAGACCAGAGTCTTCTTGACAGGCGCGGTGCCGGAATGCCGGACCGAAAAGACTCTTCCTCGGGCGCAGGGCGGAAACGTGCTGGCTGTCTTGCCCACGCCAACTTCAATCAGCCAAATGAACCGCCTTCCCCCCTGCCCCCGTCTGTCCCCTGCCCCTCCCCCTTCCCCTCCCAGCTTTCCTCTTCTCTCGGCAAAGCTGACCCACCCAGGCATCCGGCAACAAGATCGCCAACCTCCTCCCGGCACTGGACACGCAGCTCGCCGTCCTCCCCAACCTCGAGACCGTGTACCTCGAGGGCAACCCGTGCCAGACCAACGACCGCGCCGGCTACAGGAGGAAGGTCATGCTGGCGTTGCCGCAGGTCAAGCAGATTGACGCGACGTGAGTGGCACATTGTGTAGTGGCGCAGTGGCGCGATGGGCGGGCCGAGGCCAGAGCAGACCAGCTACAGGTTTGTGGCCGAGCGTAGCTGGCCGCTGGCCGCTGGCTCGCGGTGCCGTGTCGTGTGCCGTGTGCCGTGTATCGTGTGCCCTTGGTATATGCTGACTGGTACAGGTTTGTCAAGACTGGATAGAGTTCGGCGTTCATTCTGTAGAGACGATATGTGATGTGAAGAAGTGTGTATTCATGCCACTCCCCACTGGCTACAGCTGTAGCCTTGGCCGCGCGTACGCCCGTGAGCGTGAGTGTCGAAAGCACATCAGTCTCGTGGCGGTTTGGAGAACATCCGACCAACCAACTGCGCAAGGACATGTCAGTGAGTCAGTGTGTTGTACAGACTCGAGCTGACCCTAGCTGACTGGAAGGGACTCTGGACTCGCTGGCCGCTGGCCCCGCACTTTCTTTCCGGCACCTCGCCACAGTCATGTGCAGTCGTCAACTGCATTTATCTATGAACGTATGAACACAAAAAAGGGGGGAAAAGGGGGGCAAAAAAAGTCGCCGTCTGTCTGTCTGTCTGTCTGTCTGTCTGTCTGTCTGTCTGTCTGTCTGTCTGTCTGTCTGTCTGTCTGTCTGTCTGTCTGTCTGTCTGTCTGTCTGTCTGTCTGTCTGTCTGTCTGTCTGTCTGTCTGCTAAAACTTCTTTCTCGTTCGCCGTCGTCGTATGCTACAGGGCTTGTATAGGCCGTTTTAGGGTTGTTGTTGTTGTTGTTGTTGTTGTTTTTTGGGTGGTGGCAAGGACACGTTCGCGTCACAGCGTACCCCGCCCAGCAGAGTACGCTAGGCCACGCGACGCTACGTCACGCTAAGTCTAGGTCTCTAGATACGCTGGCGCTTGGCGTCGCGTTCCGTCTCGGGGGCCGGGGTCGCGCTGTCGAGGAACTTGAGGGCCTCACGCACGGCGCTGGTCTCGACGGCCAGACGGCGCTTGTGGGCGCTGGCGCGGGCGCGGGCCTGGGCCTGCGCGCTCGCCGCGTTGGCGACGATGGGGCTGCCGAGAGCGTGCGAGTGGATGTGCGGGGAGTGAACGTGGGCGTGAGCGTGGCTCGGCGCCGCCTCGGGAGGGGGCGACAGCTCGACGCGCGGCCCCACGCATTTGGCCCTGCGGGCCACGACGTCGGCGAGGATTGCGAGCGGGGTGAATTTCGAGTTTGGGTGGGCCTTGAGTGCGTGCCACGCCTCGTCGGGGCGCATGACCTCTTCGTCCTCGTCGTCGTCGTCATCGTTGTCATTGTCGTTGTTGTCCTCGCCGTTATGCAGGGGCCCGCCGATGAGCACGTCGCCGGCACAGCCGCCTGCGTGGCCGCACAGCTCGGGCGCGCCGCAGCACGCAAGCACGAGCGGCGCCTGCGGAACGGGCGACGAGGGCGGGTTGACGAGCGACGTGATGGCCATGGACGCCGACGACGAGCCGCAGCCACCGGGGCCGCACCCGGCGCAGCTCTTCTTGGGCTTGGCAGTGCTGGGCCCAGGACCAGCCTCGTCCTCGTCCTCGTCGTTTTTGCCAAACAGGTTTTCACAGAATTCACGACCTGAAAAAAAGATGAGTCAGCTAGGCCCAATGGCGCCGCCACGTTGCCACTTTACTCGTGACCATCGGGTACTCACCAAACGAATCGTTCCTGCATGCATCACAGTTGCTGGGGTCACCGGTACACACGGCCTCCTTGCGGCTGGTGCCGGCGGGGACGTTGTCGAGGGCCCAGACACTCTGCTTGGCGGCGGGACGCGAACGGAGACGGAGGGCGACGGCCGGCGCAGCGATGCCGATGCTCGCGGACGCGGCTGGCGCCGAGGCCACAGGTGGCGGCAGGCTGATGGACGCGCCGAGGTTCAGGCCGGCACGGCAGGCGCAAAAGCTCTCGGACGTGCACAGGCCGCAGCCCGGGTCGTCTGCTGGCGCGGGACCGGGCGACGGCGAGCGCGGGATGACGGGCTTGACGTCCTCGTCCTGGTGCATGTGGGCGGAGCCGTTGCACAGACATGCCTCGGGGAACTGGTCGCACAGGCCACAGCGCGACGGGCTCAGTGTCGACATGGGGAGGGTGCTGTCCAGGCGCTGGCAGGGACAGTCTGGATCAGGGTCGGGGCAGATGGGGCACGCGAGTGTCGTCGACCCCGACGTGGTCGCCAGCGTGCGCGGTGTACTGCCTGTTGCTGACGAAATGGTCGTGGAGGATGGCATGAGGGTACGCGGTGAAGGCGCGCCGCGCGGCGTGCCCATGGTAGGCGTCAGGGCGGGCGAGTGGCGAAGACCAAGGTCGCTCGAGGCATAGTCGCCATACTCGTAATCATAGTCGCGGGGCGAGCGGTGCTCGGCCTGCGCAAGCTGGGTACGCAGTGTACGGATGGAGCTGTTCAGCTGCCTGCGCTCAGACTGCCATGCGTCGCGCTCGGTGCGCGCAGCCTTCAGTCCAGCGGCGAGCTGGTTGAGTTCGTTCTTCATGCGCTCGTTGTCCTGCTTCAGGGCCCTCGCGACCTCTTGCAGCCGGACATTGGAGTGGATCTCGTCGGCCTCGTACTTGCGCAGTCGCTCCTCGAGAGTCTGGATGTAATCTGTGCGGCGTGCGCGGTGGGCACGCTGGGAGAGACGGTTCTGGCTCTGGCGGCGGTTGTCTGGCTCGTCGGTGCTGGCCTTGCGGCCAGGCTTGGCACGTTCAGGCAGCACCCATTCCTTGGACGGCTTGGCAAAGATCTTACCAGTGGACGACGACAGGTCCTTGCCTGGTACAGCGAGGGCGGGCAATGCCTGGCGCCCCGGAGGGGCCATGGTGGCCGCCGGCGACGAGCCGGCAGGACGGGGAGTGGAAGTGGTGGCGCGGGGGGATATTGTGGAAGAGGAGGAGGATGATGACGCGGCAACGCTCGGAGGGGGTCGAGAGGCAACGGGGCGGGCCTGCACCCGTGCTGGCATCTTGGCAACGGCTACGCGGGGGGGCTGGGGATGTGGGCGGTGATGGTCTGGCACACGTGCAGAGACGGCGACGGACATGTCGCGGGGGGGAGGGCAACGTGTCGACGAGGAAGACTTTGTGGTGATGGGAATGAGGTAGAGAGCAGTAGAGAGAAAAGTGTGTCGGCGGCGACGCAGACGGTGGCGGTGAGTGACTCGCTACAATCACTTGGCGCGGCCGGGCGGGCGGCTGTCAAAAGGCGCGGGGGCGCTTGCAAATGTGTGTGTGCGTATCGGGGCAAATGGGCCGCGAGTGGGCTGGACACGATGAGGGAGAGGGGTGGGTGGGGGCACGCGGTGTCTTAGTCTGTCTGTTCTCTTTGCTCGCTCACTCGCTCTCTGGCCTGTTCGGCTTTGAGGCTAGTGGTGCGCACTGAAAAGGGATGTAGCACAGGGTGGCGAGAGGGGAGGGGCAAGCTTTTTGCGGGCCTGGGTGGTGAGTGTGTCGGGGAGAGGAGGAGGAGGTGTGGGACGAGTCGATGTGAGAGTCGCCGAAAGGCCTTGCCTGTCTAATCTGATAACCCGGGAGCAAAAAAGCGCGCGTTTCGCTGACACAACGTGTGGGAAGTGCATGGGCAGCATGGGAGCAGAGCAAGCGACGGGCGAAGCGGAAGTGTTGGCTCAACCTGCTCGTGCATGGCCCCTGCCCCCCGGCCGTTGCGGAAGCCTCTTCCAGTCCCGATACTCGCCGACAGCGGGACCCGGACCCGTGATGGGTCTCGTGGAGACGAAAGCGAAGGACGAGACCCAAGCATTTTGACCAGGGGTGGGGATAAGTACTCGCAGCAGGGGCATATGGTGTGGCAGGGCCCCCAGTCGGCCGAGCCGGGGGCTGTCCAAGATACCATCACTCAGATGGCCCCTCATCTGTGGCCGAAACCCCTCTTTGCCATTCTGGGTGTGCATCGGACGCTGTCGGACGAAGAAAAAGGCGACCGCGATTGTCCCATGGTTTGTGTGTTATCCGGGAGGAGCAAACAAGGCCCACTGTGCGTCCGCTTGTGGAATGTCGGCCGACGAGTCTGTCGCTAGTGATGGCCGCGGACAGGCACTGGTTGTCGCCATATACGCGGCCAATTAACGGTCACCATGCATTGGGGCCGGCCGACTATACAAAAGACAAAGACACAAGTGTCCTCTTTGTTGCTTCAACAATCTGTGGGTGGGAATGTTACGTGCTGCTGGAGAGTCTTCCAACTACTGTCTCCATCTCTGTTGGGTGTGGAGCCGCATACGATCCAGACCGGCCAGACTGGCCAGACTCAAGTGACTCTGTGCCAGTGCGAGACGTCGTATGGGCCCTTTAGCTGCTAGACAATGTTGCCCAAAGCAGACAGCAACATTCAATTATGTTTTGACGTCACTTGACATTCCACAAAAGGGTCTCCTCCTCGCGTTGCCGAACCATGGGTTCTTGACGAAGCGACGTTTGGCTTCTTCCTGCAGTCGAAATTTCTCACCCATACGAGCAGCAGCCATATGTGTGTGTCGGTCTTGTCGGTGTACATTGCACCTCCTGGACGAGAAGCCTGCTGCTCTACCTGACCGCTAAGCGACATGCAGCCTATCAGATACGTAAAATGCATTCCCTGTCCCTTCCCCTGTCCTGTCCGCGCTGGGCATGTAGGCGTCCTGGGCCACAGACATCCTGGCATGTGCGGCAGCAAAGCAGAAGCCAAAGCAGCTCCCATCGGCCGTGCCAAGACATTCGAGCTGCAGTGTCCAACCTCGGAACGCGCCAAGGCATCGCACCCCCGGACACTGTACGAGCCAGCAGGAGCCAGCAGGAGGGCCAGGAGCGGGCAGACGGACGGTTGAAAAACTCGCGCGTATCAGATAAATCAAGAATCGGCCTCGTCCTGACTTGAGGCTTTTCCCCACCGGTCTGCACAGAAAAAGGCGCATCTCACACCTCGCCTCTTCGATCTATCGACACTCGTCCTTGCATCGACTTGTCGACCAGCATCCCCAGTCAACTGCGCATAGCTAGTGACTAGGTACACCACCTCCCCAGCCAGTACCAGGCCCCCCTTCCTTCCACAACCGGACCCGAAAGCCCCACCACAAAGGTCTATTCTAAGATGGCCCGCGACCTCTTCAACGTCCCTATCTTCTTCATCGTCTTCCGTGAGTACACCCCTGTGGGGGGGACCTTGAGGAGGGGCTGGACTGCGCGCTGGTGCTGCTATGTGAAGCGTGCTACTCGCTGGCGTACCAGTTGTGCTGGTCGAGTGGAGCAAACTGTTTGGACCCGTGTGACCCGCCGTGTCTGTGTGGATTTTCGGCCGGGTCCAGCCATCCGTTCCCCGAGGACCCTTTGCGTGCCACACTGCGCCGCATACCCAAAATAACATTTCGCTAACGTCCACAGGTGAGACCATTGAGGCTGCCATTATCGTCTCGGTCCTCCTCTCGTTTGTCGAGCAGCTCATGACCACTGGTCGTCTGAGCCCTCGCGAGTCTGCTACTGGTTTCGACAACGATGCCAACCACAATGCCCGTGTCAAGAACATTGTCAAGCGTATGCGCATCCAGATCTGGGCCGGCACCATCACCGGTTTCTTCATCGCCCTCTGCATCGGTGCCGCGTTCATTGCCGTCTTCTACACCAAGCTCAACGACCTGTGGGCCAAGACTGAGCAGATCTGGGAGGGTGTCTTCTCGGTCATTGCCGCTGTCCTCATCTTCATCATGGGCATTGCGTTCCTGAAGATGGACCACTCGCGCATCAAGTGGCGCTACAAGCTCGCTGCCTCGTTTGAGCGCTCGTCCGACAAGGTCATCCACGAGGACGGCGGCGAGGGCGCCCAGAAGGAGTCGCGTACCTCCAAGTGGGCTCTCTTCCTCCTCCCCCTCATCACCTTGCTCCGTGAGGGTCTCGAGGCCGTCGTCTTCGTCGGTGGCGTTTCCATGAACACCACCGCCGCCGCCATCCCCATCCCCGTCGTCGTCGGCCTCATCTGTGGTGTCATCGTCGGTTGGGTCATCTACCGCACCGGTTCGTCGACCACCCTCCACTGGTTCCTCATCGGCTCGACCACCTTCCTCTTCCTCATCGGCGCCGGTCTCTTCTCCAAGGCTATCGGCTTCTTCCAGTACTACGTCTTCGCCTCGGGTGTTGGCGGTGACGTCGCCGAGACCGGAGACGGACCCGGCTCCTTCCAGGTCGCGGGCAACGTGTGGCACCTTACGTAAGTGGATTTGAGATTTACTTCCGCCAGGGGATTTGATTCCGTCACTTGATTGGCTACCGCCACGTGGTATTACGTAATCAATTTTTTTGCCACACTCGCTTCCACTTTCCACTCGATTCTCTTTCGTTTTCTCTTGCTAACCAGAGCCCAGATACGGAAACCCAGAGCCGGGAAGCGTCACAACGAACGGAGGCTGGCAGGTGTTCAACGCGCTGTTCGGGTGGAACAACACGGCGACTCTGGGCTCCGTGTTGGGCTACGTCTTCTACTGGATCGCCGTCATGGCCGCGCTCATCTACCTCAAGTGGAAGGAGGGCCGTTTCACCCTCTTTGGCTATGCCTCGGCCGCCCACAAGCGCCGCATGGTCGCCAACGAGGACCGCGCCCAGCGCCGCGAGTACGAGGCCGCCAACCCCGGCGCCGAGAAGGCCTCGGACGACGCCTCCAACTCGTCCGCCGCCGAGGCGTCGCGCGAGAAGGCCGCCCCTCTCGTCTAAGCGAACAACAACAACCGCCACACACCCCCAAAAGTGCATCACACTATCCTCCCCTCCCCCCCCCCAATCTTCTTAATACCTACCATGCAACCTGGCCCCAGGCAGCACGACGCTGCCCGAGGTCGGGTCGCGCAGAACCAACGGATATCGGTCGGAAGGGCTTCTCAGTAGAGCGTAGGCAATCTACGCATTAATGCATCGGCACAGATGCCATCTTCACGAGTGAAATGCCATGTGCCACATTGGAGCACACTGTATTGACGCGCGGCGACATGGTTAAGACTTACCCCCGCAGCTGGCCGCGCTCCACAAAATACCACAGACGATGTCACATGGCCATGATCAATACGCGGCAGGGAAGCAATTCTAGGTTGGGGAATGCCACAGATACCAACGGGCCCAGCGCGCACAATAGGGCCCACGGCCTGGCCATGGCCATGGACGAGGTCGCGTGAGCGTCGCAGAGACGGAATGTGGCCCGCTGTGGATTCCGCGTTCGTGGCTCGAGGTTAATAATCGGTCAATGAAAGGCGGATTGCAACCTGTTCGCTCCATATGACGCGTGGCGTCTGGTGTATTTCGCGTGCCTGCAGCGCGGGCTATTCACACCCACCCGCACGGATAAGGACCGAGCCAGCGGCGGACACGCGGTGCTTCACGAGCTCGGCAGGACGTCATACTGGAATGGCGATGACGATAAGCCAAACCAAACCAAACACAAAAACGGTGTGTGGCGGAGGGTCTGTCCCCAGCGACGGGCTAGTCCGGTGCTGCCGAATGAGCCGCTTGGACCCGGTGATGCGCCCCGGTGGATCTCACCAGAGCAGCACCAAGGTCACAGCGAGGGTTGGCCGTGTTGGGAACAGGCGTAGCAACAGTGTCACGATAAGTCAGGAATTTATCATATTATTCCTGAATATTCTTTTTTTGTGTCTCGCTCGTTTTTTTGTATTCGAAACCGAAAATATAAATTACGAAAAAAAAAAATCACAAAAATACTTAGAAATTCGTACGCGGACTCGAAATGGTGTATTAACACTGAATACAGGTGTGGCGGTTTTGCGACGAGATACGTGATAACAGGCAGTCATGATGGGACACGACGTCGGCAGGTCACGAGTTTGAGCATTTGCCACTCGCACGCATCCACCTCGCCATACCCCCCGCGATGGGGCCCTGCCCGCCTACGCGTCTGCAATGCCACGGCATCCACCCAACAAACACCTGGCCACACACAACAGCTGCCAGTGGCGAGTGCATTGGCCGAGGGAACCAAACACACACCAAGACCGTCAAGCTGCGCGCTGTCGGTACGGTTCGATACCCAACAAACAACCTCGCTCGCCACTCCGGCCTCCTCTGGGCGTGGACGAGCACAGGGCGACACATGCACCCAGACGTTTGACTGGATTCCGCCGCACAAACGAGTGGGCAGAGATACGGTGGGATTCGGTGCTGTGAGGATGCATGAATGTGGCACAGCAGCACACGGGGTTTGTACATACATTGCATTTCGGCACGGCTGCCACAACGGCTGCGTGCCGGGGCGGTACCGTCCGCCACCGTGCCGTGCCGTCGACCTAACCTGACGCTCTGCATCCGCTTAGCACCTCGACGCACTGTTGGACCCCAAGCGCGCCGAGGAATGGAAAACATCAAGCGGCGGGACATGTGACACTCTGTGCGTGAGGGCGGCGGTAGTGTACGTCACCGAATGACGGTTTCGGCACGTTTTGCATAGCGACGAAGACTGTGCAAAACTCGTTTGCCTGGCGACAGAATGCACGTGTCCTCTGTGCACGGGTGCACGGGTGCACCGGCGCACCTCTGCACGCAGGCCTCTGGTCTGCCGGTGATAGGCACAAACCTCCCTCCATAAGTTGCGTTTGAGCGTAGTCGGCAAACTCTGCAGTGGGCAAACTCTGTAGTGGGCAAAGCACAAACGGCGGACCACTACGCTTTTTCCCGACACAGGCCACTGCGCCACTGCCGGCTTGACAGCTCTGCCTCTGCTCCGCCAGCACCATGCACTGCTCCCCAGCTTCCGAGCTCCAGAGCTTCTGTTTCTGTCCTTCTGTCCTTGTGATACAACGTTGCATTGAGATGGAGATCTAGATACCGGATGCTACCGCGGCTGGAGATGTTTTTTGGGGAAAAAAAGCGGGGGGGGGAGGGGGGAGGCGAGCCGGTCGGTTTCTTTACATTAATGGGCATAAGTGTGTGGGCGTGTGGGTGTGGTGGTGTGTGGTGTGTGTTTGTGTGTGTTTCTACGACGCCGAGTTGCCGCCGTTGATGGCCCTGGACCACTGCAGCGTGGTGCTCGCGGACCCGCCGTTGAAGTAGTAGATGGACTTGTTGTCGACGACGCGGAGGACGCGGTCGTTGGACGTGCTGACGCTGGCGGGCTCGCGCAGCGTCGCCATGCGGAGGACGCTGAACAGGTCCACTTGCCCGTCCCAGCCCTCGGTGCTGTGCTTCTGCACGAGGACGAGCATGTCCGAGCACAGGATGAGCATGATGGGCTTGTCCATGGGTTCGGGGGAGATAAAGTCGACGGGAACGACGGCCTTGGATGTGGTAATGGTCGAGTCGCCGTCGATGGTGTTGAGGGCCACGGGGGTCTCGACCTCTGCGAACGCCGACGACTTCTTGACCACGCGCACGAGGGTGAGGGCGCCATCGAGGATGAGCTTGCGGTGCGGCTGGACGAGGGGCGAGGGTCCGCGGGACGAGATGCGCTGCTGCCAGTGGAGGAGGCGGAGGCGGGACTCGGCCTCGCGCTTCTCCTCGTTCATGAGCGAGGCGAGGTTGGTGATCTCGCTGATGGCATCGTCGAGGGCGTCGCTGGGGCCAATGGACTCGCGGGGCGGAGTGCACATGGCCAGGTCCTCGAGGAGCAGCTTGTACCGCGGCACGCGCTGCACGGGCAGGAGCAGGTACGACTCAAAGTTGATCTGCGAGTGCGACTTGTCCTCCTTGGCGCGCTTGAGGAACTGCTTGACACGCTTGCGCTGGCTCGGGGTGAGCGGGGAGCCCGAGTGGGGCACCGAGTCGCCCGCAGGCATGACGGCCGAGCCGACGAGACCGGCACCGACAGCCGCGACACCCATGGCACCGGCTTTGCCGATGGCGCCGGTCGTGTTGGCCTGAGCGGTCCACGAGCGCATGCGCGCGAGGGCATTGTCAAAGTTGTTGATGTAGGTCGAGTACTGCTTCATGTACGCAATGTAGGTGCGGAACACCTCGCCGACCTGGTGGGCGATACGGGCCGAGAGCTCGCCCTGGTCGTCGTCACCCTGGTCCAGCAGGGGCTGGATGGTGCGCGTAAGGGCTGGGAGGACGTTGTCGCGGTGGATGACCAGGACCGACTCGACACCGCCAAACACCACCTTGCGCTCGGCAACGGGGATGACGGTCTCGCTCGACTTTGCGCTGTTGACAGGCTGGCTGGCGGGGCGCACGTAGATGGCCACGAGCTCGGTGAGGCCGCGGACATATGTCTTTTCAGTCTCGAGAATCTCGCGGATGACGCGCGCACGCTTGCCCTTGTCGTCCTTGAAACGCTTGTTGCTGCTAGGCGCGGCAGACGTCGAGGACGCAGGAGTAGACATGTCGTCCTTGCCATCGACCACCATCGAAACACCACGCGAGGGGGCGTCGGCCGTCATGTGGCGCGATGTCGAACCCATCATCGAGCTGCGCATGTCACCGGGGGCAGCGGCGGCAGCGGCGTCGCTCTCAATGACCTCAAAGCCACCGTACGGGTCGCCGGGGGGAAGCGAAAGGTCGTACAGGTCGCGGAGGTAGCTCTTGATCGACTCGAGGCCGCGAGTGTAGCGGTCATCCGAGTCGTTGATGGTAAAGTTGGCCGGGGCAAACTTGGACGCGCGGTGCTCGTGCTCGTCATCGGTGCCGTCTCCAAGCGTCTCCATGGCATCGTCGGCCGTGCGCATGGGAAGGTGCTCGACGTCGCCGAGGGTGGCCTGGGCCGACATGAAGGGCGACGTCGAGGGGATCGCGACGTTGAGGGACGGGGGTGCCGGGTCGATGGGGAGGAAGCTCCTGCGGCGGGCCTGGCGGAGCGAGCCAAAGACGCTGCTGGTCGACAGACTGTTCGGGGCCTGGCTAGCGGCCGACGGGCTGCGAACAGGAAGACCATCGGGAGTCTCGGAAACGCGCCTGTCGGGAATGGCAGACGTCGACGACCAGGTCGAGGTAGTGACGATCGACGGGCGGCGGGGCATGGTCGAGTTGATCGACGGGGTGGGGCTGGTGACGGACGGCATGCTGGCCACGTTGGCGGCGGCCGACGCGGAAATCTTGGCAGAGCCAGAGCTGGTTCCCTTGTCGGACCGGAGCCTCGACATGGACACCTTGCGAAGGAACCCCCACTTGGGCTTGTCCTCGCCCTCCGAGTCATCAGTGTATGTGCTACCGACGGCGCTCTGGACGCGACGGCTGTTGCGGGTGGGGAGGAAGCGCTCCGTGCCCGCGGAGAAGACCTCGGACGCCGGGTTGGGGTTGGTGACGCTGCGGTTGGGAGCACGGCCGATGCTGTCGGCGCGCTTGCCCAGGCTGCGGGTAGTCCGCAACGACTGGAACGGGGTGCTGGAACGCGAGGGGGTCTGGGACTGGGACGAGCTCTGCGAGATGCCCAGACCGACACCAGCGTCAGAGGCAGGGGTCGAGGGCGTGTGCTGTCCGCCAATCGACGACGCGACCGACGACATGCCCGAGGCCAAGCGAATCGACCGCAACGACTGGTGCGAGCCATTGCGCTGGTGACTGCTCAGCGTAGCAGCGAGGATGGGCGTAACGATGGCAGTCCACTCGGGTGCAAACGGATTGTTGTCGATACGCAGAGTGTCGAGCTGGGTGAGGAGGCACAGCCACGAGGGGAGCATGATCAGACGGTTGTGACGGACACAGATCGAGTGCAAGTGGGTGAGCTGCGAAATCTCGACGGGCAGGCCCGAGAGCGCGCAGTTGTCGGCCACGATGACGCGCAGGCTGGTGCAGTCGCCGATGAACGACGGCAACAGACGGATCTGGTTGTTGGACACGTTGAGCTCCTCGAGCGCCGAGCAGTGACGGAGGTCGCTGGGGATAGCGGTCAGGTCATTGTTCGAGACATCAAGGACGACCAGCGTGGTCGAAAGGACGTCGAGAAGCGGGGCAAGGATCGAGAGGATCTCGGGTCCAATACCGGACAGCAGCAGGTGGGTGTAGCGGGGAAGACGGAGGAGCTCGTTCTCGGTCATCTGGCGCAGAGCGTGAATGCCACCCATGGCGTCGAGCTTCTTGGCGTCGAGGATGATGCTGCGCCCGTCACCGACCATGGCGAGCGCGTTGGGTTCTGACAGTGGCATGGACTGCTCATCGTCCCAAGGCTGGCGGCCAAACTGGAGGTAGGAGAAGGTGTGGGCAAACGAGCTCGAGATGCGGTCGTCCTCGGAGGACATGTCGGTGGAGAGGGCGCTCGAGGTCGAGTTGCTCCTGTCACGGCCAGCGTCGACCTGCCACGACGAATTGTCAGTGTACGAGGACGCAACGTCGGCGTTGGACGACTGGCGGCCATAGTCGGGACGCGCGTTGAGCATGTCGGTGGGGATGACGGGGACGGGCGGGGTCTGGTGGTACGAGTTGTCGCTGTACGCGTGGTACGAGTAGCCGCCAGACGCCATGGACGACTCGGCAGACGAGTAGGCGTTCTGCCTGCCAGCCCTCACGCGAATCCGTGGTTCCCGCAGGTCAGGCTTGCTGTCGACGCGCTCCGAGGCATAGGTGTACGCGTCGGTGATTGACGGGGACGATGTGGTCGAGTCAACTGTCGATGTAGTAACAAAGCTCAAGGTGGGCTGTCGCACCTCGTCGTCCAAGTCATAGTCGCCCGAGTACACGTCGAGGTCGACGTCCAGGGTGTGGCCGTTGCCTGAGCCCGAGGGAATGGGGCTGACCGGCTCGTGCATGGGATAGTGTGCGGTGTGGGGGGTGGGATCCGTGTACTTGCGGTGAGGGTGGAACACGGGCTCCTCGCTGGGCGTGGGGTAGGTGGAGTGTGGGCGGCGAGTGGTGTCAACCTTGGGAGAGCGGTAGCGCGTCTCCGAGTAGGTTGGCGACGAGTCGAATGCCAGGCGGCTAGACTCGTATGCGGCGGCGGTGAGGTCGTCGTGAACGGGGGGAGTAGGGGGAAGGTTGTTGAGAGCGGCCATGCGAGGCTTGCTGGGACCGGCCTGGGACTGGGTGTCAAACGCGTCGAACATGGGTGTTCTCGAGCGTATAGAGGATGTGGGAGTCGGGGGGAAATCCATGGGCTTTGAGTGTGATGGCAAAGACGGGTGTGAGGGTGACGAAGCCAGCTTCGTCTAGAGATAGGGAGGGAGAGAGAGTTGCAAGCAAGTCCAATCAAGGAGCTGTTGTGGTTGTTTGGGAGAGAAATGGTGGTCGTCGTGAAAGACACAAGCAAGACACCAGGTCCGGTTCCCAAGGGCGAAAGGTGGTCGAGGTCCGTGCGGGATCCGGGCGTTTGGGCGTTACGGTGACGCCAAAAAAACAGACACGATCAACATGGGACGTGGGAGTCGGAGGATGGATGGGATGGCGCGGAGGTGCGATGATGAGCAGAAAAGGAAAGGATGCGTGAGCTGGGAGGCAACTTTTGTATAGGCCCGGATGCGCTCGCGCGCGCGGGGGTAGGGAAGAACTCACCTGCTGTTCTCACCGCACTGGGTGGTAGGAACGTGTGGAAAGCGCTGCTTTGGAGAACGTGTAGGTTTGGTGGGATGAGCAAGAGCGCCAGAAGGCTCGTGCTTGGGTGGTGGTGGGTGGTGGTGGACGGGTGGGTGCAAATCCCAACGCGAGCAGCGGCCAAGCGGTGCGCGCTGTGTGGGTGTGTCCTTTACTGTGAAACTGCGCGTCCCCAGGGAGAAAAGGGTAATCGCCCGTTCTAATGGGTGGGTGTCTGTTCTCGAACCGACACCGCTTGGGTGACAGGAGAGACGGAGAGATTTGTGTGTGCGTGCGTGTAAAAAGCACAGACCCAGAGACGTGCGATGGGATGGGGGAAATCGACAAGAGACACGGCGGTGGTGGCGGCGAATCCAGAGCAAATCTAATACCGATCACAGATCAAAAAGACTGGGCTGGGCGCATGGGTTAGCAACCTGCGCGCTGTGCAACCTAACATCCTTTGCCCCCCGTCTGCCCATGTTTGCACACGTCCACCCCCCCTTCCCCAGTCGCTCGCATACGTATAACGGTGTGCACAACCGAGAGTATGGGACACGCAGGGAGGAGGAGGGATGGCCCATGGGCCTCTGCACCCCTGTGTATAGGTGCCGAGAATGATACCAGCAGGGTTATGCCGGTGCACAGGCCTGTCACGGTGGCCACCCAACAGGACATGCAGGCCACCAGGCGGGGCATACCCAGGTGGCCAATGGATTGGGACACGGTGGCAGGTGGGAACACATGCTCACACGATGGGGTCGGGGGAGGGGCGGGGGCGGGGACAATGGGACTCACAAGGACGCCAAAGGGAAGGTGGGCGAAACACTGATACGCTGATGGATGCGCTGGTGTGTCTGCTTCTGATGTTGCCGCTGGCGGGGGATGCTCGAACGGAAGATACAGCGGGGATGGTGGTCGTAAAGGTGGAGAGGATAGGCAGTCCAGCTGGCAAGGCCCAAAAGGTGTGTGTGTGACTACTGGGCCACAGACGCGCACAATGGCTTGTGGCTTGGAATCAACTCGACGCGTGGGGGCGGTTGATGGGTGGGGGTGATGCCACTCGATTGAATACTGGCGCCAACACGGGTATTGCTGGCTGGTAGACAAGGAGATGCGGAAAAGAGAATGTGGATTGGGGATATGCTAGAGACCAGCTAAGCGGAGGGTCGATGCCGGTCGAGATATGTACGAGGGAGTCGTCAATGGGGGGGAGGGATAGCAAGGGAGACGGGGGGGGAGGTTGCGGATTGTTGGGTTGTTCCTCGAAAATGAAGCCGGGTGGGGGGGAGTGTGTGTGTGTGTGTGGAGAGAGAGACCTGTTTGTCTCTTTGAGCTCGATAGAATAGTGATGTGTGTTGTGTGTGTGTTGTCTGTCTCTATGCGAGTAGAGTGTGTGTGTGTGTGTGTCGTCTCTCTCTCTCTCTTGATGGCGATATGCGAGAGCGTCGACGAGACAGACCGGGGGGGCGGAGGGAGGCGACACGGGGTGGGCCGGGACAGAGACGAGACGAGGTTTGATGGCAGGCCGAGGGATAGGATGTGGTGGCGCAACGAGGGACCGGAAGGTCGAGCAAAGGGTCCGCAAGCGCCGGGGGGGGGGGGGGGCGGACAGAGAGAGAGAGAGAGAGACCTGGCGCGCCAACGAGGGACCACCACCACACACCCAACAGACACGCAGGGAAAAGGAAAAAAGGCGTCGCGCGCAAGGATGGGATGGGAGAGGGCCCTGAACGGAATCTATGGAGCTACGGAGAGACGTCGACGGGCAGAAAAGAAAGGGGTGCGGGGATGGGGGAGGGGGGGATTGCAGGTGGTGGGATTGCTACGTGTGTGTGTGTATGTGTGTGTGACGGGATGGAAGATAGAGAGAGAGAGAAGATGTGTCAAAGGGAGATGGGGCTTGACGTCGATGAGAGAAGGACGACAGGTGATGACGCTGCTGATGATGCGTGTGTGTGAGCACTGCCGCTTGGTGAATTAATTGTATGTGTCGGGTCCTTTGTTACGCGTGTGCGTGCATGTATGCGCGTGTAATACAACAGTCTTGTGTCTCTCTTTGCGATATTTCATGCCGGCACCAGGGCTCACACACACACACAACACACCCAGGCAAGCCAGGCAGCCCAGGCCAGGCCAAGGAAAAAGGAAAAGAAACAGGTCCAGCTCAGGGCAAAAACCAAACATGGCCCGGCAAGGACGGCAAACGCTGCGTGTGTGTGCGGGGAATGGCCGGAATGGGTCCTTTGGCCGTTGGGCGGAGAGCGCCAGACGGGGAAAAATATAATAAAAGCGACCTAAAGTGGGCGGAGCACGTACACAAAAAGGGGCAAGAGAACAGAACAACGGCAACTGCCAAAGGACAGGCGCGCGCGGGCACTCAGGAAGGGGGCAGTGGTGGTTGCCTGAGGTGGGTCTGGACCTTGACAGGAAAGGCAACAGCGTCTCCATCGATTATGGGCCATGGGCCATGGGCCATATGGGGGGAGACATGGATCCACGCGACCCAAAAAGGATCCCATCACCACAGACTGCAATTCCGGGGTGGCCACTCTCCATCGGGGGTGCATTTCTCGCCCTCTTGTTCGCATCGCTCCCTTGGCCTGCGTGCGTACCTCCTGCAACAACCTGTAACCCAGGATGCACCCAAACGTACAGTATATATGCACCCGCTTGGTACTCACCCCTCTCATTCGCAGCGACGGAGAAGAAAAAGCTTTGCACCGCGTTGACTACTCGCAGCGGACCTTCTCCGTCCTGCGTTTGTCCGGAAATGCTCTCGCTCCCCTCTCTCCGCAGCAGTTTACACGACGAGCTTGATTTTTTCCTACACACTCTCTCTCTCTGAAGGTGTGGAAGATCCTTTGTGCTGTGGATCCAGGGCGGAGACGCAAAGAGGTGGACCAGGCACGTTGAAGCAAAGTTACAAACGCTTGCAGCGACATGTCATGTCAGTTGGTGGTGGAGGAGGGGTGGGGCGGGGCAGACCTCGTACTTGTCCAGCTGTGCGCTGTGCGCGCTGTGCTCGGTTTCCCCTCATGCTCATGCTAGCTGCAGGGCACGGCCCGACTCTCGCCGATTCTTGTCTTCTTCCAGTGGAATCACAGGGCCCCCTGCCGTTACTCCTGTGCCATGACTCGTTTGCATCAACCGCTCTACCGCTGCATCCAGCCAGAACCTTGGTTCCTGTCGTCCTTTGCATAAAAACCTCACACAACCATCCTGCACCATCGCTAAAAACGTACCTCAGAACCTCATGCTAGATGCTCCTATACATGCACATGCTTCTTGCACACTTTTGACTCTATTGTCTGTGATCTGTTTGTTTGTCTCCTTTCACCGTCGCGGCCACAGCATCAGGCAGCCGCGGGTGTTGCTCTTTTGGCCTCGTGGGCGGTGTGGTAGCGTGACTGATTTCTGCCCAACCCCCCTCCGGTATCATCGTTTCCGAACAATGTTTGTTGACCATCTCTGGCCTTCTGGCCTCTGGATCTCTGCCCTCTGCCCTCTGTCCTCGCCACTGACGTACCACGCACCCGTACATACCGACATGCATGCACCACGTCGCGAAGCATCGCTTCGGCACAGATACAGCCTGCCTGCACGATGGTAGTGTGCAGCACATGCACTGCATGGAGCGGCGCACACCCGACAACGAATGTAATTAAGCCTGTCTGAGATCGATGACGCCGAGCCGAACACAAGTACGTGCACCCAGCGTGGCCAGTTGGCGGGTGTGCACCGGGGAGCTCTAGCTCTCTCACACAACGCCGTCTAAGGTCACGCGTAAACCAAGTCGTCCGAGACCAAGTCCCGAGACCACCACGTTGTGTGGTTCCCAGCGATATGTCCAGTCGGTTACGTCCTTTTCAGAACCCGTCAACAAAAAGCATAACGGCCGTACAGCGCAGCTTGTTGCAGAAAGCCTCGTTGTCCCAGGTACATGTCAGTTGATCAGTTACAGGCGCCACAGCGACGCGTCCGGTGCTGATGCTGATGTGTGTACACGCGTGTGTCCGTGTGTTGATCTGTGTGTGTCGGGGACGCGTCCGACAACAGACATGTTGTTGACACGGGGACGCGTGTTGTTTACGTTGTTTGTTTTGTTCTCCGGTGACTGCCAGTGGGCCAGTGGAGTCCCACCATCCCGTACCCCGTGCGCGTGCTTCTAGTTGCCACCGTGCTGGGACAATCACACGGGGCGATGCCTGCTCGATGAGCTACAGCCGCTCTGTGCGATCCCAAGCATGCCCTCGCCTCACGATCCCTCCCCTCCCGCGCAAAGCACACGCGACGACGTTGACCATCCTCTCCTTGACCCCTCGACGCACCGGACATGCAAAACAATGTGACCGTTACGCTGGAACGCCAGCGTACCAGAGTATCAGACGGCCAGAAACTGCATGCACATGACCATCCCACCGTGCCACCGTCACCCCCATGCCCTCGCCGTACGCCTTCCTACATACTCCTCCCCGCCACCCGGCGTGTATGGAGTGTGGCTAGTGTGGGTGACGCTGGCAAAACGCGGCCGTGCGACGTCACGCAGGACCCGCGGGTTTGGGATGGGTCCGTGACGCTTCTC